TTTATTTTTTTTTCTTTAAGTCGGAATTTTTTTCTCTTTTTTATTTTATTTTATTTTTTTTATTTTATTTATTTTATTTTATTTTTTTTTTTTTTTTTGCTAAAAGCTCTAATTTTGCAGTGATCTTTTTTTGCACATGCAATAAGCAATGGACCAGCTTTTTTCTTTTTTTTTTTTATTTTTTTTTTTTTTTTGCTATAAGCGCTAAGTGCGTTGTGAACATTTTTTGCCACTGCAATAACTAATCGGCCCGTTTTTGTATTTTTTTTTTTTTTTTTCTTTTTTTTTTTAACGTGTATAACTATTATATAAATTTTTCAATTAAGTGAGCATAAATGTGACATAATGCATTATCTTAAATTTCAAAAAAAAAAAAAAAAAAAAAAAGTAAATAAATAAAATAGCATTTTCTAAATCTAAATATTAACGACATTTCATTAGTTTATACACCTTTTTTCATTTTTTTTTTTCTTTCCTCCCTTCCCTTTTTTTTTTTTTTTTTTTTTTTTTTTTTTTTTTTAATTTTTTTTTTTTTTTTTTTTTTTTTTTTTTTTTTTTTTTTCCCTCCTTTCTCAATTCGTAAGAACCATATGAGGGAGAAGAATTTTCCTGCTTGAACTGTCAAATGCACATGCAGATAGAAATAGAAATGGAAATATATATGTATGTACGGATTCAGGCCACAAACTTATGTATATATTTAATATGCACATAAATAAATCATGTAAATGAGCAAGTAGAATTTCATCGTTTTACTAATTTTTAATATCACCTATGGAAGCACACTTTTCCCAAGCGTATTTGCTATACCCTCATCCAGATTCCTCCTCTCTATGATTAGTCATTGTATGGAAGAACTCAAACGTGTGTATAATGCATGCTTTTATGTGTGTACAAATATGTAAGGATGTATGCACACATATATATGTAACTTGTGAACGTGTATATATATATATATGCAATTGTGCAAACTTTGACCTCCTTGCACGTGTAGGTGTGTTCAGATTTTTACACATTGGTGACATGTACAGGATTTCATCTTTGCTCTATAGTGTGTTCCAAGTCATTAAGATGCACTCAGTAGAAATTCCATAGCACAACTTCTCATTACACAAGTAACAAGTTGGTAGAAGCAACAAACTTCCTATAATAAAATCTGATATGTTAAGGTTCTTCTTGGGCTTGCTTCTTAAACGTATTTGTTTCTGCACATACAGATATTCTCTGTGCATTATCCAGTCGTCAGAACGTTTCAAAAGGGAGCAAGGGGAAAAAGCAAAAAAAGCAAAAAAAAAAAAAAAAAAAAAAAAACAAAAAAAAGAAAAAGAAAAAGAAAAAGAAAAAGAAAAAGAAAAAAATATATGGCCAAATGCGATCGAAATGGGAAGACGACATACAGAAAATAACAATCTTCCCACCCCTTAGTTTAAAAAATTAAGATGTAAAATTTTCAACGTGCATAGTATTTCATGTACATATGTGCAGTACTTCCAATAATGCAGCATATGGTTTTGTAAAAATTCCAACAGGAGCACAACAAAAAAAAAAAAAAAAAAAAAAAAAAAAAATATGATAAAATTAGTAGGATGCTTCACATGTATATCATGTGTAAAAATGGAAAACATCGAGGAATTGTGTAGCAACGGGATAATTTGAAAAGATGATCCATTCTACACATTATTCCATTTATGTGCTATTGCTAACTTGTGATTAAATTAAAAATCAAATAAAGAAAAAAAAAAAAAAAAAAAATCAATTTTGAGAAGGTGTGGTACTCTTGTTATCTTCAAAATTATCATAGTTTATTTAACTTTTTTATTTCTTTCTTCCACTTTGGATACTACATATGGTGTGTTCACGAATTTGTAAATTGTATGGATTACTAAAACGCTCGTAAGTATTATCTGCATGATGGAAGAGGTGGTGTGTCAGAGTGTTGGGTGATGGGACAGGAATGAATGTAATAATCACATCACGGTTTTTGAGACACCAACTTCTCCTCAATCTTTCTCCATTTCGAATGATCCACCTGTGCAGAAAAATGAACATATGCAAAACGTACCATAATGACAGAACAGATGAATCCTATGAAGGAAATGAAGTCTGTTTTGAATGCCTTTTCTATGATATAATTCATGTGCTTTTTTAGCTGGGTCCAAAGTCTACAAAATATAGTTCGATGAAAATAGGAAAAGGGACAAGTATATATGTATATGTATACATTCACTACAGCGTTGTATGGCTAGCTAAAAATATCTAAACTAATGCATTCATCATTTTAGCTACAATGTGATGTATTACATGATCGATTTGGTAAATGTTTCGGTCTTAGGTTTGATCCTTTCCTTCACAATATCTTCTGCGAAAAAAGGTTAGGAGATTAAAGAATTTGATGATTGGGCCCTTTAAGGACAGAACGAGATATGTTCTACTTCCTAATTCACTTTTTCTCCCATATTCTTCCATACCTAATATGTCATCCATGTGGTCTAGGTCGAAATATTCCTCGAAATAATATTCCTGCGAAGAAAAAAAAAAAAAAAAAAAAAAACATGTTAATGTCCAAACACATAATTCCACAAACAGAAACAGATACTTCTCGTGTAAAAAAGAAAAAAAAATAATCATGTTTTACACGTGGATGTTTGCTAAACACAATGATTTGGGGGTATTTCCTTGCGTCAGTGCCATACAGCTCTAGATTCTTTAGTAAGGAGAACAAAAGGAAAAAAAAAAAAAAAAAAAAAAATTCAAAGGGTGCCCATACGTATATTTTATATGTAAGCATGTTAGAGCAGTTGTCCTATTCTTCTACTTTATACATAACACCAACTGTTATACTACTATCTCATCATTGTAATTTTTTTTTTTTTTTTTTTACTTCTTCATAGTATTTCCCGTCTATGTGTGCAAAAATGAACTCTTCCAATTGTTTATGCCTTGAGAAAGGGGCGAAAGCAAAAAATCAAATTTGTTAGTAATGTTCCTTTATGTGAAGAAGATGGACATTATATATACACAAACTAGAATTAGCATTTTTTTGTCAAATTGAAGAAAAAATTAAGATGCTTTTTTACAATCTTTTTTTTTTTTTTACTTTTTAGCATAATGCGTAAATTTGGATAGGTGTTCATTAAACCCTTTTTCCATGTCCAGGAGAAGTAGTATTAAATTATTTCCTTTAAAGTGATGAATGTTAGTTGTGAACAAACTGTATTGTGTTTTATGACGGTATGTGCTGTTGCTCGATGTGAACAAATGTACAAATGTGTATGTCTGTCTTGTTTGTTCACGTTTACGTATATTTATTTTATTTTCTCTCTTTTTTCTATCGTATATATTTTTTGTTCATTTATATGCTTGAATTTATACCACTACTCCTTAAATTAAAGAATGTGTGATGGTCAACTTTACTAACTAAAGGAAATCTATTTTTATTTATAAAAGACTTCAACTGTTTTAAGTCCTGTAAATAATTTAGCGTAAAAGGGGAACGGTGGTAATTGATAATTTTTGTCTAAAAGGTGATGGGATACAAAAATTGAAACAAATTAAAAAAAGGGGTAAAAAAGGAGAAAATATGACGGTTTTCACCTTCAATTATACACATCTCTTTGTATCATTAAAGCCCAACGGAAACTTACAATTTCATTTAAGTTGTAGATGGCATGTTCATATTCCCCTTTCACGTGTAAATGGTTTTTCTCGATTTTTAACTTGGTACACAGTGCCTGGAGTGGGTGCGTAAAAAAAATAAAATAAAAACAGAAAAAAACACGTACATAAACACATGCATACACACATACATGAACATATACATACACACATACACGAATATATACATACACACATACACGAACATATACATACACACATACACGAACATATACATACACACATACATGAACATATACATACACACACATACGTGCATGCATAATAAATGTGTAAGTGTCAATGTCTATGTAAAAAAAAAAAAAAAATAGGTAAAACGAGTTCTTACACCAAATTTTTTACATTCATATTATCAAATTTTTGGTCTTTTCATTTAACCTCATTCTTGATGTTGATAAAATAGCACTCCTCCTTGTATAGCATTGCTGCCTTGATTAAATTGTCCTGCTCAAGTAAGAAAAAAAAAAGGGGGGTAAACAAAAAAAAAAAAAATAAAATAACGAAATAAAATGAAAAAAAGAATATTTAAACAAAAGCAAATTATTACTTGTTCATCTCATTAGTTCATTCACTACTATTCTTGTGTTAGCAATTTTTTTTTTTTTTTTTTTACGCTTAAATTTTCTGAACAAGTCAGAAAAAAGTTGTCCGATTCATACGGTTTTAATTCTTCCTCCGAATGTACATCAAAAAAGGCAGGACTAAGGTATATTTTCGAAAAAGGGATAAAAAATCGTATTAACAGTTCAGGTAATTTTATAGAATAAAAAAAAAAACGGCAAAAAATGTAAGCTTTTACAACGGGAGGAAAAATATATATATATATAAACAAAATGAAAAAGAAAGCAAATAAAAAGTAATTCCTCTGCGTTAGCTAAGTTTATAAGAAATGGTAGACAGTTAAGGAGATATCTTTTCTTTTTTTCTTTTACGTTGTAACATAGTATATCCACTTTTTTATAAAACTTTCATTGTTCATATTGCTTGAATAGGTTGAAACTAATTCACTTCCCTTAAACCTATGATGGTGAAATAAGAAGGATCAGGTGACACAAAGTGAAAATAAAATTAACAAGTGGACTAATAAACTCATGTGTAATGGGTCGGATAGAACAAAACAGCATTTATATGATGACCTATCCTTTCGACTTACAGTTTCAACTGAGGTATTTTTAAAACGCCATATTGATCACAAACGCGACGACCTTTCTTATCATCGCAATTAACCTGCATGGATAAATATCATTTTTGCACAATCATCATTGAGAGGTTGGTGGGGTTGGGTGGGGGTACAGCGGAAATATCTACATGATATTACCACTATCAACAACTACTTGTTTTTTTTTTTCTTTTTTTTCCTGCTTAGGTAATTATTTTTCCGTAATAATGATAAATCATTGAATTCATATTGTACTTACTTCTCCAAAGTATACTTTTTTTTTATCATCATTTTGTATCTCAAGTTTTACATTTATTATCGTGTTCCATATGCGTTTGCAATGTACGCATTGTGGGGCATAACTTTATAAGTGTTAGCAAAGAGTGTGTAGGGGTGGGGGGAGGGTATGAAACGGGTATAGACGTGTATGCACATGAGAGAATACATAATACAAGACAGGAAAAAAAGAAGAAGAAGAAAAAAAAAAAAAGCTTGTATGTGAAAATAGAGAATGATATGGGATGAAATTGTGAAAGATACCCATAAGCATATATCATATCTGTTTGTATATACATGGTTTTTTTTTTTTTTTTTTTTTTTTTCATTGCCTTGCCTTACAATTTTACAAGCCAGTATTCATTTGTTTCGAAAGCAGATTGAATGTTATCAGAGTCAATTTTGAAAAGATCATGTTGCGGGTAGGAATGCATACAACTTATGTTAGGTAAAAAGAAAATTAGGAAAAAACTGAGGAGAAGCATATTCTTTGTCATTTTTCCTATAGGCTCATAGTATTGAAATTTCACTACGACGATATGTTAATGTGTTGAGATTCTTTATGAATTCCTGTTTTCTTTTTAAGAGCTAGTTTGGTATAAACATAAATAATTAGCATAAATCATAGGGGAATACAGTACTGCAAAGAAGGAATGTAAACTTCTTATCTTCTTCATTAAACACGAGATAAGCTGTTTGTTCTATGTGTAGTTATTAGGCACAGATTTGCGCATTTAGGAAAATGTTCATATAACTGAATTGTTTTTTTTTTTTTTTTTTTTTTTGGTTCAGATTTTGCCTTGCCAGAATAAAGTGTACATATATAAAACGATAATATATATATATATAATGGGATGTTTAGCTGAGTATGCTAAGTAGGTAAGAAAGGATAAGCATAAACATGTTTATGCATGTATGTTTGTGTAAAAATAAAGCAATACGAGGGACGGTATTCCAAAATGAAACACTGTGTATGGTAAACAGAAATTGGACATGAAAAAAAAAAAAAAAAAAAAAAAAAAAATGCGCGCTACTGTTATAAACTGTAAAGCATACAAATAAAAAATTAAAGGATCATGCGGAGGCTAATTCTTGTATATATGCCCTTTTTTTTAAATTATAAATTCGAGGTTAGAGAATTTATTTTTTTTTTTTTTTTATGTTCATACTGTACTACTCAATTCCGTAATGTATCATTCTACATGTTCATTTATTCCTTTACTCTTTTTTTTACTATAAATTAATATTATTTAAAAATCGATACAAGGATCCCCGTTCCTGTAAGCATAAAATGTTTCCATCACCTTTAATCTCATCCTTCAAGTTCGCACTAACGATTTTGTACTTGAGCATATATTTAATGGTGTTCTGTAAAAGGAAAAAAAAAAAAAAAAAAAAAAAAAAAAAAAAAGGATAAAAAAAATTCACAAAAATATATGAATACTAAAACAAATTATATGGATACATATATATAGCATCGGTTTTGTTTGCGTTCGAGAAGATGGACGGATTTTCAAATTGGGAAAAATAAAAAATAAAAAACTTCAAAATAACTTTGCATTTGTAATACACAACTGTATCGGATTGGCAACTATGTGTGTGTAAATACAATCATGTCTTCCACGGCTAGATCTATTTTTCTCAGTTCATTCTTTGGTTATATATAGCTCATGTGTATAGGGTGGCAAATAACGTGGGACGTATGGCAAGGTAATTTCCATTTAGGTACACGTGCACTACATTGAGGTGTATATGAACACACATTCATGCCTACGTACATGCATATGTACATACGTAGATATAGAAACTTATTCGCACCTTTAAGTTGATATGAAAGATACGAAAAATAAATTGATCCCCATTGGCCAAATACACATAATCATTAATGTTGCAAAAGAGCTTGTCATATATATTTTTAAAAATGCGTAAGTTGAATTTCAGGTGTCTCTTTTGTCTACACCATAACACTTTGTTTTTGTCTAAGGGGTCTATTATTCCTACTACCTGCGAATAGAAAAAAAAAAATTGAGGAGATGAATGGAACTTATATAAAACGGATCAGATTAAGCAAATGCTACACTGTAATTCTCCATGAGTGTAAAAAAAAAAATCATTCTCAGTTTTTTCTTGATATGTTCCTTAACACAACATTGTGTAGCATTGCGTCTTGATACACTTCATTCAGATTTGCATATCTTTTATATCTCTTCCACTTCACGTACTGCATATTTAAAGTGGTTCCTATTTTCTATGCTACTAGATAATGCATACGATCCGAACTGCAACACGTTGCATATTTTTCTGCCCCAAGCAAATCGATCACTGTACCACAAAAATGGAAATACAGTAATTAGGAGTACCCGTATCCACATCATGAATGAACTTCAGTAATAACACGGGTACTGTTTTTTTTTTTTTTTGTATCTCTTATGGCTTTCTACTCTGTTCCCCTACATAATATGGCTATTTCTGAATCCAATGTATAAACGATTTTTGCTACTGTACAAAAAAAAAACCTATGTATATGTTGATACCCTTTAAATTTTGCACCTTTGGAAGAACCCTCCCCCCATCCCCCTTTTATATGTGGAATGTGCATATATGTATAATAATATGTATATTTATACACGTAAGCATTTCCCCCCCCCTTCATGTGCTGTTTATACTTGGGGGGGGAGAGGGGGGTAAACACAAGATGAGCTATTCACAGGTGGAACCTTATTACCCATGGTTAAACACATTCAAATATGTAGGAATAAGTATAATCTTACATGAATAAATTTTATAAGTAGTGAAAGAATTTTTTTTTTTTTTTTTTTTTGTTCTATTTTTTTGCCTTATCTGATGGGATTATTGGAGTCTTTTTTTTTTTTTTTTTTTTTTTTTTCTTGTAACCTTTTTTTTTTTTTTCCCCCTTCAGCTTAAAAAGCTGCATCCGTGTAATCGATTATCTATTTAACATTTCTGTATAACTTTAGTTCAATTATGTGGTAGGTTTCTCTTCGTTAATGTTTCCAAATTTTATTATTTTTGATGATGTTACTACTACCTGTACAATTGTAGAACAAGGCATAATCCTATGGAGTTAAAAATCATACTTTGCAACCAACCCTTCTCTCTTCATGTATTCAAAAGATGAAATATTTTTTGAATGTCACCATATAGGGTTTGGGTTATTTCTCACTTTTCTACTATTTTATATAAATGCGTGTGAATTCGGCTTTCATATAATTGGGTTTCACTTGGAGCGTTTCATTTTATTACCCCATTTCTACGTGCATATATATATATATATATATATACATAAACATATATATGCACAACTTTTCGCAGGTGAAAAAAAAAAAAAAAAAAATTTGTATCCGGAGTTGGCAAGGTTTACTACGATACTGGTGTTTTTCTAGGAATAAAATATGCAAACAAACCTTGGTACAAATTCAACCGCTAGTTCGCTTCCCCTTCAGTTTACTTCTCCTCTTTAGTTCGTTCGTTTTTTCGTTTTTTTTTTTTTTTTTTTTTTTTTTTTTTTTTTTTGCGCACTGTTGTCAGTACTTAACAAAAATGGATCGATTAGCTGATGCACAAGGAAAAATACCCCAGGGAGGAAACTTGAGCTGCTAACATAACATTCTTACAAATAGTTGAGATATAAAAAAAAAAAAAATCCCCATTTAAAAATTTCAAATGGATATTACATACCCTACGTACGGTTATGTGATGTTATAACGTTTAAAAGGTTTACATCCTATGAGGAATGCAAAAGGGAATATCAAAACTGAACGAGGAATAAAATAACCAAAGGAGAGAGAAAGAGGGATATTATTCACAAGGACGTATTACAAAATTTCGAAATGGGGAAATTCCTACGCCATTTCGGTACCATCAAAATTTATACGAAGAAACGTAAAATGTAATTTGTGTAAAAATGTATAAAGTGAATGAACAAAATGAAGAAACATAAAGTTCCATGCAAGAAGTTCTATCGACAAAGAGCTCATTGCAATCCTCTTTCGGACAGCTATATAAGGTATCCAGTGAACTGTAGTTACGTGAATTGGTGTGTTCATTATCCACAACTAAGTACACGGGAGCACGAAGACGATGGTTCACTATCTCTTTGCGATGCACAAGTGGAACCGATAGTCAGGGAAGAGGGAAGTATTCAGTTGAACACAAATAAGTACCCAATCTGTTATGACAAAATTGTGCCTAAAAATAACTTTCTTGGAGAAGTAAGCATCTTAGACATAGGATGTGGATACGGAGGGTTGCTATTCTCCCTAAGTAAAATTTTTTATGATAAATTAATATTAGGTATGGAAATACGAGACAAAATAACCAATTATGTAGGTGAAAAAATAAATTCGTATAGAAAAAATTATAGTCCTCATTATAAAAACATTTCTGTGATCCGAACAAATGCTATGAAATTTTTGCCAAATTATATAAGTAAAAATCAAATTGAGAAAATATTTTTTTGTTTTCCTGACCCACATTTTAAAAAACAAAATTGGAGAAGAAGAATAATTACGATAGAAAATTTATCTTTATATTATTATATATTAAAAAAAAATGGCCTAATTTATTTTATTACTGATGTGTATACATTATACTTATGGGTCAAATTCTGTTTTAGCAAGTATCCCAACTTTTATCTGCTAACTTTGGAAGAATGCAAAAATGATATTTGTGTGCAGTTAATACATGAAAGTTCAGAAGAGTCAAAACGAGTAAAAAAAAATAAACAAGCCATGTATTTTTGCGTTGCGCGAAAGATGTAGTTTCGTTAGGTATATATTCTGACATGAAGCGGAAAGATCTTTTTAAAGAAAAAAAAAAAAAAAAAAAAAAAAAAAAAAGTGTCAATAAAAAAAAAAGATTTTTTTTTTTTTTTTTTTTAAAAAAAAGGAAAAAATTTTTTAAAAAAAAAAAAAAAAAAAAAAAAAAAAAAAAAAAGGTGTCAATGAAACACTGTCTTTTTTTTTTTTTTTTTTATCCCTCCATGTGTAATATAAAGCACAGGAATAGGAATATGTCCACAATTAGCAAAACATTTTCCTTTTATTTTTACCTCCAATTGCACATATTCCTACTTTTTCGTGAAATATAGCAACATGACACATTTTTAAATTCAGAAGTAGACATGCAAAAAGGATAAAACAAATATAACCTTTGATGTTTTGTTAACAGAAAAAATGGAAAATTTTTTTTTTTTTTTTTTTTTTTTACGCAGTTGGTAAAAATTGCGGAGGGGTGTAGTGACACATACCCCACCCCCTTCTTATCACAAAATATCTCATAGGTTTTATATTTCACGATTTTTTTTTTTTTTATTTAGTACTCGTTTTAAAATAGTAACCAGGTTTAGAGGTCCAAAAGTTGTAAAGAATAGGGACCATAAAAAAAAAAAAAAAGGAAAAAAAATAATCATTACATACAAATTATTATGGGACAAATATAAATGAACAACAAAGAAGAAAAGTGTTAACAGAGGTTATACTGTTATTTTCGCATGTGCAATGCATGATGGTATGGGTGTATAAATACAAACACAAGGAAAAAAATAAAATAAATTAAAACAAAATAGAACAATAACTGGTCAGGAGGAAAAACCCATATAAAAGGGAATGAAAAAATAGAGCAATTTTCAGGAGAAAAACTTTTCTCATTTTTTTTTTTTTTTTTTTTTTGGGAGGGGGAAGGAGCACTAAATTAAATCACTCGTAATAAAAAATAAGTTATGGGCGAAATGAGACAATATTTTTTCAGGAAGAATAGAAACAAAAAAAAAAAAAAAAAAAAATAAAATAAAATAAAAAAATAAGACAAGTTCCACCTTTCTTGTTCCCCCATGTATGAGGCGCGCATACAATCCATATAAAGGTTTATATATTTATGTATGTACAAAATCTGACTTATTTTTAACGTAAAAAAAGATAAATAAAAATAAAATAAAGTAAAATAAAATGAAATAATAAAAAAAAAGGGGGGGAGGGTTTGAATTTTTAGAACATTTCTTGATCATAACTGCTCGTGCAAATTTTGAAAGTATCTCGATGAATTCACTATTTCCATGTCATAAGTGCATTCTTACGAAATTGCATAACCAAAAAAGAATCTAGATGACTTCTAATGAGCCCTATGCTGATCCTTGCGTAAGGGATATAACGCTTGCTTATGGGGATCCTTATGAATTATACCGCATAAAGTACAATCAGAGTATAGGCCATTATTTGACGATTGAATGTCTTCTTTTCCTACGTAGTGGAAAGGGGTTTCTCGGATATGTGTATATGTAGAAATGTCGTGCATGTATATATGTCGTACATGTATATATGTCGTACATGTATATATGTCGTACATGTATATATGTCGTACATGTATATATGTCGTACATGTATATATGTCTTATATGTATTGTCATAGGGAGAAAAGTCGCTCCCTCCTCCCACGAGATAACGTATGTGCTTATAAAAGCATGTAAATTTGTGAGATATACCCCCACTCGGACGAACGGATGCACGAATATTGTGTAGTAACAAAAATGCAGTTACCTATTTTATCACAAGGCATGGATCGAAGAGGATGCTTTCCTGGGCTAACACCTTTGTGAGAATAGCAAGATCTCATTTTGAAAAAGTTAAAGGATTGAAATTAGTTAAAAGGGGGTGGGGGAGGGGGGAGGGATATAAGGAAAAAAAGTTGTTGCTCGTATTATGGTTAATATTTCAAGAAGTTTTATGTTTATGTCAGCGTGTAGTATAAAATGAAAAATAAAACGAATTAAAAAATTGTTAATTGGATAAATAAGTGGACAAAAATATATCATAAGATGTTGGAAATATTTCTTCTTAATTGATTTTTAATTGGTTAATTTTATTTTATTATTTTTTTTATTGAATATATTTTTTTATTAAACTGAAAATATAAGAAAAAAAAAAAAAAAAAAAATTTAGCATTTAATACATTTTACACATTAAACGTATCGAACAAAAAATGACCTGAACATTAAGACGAATTGGAATTTTTTTTTTTTTTTTTTTTTTTTTTTTTTTTTTTTGCGCATGTGAATATACTATCATGTGTCTATATGGCAAGGCAAAATGTGCCTACAATCATTATTGCATTTATTAACTAGTATTACATATATCACTTCATTTTTGTTTTGTCCTGTTTTTTCCTGTTTTTTCCTGTTTTGTTGTTTAGCTTACCGTCTTATTTTCTGCATATTTTCTGGTAGGCAGCTTATGGCTCTTTAGCTACCCACTCTCCATAACTAGCGTATGGCTAGCGAGTTTTTTTTTTTTTTTTTTTTTTTTTTTCGCGCGCAAAATGAAAAATAGGCATGTGCATGCGCAAGTCGATTCATGTACATAAGTGTGTAAATAAATGAAGAAACGTATATATATATATATATATATATATATATATATATATATATATTTATATATATATACACACATACATGCATATATGTCTATACGTGTGTATATGTATATATCTATTTCCTTACGTACACACGGGGGAGGACGCTTACTTACAACCCCAAATATTTTGTTGACAATTTTGAAAATTAGAAAGCACGAACGTCATATTTTTCTCACCAATAAAAGGTTTACGCAACCTTCGTACTTGGCCGTATGTATCTCCACTACCCCCCACCCCACCCCCTATGTTCCACTCGTCTAAACTAATTAACATTTTTGCATTATTATATTTTGACATGTGTTTCGAAAGACCCCCAGGAATGTAACAAGAACATATCTGTTCTATAGCCAAACACACAGGCTTGCTTTATTTGGGGATGACATGCGCGCTTTAACTAAAATTTTGAGAAATCACGCAAATATGCATGTATAAGTATGAAAGTGCTTGAATCGGGCAAATTGTGAGCATAAAATTTTTTCCTGAGTAAACCATTATGTTTTACTCCCAAAACACACAAAAATCCAATTGCTTCTTCTAATCGGACATTAAAGGAAAATTCAACAAATGAAACTTTCTCAGTCTGTATTAGCATATGTCTATATAACCTATTTCAGTATACATACAGGTGCATGTAAAAAAGTGTTTTAGACAATTTTTTTTACGTATAACATTTAATTAGTTAAGAGCGAGGAAGAAAAACTGAGAAGGATGTATATTTTTCTCTTCCATGGATGACATGAATATAAAAGGAAATTTCCAAAAAAGAAAAAGTAAAATTTTAATTTATTCTCTCCACTTTTTAAAGTGTAACAACTGGAATGCTACAGTATAATTTCTGTTTACAGATGACAGAAACTTTGGAAACTCATTATTCCAATATGACTTTTGTTAAATCAAGATAAGCTTTGGAGATGAACAAAAAAGAAAAAAAAATAAAGAAAATTATGCATGTTCAAAAAAATAAAAAATAAAATAAAATAATTCCTACACATGTTTAAAAAAAAAAAAAAAAAAGGTAATGAAGAAACACAGGAGAACGATTCTTCAGCTTGTTAAACACTTCATCAACTCTAAGAGTGACAATAGCCTCTTCCCCTATGGGATAGGTATAAAAATGACACACACACTATGGAACTTCAGCATGTATAAACACGTAGGTATAAACAACTCTTTATATATATCCATCCCGTGGCTCCATAAAATATATACTCTCGTTCCTATAACTATTAAAAGGAACTCTATGCGAACGCATGAATATTTGGCAAGTCTTATCATAAAGAGACAAAAAAAAAAAAAAACAGATTACACCTTTGTGCTATATGGCTCCTATTGGTAGTACCTTTTTTTTTTTTTTTTTTTTTTATTTTTTATACGGTGTATTTTCGTTCACAGATAAGAAGAGTGGGTAAAAGTGAGTAAGTGGAGAAATACCCAATGCATTGTTGTCTCATAGATTAGGATACCATTTCACATTTAATCACATATGTTTCTAGCAGCATGACACACTATCGATTCATTTTTTCACACACGTTTAACAAATGGTAATATGTTCCCTATATTACTACATATTTTTATACATCCTAGAAGGTTAAAAACATATGAATTCATAAAAAATTGGGCTGTTTCTAACCAAAAGGGCACTGAGTGAAAATCCTAATTTTTGTGTGCATCCTTTTTTGCCTGAACAAGTAATATCTTAAAGGGGAGGGGGAGACTCTGCTTATTTATAATTTTCCTTATTCATGTAATATACAGAATGTTATATACTTTTCATTAAAATAATAAAAATAAATTAAATGATAATATTCCATATACCAATTAGGTACTGTTTTACTAAGCATTCCACACCGTTGTTTAAGTATGTGTCGAAATAACTCTCTCAGTGGAATACACATCTGAAAGTTTTGTGATAGATTCTATTTAAGTGTTTCCTTTCACGAAATATATACGATATAAACACCTGGCAAAAAAATGAAATAATAAAATAAATAATTCCTATACATGTTCATAAAAAAAAAAAAAAAAAAAAAAGAAACCCTTGTTAAAATTGTTTACACATGGAAATCTTGCGAGCCTCTTCCCTATCAAAATTGAACTCGGTTCAAGTAAAATTATATATCCCTTTTTAAGGTATCATATAATAGAAGAAAAGAAGTATAAAAAAATAAAATAAAAAATAAATAATAAAATAAATCACCTTTTGTGAATAAAAATTCCATCCTCAAAGAAGAAAGAACTTTTATTTTTCTAAAAACACATAGTTGAATGAAAGATTCATTAAAAGTGAAAACATACACACACACATATATATACAAAAAAAAAAAAAAAAAAAAAAAAAAAAAAATTCTTATATCCCTCCCCAATTACATATTCTCAAATTTACGTGTATCAAGAAAAACCTCATCATTTTATTCATAACATTCACATGTTATTCTCAGTTTTGAATGTATAGGATAGGGAATTATTCACTGAATTGTTTGTTTAACTATTGTCATTTTAGAGACACCTCTAGCCAGATTAGGTAAATTACGTATATGTAACTTATTTAATATTAACCAATACTCAACAGCAGAAAGGAGGAGTGTTCATATACAACCACTTATTTATCATCACTACGTAAGAGGAATAAAAAAGAGAAAAAAAAAAAAATGCATCTAAAAATTATGTGCTTAAATGATGAAGTCAGGCAAATGTATAAAAACCACAAGACACATCATGAAGGAGATAGTGGTTTGGATTTATTCATAATCAAAGATGAAGTATTGAAACCGAGGTGTACTACTTTTGTAAAACTTGGAATCAAAGCAATAGCTCTTCAATATAAATATAGGTATTACAACAAATTCGACCAGAAAAGTACTAATGATTGCATGAACATTGAAGATGACAATGCAAATAAAGGGAATAGTAATGAGCACAACTCTGATATCGTGAATACAAGTTTCCTTTTATTTCCTCGTAGCAGTATATCTAAAACCCCACTACGATTAGCTAATTCTATAGGTTTGATAGATGCAGGATATAGAGGTGAAATTATTGCAGCTCTTGATAATACAAGTAATGAAGAATATGTTATTAAGAAAAATGATAAACTAGTTCAGCTAGTTTCCTTTACAGGAGAACCAATTTCATTCGAGTTAGTAGATGAACTCGATGAAACATCCAGAGGGGAGGGTGGCTTTGGTTCAACTTCCAACAAGAAATAAACACCTTATAACCCACACCTACGGCCTACACCACATCGCCTCAATTCGGAAATTTCATACCTCCATCCATACAGTACATGCTTACATATATATATATATGCACACTCCATAATTTTTATTTCCTATATATGTGTAACTTATTTTTCTAGTGAAGAACATTCCAAATTTTTGTCAACTAAAAGGAGAAAAAAAAAAAAAAAAAAAAAAAAAAAATACGACGTCACATGGTAAATTAGCAATTTTTTTCCACCAGATCTTCGTAAATGTTAAATAGGAAATACATCAAAAAGGAGAAACAGAAAAAAAAAATAGATCGACAGGTGGATGGACGAACAGTTGTGTGTGGATGGGCCATCGTGCTTATAGGTAGATGAAAAAAAAAAATAAACAACCCAATACAGCTAACAGAAAAATTGAAAAAACGCATTAACAGTCATAAAAAAGTTTGCTTATCAACTCGTTCACGCAAACTCTATATTTGGAAAAAAAAAAAATTATGATTGTTTTAAACAAAAGGGGATGTTGTTGTGGGATGGTGATGGTGGTACATCATGAGATGATGCCTCACTGTGGTCATTTTTTATCTTCCATGTGTTAAAAGATGAATCACCTGGGTCATTTTTGAGAGAATATTTAGCCATATTTTGTGTTTTCCTTTTTTTTTTTTTTTTTTTTTTTTTTAATTGGTTAGCATTAATTCAACATACTATGCATAATTGTATTGATCGTGATCGAGATCACTGTAAATGTTTGTAAAGGGAATATACGAAGAAATTCTGATTTATTTCGATAAAAAAAAAAAAAAAAAAAAAAAAAAAAAGTGTACATAATATATGCATATATATATATATATACATACATGGGAATCGATGTTGCAGTTCCTTTTCGTGTAAGTTCTCTCATTCAATTTCACTGCAATACATTACATGTTCCAGCTGAGGATTGGTATTTAGAATTTGGTACAAGATAATTTCTTTGTGGTGTCAGCAGCTGTGAAGTTTGCAAGGGTTTTTTTTTTGCATATTGCAGATCGAATAAATAATATGAAATGTTACTACTACCTAACAATGTATTACTCTGGAGGATAATCATTGCGGAAATTTTTTTTTTTTTTTTTTTTTTTTCATTCTTTTCTTTCTGTGGTGGTGCTTATACGTGCATGAACGAGACACTCATCCTTGAGGTTCTTTTAAAAATCCTCATGCTGTATATTTAAAAGCCTTCCACCATCATGTCTTTTCATATTGCTATGGAAAAGAGTTGCACAACACAGCAGTTATATTTGTGTACATATGTAACCTGATCGTCCAAATGTATAAATATTGATCTGGAGAACATGTGGTGTAGCATGTGCATAATAACCCACTAGAATCCTACACTTACTACATGTAGCACGAATTTGACACAACTTGGCAAACTGCTGATGTGGCTTCGACTATTCCGTTTTGGTTTATCAAACATGCGACATGCAGAGGCAAGATCATTCAACACGCAACCATACAATGTGCAGTTATACAATATGCAACCATGCAATGTGCAGTTATACAATATGCAACCATACAATATGAACTCAGGCAATTGCTTATTCTTTTCATTTCCCTTATATGTTACCCAATCAGTAATTTTATTTCACCCCTTTTCGAATGGACTGAGAAAAACGAACAAGTTTTACTTTTTCGCTTAACACAACATTACTTTAGTTCATTCATGCATCTATTCATTTTTTTATTTCTATTCACGAAATTGTGGCTTAATTAAGAACAACGTGGGTAGTGGCGTGGTGCGTGTAATTTGTGCATTTCCTAATTAACCAACTCTCCAACAGTTCTGCCACATATATATATATATATATATACATATATATTTATTTATATATACATATATATTTATTTATATTTACATACACTCATGAAGTGTATAAAAAAGAAAGGAAAAAGCACAGGTAGTGGGATCTAGCAACCATTCAAAAAATGAGGGTAAAAATAAATAGGCCTCATATAAAAATAGGTTCGCAGTGTAAGCCTAATTAAATAAGCTACATAAATGGGAGAAACAAAAAAAAAAAAAATAAAATAAAATAAATAAATAATAATACTAAAATAATATAGCAACGAAATAAAAAAATAATAAAGCAATAATATATATATGTGGGGAAAAAAAAAAAAAAAACCTATGAAGTGGAGAGGGGGGGGCACATGCTTTTTTTTTTTTTTTTTTTTTTTTTTTTTTTTTTTTTTTTTTTTTTTTTTTTTTTTTTTTTTTTTTTTTTTTTTATATTTATTTATATTTATTTATTTTATTTTTTTTTTTTAAACTTTTACGACTGATTCTTCTTTTGCAATTTGCACTTGTTGTGATTTTCCTTTTTCTCTCCTTTTTTTCTTTTTCTTTTTTTCTCTTTCAATTTTTCTCCTTTTTCTTTCGTATTAGCACTTTTTTATTTTTGAGATTTTGTTTTTCGCCCTTTTGTTAGCAGTTTGAACAAGTAAAAAATATCTTAATTGTTTTCATTTCATTATATAGAAATTAAGAGAGAAAAAAAAAAAAAAAAAAACTAAACCAGTGGAAAAAGTGAAAACTCGAAAACGTGAAAACTCGAAAACGTGAAAACACGAAAACGTGAAAACACGAAAACGTGAAAACTCGAAAACGTGAAAATTCGAAAACGTAAGAAAGGCACCTCAAATTGAACACATGAAAAAAGGTGAAAATCAAATCGAACAGGTGAAAAGGGGCCGAAACAAACCGAACAAGTGAAAAGGAATAATTAAATCGAACAAGTCAAAAAGTAAAAGATGAAGTTACTGATCTCTGCTTTTAGAATTTTATAAGAACTACATCCATAAGCAAAAAAAAAAAAAAAAAAAAAAAAGTTTATTAAATAATAAAAATCTAGAAAAATTATATAATAGGAAAACAGTAAATTTAGCAACAGGTATTCCCCACTTTGAAAGAGCCAAATTTGCGAACTTCAGTAAAAGGAACAAAAATTAAAAAGTGTGATTTAAGAAAATACATAGAAAATAAAAGGTACATTATAGAAAATAAAAGGGACATTATAGAAAATAGAAGCTACGTTATAGAAAAAAAAACTACGTTATAGAACATAACATAGAAGATTTTGTGAATAAACTCCCAGACCCGTAGACCCCAGTTTTTACTTTAATTTTTAATAAAAAAAAAAATAAACGAACAAAAAAATAAAATATGTGGAACCAACTGCAGGATACTGATAATACGGACTCTGCCAACAACAATGGTAAAATACAAAAAATAAAAACTATCGAAAGAGAACAAAATGTGACAAGGGAAAAAAGGTTCTTGTAAAACGAAAATCCTTTTCCACACTTGTATATATATGCACTTGTATAAAAAGATAAAACGCTCATCCGAATATTCTTTAGAGAAGGGGAAATCAATCGAGGGGCAGGTTTTGCTCAGTTCGAAGACAGCCCGTTGTTTTTTGTCTTTGCAAAGCATGTGCAGAACACAATTTGGATTTATTTGTCCCCATCATATTTGCATATTTTCATCATATATTTTTCTATTCACGCTTTTTTTTACCGAATGCAGGCAATGGATTTGTTAAGCAATTCAGAAAATATAAAAGCTTCATATACATATTACTTATAATTCTCGTAATTTTTGGAATATATATTTCCTACTATGAGTTAAATGATAAACGTAAGTCTTAACCGGGAGAGTCTGCATTTTTGTTACTAAAAAATAAGGAAAAACTTAGTACACAAATATAGAAAAAAAAAAATAAAATAAAGCAGAATAACACAGAGTATAATAAAACGGAATAAAATGAAAATAAATGAATAAAAAAGATGCTAATCGATCAGTTCAAATTGGGGAAATTTTTAACAAGTGTGTATTCTCCTCACGTATATAAATTTACACAAAATTATAGAAAAAATTACACAAATTTATTGTAATTTTTTTTTTCATTTTTCATGTACCCTTTGCAGAGGTAGACTTTGAGTTGGACTGTAATGACTTGAACGAAAAATGCTTGACGTACAAGTACCCTGAATTTAAGCGTAAGGATTTATGTCCCTATGTAAATGAGACGTTCGATTAGATTATGAATTTTTTTTGCTTTTTTTCATGCTTATGCTGTTTTGTGGGTGGAATTACACATGTGTATATACATGTATATACATGTACATGCACGCATATATACATGTGGAGATACATGTACATATATATACACGTCTCACATGCACGTTTCGTACATGTTTGTATTTATATCTTTCCCCACCTGAACATATTCATAACTTTTTTTCCTTCGTTCTTTCCTCCAATCACCTTTACAGCCCATCGAATGATCATTGTTGATGTAAACCATGAGAACAACAATGTATTGTTAAGGAGCAATGCTCCTCTATTCAATGGTAATTCCGAAAACATAACTTGGATACGTTTATATTTACAACCAACATACATATGTATTTCTATACAAAATTTACCTGACTGTTCATAAATATGTACATGTGCATATGAAAAGGGAGTAATACCCCTCCCACCTACCCAATATTTTATATATGTGCATAAAATGTACATTCATCTGTGTATGCATATATATATATATATATGTATAAGCACATATACATACCTTTTTTTTTTTTTTTTTTTTTTCTTTCTCCTCACACAATTCCCATATATAGGAGTTTTTTCAGAAGATCAACTACGTAAACATATTAAAAATGTTATGGAAAATGCAAAATTAAAATACAGCGATGATATGCCTCTTCATATAATATCCTTTTTGAGAAATGACAGCAAGGTATAGTAGCAAATTTTTTTTTTTTTTTTTTTTTTTTTTTTTTCTTTAAATCATCATTTTGAAGTTTATGTGTATGTGTTTTTTTTATTTTATTTTACTCCTTTGCTGCATCGTTGATGTGTTTCAAATTTATGTCTTTTTGAGAAACTGTGGCATGAAGGCATGCATGAATTTCCATATGGCACGAAATATATGCATGCCCATTTTAACATCACACACATTTACACACGAATTTACGTATACACGCTTTTACCCCGATCACAGGAAGGATGTTCATATACGTCTGAAAGGTGCTATGCAAAGGATGCTACTATCATAAACCAAGTTATCCTAGGCCACTCAGAGGATCCCTATAACGTTGACATTAAGGTATGAACAGTTAGAAGAAAATAAAAATCAAAGCATTTTGTAGTGTAGGAGAAAAAGCTATTTTATTTTTACTTTATCATGTTTTATATATATATATATATATATATATATATATATATATATTTATTTATTTATTTATATATTTATTTATTTATTTATATATTTATTTATTTATTTAATTTTTTTTGCCCCCCTATTGCCACAAGTTGCATTTAGAATTGCATTTTGTATACTCTCACTCCTCGTTACAACTGAGAGTGCTTGTAACAAGAGATTTTTCTTATATTGTACATTTTTTTTTTTTTTTTACACACATTTAGACCCAAGAAAATGAACTTAAGAGCCTCAACTGGGATACAGACCAATTGATAAGTAGGATAAATGAACTGAGCGAAAAATTCCATAGTATGAAAAATACCATTTTTATTGTTCACTGTAGAAGAGGAAGAGATAGAACAGGAGAATATGTAGCTGCATACAGAATGATAGTTAAAAAACATGACTTTGGTACTGTTGTTAAGGCAAATGAAGAAATAGGAAAAGTAAAAACTCCTTATTTGAGGATGCAAAAATGGCTTTGCTTGTATTTAGAAAAGGTGATGGGATACACAGGAATGGGTTGCTTCGACTTCAGATGATCCAAGACTAGAAGTGGTGAACAAGTTGAAAAAAAAAGTATTGTGGCAAAAAATGCACCCTTTTGAGTATATGTCTGTTTTCTTTCATCCTCGCCCCCCGTTTTATGAACATTTGTTTTTATTATTTTATTTTTTTTACACATCTCGGAAGGAGTGACATGCATAAACAATGCCCTACATATATGTGGATAGATAGATATATATATGGATATACAGATATATAGATAGATAGACATGGATTTTGTGTCATATCGACGTTTATACTGAATTATTAATCGATGAGGACGAAGCCGATTAGGTTATATTTTTTTTACATGCACAAGGACCTCATAGGCATATTTACGTAAGGGGATATGGAAGAAGGGATGGGGAAAACGGGGAAAAGAGATATATACATACATACACATTGTGGTATGATATATATATATATGTATATGCATCCTATATTTGCAACGCACATTGTCTTCGGAAAAAGCTTTATCATCACACGCCCCTCCGTTCGTATAGGTGCAATATTTGTTTTCTAATATTTACAGTATGTCGTGCAATATATATATATATATATATATATATATATATGTATATATAAACATATATATATTTTTTTTTTCTTTTTTTGAATGATATATGCTACAATGGAATATGCCTTTTACTGATCTCATTATTTATTATCCTTTTTCTCATCTCCTACCCTTTTTATATACATAATTTCGATGTGATATTTTTTTTGAAATTAATCCATGGCGCGCTAATCCTTATTCCCTTATTTCATGTCTAAACCCCTAATACCGCAATCCTTCCCACAGTTGTTGCCTTTTTAATTCATGGATTTATCCATTCGTTCATTGTTGTATTCATGGATAAGTTTATTACTCCGTTCATTAGTCTGTTTATTAATTTATTCATTAGCTAGTTTATTCATTAGTCTGTTTATTAATTTATTCATTATCGAGTCTATTCATTAGTCTGTTTATTAATTTATTCAATATCAAGTCTATTCATTAGTCTGTTTATTAATCTATTAATTAACCTGCGTATCAATGTTTTGATTAACCTGCGTGTTAATCTGTTCATTAAACGTGTGCATTAAATATATTCGCTTATTTGCTTATTTTATTTTTCTATGCGATACATGATAATAACATTCCCCCTACCTTAAGCAAAAAAAAAAAAAGTGGCTTATATATGATGATAACCCTTATAGATGATTTGAAAAAAAAAAAAAAAAAGAAAAAAAAAGTATATTTACAAACGACCATGTGGAGAAAAGACACTTTTTAAAAATTTAGACGCACAATAAAATATGAATTATGCATTTATATTTATACACTCTCCCCTGTTTACCCATATTTATATTTTTCGTGCAGTTATGCATGAAGGGGAGGGTACATGTTAATAGATGAAAAAACATAAAATACGTCTTCATAGACTCGTCTGTATGCATGCGTGCATATCAGATTGTACGTTGGATATTCTTTTTTTAATTCTCCGCATACGCGAATGGGCTTCTTTCTTTTTTTACATTCCTCAAATAGGTTTAAGAGTTAATTATTTACATATTGTGTGCTGCTTTTGCATCCCTTAAAAGATTTATATATGTACATATATGTACATATACGTACGTACATATATATATATATATATATATATATTTAATTATTTATTCTTTTTTTTTCTCTTTTTTTTTTGCCCTTCTGCTGGTGCATGTAAAACATTGTACATTTGGATCTTGCTTTTCAGCATGCACACACAAATGGTCCTTGTAACACATGTACATGCAAATGTACACACTGATATGCATGCACATACACGTATCCATGTCGTTGCTGCAAATACGCAGATTTATATGATGTTAATTGAAGAAACGTGAAGCAAAAAAAAAAAAAAAAAAAAAAAAAAAAACTCTTGTTGAAAAGAAAAACAAACCGGAAATGAGTACCCTTTGTTGCTATTACATGCTAGTCACTTTTAACGTAAAAAAAAAAAAAATAAATCCTGTTTTTTTTTTTTTTTTCTTTTTTTTTGTCATTTTTATATTCCATCCCTTTAACGTACAGTGGATGGAATCGCCTTTTCGTTTCGGTTATTTTAGGGAGAAAGAGGCCGTTCGTCTCACTGTCATAAATACCACATATAAAATATGGCAAAGATGTTATTACACCTTAAAATGGTTACCTCCTTGAGAGAACGGGGTGTACAATATTTAACGAGAAATAAAATAATGATAAAAGTATTCCCCAAATGCCTTGTAACCAACTATATTATTATATAACACAACATAAAATAGAAAGAAAAAAAAAAAAAATTCGCATTGTCAGAAAAATAAAAAAATAAATAAATATACGTTCTAAAAAATAAGGAAAAACGAAATTGATCCAAAAATACATAATTCTTAATTTATTTTTTTTTTTATTTTGTTTTCTTGCAAAAAATGAAGGAACAATACTTGCTCCAATTTGTGAAGGAACAAAAATATCTCCAATTTTTGAAGGAACAATAAAATACGCGTGAATCCGTTTTTATTAAAGCCTTTTTTTTTTTTTTTTTTTTTCTCCTTGCTATTTTTGATTTTCCACATTTCTTCTCCATTCTAAACTTCCAACGTACAATTTCTTTATTGTGTTTTCTCTGCCCCATCCCTACCACCCACTTGGAACCTCTTTTCTTCTCTCCCTCGCAGTAGCATAGAAATAGATATGTCAGTGGTAAGACCAGAAAAAAATATCCTCTTTTTTTAAATATATCAAAGAAGGAGCCGAGCCCTCTGGGTGATGAGAGGACTATAATTTGGGCTTATATTTTAAAAAAATCATAAAGTCATATAAAGAGACAAAATTATATAGAGATTGAAAAAGAAACAACAACAACAACAACAAAAAAAAAAAAAAAAAAATCATTACAAAATATAATGATCCAATTTTACTATCCACACTCTTTCATTTTCCTCATCATTTTGTTATTCCATCAGGGAATAGCTCCTCTCAATCCTAAGCCCTTTTTGAATAGTCTGACAGGAAATCGAGTAATCATAAGACTCAAATGGGGAATGGAATACAAAGGTAAGTAAAGGTGCAAGTTGTAGAACAATTTTAAAAGTATAGAAAGTTTGCAATGATATCACTATTCATGGGTACATGTAACTGTTATGTATGTGCTTACATATATATCTTTACCGTGTCATGTTTGTTTAACTAATATATTCCTCTTAGAAGAACAGAAACTTTACAAGGAGCAAAAAGAATCTTCTCATTTGTTGCATATTCTCATATATCATATCTCCTATAGGAAATCTCAAATCATTTGATGCTTACATGAATATACGACTAGCCAATGCAGAAGAATGGATACATGGTGAATATAAAGGAACCTTAGGGGAAATATTCCTAAGGTAAAAAAAAAAAAAAAAAAAAAAAAAACTTACACTATACAGAAATACAAGGGAAGAACGAACTTCCCAATTTGTTTGTCACATTAGAACTTGTAAGAATACAATGCTAATACTCCCATTTGAATCTTGCAAATAATGTATACGCAGTTAAAACGTAGAGATGTATTTTTTTTTTTTTTTTCCCTCACCATCCACACTCCCCCAAGGTGTAACAACATTCTGTATATTCGAGAAGACAACGAGACGGAAAATGCAACAAAGTGAAAAAGAAAGTATATAAGTCTAGGACAATTTAATATGTTCTCATATGAATGTTCATGTAACATATATGTGAGGGATAGAACATTTCTCTGTCTTTTTTTTTTTTTTTTTTTTTTTTTTTTTTTTTGTTGTTGTTATTACAAAAATTAATCCTTAAATATATTGCAATTTTTTCGACATTTCCCGTCCTTTAATTAGTTCAAACCGCAAAACAATTTTAATTTTTTTTATTTTCTTCTTATTACATTTTAAAAAAAATAAAAAAAAAAAAAAAAAAAAAGACATGTGAAAGTGCAAGCAGCTTTTTTTTCCATATTCCTTAATAAATATTCCCATTTTTTATGTTTTCTCCCTACCACACAATCGCATGTGTTTAAATATTCTCTCCAGTATTCATAGACATATCGAGGTGGACACGCTCATTATGTTCATATACGACCATACATACAGTGCTGTGGAGAGCTGTGGAGAGCTGAGGAGTGCTAAGGACTGTGAGGGGTTAGGGGACTATGTCGAAGCGCAAAAAGGGTGATTTGTTCCTTCTCTATTTTGCTCATCCATCATTTGGTATTCACCACACATGCATAAAGACATACCCAATGTGTAGCATTTTTAGTAACTCTCTCCCCTTTTCTTGGAAGTTAAAGTTTTGCTTATTCTGATGAGGCATCATATATATATATATATATATATATATATATATACTTGCATATATGGGCATAATAAATATGTTAGTGCGAAAATGACGGGGAAAACTTAAAAAAAATGAAATAAATAAAAGGAATAAAAAATGTAAAAGGTGCAAAAATACTAACGCGAATAAAACGAGTAATGCGAGTAAAAAATGTCGTAATTACGTGGTGAAAATACACACGTGACAATATCATTCATCTACTTACGAGAAGGTAAATAAATGGAAAAACAAACTTCAATCATATATTAAGTGGTAGAAAATAAAAAAAAAAAAAAAAAAAAAATGGTAGTACAAATGTGAATGAAAATATAAAAACCATTTTTTCCCTTCAAAATGGGGTAAATAAAGTACAATCTCAGTAAGGTATGTAAAGTTAGGGTCAAAATGTAAAAATAATATTTTAACGGGTTATAAAAGCCTCATTGCTTTTTTTTTTTTTTCTTTTGTTTTGTTGTTGTTTCTGTTTATTCTTCAAAATGGTCATTCTATTTTTATTTATTACTATTTTGTTTTTGTTTCTATTGTATCATGGCAATTTGACCCCCCAGCTTTTCTATCATCCAGTGACGTGAGCTCAATTCAAAAAAAAAAAAAAAAAAAAAAATGGAAATGGAAGCTGAAATGGAAATTGAGCGTGTCCGTTCATTTTGGTGCGCAAGGAGCAGTATACACACACGTATTGAGGGGTCTTCTGGTATGAACGCATAGGTATAACTGCATTCACAACTGCATTCACAACTGCATTCACAACTGCATTCACAACTGCATTCACAACTGCGTTCACAACTGCATTCACAACTGCGTTCACAACTGCATTCACAACTGCATTCACAACTGCATTCACAACTGCATTCACAACTGCATTCACAACTGCATTCACAACTGCATTCACAACTGCATTCACAACTGCGTTCACAACTGCGTTCACAACTGCTTACACAACTGCTTGCACAACTGCTTACACAACTGCTTGCACAACTGCTTACACAACTGCTTGCACAACTGTGTGTATAACTGCACTTATTCGGGATGTTTCACATAAACATCTTCTCACCTCCAAGAAGGAGCCTTTCCCCATATGCGGATTAAAAAAAACAGTATGGCAAGAGTACGTGGGTCTAAAAAAGAATGCTTCAAACTACTGCACAGTTAGAACATGTGCTTGATAGGGTATAAGACGTGGATGAATGTCTGCCTCTCCTCATTCCCACTTCCCTTTTGTGTTTTTTCTCTTTGTCGTGTTTACTATCAAAATGTTTATTATTTTTTTCCCTTTTAGAAATATAGCTAATCGTACTTGTGCTATCCGCTGTTAATTCTCCAGGTGATCTACTTCTGCTACTTTGGCTATATTTTGAACTTTCATATGATCTTCTTTTTATCTGCCCGTCTTTTAATTGTTTCTTTTTATTAATTGACTTATTATTCATTCTGATTTTCATGGAACGATAGATTTTTTGCTTTTCATGGTATGTTTTTTCTGACAATTTTGATATTTGCTTTCGTTTTACATAACTTGTAATACCTTTACATTTTCCATCACTAATACTGGTGTCATCATCACTCGGACTCGTGTTATGGCTACTATTCCTTATCCTATATCTATTTCCATTTCTTCCAATAATGTGATTCTTTTCTCCATCTGAACATTCGATAAAATCATCACTAATACTTCTACTTGTATATGACATTTTGCATACACTGTAAAAATTATATTTTCTCTCTTCCCTTAGTTTTTTCTCCATTTCTTTCTTATTATCCTCATTTTCATTATTTCCATTTTGGCACTGTATCATACTTTTACTCTTTGAGTTTTTCTCTCCTTGCAAATTTTTTCTTATTTCAGTGTATCCCCTCCTGCTCCTCCCTTTCACATGATCACCTCCTTTCTTTAGTTCTCTTTTCGATTCTATTTCACTTATAATTTGTGTCTCCATTTGTCCATCTATTTGTTGTACCGTTTTATTCTCAATCTGCGCATCACTCGGGTTCATGCTGCCTCCTCGCGTGCCTCCTCTCTCACCACTGTGGCGTTTTATACTGCCACGTCTGCTGCCACTTCTACTCCCACTTCTATTCAAACTTCTATTCAAACTTCTACTCAAACTTCTACTCCCACTTGTGTCGAGAACTTTCTTATTATCCTCCATGGTGAAACTACCACCGGATGAGTCCTCATTAATTCTTTTCTTTTTCTTTTTCTTCTTCTTCTTCCCTTGATTTGTATATATTTCCATGCGTTTCCTTTTATACTCTTTCCTTATACTGCTGGAGCGTCCGGACGATAGGGAATAGTCTTTATGATGTTTATATGTTTTCATTTGGGACCCATTCTTCTTCTCATAGTGGATGCTATCAATATCTTCTATTTCATTTTTGTTAAGAGAATAATATTCAATGTAATCCTTTCTATTGGTTTTATTCTCCTTATCGATAACAGCATTGAAATCTGCCATCATCTTCACATTTATATTCTCTTCCTTTTTGGCCTTTCCACTTTTGCTATTCGAGGGAGGAAAATTGCTATTGCTTTGGTTATCTGCTTTGCTTTGGTTATATGCTTTGCTTTGGTTATCTACTTTGCTTTGGTTATCTACTTTGCTCGTCCTATCTTCTCTGCTTACATTTGTGGATAAATATATGAAATTCCTTTTATCCTCTTGTAACGTAGAACCTTCATCGGGATCACTGTAATTGTCACGTGGGTAATAAAAATAATCACTTTTTAAAGTCTCTTTTGCTTTGATCTTCCCATTGAGTGTCAGATGACTTGTTGCACATCCCTCTTCATCTTGACACGTCTTACTTTCATTTCTGCCAATTCTATCACTGCATTGATTGCCATTATTGCCACAATTAGCACCATTTGTACTATCACTACATTGGCCTCCAGCATTACTCCCATCATTGCCATACTGGCCATGCTGGTCATGTTGGCCATCCTTGCGAAGTGATCCTTGTCCAAGTGATGATCCATTGTTTTCTTCTCTTTCGTCTCCTCCCTCATCTTCAGACTCATCAATGTATTTTTCCCCGCTTGAACTACTACTATAACTTAAAGATTTAATTTTTTTTCTTTTTTTTTTTTTTTTTTTTTTTTTTTTTCTTTTCTTTTCTTCGTCGTCCGAATCACTTGGCGTGTTATGTTTACGCTTGTACCTATGCGAAGGGGCTTCTTCTTCTGTGCTTGTATGTGACATCTTTATGTTTGAGTTATTTTTGCTGTTTCGATCACTAGATCTTTTTCTGGTTTTACTGGGATTTTTACTTGACTTGTATTTTTTTAGCGATTTCATAGACCCCTCATTTTCTCGCTTTTCACTTCGTTCGTATGATTGTCTCTCATCATGAGAATCGCGAAAGTCTTGAGATTCCTCCTCCTGACCTTGCTTCTCATCCTGATCTGGCTGTTCTTCCCCCTGGATGGAATAACTTCTTCTCCTTTCTGAGTAATTTTCTAATTCCTTTTTCTCAATTTTCCTCCTTCTGATTGAAGATAAACTTTTACTGGAATGTCTGTGTTTACCCTTGCTCTGATTCTTGTGAATTTCTTTTGTATCGGTTCCTTCGTGGGGAACTGTGCTCTTGCTTCTAAAGACACTTCTGCTAGGGCTCCTTCTGCTATCACTCATACTACTAACATTTTTGCTACTAACGCTTCTACTGATTCCATTTCTTTTTCTTTTACTAGAATCCAAATTTATGCTCTTTTTTTTACTCTCTTTTATCTTTTTCTTCTTAGTCCTTCTTTTCCCGTTATCATACCTGCTATCTCCACTACTATGGCTTGATCTTGAATGCGTACGTTTGTGGGTTCTGCTTCTACTTGTGTTGGTGTGGCTGCTCGTGGTTCTGCTCACGCTGCTTCTACTTCTGCTACTTCTACCTCTGCTACTTCTACCTCTGCTACTTCTACCTCTGCTACTTCTACCTCTGCTACTTCTACCTCTGCTGCTTTCCCTGCTGTATGATGAACGATACAAAGAAGAGGAGCTGTAGGTAGACACGCTTCCTGAATATTTTTTACTATTTTTATGTTTTTTTTCCATTTTTTTTCTTTTGCTCCTTTTTTCCTTTTTACTAATCCTGTATGTACTGACACTCTTACTTCTGTCATATTTGCGCCTATCCCCTTCATTCGACCTATGTCTACTACTTCTATAAATTCTTCTTTTTCGATTATTACTTTCATATGGATCCTTTTTTCTATATTTGGCTTCCTTTGCCTTATGCTGGTACATTTTCATGGTATCTGGAGATTTTCTTCTATTCTGTGCAATAATAATTTTAATTTCCTTTCCATCTATTTTTGAATGATTTAAAATACTTAATGCTTCTTTTGCATACTTGGGGTCATAATATTCTACAAATCCAAATCCTCTAGGTCGTCTTGTATAATGATCTAGCGGAAGATATACATCACGAATTTTCCCAAAAATTTCGAAAATTTTCCTGATTTTTTCTGGGCTTGTATGGAAGCTTAAATTTCGTATTAACAGACTACATCCATTTTCAACCATTTTGCATTTGGATGTGCGGGTGTAGAAGTGTGAGTGAGCTTATGTGTTTAGTCTGCAGGTAAATAATTCTGGTGTATCTTTTGAGTGTGGGTCCTCTACTATATTTTCCTTCATGTATTTCTGTTTCCTTAAGCCTTTTTTTTTTTTTTTTTTTTTTTTTTTTTCCTCCAACTTTGCTCTACCTAGATTTACTTTTTTACCTCACCTCTTTGCAAATTAAAAAAAAAAAAGAAGCCATGTATTTTCGTCAATTTTTTTTTTTTTTTTTTATATGATTCTTCAAGGGTTGATAAATTATATGCTCTCTGCTGGTATAAATTGTTAGTTTCTATTTCCTGAAAAATATCATTGTATCCTTTTAAACTCAGTAACAAATAACCCTTTGGGTCTACTTTCTATTTGACACAATGTTGGATTTTAAAATATAGTCGAAAATGTGACATAAATGGAGAGAAAAAAACAAAATAAAAAGAGCAAAATGAAAAAAAAAAATATATTTCATTGATACTGCGCTTCTTTTACTATGTTGTTAATACACTAATAATGTGTTAGCTTTTCGTTCTTTCCTCTTCTCTACTATGAAATTGTCAAATGTTTAAAAGTTAATTATGTATGCATGTATGCATGCATTTTTTTCATACATAAAAGTTATTCTTTTTTTTTTTTTTCATCTTCATTTTCCATATAAGGATGATAATTTTCACCCTTTTTCCCCAAATGCACTTTTTTTTTTTTTTTTTTTACTCTTTTAGATTTTCACAGAGGGAAAAAAAATATTTAAGTAATATTTTTCCTACTGCATAAAAATTATGAAAAAAAAAAAAAAAACTATACCTGGAATTATGCAAACGGTTAGTATATATAGTATATACATATAAATACATATGTATCTGCACGTTGGCGTAGTAATATTAGCAAAGAAAAAAAAAAAAAATAAATAAAATAAAAAAAGGCCCTATTACATTTGTGTTTTAGAGAATCTTGCAATGTTCACTGAATCTCATCCAAAGTGTATTTTTGGACGCATTTTAAACCTTGTAATATGTTCTTCTATGTAATAAATGAAAAAAAAAAAAAAAAAGAGAGAGAGGGTATTCGTTCACTATATATATACCTAGGTAATGTTATAATTATAAACACTAAAAATGTTTTAATAAAAAAAAAAAAATGAAATAAACATAACAGAATATTTTACTACATTTTTTCCCTTGAGTACGTAAAAATTTATGAACGTTTACAGGTGCGCGTAATAGTTTTTTCGTCTTCCTCGTTTTTTTCAAAATGTTTTCACCGTACAAGGAATTACATGAGTTATACATATCGTGACATCATGACATAGTAACATTGTGAATTAAAGTTTCCACATGTTTATTTAAAAAAAAAAATGTACCGCTATTCGTGAACATCTTTGTAGCCCTCAATTGACTAACAGTGCGATCTGTTTCTTTTTTTTTTTTTTTTTTTTTTTCCCCTTGGCAATGACTAGTTTACCACATGTCATTGAAAACAAAATGGAAAGCTAAGTGAAAGCCAAGCGGAAGTATGTTAACGCAAAGTTAAAGCTAAGTGGAAGTAAGTTAAAGCAAAATGGCAGCAAAATCACAGCATAAAAACTGCATTTCGCTTGCTACAGCCACCGCTATGGCTTTTTTTTTATTTTTATGTAAATATACCCAAGTTATGGTATGGCTCCCGTAAGGTACCTAGGGAAAGCTTCACATTTTCAATTGTATACTATTACAAGTGTGGAAGTTTTAAAAAAAGGAAAATTTCCCCATTTCCCCTGCCTGTATACCCATACGAACTTTCGTAATAGATTCATGAACAATCATAAACATAAACAAGCAGTTCTTCCACACTGCACAAATGGCTATCCAAACAGAAACACAAAAAAAAAAAAAAAAAATTTTAAGTATACTGCTGGTTAAATATATATAGTGTCATATATATGACTTCTACACCTACACACACGCACATTTGTATAGCGTTCACCTATTCTTTTTCGTGTGACAAGTATTTCAATAGTAAAGAGATGAAAAAAAGAAAAAAAAGTAATAATCAATCGTAACTGTGTAATTAATACACGCATCACAAAAACCCGCTTTATGTACCACTTATTTTCACTTTAAAATTAAGTCCAATTTAGTCTCATTTTTTTAAATAAAATTTTTGAGAAAAAGGGAGAAGCTTCATAATTTGTGCGCGCAAACAAATATTTAAAGGAAAAATAAAAAAAGAGTAAAAAAAAAAAAAAAAAAAAAAAAATTTAATCAAGTTTTTCGTAAGCCAACGTTATTCTTACAATTTTGTAAAACAAAAATATAGAATAGCATGTGTATCTTTTAATTAATCGATGTCTAATCAAGTGGTATACTTTTATCATTTTCTCTCCTTAGCATGTAGATATAAAAAAAAGAAAAAAAAAAATTTTATAAATATAAAAATAAATATAAATATGAGTATCAATTTTTTTTAAGACAATTGCAGTTCTTCTTTAAATTGTTACAAAATGAAATTTAAGATGATACTGCATTTCAGATTATATACCATTACTACCCTATGTATTTTCATATATAAAGGAGAAAAATATATATTTATACAAACACGGAAAATTTACACAGTATTTGCAAAAATGGCTTCTGAAAATGATTTGTAAAAATCTGTGTAACATATAATAATTAATTTACTTAGAGGGAATGTCTAAAACTTACCATTTTTTACATGAGCTAGAATAAATGACTGTGTTATATGAAACTGACTCTTTTTTTTTTTTTTTTTTTTTGTTATTCTATTTTTGGATAGATAAGAAAAAAAAAAAAAAAAAAGGTAAACATAAACACATGAACATATGAACACATAAACACATGAACATATGAACACATAAACACTTGAACACATAAACACATGAACATATGCGTTACGTTGCCAAGTTCTACTATGGAACAGTACATATTTAAGTTAAACACGAGGAGAAAAAAGGTATTTTAAAATTAAAAGGTATATGAATTTCAAACTTATTAATTCACCCTTCAAAGTTTTTTTTTTTTTTTTTTTTTTTTAATATATTGTTATATTTCTTTATCATTATAAATAGGACATTTTGATACTTGTGCTATGTAGTGTAATATAGGAAAAGACACCTATGCACACATAATATGCAATCAACAGTCAACATTTTCTTATTCTTCTTCTATATTATATTTTCACTCACTCTTTCACCCATTCATCCGCTCATTTTTTTTTTTTACTTTTTTATGAAAAATCGGTCAACACCTTCCCATTTCAATGAAAACATTGTAAATCCATATGATTAAAATTTAGAGAATTTTTACACCTAACAGTGATGTTTTTTTTTTTTTTTTTTTTTTTTTTTTTTTTTCTTTTATTATTTATTTTTTTTATTTATTATTATTTTTTTTTTTATTTATTATTATTTTTTTTATTTATTATATTTTTTTTTTTTTTAGAAAAGTTTTAGATACTTTTATGAAACAGCATAGACACCGTTGAACTGTGTAAAATAGAAATGTAAGATTGTCCAAACTTAGTTATTATGTGCTAATAAAAAGAAAAAAACAAAGAAAGAAAAAATAACACAGTTTCAAAAGGGTTTTGAAAAAAAAAAAAAAAAAAAATTATGCACGCGGTGCACATTTGTCTCTTTGTTATTTAATGAGATTTACAAAAAAATAACACACACGACAACAACGTAACAGAAAAATTCTATATAGGTTAAATGTCGCAAACATGTATGTAACAAAGTTGCCAAATGGATATATATATATATATATATATATATATATATATATAGTGCATAATAGAGAAACACATTGTGAACTTCAACTATACCTCTCAATCTGCATATATAATACATGTCATGCACAAACCTATTATCTCATTCTACAAGCGTGTAATTAAAGCAATGATGTGATGACTAATTATTTCAGCACAAAAAAAAAAAAAAAAAAAAAAAAAAAAAAAAGACATGAAAAAATATGTGGTACAAAAATTTTCGAATTTACACTTGTGATATGGGAAAACAAATGAATGATTCTTAAATATTCCGTTCGTACATAGGACAACAGGACTTTGACTTTTTGTGTTTTCACAAATTGGAATTTTTTTTTTTTTTTTTTTTTTTTTTTTATTCAGTCTTGTTTCCAAAATTTCCATTTATATGTAGCAATATATTATGTGCATTTGCATATTATTTTTTTTTTTTTGCGAAAAAAGGTAGAAGGAAAAAAAAAAGAAAAGCAGAAACTAAGAAAGGAAGGAAAGGAGAAACCAAGCAAGAAACTCTACACAAAACGGAAGAGGAAAGGACACAACCATGTTGTAGAACATGACACAAAAACCATATATTCTACTTCATTTTTTGTAACCCTTTACATGGATTTGTAGTTAATTACATATCCACATGCACAGTGATGCAAATTGACATAAATGTGAATGCACTTCTTAATAACTTCACACCTGAACTGGTCTTACTTTTCTTTAAACGTTGCTAAAGAAGTGAAAAAAAAGAAAAAAAAAAAAATCAACATTTTTATTTTGTTGTTAACTTTCCTCCAGTTTTAACGTTCTTAGAACATATTTATCACAAACGAAAAGCTCAATGTTATTTCGCTGCCATCTCGCTTAGTCATCAAAAGGGAAAAGGAAAATATATATATATATATGTATATATATTACTTTAAACCTATATACACTTAATTCCAAACAAGGTAAGAAAAACACGTAATTTTTTTTTTTTTTTTTTTCCCTCATTATAAAATTTGTTCCTTTATTTTCACAGACATGTTGGGTTAATTACATTTTTATTGATAGAGATAATTATGCTGATACCATTTCACTGTGTCACACCGCCCAGGACACAATGTTCCTTTTTTTTTTTTTTTTTTTTTTTTTTCCTCCCTTCTTTTCTTTTCAGGTCGAAAAATAAAATGATTAAAGGGACAAATGCTTCACAGAGAAAAAATTCTATTAGCAACGAATTATTGGTACAAATTAGAAAACACACTAAACTTATATGTAACGTTTATGCAAAATGGGAGTATAAAAATAGCAAAATATATAAATCAATGTTGTAACATATGGATTTGTTTTCTTTAAAAAAAAAAAAAAAAAAAAGGAAAAGAAATAAACTAGATTTTTTTTTTTTTTTTTTTTTTTTTTTTTTTTTCCCCTTAGCTGGAAATTAAGAAAATGGAGAAAGGGCTAAAAAAGCGAAATGAGGAATACGAGGAACTAAACAATAACTATAGGGAAATTTATGTAAATAAGAAAAAGGATGAATCATACATATACACATTTTTATATATGCATACAGATGTGTACATATTGTAACTAATCCTATAAAAAATTGGGATAAGAAAAAAAAGAAAAAGAAGAAGAAAAAGATTAATTTTTTTTTTTTTTTTTTTTTTTGTTTACGTTTCCAGATAAAATTTAATTGTTATATTTGTGCACTCTATATTTTTATTTTACTTGTGTACTCTTTATATTTTTATTTTTATTTTATTTTTTCCCACGCATGATCATGTCTTACATAGGATTCCTACATTATGAGTAAAACGAGCTTGGATGAGGCAACAAATGTAACGGAAAAAAGGAGGAAAAATGATTCTAGTGATAGTAGACTAGTTGTAGCATATATCACTACAGCAATGTGTGCAAAAGGTCACTGTAATAGTGATATATGCCACATTTTTTATAGTAACATTTATACCACACACGACATCTGTATGTATATATATATGTCTAACATGTAAATATGTACGTGCATATGCATTTACTCTTTTTTAAGAACTACGAAGGAGAAATGCTCAAACTAGAAAGTGTGATAAAGGAAAAGGAAAATGAATACACAGAATTACAGGTAATGAACAAGAGTCCAAAGATTAACTTGAGTGAGAACTTTTTCTTTTTCTCCCCATTTTTATGATGATTCGTTAATGCGTTCCATTTTTATGATGACTCATTTGTGCGTTCCATTTTTATAACCATTTATTTTATACGAGTGCCATTTTTTCCCGTTCTTCCCCATGTATTCCATTTCACATCTTTTCTTTTTTTCATGAAAAATGGAACACAAAAATATGTAGGAAAATTTTCAGGAATTATTGGACGTGAAATGTAAATTAGAAACCGACGTTGACAGTTATGAAAAGGTCATTTTCGAAATGGAGGAAAATTGCAATTCCTTAAAGGAATCGCACAAGGTATCATCAATTCTTGTGTGCATGTCCATTGTCATATGAATTTAGTATATTTTTTTTTATGATGGACTTATTCTATATGCACGATGCATAAATCTTCGACCAGGATGCTCAAGTTAATGCATTCATTTATGCTAACATCTGTATACACACATATATGCACTTTTTTCTTCTTTTTTTTTTTTTTTTTCTTTTTTTTACCCATTTGCAGGAAGAATTAAAAGAAATTCAAGAAGAAATGTCCAACCTTTATTCACAAATTGATGAATTGAATGTAATGATCCTGTTTAATTATGCTTGATGTATATGATCATATGATTTCTATGCATGGTCATACGATTTCTCTATATGCATTGTTCTTCCATCTGGGTTACAAACCTCTTTTTTTTTTTTTAAAAATATTTAATCATTACAGCAACAGATAGATTATATGAAGGAAGAGTGTAAGGAGTTGCATCGGATTAATGAGGTAAATTACAGTTCACTCATGTTGTGTATATGTAATTGTGTATATATATATATATATATATATATATATATATATATATATATATATGTATACATGCCGATTATAAGAATGAATCGAAGGAGGAGGCCAATTTTTGTCATTACCTTTTCTACATTACCACATAATTTTTCCCTCGTTACACTTTTATGTTTATGTTTTTTTTTTTTTTTATTTGTTACGTCATCTTCAACCTTCATTTCAAATTTATAGGAAAAAGTAACCATCATTGATGATCTCAATAGAGAAATTCAAAACTTAAAAGTAAAGATGAGTAGACATATATATATTATAATAAAAAATGTTGTAAAAGGGATGAATTAAAAAATGGATTGATGATAATTTATGTTTCCTTTTATTTCTGCTCTTTATTTATCCCTTTTTTTTTTTTTTTTTTGTTGTTGTTGTTTTTTTAAACCAGGAAGAGAAAAAAATCCATGGAATCGATATGGAATTAATTAAATCACAACAAAACAGAATAAAAGTGGAAATGAGGCAATTGAATAAGGAAAAGGAAGAATTTGCACAGGAAAAAGAAAATTTTGTGCGAGAGAAGGAAGAATTGGATAAAGAAATAGAAAAAGTGGGAAGAGAAAAAGAACAAATTAAGATATACAAAGAACAGTTACAAAAGGAAGGAGAGCTAATACAAAAAGATAAAGAAAAAGTTGAAAAGGAAAAGTATCGACAGGAGAATAACATGAAAAGTATAATAGAAAAATGTACTCAGTTACAGAAAGAGCTTGACGATCTTGCTTCGGGCAATGTGGTAATACGGGGTGGGGGAGTGGAGAAAATGAAACAAAATAATGAAGCGATATAACTAAACAAAATAACGAAATAAAATAATTAAATAATAAGATAAAAAAAAAAAAAAAAAAAAAAAAAAAAATTGATACACATGTATACAAGCACTCGTGAAAGTACAGTATCCCGTTATGAGTCATACTTTGAAAATGACAATTTTTTTTTCACAATTTACAAACTTTTTTGTAGACAAAGGAATCTTCTTTGATAGAAAAAGAACAAATAATTCATACGCTGGAGAAGGAGAGTACCTCATGCAAGGTTAAATGTGAAAAAAAAAAAAAAAAAAAAAAAAAAAAATACGGATTCTTTTTTCCTTTTCCGCCCTTTCTTGTCTTATATCCTTACCTCACTCGTTACTTGAAGAAAGATGGTTTTACTATTTCCTTCCACTTTTATATACCTCAGAACAAGATCACTAGCTTGAACCAAAGGATTCAAGAACTGAAGGTAAGAAAGTAGTAGCAAGGTGGGTGCAAATAGTAAGCAAGAATTAGCACAGCCTTATCCCTTGCATGCACCCATCCGTTTTCGTAACTGATTGATCAACTCAAAACATTTATTTATTCACATATTTATTCACATATTTATTCGCATATTTGTTCACATATTTATTCACGTATTTATTCACCTACTTATTCACATATTTATTAACATATTTATTTACATATTTATTCACGTATTTATTCACGTATTTATTCACGTATTTATTCACCTATTTATTCACATATTTATTAACTTATTTATTCTATTTTTCCATTTCTTACCTTGTTAGAAGGAACTATCCTACGAAAAAAAAAGGAACATCCAATTGCAAGTAATTAATCCATATAAATCACAACAGAGGACAGAGGAGAGGAGAGAATGCGTGTGTCTTAATAATAGTGGTCATCTAATACACAGATTTTTTTTTTTATTTTTTTATTTTACTGTCATGTTTTACTTATTTGTTCTTTTTCACCTATTCTTATTTTTAGGAAGATGCAGAAAATAAAAACATTGATGTCCTTAAGAGGGATTCAATTATACAGGTTTGCTACTTCACTTTCTATGAACCGTTAAATGATTGGATCCTGCATATGTACATATATACATGAATATTATATTTTTACCTACGACAGTGATGTACAAATTTAATATATATATATACGTATACTTTTTACCTCTTCGCTTTGTAAAAATGTTGCAGGTTTTGTATATCAAGTTGAAAGAGAAAGAAAGCGAACTAGTTTTGTTTCAGGTACATGAGCTGCTATGCAAAGTGGATGCCTAGTGCATGCACTTGTATGTCACCATTCCTATCTGTCACAGAATTTTGTGCTTCTTCCAAATTTTTTAATTCTTCTCCATATTTTTCCCCAAATTTTTCCCCAATTTTCACCAGAATGAAAACATATCCTTGAATAATCGTAAGAAAAAGGTGGAACAAATTTTGGACATAAGGAAAAATGAAATGGATAATATCGAAAGCAATTTATATCAAGTAGGAATTTCAACTTTATGTCTTTTTTGTGTATATTTTCTTTATGACACCATTATTTGGATATTTGATTATTTGTTGCTAATTTTTTTTTTTTTTTTTTTTTTTTTCACATTTAAAGAAGCTAGCCAAATTAATTGTTAAAAACAAAATCAGGGATAGAGATGATTTACACTTTGATGGACACCCTCAGTCATTCCTATTAAAAACGGTGAGAAATATGAAATTTCTTTGAATTGTTTGAAATGCTGACATGGCATCCCCTTTTAGAGGATCCCTACAATCGTGTCCTATTTGTCTGATTCGTTTGCTTCGTCTGATTTGTCTGATTTTCTCCCCTTTCTTAAAAGCTATGGTCCGGATACATCGACATATGCAAAAACATACTGAAGATAAGGGATGGTTATTTATACAGTGGAAACAAAAATCATCGTTTCATATGTGCTTATGGCACAGATTTGGTATGAACTAAAATCAACATGTGTGTAATTGGGTATGCACACAACAGGGTGACGCTCCTCAGATTCGTTTACTTATGTTCGTGTAACTATTTTTCCTGTACCATATTGCTTTTGTTACTATTGGTTTACTATCACTATTGTCAATATGGTCATAATTTTATTTCATTTTTTTTTTTTGCGCTCCGATTGGCAGTTCTTGGACGTGAAGAAGGAAGGCCCAAAGACATAGTAAGAAATGCAAAGAATGCACAAAAACAATTAACGTATACCTGTTCTTCCACAATTATGCATATATTTGGCGTGTGCAAAAAATGAACACATCTTTTTGTGCATCTATTTGTGCATCTATTTGTGCATCTATTTGTGCATCTATTTGTGCATCTATTTGTGCATCTATTTGTGCATCTATTTGTGCATCTATTTGTGCATCTATTTGTGCATCTATTTGTGCATCTATTTGTGCATCTGTTTGTGCATCTGTTTGTGCATCTATTCGTGCATCTATTTGTGCATCTATTTGTGCATCAGTTTGTGCATCTGTTTGCCCATTCGCACACACGCAACTACACTTTTTTCCACTGACGAAGCTTACTATCCTACAAGAATGAAACGAGAGGAATTTTCAGAATAAATGAAGAAGAGGTGATGAAGAGCTTGGTGTACGTCGGTCCATTTAACAAATGTCATGGGCAAGGTCTGACATGTTGCAATAATAAAATGAATGTAGAAATGACAAAAGGACAAAGTTGCAATTACATATTTGAAGAAATGTATGTTACGAAGAAAGGAACGAAGGTAGTTCTTATAAGAGAAAAAGAAACAGGGAAATATTTTAGTGGGTTAAATAAAAATTACTTTTTTGATATAGGAAGGAAGAAAAAAAAAAAAAGTGGTGTCAACAAGATGGAATACAATAATGTCGTAAGCACATTAATTAATTACATGACTAATGAAGAAAAAAAATTAGAGATGAGTGATATAATTCTCAAAACATCTAACCAGAAGTTAAAGATCGAAAATGAAAAAAATGAATCAAAGGGGGGAAAATTAAATAAATGTAAAAAGAAAAAAACACACCTTGTGAAAAAACAACTGGGCGATTTTAATGAAAAAAAAAAAAAAAATCAAAATCAAACTAAAATAATTCGAAAAACTGAAAGGGACAAATCAACAGTTAAGTCAACATCTTCTGCTACCCATGTCCAACAAGGTAATAGAGATGAAATCAAGAAGGAGCAATACATGAATGAAGAAAATTTGCATAAGTATAATATACCCAAAGATTTGCTGTTGCCTTCTAGTAGCAGTGGCAATGGATGTGATGATATGGATGGAAATAGTGACATGGACGAAAGTAGTGATATGGACGAAAGTAGTGACATGGACGAAAGTAGTGACATGGATGGAAATAGTGATATGGACGAAAGTGGTGATAATGGACGTATCAACAGCAGGGAGAGGGATGATCGAATACCAAATTTGAACTTAAAAAAGGAACTCCCAAATGAGGGAAAGGAGGATGCCGATTTGAATTGTGATACAAATGAAAAGCTTGCCTTAAAGAATAAAATCATATTACCATCAATGGATGAAAAAAATGATGAATCTACCATTTCTTTTTTAAAACATTCGAGTGCTGATAGGGATGGCAGTTATGGGAGTGGCCATGAGGGAGATGCTGCCACTTCCCTTGCCACTGTCTCTTCTCCTGCCAATTTCAACAATACCAACATTGTGCTGACAGTAAACAAGGAAGAAGCAATTTTATTTGAAATTTTTAATTATGAGCAGATTGTTGAACATGACGCTGTGAAGTTTGCCTCAGAATATGTTTTGCATTTCCTTTCACATTGGAAAAAGGGAAATACTTGTTCATTTTCACATGATGATGCATCCTCTACAACCATGTGTAGCGAACACAATTCTAACGTTTTTACTTCATTTGATGGGGATTGGTGCATCCTTCCTGCGTACATTTAGTACATGTGAATATCACACGTCGTGAGTTGTCAAAAATAGTGTATTCAAAAAATGTACAAGAAAAAAAAAGTTTTTATCTCTCCGCATATGTATGTATGTATGTATATATATATATATATATATATATATATGCATGCAAGCATACATACAATACATGTATGAATATATACCACACATGCATGCATATATACCATACATGCATGCATACATACCATACATGCGTACGCACAACCCTTTTCTGTATTTCCTCTTTCAATAAAACAAAAAAAAAAAAAAAAAAAAAAAAAAAGGGGAAGACTAGACAGGACAGGACAAGAGTGGAGAAAAAAAAATATTATTATTTTATTTCTTTTTTGAACCAATTTTTGTCTTATACATTAATTTATGTTTTTTGATACTATTTTATACATTTAACATAGATGCAAATAGGGTCATACTTTAATGAATTTTTTTTCCTTTTTTTTTCTTTTTTTTTCTTTTTTTTTTTTTTTTTCCTTATGATTAACTTTGTTAAATTTTTATTTGTCAATTTTTTAGCGTTTATTCAAAAAAGATATCAACGGTATATGTTGTAGCAGAGCAGGCACACGTATACATATATGTATATATATATATGGACAAGTATACATGAACAAGCGTATAGCAACAACCCTGCTGTACATGTACACATGTGTAAAACATTGAATATACATGTGTATATATATATATATATATATATATATATATATATATATATATATATATATGTAACAATACATCTACCTAACATATATATATATATACACGAATGTGAAATACGTGAGGCTGCCAACTCGAGGTCACAAGCGTAAAACCAAACGAGTGTTTGTTCAAAAGGTATCCTATTTGAAGACTTAAACTTTTTTTAATTATTTTATTTTATTTTTTTTTCCAAATTTTCTCATGTTCTTTCGATTCGTTTCGATTTGGAATTATTTAAATACATTCAAAACAGTCCGTTTGCATCTGCTGCAAAAGTGAGATGTATGAATTTTGGACTTGCCCTTGTGCGTGATGTGGTGAAAAGACACCCCTCCTCCCAATGTAAAAAATATATTTTTACATACATATTTTATTCACTTACTGATGTTTATGCTTTATATGTCCATATACATGTATGCATATATATATGTAGTACATATGTCATGTAAAAAAAAAAAAAAAAAAAAGACAAGTGGCGATGAAAAATATTTACTCTTGCCTCAAAGGCTCTCACTCAAGCATTTTTTTTATATATATGTGTCATCTGGATCAATTTTTTTTTTTTTTTTTTATATTTTCATACATGATAAATATATACATTATTACATGTACATCATTGCATATACATCATTGCATGTACATTATTACATATATATATATTAGCCTTTTTTAAGTACGCATTAAGGATTCACTCTAGTTGTTTTAATAACGCTTTATAAATATTTAGTTGCATCTTTATGAAGTCTAAAATCAGCTACTTTTTTAATGGGGTTGTAATTATATGTTTCTTATCTCTTACTATATATTCCTTTAGATATTAGATATAATTTAAGAGAAAAGACCTTTTTAACTAACTTTTTTTTTTTTTAAATCACCCAATTTTAACCCTATTTTGTACCAACTTTTTTTTTCCAATTTTTTCCATTTATTCTCTTTTTCTTTTCTTTTCCTGCTTTTTATTTTTCCCTGATTTTTACTATTTTTTTTTTTTTACTTTATTTTTTTTTTTTTTCTTTTTTTTTTTTTTTTTTTTTTTTTTTTTTTTTTTTTTTTTTTTTTTTTTTTTTTTTTTTTTTTTTTTTTTTTTTTTTTTTTTTTTATTTTATTTTTTTTTTTTTTATTTTATTTTTTACTTTATTTATTTTTTACTTTATTTATTTTATTTTTTGCGGTTCATCAGTTTTGCATAACCTAAGACTGCATCGATATTAAAATAACTTTCTAAATGAAATAGATACTATATAAACATCCTGCTGTGCTACATGAGCAAAACTGTACTGTACTAGTTCTAAAAACAAATTTTGTAATGAGATGTTTTTTATACATATAAATACATGCAAAAATGTATATATAGCATCGAATGTATGTATATATAAAACATCACATAAAGACTTTTTTTTTTTTTTTTTTTTTTTTCCCCCTTGGTTTGAGTATAGATATAACTCTCCCCAGCCTCTTTAGACAAAATTTTTCATTGATTAGATCGTACTAAAAGAGATTATAATTATTAGAACGGACGTGAATGTAATATTAGTATAGGAAAGGAAGAACATATATTTTTTATTTCTCTTTTTTTAGAAAAAATAAATCACGTCAGCCTCTTGGGCAATTTATCTGTAATTTATTATTTTATTTCATTATTGGATTATTTCAATATTTCAATATTTCATTATTTCAATATTCCATTATTTCATTATTTCAATATTCCATTATTTCATTATTTCAATATTCCATTATTCCATTATTGCATCATTTCATTGTTTTATTTTTTGTGAATGAATCGATATTCCTTTTTTCCCAATAATCTTAGGGAGAATTTTTTTTTTTTTTTTTTTGGCATAACTGTTCATATTAATCTTGCAAAAAATATTAACAGTTCAGAATTTTATCCAAGATTTCATCCTTTTGGAGCATTTTTACCTTCAACAAGGTATATCCAAAAGAACATAAAAAAGGACAGTTTAGTAGGAAGAGCGAATAAAGGAGAAGAAAAAAATTTGTGTTTGCTTAGAACCATGTCTTCATATGCATTGAGTGGCCTGTCCTTTGGATTGGGAGAAACTTTAAGTGTGTTAAATGATTTAAACACGATTCCCCTTTCAGAAAAATTGTTTCACTTTAACTCCAATGAAAATAACAACATCGGTGGTAGCAGCATCAACAATAACAGCAGTAACAACAATAACAGCAGTAACAACAATAACAGCAGTAACAACAATAACAGCAATAACAGCAATAACAACAATGACAAGGTCGAGGTTAGAGGGGAAGGTAGCAGCGAGCGAAGCAATGAAAAGAGTGCTAACGTGAATAATGAAATTAAGAACGGGGCTAACCAAGTATCTCAGGAATGCACGACCTATAATATGGAAAAAGATGTTAAGAAAAAAAGAAAAAAAAAAAAATTAGATGCCATGGAAAAGTTGTTATATGAACTAACGAATGGAAATTTCAAAGCAGAAAAACATTATGTGTATACACCAGATGGGTATAGACTAAATTTATATAGAATTGTAAGTAACAATAAAGATGTAAAAGATGATTTTAATAAGAAAAAAGAAGTATTTTGTTTAAATCACGGTCTATTCGAGTCTTCCATTAGTTATATATGTAAAGGTTATGAATCTTTAGCTTTTCATATCTACTCAAATAATTATGATGTATGGATCATTAATAATAGAGGAAATAATTTTACAAAATTTGTTGGAAAAAACCAAGCCTTAAAAAAGTTAAAGGAAATGTATAGTCTACAAGATTTAAAAGATATTGGTGTAGATATCAATGAAAAAGATATGGAACAGATTGATAGCACTGCTGAAGGAACAGAATCTAGTATTGAAAATGATAATCATTGTAATAACTGCTCTTCTCATGGTATCGACGTTGAAGGTAATAAATGCATAAAAGAAAAAAGAAACCAACAAGATGGGAAAAAAATGAAGGAAGATGATAAAAAAAAAAAGAAAGCAAACTTAAGAAGAGGAGAAATTACTAGTGGAAATATTTGCTGCACTACAGTCACCTCTATCGAGATAGATAATGAAGAAGGGAAGAAAAAGAAGACAGAATGTATAGATTCCAATCAAACTTGCTCACGTTACGAATCAAATTATGATAAATTATGCATAAAAGACACACCTTCTTCAGGAGAAAGTAGAATTCAAGGGAATGGAGGCATGTCAGAACATAATTACAAATCAATGTCAGAAAATACTAATGAAGTGGATGACAAAAAAGCGTGTACAAGTAGAAGCAGTAATGAAGGAACCACACAAGGGAACAATGGTGACATAATAAAAAATTGTGCATTCATGGATTCTTTTAGAAAAACAAAAAACAAAACAGATGCAGATGATAAAGGATTGGCTGGATGTGGTACAGTTTTGAGTATTGATGGGGAGGAGGTCAGTACACAACCTAGCGATGATAATAACACGGACTTAACAGAATATGATTATGATAAGTTATATAGTAATGTAGAGCTTGGTGATGAAGAATCCAATGAAACAATTAACGATGATTCAGAGTGTGAATCGAACATGTTTTGTAACTGCCCTTACATACCAAATGAGGAAGAAAATGATAATTTAAACGAGGAAACAATCAATACAGAACATGATAATGATGATGTTGAAGAATTGGTAAAAATAAATAAAGATAACAATGACTTTGATGGAAATAGTGGCGATGATGATGATGATATAGAGGCACATGAAGCAGATGCAGAGAACTGGACATTCGAAGATATGGGAACTAAAGATATTCCAACAGTTATAAAATATATTCGAAAAAAAACAGAAAAAGAAAAAATTACCTATATTGGATTTTCACAAGGGAGTATACAATTTTTAGTAGGTTCGTTCTTAAATGAATATGTAAATAAGAGTATTAAAAAATCGTATTTATTAGCCCTACCCATTATATTGAAAAATAAATATGAATTACTTAATTCAATTAAAATGTTAGTAGCTATTTCCAGATGGCATAAAGGTATTATCAGCAGTAAGATATTTATTCAAAAAATTTTACCACAAAAAGTATGTTCTACAATTATATCTCACATAGCTGATTTATTTACTCGTAATTTTTTTAAATATTATACAGAAAATGTAGACAACAATTACAAGAAATTATACTATCTTCACACTCCAAGTGGATTTACATCGAAAGCCAACATGAAAAAATGGTGTTCATCTTTTCATGATGGACCCGTTACAGATGTTATGGAGAAGTATGCCAATACTGATAAGGCTTCCTCTTTTCCTATAACTCTTATTTTTGGTATGAAGGATAGCTTAGTAGATACACCAAAATCTATTGAATACATGAAAAAAAAAATTCCCCAAGATTATTTGAAAATAATTGTTGAACCAGAATGGTCACACATGGATCCTATATTAGGGGACAGCAAGAATGTTGTTCTCTCCTGCATTTTGGATGACATACCAAAGGAGGAAACTTCTGCCAATACCATCCCCTCTGACCACACCGATGTGGAAAACTGAACAGATAGGTATTAGCAGCCTCTAACAAAGCTCCCACAAGTGTGGATGGAAAAGCGTGGTTGAATTGGCAACTTTTTATATGCTCCTTTTTGTGTGTTCCTTTTTTTTTTTTTTTTTTTTGTTCAAGATGTTTACACAACTTGGTACACATCGACATCTTTGTTTATATATATATATATATATATATATATATATATATATCTTTCATGGGGCGATCATGCCACTCCTTATGCCAACCAATATATCTCTTTTTTTTTTTTTCGGTCTGTGTAATGTATGAACATGTGGCTATTGAAGAGTGGTATGCAAATATAGCTACGTTTACATAAAGTGCACATGCGCATGTATGTGTACATGTGTATGTATATTTTGATCGACATCTTTTTTTTTTCTTTTTTCTTTTTTTTTCCTAAAGGAATATTAATTTTGTGTGAATATGACGTATTCACCCGTTTGACTAATTTTTGTGGTCTTGTCACACCTTTGTTACCATTTTTCATTTTTCCGTTCGAGAGTTACCGTTTTTATTAACACTTCCCCTTATCTTTTATAGCCCCTTGAAATATGATTGTGAATGGCTCAAAAATAAGGTATATACGGGTATATATATATATATACATACATATACGTATGTACATATATATGTATACATTTTCTGTCATCTCAGGAAATAATGACATATTCAGAGAAAAAGAGGCATGCGTGTTGTGTGTATATGACCTTAACACACAGCAATAATTCTGTGCTTTTATTTCACTGCTCTTTTTGCTTATTTGGTTATTTCTACGTAATAGTTTAATAACTTGATATAGGTGGTGCTGGAAATTAATTTATGTTCGTGTGTTTTTATTTCTGCATAGATTAAAATGTACGAAGGTATGTGACACGACTACTTGTGACATGTAAGTTTGTAACTGTTTTACATGTATCTATATTAACAAAAAAAAAAAAAAAAAAAAAAAGTATTCCAAAAAGTGTGCAAAAATCTGCCCCACAATCGCATGGGCATGGGTAATAAATGCTTGTGCCTTAACCAAGCAACGTGGATACAACGTGGATGCAACGTGGATGCAACGTGGATGCAACGTGGATCTAACGTGGATCTAACGTGCTTTCACGAGAACTTCATAAAGCTAGCGTAGTTATTAAAGTAAAAGGTGCATATTTGAAATTTCGAATTGAGCGCTACCAATATTGTGGACCCCTGGTATTTGCTGAGGGGGATATTTTTGCGGCTATTCAGAGGCGCAAAGTCTAGAGCCACAATTGGCTTATCTTTGGAAGTGTAAAATAATTTTTTTTTCTTTAACATGTTAGATGTGAATTCATACAAATAATTCTTCTGAATTATATCGTAAAAGTTTTTACCGCGTTTTGTTTCACTTTTAACCTTTTTTGTAATTCCAATAGCTACATATTTACAGCTATGTTTGTCAAATTTTACGTATTCTATGATTCCTCTTTTAATTTTTTTTTGAAAAACTAAATGGAACTCATGTAGGGAATATATAAATATGCTATCCAATGCGAAGAAGCACATGTGGGGCACATGCCCGTTTTCATCCGCTCCTGCTTCTGGTCCTGTTTCTGGTCCTGCTTCTGGTCCTGTTTCTGGTCCTGCTTCTGGTCCTGCTCCTGGTCCTGCTCCTGGTCCTGTTTCTACCCCTGCTACTGCCCCTACTTCTCCCCCATCTACTTCATCTTCTCGCTGTAAAATTTCTATACCTTTGTATAAGCCAAATATATAATCGCTAAGTCCTGTATATATGGAATGATTTATTACTGCCAACACTTTCAGTGTTATGGTATCCCATATTGTTATAAATTTATCATGACATATGCATAAAATTTTCCCATCTCTACTAATGTCTCCATCTAAGATAGGACGGTTTTTATAGTTAATTTTCTTAATCACAGTGACAGTTTGGCATTCCACATTTTGGTTGTCTTCCGTTTCTCCAATATTATTTTTGGAAAAATCATCGTACAAATTATCGATATGATTCCATTCCTTTGTTCCAGTAAAACAATAGCCACAGTCCTGCATCTGATATATGTCAACCTCGTAATCATTATAAATGTTCTTTTCGAAAATAGATTCACTTTTTTCAAGGCACCAAAAAGTCATGCTTCCACAAGATTCCAAAACAATGAACATACTCAAGAAGGGATGACTAATAACCTTTTTGTATTTTTCAAAATGTTCTGTAAAATGTTCTATTTTATTATGGGGAAAGTTTTCACCCTTTTTATTTATCTCTATTTGGTTATTTCTCCCTCCTTCAGTTACGTCATTCTCTTGATCGCATGCCACAATATGTTCATATACTGGAACATAGTCTAAATCATTATTATGCTGCTGCTGTATGATCCAAATTTTTACTTTATACATAATTTGAGTTAAAGAATTTGTGTTATTTGTACAGATGTCTTCCATTTGATAATTCCTTTTCTCGATAGTCATTAATAACTCTCTACTATGATTGAAGGAAAAAAAAAGCAATTCCATATCATTGACATTTTCAACACAAGATCTACTCTTATATGTCATTTGCAAGGGGCATATAAATTTAACATGTCTATCCTTTTCTATGTTATATAATTGTAAATTCGAAAAGGATGTTAAGAAGGTAAACACTAAGCCTTTGCTAGAATCACAATAAAAAAGTACTTGATACTTTTTGTAAAGATTATGTTCAACATTCGTGTGGTTGTATATATTCTTTTCAAGATCGTTTTGGATCTTTTTGAAGCTAACGACGGTTTTTTTCCTTGCGCATTTGCCTTTGCTCTCTTCGCTTCTTTTTTTCTTCTCCTCTCCAGGTTTTGCTTCTCCATTGTGGGAAGCGCCTCTCCGGGGGGCACCTGCCCCCCCGTGGTTAGCACCGATACGTTCTGCACCGATACGTTCTGCACCGACTTTTTCTGCACCGACTTTTTCTGCACCGACTTTTTCTGCACCGACTTCTTCTTCACCGACTTCTTCTTCACCGACTTTTTCTGCACCGACTTCTCCTTCACTTGGACTCAATTCAATTCCCTCATCGTTGCCCACGGTTAAATGCTCATCGGGTGCTTCTTTCCCTGAATGCATATGCATTCCCCAGAGGATCTTATTCACAACGCCACCGTGTGTGCCTTCTCCAGTACTACTCTTCTCATAGTCATTTCCCATGATACTTCCCCTGTTCCTCCCCCTCCTGACATCACTGCTGACATCACTACTGACATCACTACTGACATCACTACTGACATCACTACTGTTATCACTACTGATATCACTACTGGCCTTCCCATTTTCACAGTTGGCCAACACATTCGTTGAGTCATCCCGATTGAACAAATAAAAAGTTATGTCATTATGATCTTTCTGCTTACGTGTACAGGTAAAATCTGTTTCCATGGAATTCCCATTTGTGTAATTGTACGAGTCGTCAATCTGCTTGGAAAATATATGTATGCTATTTTTTATACACATGTGCCAATTCGCATGATTGAAAAATAAATTCCTCAAGGAAAGTGGCATATGTAATCCAGTATGTTTGTAAAAAAATAGTCGATGATTGTAATTAATAAAAATAATTGAATTATTTAACGAATTGCAGATAATCAAATTCTTTTTTTTATTAACATATGTATAATAACATGGAGATCCCAAGTGAGGGATGTGTTCATATGCACCATTGTCTATGTCATAAAACAAAATAACCGCTTCTTCACCAGAAGATATTATTTTCCTATCATCGATGGTTATGTTATACACAGAATGACTATGCCATTTATATTTTATAACATGTGCCTTTTGCACTTCAACAATTTTGTCTTTTCTTAGGTGGAAGTTTATGTAAGGTACAACTCCTGCACTGACTCCATTACTCTGTTTCTTTTCATTTTCTCCAGAGATGATGTTATTATATTGAACTACTTCATATCCAATAATGTATGGAAATGCCTTTTCCATGGATTTCAACAAATGCATAAAATTCCTGGATTGTGTGGGGTAATTTTCACTGTCGTAAGATTCACTCACGGAATAATTTCGTTCTATTACATCCTGTTTAATGTCTTCTGTTAGTGACAATTGATCAAACAACAATATGTTAATGTATCCATTCATAAAACCAATACATAAAAAATTTTCTTCACTTATTTTTATGGAAGATATATAGTTCTTATAGTAAATCATACTGTAACGCTTTTTCACAACGTCATATATAACAATTATGTTATTATTTGCTAGAACTAGTTTAGACAAGCTTTGGTTCATATCTATCATGGAAAAGTAGAGATATTTTATTTTAACAAGTGGCATTATTTTCACCTTTACAGTAATGTTTACATGTTCAGTGTTCTTCGTTTCACTCTCCTTCATTCCTTTGCTCTTTTCAATTTTCTGTTTTTTTGTACTTCTTCTTTCGATAGGTAAGGTATTTTTTTCTTCTCCGTTAATATATACTCTGGAATGGTTCTTATGGTTTATACTTGAACTGTGATTGTCACGAGAAGATGATTTCACTTCAGATTCTTGGTTGAGTTCACTATATTCATTGTCTTCAGAACTGCTAAGCATCAACTCGTGTGGAAACATCTTCAAATCATATGAATTTTCAGAATCTGATGAAAATGTATATGTAACGTGGGTTGGAGGGTTGATATGACCAATAGTCGTTTCACATGTGGCACTCACCACACCTTCATCATTCAAATAGTAAAAAGGAGTATCATAATTAAAAACAAATCTTAAAAGAAAGAAATTCATAAACATTTTTTTTTTTTCTCGATTATATTCCCATGTAACAAAACATAGTTCTCCATTTTTCCCAAAACTATTTATATAAAACAAATTTTTTATAAAAAATTTTTTAATAAAATGAAATTTTTTTTTACTAATTCGATATATATATATGTAATTATTGAAGCTTTTCAAAATCAAATATTCTTCTTTCCCCTTCTTATCAAAAAAGTAAAACATTCTATCTATAAAAAATGACATTACAATTTTTTTTTTTTTTTTCTTTTTCAAATCTATTAATAAAATGCTACTTTCACTACATACATAAGCAATGTTCTTCTTACTTAGTATAGGTTTGTTCTTGATTAAGTTACCCCCCATGTGTACTCTCAACATTTTTATATCCTTTTCAAAGCTAGCATTCTTTAAAAGAAACTCTTTTTGGATTTTACTGGTATACTCATTTTTCCATAATTCCTCATCTAGTTCGTTTAATTCATCTAATCTCTCCTTCTCTTGTTCCTTCGTCTTCTCCCCAAATGCAGACGTCCAAAATTCTTTGCTTCGGTTTGTTTTCTGCCTCACCATCTTTGTAATTAGCCACTGTGTATACGAAATGGGTGTGAAGTATGTGCGAGTTTTTTTTTTTTTTTTACTGGTATACAGTAATAGCTATGCTAAAAAAAAATTAATTATGCCTATATATATATATATATAACCCTCACTTGCATCCCTGTATAAGTGTAAATATTTATTTTTTTTCTACTATACTGGTATGAAATTTAAAATGACAAAATTTTTATCTGTCCTATAAACACTTTTGCAAACACTCTGAGTAAACCAAGTGAGGGGCGGATAAAGCAGATTTAAACAGATGGGGGAAAAAAAAAAAAATAAAATAATAAAAAAAAAAATAAAAAAAATAATAAAAAAAAAAATAAAAAAAAAAATAAAAATAAAAAAGTATGAACAAATAATCCTTGGCTAGCTGTATTGTGCAACGTAAAAGAAATAAAATTGAAATTTATCGAAATTGTAAAAGGGGGGGAATAAACAAAACTATAGAATTTGTATGACAAAAAAGGGAAGAAAAAGTCTGAAAAATTAAAACATATATTCCCCTTCACATAGTTATTCCAGTAATTCGAAAAAGGAATTGTCAAAGGGAACTCTTTTTTTTTTTTTTTTTTTTTTTTTTTTTCTGTTTACTCTCACCACTTGTATTTTCTTATCCTTGCCCTTTTTTTGTTAATGTGTTTTAAAATCTTTTCCTCCTTGCTAAGTTTCAACCCATGCTAGTATGTATATATATGTTACATATAAGTAACAGTTTTTCTCAAGAATTAAGCCATATATATGTAGAAGTGTACTGTTCTTTTCTTTCTCCTTAAGGATAAAAAAAATAAGCTTATATATTTTTCATCTTCACAAAAAAAGAAAAACCTACAACGAAGAATGGGAAGTGTTTTTCTTCTCTTTATTTCACTATATTTATATTCACTTGTTTATTAATTTATTTTATTAATTTTTTTTTTTTTTTTTTGCTAATATATCAAAAAAGTTCATGCCGAGTTTAGTTTGCCATTTTCAACACAACCTTCTTTTTTTTCCTTCCTGTTAAGTTTTTGTGCAATTCTGTTTGCAATAAAAAAAAAAAAAAAATGCAAATATTCACAGGTAACTGTAGTATATTGAGAAATTCTCACGATGAGGAGGGAAAATATGTATATGTAGAACGGTACAAGTTATATGATGCAATACCATATTAAATCTCTACAACAATGTATATATTTTTTTCTTATATTTATTTATTTTTATTTTTTTTTTTTTTTTTTTTTTGGTATATCACGTTGGACTCATAAAATTTGACTTAATAACCAAATCGGCATAATTGCATTTTTTTTGTTTTCCACGTTTTATGAGAAGAAGAGAAGAATATGTAGATAGGGAAGAGGGGAGGTGGGAAGGACATACAAAATATATAACTGCTTTTTCTTCTCCCTTTTTTTTATTTTATTTTTTTCTCCCCGAAAGATATTCGATAATATGTTAGAAAAAACAGTAGAAAGGGAGGGGTGGGGGTGGAGGAGTAAAAAAAAAAAAACCACAAAAAAGGAGGAAAAATCATTTTGGTTAATCTCTTACATGTTTTATTATACAAAAAAAGGGGAAAAAAAAAAATTATAGAAAAAGATTAATATGTTTTTTTTTTTTTTTTTTTTTTTTTTTTTCTATTTTGATGTAGATATATATATATTTTGTAAAAGAATTGTGCAAAAATACAAAAAAAAATGTGCGTAATTTTTATTAAACAATGGAAATTAGAACTGCACAGAAAAGGTTAGGACATGTATACAAACATATGTTGACATAATATACATAAATGTGTGTACACATATGCTGGGGTGACGCACACACAGGGAATTTTTTTTTTTTTTTTTTTCTTTTTTTAAAAGAAAGAGCTATCACCCCAAAGGATAGAGAAAGCCCGTTGCAAACACTGATCCAATTATTAATCCATGTCAACAATGAAATTCCGCAGGCTATCTGTGACATAATTGTAGATAGAGTCGTATTCATTGTATAGTTCTTTTAGTTCTTCCTTGGCATCGTCTTTCTTTTTTTGTAGCACCTTCATTTCTTTGCACTTTTCTTCCTTCAGTTGGGGAAAATTAAAAAGGGAACATGATTTAAGCGCGAAAAACATATATATACAATACATATGTGTGCAAATATACATAAGCAAAGGGGAATATTTTATTTATCAGTAAAATGGGATAAGGATGCAGAACTAAGATAAGGACGTGTACATAAATATGTATACCCACACCTCAACCCCACCCCACCATCATTTTGATTCTGCTTCTATTTGATCATACCTCTATCATGAAAGAATCGGGCAATTCATCTATACAAGAATCTATCATTTTTAAAATTAAATTCATACGTTCCACACGATCTAGTATTTCCTGTTCTAATGATTTTTCTAAATTCGGTTTGACAAAATATTTTTTTTCTTCAAGACCTTCTTGCGCAGAGTGTTGTGGCTGCTCATCGTCGGATTTTTTTCTATCCACCATGTCATCATTTGATTGATCATTTGATATTCCATTCGATTCATCATACGATTCATCGATGGTTTCTTCACTTGATTGGTCTTCTGATTCATTTGTTTCTCTGTCATTCACATGACTTTTACCATCTCCATTGGGATGCTCATTCGGTTCTGCTTTTTGTTCAGTTTTTGCTTCTTCTCTCACTTCGTCCACTTTCTCTACTTCGTCGACATTGTTCACTTCTTCCACTTCTTCCACTTCTCTTGCTTCTTCCCCCGCTACTACTCCCTTTATAATTCCTTCATTCGTTTCTCCCTGAATTTCACAGGCCCGTTCTTTTAACAAGTTTACAAAGTAAGCATATTCACTTTCCTCTTCAGGTACAATTTCCAATTCCTTAGGTTCTCCTTCGTAAGATAATTTGTTCAGTACATCCTACAAACAAAACAGATTTAGAACATGTTAATATAATGTATATGTAATGTATAACAAAATGTGGTTATTAGTATCTGTGTAGGTATAATTTAGTATGTGTGTGGTTCAGGCGTGTGTTTTTTGTCTCGCTTAAAAAAAATATGTAGTGTCTATGCAAATTTGTTTGCACTGTTATGTTGACATATCCATATGTATAAACGTTCAATAAATTATGAAGCGGTTAATTCGGGTATGCACTATTCTTCTTCTTCTAATTATTCTTCTTCTTCTTCTAATTATTCTTATTCTTCTTCTTATTATTATTATTATTCTATTTTTACTTATTTTATTATTATTCTTATTTATTTATTTTTATATTATTTATTATTATTTTTTTTTTTTTTATTCTACTCCATTTTTCATACTAACAATAACAGAATACAGACAGTTGTTCAGCAAGTTTTGCAGCTTCTTTATTGGGTCATTCGATTCTGGTGATCTAAAATTGTTATTCATTTCTCTTCAATGCAGAAACAAATATGTTTTTATGATATTTTTGCAATATCAGTATTTTTGCAGTGAAATACGTTCAGTGTTCGAAAAGAGGCGCGCAAAAGAGCCAAAACCCCAAAATAATAAGTAAAAAAATAGTAAGAATAAAAAAGGGGAAAAAAAAAATAAAATAATAAGAGTAAAAAAAAAAAAAAAAAAAAGATTAAATAAAAAAGTGTATATTCTCTACATGTTTGTCCAAGTGTTACTACATTAAATCATAGCCCAGTTGTGGCCAACAAACATATTTCAAAAAGGTAAGAGCACATCTGCAAAGTTGAGATATATGTAATATATATACATACATATATGTGCAAGTCGGGGATTGTAAAATTTTCCTTTTTAAGAAAGAAAGGGAAAACACGACATAAGGAAGAGGAAACGGTGATGGGGGCAAAAACACTACTCTAAAAAAAATTAAATTTCGAAAAAATGTGAGGAGATACACATGTAGGTAGTGTGTTATTCTACATAAAAAGAAAAAAAAGGGAAATAAATAAATAATAAATACATGATAAATAAATAGTAAATACATGATAAATAAATAGTAAATACATGATAAATAAATAGTAAATATATGATAAATAAAATCGGTGAGCAGAAAATGGCTTAAAAAGCTTTAAAAGTTGTGGGCATTATGTATGGGCATTAGCTAAAGGCTACATAAATAAAATCTACGCATGTAGCAAAAGGTAGACGCAACAAACAAATGACTAAGCAGTATCCATGCAACTTTGACGATTCAAACGAAATAAATCACAAAAAATAAGTAATTAAAAGAAAAAAAAAAAAAAAAAAAAAATTGTTTATACATGTATAAAAATATATTTTACAGGTATACAATTAAACGAGAGTGGAAAAAAAAGGGCGGAATATTAAAAAAAAAAAAAAAAAAAAAAAAAAAAACTGCTATACAGTCTTCTTCCTTCTAGTGCTGCAAAATGCAAAAACGAAACAAGTATTCGGAATGTCACTTCTGCAGTTTTATAAATTCATAATAGTTACCATACAGAAGTTATTGCCTTTATCGAATTTGTTAAAATGTTCATAGCTAACGAAGCCTAAAAAAAAAAAAAAAAAAAAGGGTACAGTAATTCCATACACATAATTTTCACCTGATTATGTACATATATGCTAAATGTTTGTATATGTGTATTATAGAATACTGCTTCCTTTAATTTTCTATTATTTTTTTTTTTTATTTTTTTTGGCTGCATATTTTGAATTATTACATGAAATTGCTTCCCTCAGTATTCACAAAGGCACACATAGACACGAACATATTGAATATACATACATATGCAACTAATCAATGGTTTGTGTTAGCCCCTCCACCTTACATTTTTACTTTTGTTCTTATCAGGATGAACCTTCAGTGCTAGGGTATGATAATTTTTTCGTGCAATCCGTTTTAACTCCTTCTTGTCATGCAATTCCATTCTGGAAAATTTTTGGATCTATGAAAATGCACACAAATAATATATAAAAAAAAAAAAAAAAAAAGAAAAAAAAGGGTAGTTAATATGTGCAATCTATATGTTCAATCGGAAGCAAAAATATATAAATACATAGAGAGGTGTTCATATTTATTAGATTTACAAATGGTTGTTCATACAAACGCTGTGCAATGTGATATACCTGGAGAACTTCCCATGGATTGTTGGCATTTTTTATAATTCTCTCGACTGAAATGAACAAAAAAGGGGGGGAAAAAAAAAAAAAAAAAAATCAGTGTACATACGTTGTTTAGTTACATTTACTGTATACAGAAATGCGAATGTTCACAATGTGCCCACGCCTCCTCGATTACATCTGTTTAAAAATTTAATTACCATCATTTATGGTTTTCGAATCGACGTTTTCGCTGTTGTCTATTAAGGTTGAAGGGGGGAAATAAAGTGATTTGGCTAGCTAGGCAGATATATCTATATATATATATATACATGCTGTATACACGTTTTCGTATGAACACATTTGCGTATGTACACATTTGCGTATGAACACATTTGCGTATGAACACATTTGCGTATGTACACATTTGCGTATGATCACATTTGCGTATGAACACATTTACGTATGAACACATTTGCGTATGTACACATTTGCGTATGATCACATTTGCGTATGAACACATTTACGTATGAACACATTTACGTATGAACACATTTACGTATGAACACATTTGCGTGTGTCCATATATGCGTGTAACTTTCCTATCAGCACAGGAATGTGCACAATTATTACCAGTCTCAGCATTTATGAGGGAACACATTTTGGCTTGTAAAAATAAATCTTTCTGCTTTTCCATGGTATCCAACTCTTTGAGACGAAAAAACTCAGTTGCATAACTTTTCGTATGTTTGCTTTTACATTCAAATAGACAGTAATCATGTGGGCACCACAAATTATACATGATGTGAAATAGAGAAAGGTTAAAGTTGTGTTGTTTAGCACATCTGTACGTGTACAGAATATTTTGAATTCTTGCATGAATAAAGTTTATGCTTACTAAAATTCCTTTGTACTTTGTGCCGTGCGCTATCAGTAATTTTAAAAATTTCTTGCACGCTTTGCAATAGTCGGATGGGGTGTCCAGCATTTGTAAGCATGTCGTGTGTATATTTTCGGCACTGACCTCGTGGGTCCCATTTTCTGCACCGGCCCCGTCCGTCACACCTTCGCTGTGCTTACCGTGTGCACATTTCCCCTTGCTTGCCTGGGCACATTTGTAAAACTTATTGTAGAATTTTTTGACTTTCTCCTCTTCTCTCTCCTGTATGCAATTAAAAGTATTGTCATAGTTTAAATCTACCTGGTAGGCCTCTTCCGCACTAAATACCTTTTTAAAGGATACATTTTTAAGAATATCTTTTTTTTCACCATTTGCAAGATTTACACTACTGTTCTTGCTTTTTTTTTGTGCACTTGCAATAACTATGTTATTCATTTTAGCGTTAACTTTATTATTTTTCCGTTTTACTGAAAAAGGTATTTTAACAAAACTAAAAGTATTAATTCCATTTGCATTCATTCCGTCTGTGCAATTTTTTAAATTGTTGTTTTTTGTATTTCTACATTTATAAGCACTTTCTTCTGAACGGCAAGGTAAATTTTTATTCTCGTGTAAAAATATGACATCGTCGCTTTCTCCTGAAGTATCAACTTTAACTTTTTTTTTATTATTCTCCAAACGGTTATTACTTTTGTGTTCACTGGGAAATTTTAATATAAAATCACGTGGTCTTTTATTGATGTTTAATAATCCCTCCTTCAAAAGGCGTAAGGAGTGCTTATTATTTCCTTTCTTATTTCCTTTTCCGTAAATAATATTTGAATTTTTTTCTTCATTGTTCTTCGTGTTAATAGAACTTTTTAAAATTGCATCATTGTTCCTCTTAACAAAGGTACTTATATTTCTGTGTGTAGGTATTTGTATGGGCGATATGTTTCTTGTTATGTTTTTTTTTTTTTTCTTTTTTTTTTTTTCATTCTTTTCAAGAGTGTGTATTTTTGGAAATCCGTTGTGTTGTTCATTTTCCTGTATTGATCTTCTTCTTTCAAATGGGTACAATGGTGTGGTACGTTTCACGGGGGAAATTCGTTTTCTTATTTCGTCTACAATTCTTAGTGAGCTATGCTTCGTGGAATGGTTCATGCATTTTTTCTTCTGAGGATGCTCCTTCGTCTCATATGTGTCCTGATGGTGAAACTTGTTTTGTTGACTATTCTTCTCCTCGTCCTCATTTTGTGACCCGTTTTCAGGAATAATTCCCCCATCACTTGGGTCGCTGCTCTGTTTGAGAATTTTCTTTTTGCTCAAGGTGTCATCAACATGTTGTTCACCCTCCTTAATGTCACTCCTTTTCATCTTTCCCGCTTCGAATTTTTCTTAAATATTCGTTTTGCTTTACATAAATTGAGTTCTTTGTAATATACCTATTTTCCCCTTTTTTTTTTTTTTTTTTTTTTTTTTTTTTTGCGCACAAAAGTTGTAGTTTTAAAACTGAGCTTGACCATATTTTCCTAGGTCATGTGTTTTAATTTTTTTTTTTTCTTTTTTTTTTTCAAAAATTTTGTAAGATTGGGGATGTGTTAAAAAGAAACACAAAATGTCATGTGCCTTTAGTTTGGCTTAGTTCTTCTTTTTTTTTTTTTTTTCAAAAATTTTGCATGATTGGGGATGTGTTAAAAAGAAACATAAAACGTCATGTGCCTTAATTTTATTTATTTTTTTTTTTTTATTTTATTTTTTTTCAAAAATTTTGACTTATCCGTAAAGAAAAACTAGTTCTTTACATTTGTATTTTATTTTGGAAATTATTTCCTTTTTCTATAAGAATGTGTAGGAATAAAATATATGGTATATTATGTTTAAACAAACGGTTAGCAAGAAAAAAAAAATTAAAAAAAAAAAAAAAAAGTTTCCATTTTTTATACTGGATTGACTCATAATATATGTGGGTTGTGAATGGACAGATAAAAAAAGACGATCCGATCCTGTAACACATTCACCTTATGCATATATATATACAAAAATGTGTTAATTTGAATAAATGGTACGATATATTTTTTTTTTTTTTGATGTTTTTTTAAAAATTTTTAATTTTGTAATTTTTTCTTCCTGCTTGCACGGCTTGCATAATTGTTAACAACTTAGTGAACTCAAAATGGGCTATACCCATGTATACATGTGTGTATGTGTGTGAGTTTTTTTTTTTTTTTTTTTTTTTTTATTCTTCTGTTCTATGATACTATTTTTGACACGCACAAGTGCATGCCTTATGTATACTCATCTATTATGTAGGTGGTCTCTGTTTTCTTTCTTTTTTCTTTTATCTTTTTTTTTTTGACTTGATTTCGGAGTTCGTTCATAATTGATATTCACTTTTTAACAACAAATATGTATTTTATTTATGCCTCATTCATTCTAATTAATTTTTACGGTTTTAACAAACCTTGACCGATGAGTGTGCAATATATATACATATATATGTGTATAATAGGATGACGTAAAGAACGGGGCTAAAGATGGAAATTTTTTTTTTATCATTTTTTAGTTGTTAGCCAATTTTTATATGACTCTGAAATTTTGTAGAGTGTTACAAATCTCACAAAGTTGATGCTCTTCCCATCGATTTTGGTATTTTACGAGGATACAAAAGTGAACAAGAAGCTTATAGATTATGAAAAAGGTGTTGAAATATGATACACACATAATGGGGTTGGAGTAAAGGGCAGCAGTGTTATAACAACCACACCTCTCACTAAAGAAGAGATAAGTACTTTTATGTTTTTATTTTTATTACTTTTTTTTTTTGTAAAATGGTATATCAAATTGTCACAATACCCATCCTCCCGACACCCGTTTATCCCTGTTAAATGTGAAAAACCGAATGTTGCCTCATCCCAAAAAATGTGTTTCGCACGTTTCTGTAATGCATGTATATATATATATATATATATACATACATGTAGCTGTATAAACCTGATGACGCATGTATTCTGGTTATAGTTTCTGCTGGCGTGAAAGTCTCTCCCTAGTTCATCCTTTTTCGAAAAGGAAGTATATAGTTTATATTATGTACTCACATGTAGGGAACTGTATTTACACATGACTCTGCAAAATTAGAAAAAAATTTTCTTCTTTCTCTCTTTTAGAAGTTAAAACAAATGGTAAATGAGATTAAAACCGTTTTTTTTTTTAAACAGGAATAGGAGGTAATATATATAAAATATAGCACTCGCAGGCCAAAAACACATAACGGAAAGGAAAGCGTCAAAAGCACAAAAAATGAACGAAGAAAGAAGGGTCCTCCAATAGCAGAAGAAAATGTTTCAACTATATTATTTAAAACTTTATCTTTTTTTTTTTTCTCATTATTGGGTGGCCTAGCGAGTTTATATATATATATATATATTCTCCATTTGTGCATAGCGAATGTAGGTTTTTTTTTTCCAATCCATATATATGTGAAACATAACAGGATCTGTCATATTCACCTTCCCTTTTTTGCACCACGATATATATATACACTCTCCTCACCTTCACCCTGGCACCACTGAAATTATCGCAACACTGTTGTGCAATGAATTCGGAATAAAGTTCAAAAATGAATGATACTTTTTTCAAAACAAAGTTTTCCCCTAATCCTACAATAAATTTATGGTAAACCCAAATAATTCTTGGAGAAAATATAATTACATCACAAAAAAAAAAAAAAAAAAAAAAAAAAAAAAGTACACAAATAAGCATACGCATAAATCATATTTGTGTATACAGCGTATCATATTTGACCACTAAATTATTTCCTCTTCAAAGGAATTTTTTTTTCGTTTTTTTTATTTTTTTTTTCTTTTTTAAAGGGACACAAATACTTGTATTATTTCCCCCAATTGAACGCAAGCCCAGTGCTGCAGCAAAAAAAAGTGTCGACGCATTTTACGCTTGTAACAATGGGTATTTATTTATACGTGTAAACAACTGAACCTGAAAAAAAAAAAAAAAAAAAATCGTATGTTTTTAAAAAATAAATAAAAAAAAATAAAAAAAATTAGGAAAGGAAAAAGGTGAAAAAGGGGCAGAAAAAAAAAATAAAAAAATAAAAAAAAAAAAAAAAAAAAAAAAAAAAAAAAAAAAAAAAAAAAAAAATCGTGACTTGAAACAGGAACGAAAGAAATTTATATATATTGTAAATACATGGATGGAGAAGAAGCTACACTATTTCTTTCATTTATAAAAAAAAAAAAAAAAACCTTTTGAGTCAAATAATTATAAATTGATCGTATACGTAACATCCTAAAGTGTAAATATCATACATATAATTTCACTTACCATATGCGCACGTACTAATTACGTACTTTTGTCACAAACTACAATTTAGCACATTAATAAACTTCGTACAAGAAAAATACCACCCCATCAATATGTCACTACAAGTAATGGATCAAAATGATTTTCAGCATATACTGAGAATCTTGAACACAAATGTTGATGGAAAGGAAAAGGTTATCATTGCCCTAACAGCCATAAAGGGAATTGGAAAAAGGATGGCCACTGTAATTTGTAAGCAGGCCAATGTGGACGCAACTAAAAGAGCTGGAGAACTCACAACTGAGGAAATTAATAATGTAAGTGAAGAAGAGGAAAAAATAAATTATGCTAAACAGGCATATATATAGAATATGTGATGATGAACTGGTTTCTAAGGCTATACATTCCCTCGAAGTGAATGTAAATGAACACACTTTTTCGTTCTTCTTGATATTCCCATTTATTGTTTAAAGATGAAATCAAGAAATGGAAAAAAAAAAAAAAAAAAAGATGAAAAAGTTATGAATATTCTAATGGTTAAGTCGTTTTGTCCTTTTGTGCATCCATGATTTATGCCTTTTTTTTTTTTTGTGATAAGCAAATGTAGAAAAATGTAAAACGTATGATGGGTGTATGAGATAACTCATTTTTAAGCTAATTTTACACCAAAAGAAGAAAAAAAAAAAAAAAAAAAAAAAAAAATACTTACGTAGAATGAGTTTCAGTTAACAATGCATATTGTATTGGTTGTTATGCTATCATATATCCGAAGTAGTATACTTGCATATGCATAAAAAATCCATATAAATTTAACCACTCATTATATTCCCCACACACATTCACTTGCTGCCCATTAACAGATCGTACATATAATGAATGCTCCATCACAATTCAAAATCCCAGACTGGTTTTTAAACCGAAGGAAGGATTTAAAGGAAGGAAAAAATCTGCATGTTATTGCTAACCAACTGGATTCATACTTACGTGAAGATTTAGAAAGAATGAAAAAAATCAGATTGCACAGAGGTTTACGTCACCACTGGGGATTAAGGGTTCGAGGTCAACATACCAAAACTACTGGACGAAGAGGAAGAACTGTTGGTGTTTCCAAAAAGAAGGGAGCGTAAATGAATTAGGATCTAGCGATTTCCGCATTTCTTCATTTCTGAATTTTTTTTTTTTTTTTTTTTTTTTTTCTGAATGTATGTATGTGCATACTTTTTTTTTTTTTTTTTTAACACGTTTTACATGAGTGTTCATAAAATTTATGTAAAAAAAAAAAAAAAAAAAAAAAAAAAAAAAGAACTAACGAACGAACGGACAAACACAATTTTGTTTACGATATTGCTTTATATATTTATATGGTAAAACTTAACCCTGCTGTAGGAATATGAAAAACGGCTTTTTGAATCGGTTTTTAAGAATAAATTTTGCAAAACAAAGTTGTAAGAAACCACGTATAAAAACGTTGAATATATTCTGTGTTTATTACCCCAATTTGTGTGTGTGTGGGGGTTGCTATATCACTCTAATATATACAACTCAGCGTTTATCATGAATTATGAATGGTAAAAATATCGTTTTTTGTAGTTGTTTCTAAATGTTTAAAATGAAATATATGTGCTTACATAAAGGGGTTTCTAAATGTGCTAAATCTTGAACAACTTTTTACACAGAACAAACTGGTTTCGGTTAATTCAAATGTATTTTTATGGCCTTCATATCCCCACTTTGATGTTTTGGCAGACAAGTTCCCACAAATAACGAGATGGAAATATATGTACATCCCCTATATTGGGCTTGTAAAAAACGTCACGTAAATTCTCCTTTTGTATGTGTAATTTTCCATCATATTTAAAATCTACGTTTTGCTGCACATAAATATATTAAATATTTATGAAAAGCTCATTTTATGTATCCCTTTCAACATATATATATATATATGTACCATTTAAAAAAAAATTTTTTTGTTTTAAACGAATGGACAATGAAATATGTGAACTTCAACCGATGCACATTTTTTTGTTGTGCCTTTGCAAAATTTTTCCCCCTTTCCCCCCAAATGTATTATTGGACGTTTCACCATTTAATTAGTTTTCCAGCTTGTCATTCTAATACTTAGGTTGACTTATAATTGAACCAACATTGATCTTATTAGCTCATTTTGTGAAAAAGAAAAAAAGAAATATAAGTTCTTCCGAGAAATTTTTAATTCAGTAGGAGAGTTGATATATATTTATTTTATTCATTTTTTTTTTTTTTTTTTTTCATTTTTACCTAACTATATCCACTTACCAGTGCATGGCAATATGTTCGGCTAAGCAAAAGGTAGAACGAGAGCATGTACGAGAAATAAAGGGGCTAAAACGATTCACAACAAAAAAAAAAAAAAAAAAAAAGAAAAAAAAAGAGCGTAAAAAAAGAGAAAAAAAAAAAAAAGGGCTACCATTAAATAAATGTCATCTTTTATTAACACCTTTTGAACAGGAATAAACACATACATGTGTATCAACTTGTTGAATAAAAAATTTCTGAACCTCATAATTTAAAATAGTTTTGTATAGAATAAGAGTGTCTATTCCTATGGATAATGATTGATCTGTCCGTGCAATATTTTTTAAAGTAACTATTTTATTCTACACTCACTAAGACAGATTTGCACATACAATCCTACTAAGAAGTACTTTTTTGATTTGCACAAATGGAGATAAAAGGTGTACTCTTAAAAAAAAAAAAAAAAAAAAAAAGCAATAGCCTTATGAAGACTTGATTTTCCTTTCATTACAATATTTTTCCTTAAAAGGAGTATACAAAAACTTTAGGGTAAAGTTTAAGTCAATTTTGTCACTTATTGTGTGTAGAGAGGGTGAAATGGAAGAAGTGGCAAAAGTGGCAAAAATGGAAGAAGTGGCAAAAGTGGCAAAAATGGAAGAAGTGACAGAAGTGGCAGAAGTGACAGAAGTGGCAGAAATGGAAGAAGTGACAGAAGTGGCAGAAATGGAAGAAGTGACAGAAGTGGAAGGAACGGACATAGTAAAACATTGCCTGAATGAATTTAAAATGGATATTTCTTTTTTCACAGAATTGCATAAACGAAAAATTGAAGTGTATAAGCAACGTTGTGAGTATGTTAAGCTCCTTTCAAAAACACACGTAAATAAAATAAAAATCGGATCTAAAGTTCGAATTCAGCAGAATAATTTAAATGTAATACATTTTGAGTATCCTTATGTCCGTGCGAGCGTAGTGGAAGTTGATAAGAAATCTTTTATGGAACTCGAGGGGAAAGTTAATGAAACTGCAATAGAAAGGAAGCAACATGAAGATAACAACGAAATGGACACAATTACACCACATAAAGATAGACATCATGTCATAGAAAATGAAGAGAAAGGAAAAAAACATAATGAAACGAATGAAATGATAACAAATAGCGAGAAAAATATCCAAGTGAATAAATTTAAAAAAATATATCAAGGTATTTTACTAAATTTCAATACTCTGGAAGAATTTTTAACTACACAAAGAGATACACATATTAATTACACGCTAAATGATTTGAAAACTTATATGAAAAAGAATAACATTATGGATAATCTGGATAATGATGAATTAAGAAATGAAAATATTTATGAGGACAGATTTTGGGAATATAAAGATGAAAATGAGTTAAATTATTTTGAAAAAATAAACAAATATTTAATATTGACCTTTTTCGATCTGAAAAATTGTTTATGCTACTACAGCATAGCAAATCCTGTCTTAAAACCTCCTATCAATTTTAAATTAATAGAACCAAGTGAACGATTATTTTTTTATGTAGACTCAGAAAGGGTATACATAAATTCACAGATGAATCAAATTAATGTCGTAGATATGCTTTACTTATCTCATAAAATTGATAACTTCTTTGATGGTTACAAAATGTTCATTAACTCAGGGATATTTCTTTTGTTAAAGTTTGATATGAATACTTTTTCTGATCAACAACCTTTTATCGATGCGGACGGATATAAGACATGTTTGAAGAATTTGCATTGCCATTTTGCAAAAACACAGTTGCATGGAGAAGACATATTTTTATCCATGAATAGCATCAAAAGTGTGTATGAATATTTGGCTAGCTTCGAATCGAAGGGTCATAAAAGATATGAAAGCAGACGAAAGGAGCACAGGGAAAAAAGTACTGGAAATGAACGCAGTTGCACCGCTAATCCCGAGGATGAATGCAAAAAGTGTTGTTCATGTAGTTATGACAACTCTGGAAAAACTCCCTATCCTAGTTATGATGATCCATGTATGACATTACGCAAACATTGTGGAATTGTTGCACTACCTATAAGCTGCTTGAGCGAATTGAAGGAGGATTTGAAAAATCAAAAGGAAAAAAAATTAAAGGATATTAAAAAAAATATGTTCCATTTGTATATATGTTTAATTGATCCAAATTGCACATTCAATTCCTTGGGGTGGGATTTCAGAAATTTCTTATATTGTCTTTCCCTGAAATATGCATTGTATGATTTTGAGATTGAGGTACTTGTCTTCAGGGATACATCTCTCTTTTCTGACAATGTCATATGCAAATTCAACAAGTATGGAGAATTGGTTTGGACATATCCTTACATAGGAACTTCCATGATGAGCGACGTTCGTGATATGAACCATACTCATTCTACATCTATTTCAAACTGTTCCTTCTCCAATTTGTCACAAATCATCATCGAAGATTACGCGCGCATATTTCAGAGGATCGAAAATGATAGGACAAGACAAAATGAAAATCATGAATTGGCAAATGGACATATCGAGGGAAAAAGAAATGAAGACAACTTGCTTTATGTTCCAGAAGAGGAAATTCACATCTTAGAAAAAGAATCGACAGAAGGAATTCCAAACATAATGACAGATGTAGCCCACTCCTGGAACAGATGCAAACCTCTTGTTAAGTACTTCTTAAATTCGTCTATTTTTAAGATAAAAGTTCCAAATAAGCAGGGACTGGGGATTGATGTGAACATGGGAGATTCCAGCGGTTGCACTGACGTGTGGAAGATGAAAGAAAATCACAAGAATGTCAATCACGAGAATGTCAATCACGAGAATGTTAATCACGAGAATGTTAATTACGAAAATGTCAATCATGAGAATGTAAAAACCCGTTCGACAGTTTGTAGATCGAGCGGCATGCCAAGTGTCTGGAGAAATGACCACGTGGGAGGTAAGGCCGTGAGGGATACTACTGAGCAATTTCCCAGGAGTGATACAGTGGGTGGATGGAAAAGACAGAGAGAATGGCAAAACAAAAGGAAAAGAGAAAGTAGTGTATACAAAATAAGTCTGAAGGAGTTTTTAAATAAAAGCACAATACAGAGAATATCACTCGAACTGAATATAAAATTAATAAAATGGAAAATATTAAAAGATTTAAAATATGATAAGATAAGAACATTGAAAGTATTAATTATAGGTATGGGTACATTAGGATGTATGGTAGTAAGAAATTGTGTATCGTGGGGAATACAAAATTTTACATTAATTGATAACGCACGAGTATCTTTATCAAATGTGAGTAGACAATATCTGTACACAATTTCTGATGCAGAATGTTATGGAAATATTGGTGAATATAAATCCATTGCTGCGAAGAATAATTTGTTAAAAATTTCTCCAGATTTGAATATCAATGCAAAAGTAATGGACATACCTATGCCTGGTCATTTGAATTATTTAAAAGATGGAAATATAAAAAAAACACAAGAAACTATGAAAGAATTAGATCAATTAATATCAAACCATGATGTTGTTTTTTTATTAACGGATTCGAAAGAATCCAGATATTTTCCATGCTTATTAATAGCAGAAAAGCAATATAACAGTTTAAAGGAAATACAAAATATGAATCACTGTAAAGACAAAACAGAGATTTCTCTCTTGGATAATAACACAACATATTTTGATACACTCATGGGTAATTTTAATTGTGCATATATGAAGATAGTACAAAAAGAAAACACATCAGAAGAAGAAATAAATTATGATAGACAAACATTTTACAATAATATAATTATGAATGTAAGCAAATTGATCAAAATGCCTCCCTTAGGTATCACAATTGCAGTTGGGTTTGATTCTTTTCATATATTGAGACATCCATATTTATATTTTAAAGGCGCTTGTTACTTTTGCAATGATATGCATTCACCATCCGATTCGATATCCTATCGATCCATTGATGAAAAGTGTACAGTTGTTAGAAGTGGAATAAGCAGCATAAGCAGTAGCTTATCGACAGAATTATTAATGTCATTAACTCAACACCCACTATATTTCTTTGCTCCGCACACAGAGACAGATCAGTATATTTATAAAAACGACAATGGGGATAGTCATAATATGAGAAAAGAAGAAACAAAGAAAAACGAATTTTCAAATTCATTCGTTTCATGTTTAGGTTCCACACCACATATTTTATCTTTTAACTTGGCAAACTTTTCTCTGAAGAAATTGTTTAGCAGTGCATTCGACAAATGCTTGTGTTGTTCAGAAAAAGTTATTTTGCATTATCAACAGAATAGGGAATCTTTCATCCAGAATGTTAGCATGGAGGGTGGAGGATTCTGTGCCCAAAATGGCACAAGTTGCTGGCCATACGAGATGAGGGATATGGGATGAGAGGCGGTATATTACAAATGAGGATGTAAAATGCTTGGGATGTTCTCACCCCATCACCTTTACACACAGACACTTATGAATGAGTTCCTTCTTCTCATCCTTTTTTTTTTTTTTTTTTTTTTTTTTTCCCGTGAAGCTCATCTTTCCACCTTCCTTCTTTTTGCAGGTCATCAGGGATAGCCAAGTTCTCGAAAGAATTACCAATATGCATCAGTTCACAGCAGAGGAAGGAGACGTAATATTGTTGGATTAGGTTTTGTAATTTGGCCCTTTTGGCTTATCTGATTGATTTATTTTGCAATTTATTTTGCAATTTATTTTGCAATTTATTTTACTATTTATTTTACTTTATTTTATTTATATATATATATATATATATATATTTTTTTTACCCTATGTGATTATACAATAATGTAGTGCCAAGTTTAGTCGCATTTTCCATGTATTCTGTCTGGTGCCTTTTTTTTTTTTTTTTTTTAATTTTTTTGATTTAAAAAAAAAGAGAAAAACGAAAAGGTTTTGTGTGGCATATAATTTTTCTGTATTACCTTTTTAAGAGTTTTTTCTGTATCCCTGAACTTGCACCTTATTCATATTTTTTTTTTTTTCCCCTTTACTTAAATCTGGCATAGTAGAATACACAAACAAGAGTGTTTTTTTCTTACGTGTTTGTTGTTCATGGAGGTGTTACACTGGTCGAATTTCCTCTTTTTTGTGACACATCCACAGAACAAAATATTAAAAAAAAAAGAAGGAAAATTAGGTGATAAAATTATATCGGATGTGAAGTGAATGTCATGTTGCGTTATGTGATATACCATGCAATTTGAAGTGGTGCAATCTGAAGGACACAGTCCTGATCCTGGCAAGAAAAAATGTATCCTTTCTGGAACACCCCAAGAAAGAAAAAGTAAAAAATAATAAAATAAAAAAAAGCTGATAGGTATGAGATTACTCGCACAAACGCATGCATAAATATTCCACAATATAATATAATATGTTTATATATTTTGTATAATCCATACATTTTAAGTGCCTTACGTGAAGCACGCAATTTCGGATTTTGTTTGATTTTTGCCTTGCTTTCATTTCGTGAAGCAACGAGATAACCCAAGTGGACTTTAACAAAAGAGCCATCACATTTTGAAAATAATTCGAAGCGTAGAGGTAACATCTCGAAGCAGTTTTAAGAAATTCCCTCTATTCAATTCGCCACTGATGTGCTGCGTGGAAATGAAAAAAAAAAAAAAAATATAACCAAAAAATAAGGCCAAAAAAGTAAAACCAAAAAATAAGGCCAAAAAATAAGGCCAAAAAATAAGGCCAAAAAATAGAGCCAAAAAAGTAAAACCAAAAAATAGAGCCAAAAAAGTAAAACCAAAAAATAAGGCCAAAAAATAAGGCCAAAAAATAGAGCCAAAAAAGTAAAACCAAAAAATAGAGCCAAAAAAGTAAAACCAAAAAATAGAGCCAAAAAATAGAGCCAAAAAATAAGGCCAAATTGCATTATTGGAACATTTAAGATAACTTTGGGTGACCTTGAGTAGACCAAACGTCGTTATCCACCCTTTTTTTTTTTTTGAATATCGAGATGTTTGCAACTGTTTCAGAGCATGTACAAAGTCACGCATGAAGTTCCCATGTGATTGACAAGTTTGTGTACATTTCTACTGACAGAAACTGCTAAAATAACTTTCACAAAAAAAAAAAAAAAAAAATGTATGAATGAGAAGAGGAGTTTTAAGCTTTTGCCTTTTGCTCACGAACACGTGTAACAATATAAACACGATATACCCTTCTCTGTTCATACCAGCCTTGGGAAAAATAAAAAACAGAGTTTCTCACCTTTCAAATGTTAGTGTAGCAAAGAGCTGCATCACAAAGAACAGCGACATCACAAGGAACAACCGTATCACAAAAAAGAACCTCATCACAAGGAACACATTTTGTATGATAAAAAGATCTCTTTATCTAGACAATCTTAAAAAGGTTAATAATATATGTAAGAAGAAAAAAAACATTTTTCTGTTTAACAAATTGTTTTCAAAAAAAATGGCATCTACCACCAGCTGTGTTCATAATAATTTTGACGATATGGAGAAATTAAAAAAGAATTTCGTGCAAAAAGAAAACCCGGATTTTATTTACGAGAGGTTGGAAATATTTAAGAAATTGAAAGAAAAGAAAAAACATGAAAAAGAATTACTACTTAAAAATTCTGAAAGTATAGAGCGAAACATAAATGTGGAATTGTTAGATGGGTCTATTAAACATGGAGAATATAACATCACCACTCCGTTTCATATTGCTAGCTCCATTTCGAAGCGGTTGGCTGAAGATTCTATTGTTGCACGTGTAACTTATCTTGAAAAGGTAGATCTAGAATTGTGTGACATAGAGGAGGAGGAAGAGGTGGCAAGCGGAAAATCAGGCGAAGCAGAAAAACCAGGTGAAGAGAAAAAATCAGAAGAGAAAAAATCAAATTGCAAATTGGACGGAACGACACTTCTATGGGACATGAATGTTCCGCTTCTAGGAAATTGCAAAATTGAATTTCTAAACATGGAAAATGAAGGTGCAAAGAAAATATTTTGGCACTCATCTGCACATATCTTAGGCAGTAGTTTGGAAAAGCTGTTCGGTGGATATTTGACAATAGGACCTGCACTGAAAGAAGGGTTTTATTATGATATATTTTTAGGTGATTTTGCAATCAGTAATGAACATTATAAAAGAATAGAAGACGAATTTAATAAACTAGTTAAGGAAAATGCAGAATTTGAAAAGCTTATATGCACAAAAGAAGAAGTGATGGAGTTGTTCAAATACAATCCTTTTAAACTAGAATTAATAAAATCTAAAATTCCTGATAATAAGAAAACTTCTGTTTATAAATGTGGTAATTTTATCGATTTATGCTTAGGTCCACATTTAAAAAATACAGGAAAGGCAAAAGCTTTTAAAGTACTAAAAAATTCAGCAGCTTACTGGTTAGGTAACAAAAATAATGATAGTTTACAAAGAGTATATGGAATAACATTTCCAAAAAAAACAGAATTAAATGATTATTTAAAATTCTTAGAAGAGGCAAAAAAAAGAGATCATCGAAATGTTGGAAAAAAATTAAATTTCTTCTTTTTTGACAAATACACATCCCCAGGTTCATGTTTTTGGTTACCACATGGAGCAAAAATTTATAATAAATTAATAGATTTTGTAAGAAGAGAATACAGAATAAGAAAATATGAAGAAGTAATAACACCAAATGTTTTTAGTTGCGATTTATGGAAAACGTCTGGTCATTATCAAAATTATAAAGATTGTATGTTTATTTTTAATGTAGAAAATAAGGAATGGGGAATGAAACCTATGAATTGTCCAGGCCATTGTACAATGTTTAAACAATTAAATGCATCTTATCGATCTTTGCCTATCAGATTAGCTGATTTTGGTGTTTTACATAGAAATGAAATTACAGGTAGTTTAAGTGGTTTAACACGAGTACGACGATTTCAACAAGATGATTCTCACATTTTTTGTACTTTTGATCAAATAAAACAAGAAGTTTTAAGTACTCTTCATTTCATATTTTTTATTTATGATTTATTCGGTTTTAAGTATGAACTTTATTTATCTACAAGACCTAATAAATTTATTGGATCCATTTCTACCTGGGATTTTGCAGAACAGGCATTAAAAGATGCACTAAATTCAGCTAACATCAAATGGAAATTGAATGAAGGAGACGGGGCTTTTTACGGTCCTAAAATTGATATTCTCCTAAAGGATAGCATTCATCGCACGCACCAGTGTGGAACCATTCAGCTCGATTTCCAACTCCCCATTAGGTTCAATCTGCAGTACAAGAACAGGGACTTCGGTGCGATGGAGGAAGAGGAGAAAGAAGCGGAAAAGAAGGAGGATGAAGCGGAAAAGAAGGAGGATAAAGCGGAAAATAAGGAGGGTGAAGCGGAAAAGAAGGAGGGTGAAGCGGAAAAGAAGGACGTTGAAGCGGAAAAGAAGGAGGACAGTGCGACGGATCAGCTAAAAAGAGGATTCGATAGACCAGTCATCATTCACAGAGCCATACTAGGATCAGTGGAAAGATTCGTTGCAATCCTTATTGAACACACAGCGGGGAAGTTGCCCTTCTGGTTATCTCCTAGACAAGCCATCGTTTTACCTGTGAGCGACAAATTCAATGAGTATGCGAATTACGTGTATGACACGTTGAATAATCATTTCTTCGATGTGGAAATAGATACATCATTGAATACTTTAAATAAAAAAATAAGAGAAGCACAATTAAATCAATTCAACTTCATCTTGGTTGTGGGTGAAAAGGAATTAACAACGAACACTGTTACGGTTCGAAATAGAGATGACCAGAATAATCATGAGGTGTACTCCATTGAAGAGCTCATTGCCCATTTCAATAAACTCCTCAACGTAAATTCGAAGATGTTTAATCAGGTGAAGCCCTTCAAGTGAGATTTGTGCCTCCTCCGCGCTTTGCAGCGGAACGTTTGCGACGACCGGTTTTTCCCTCCAAATTTTTTAGCAATTTTTCGCCAAATTTTTCCTACCCATGCAATTCTCCATTCTTGTCATACCGTAAGACCACACCCGTTTCCAACGGAACATATGTATTACGTATATATTATTGAGGCGTACGCACGGGGAAAAAGGAGAAAAATTATACATGTGTAACGCTCCGGTTGTCATGTGATATACCCATACAGTGCACATGCCATATTATCAGCACTAGATGCACTGAGCCAAAGCGCGTGGCTCCATTTCATTGTGCATATAATATTGTGAAGATTAATGATATTGTTTTTTAAAAAAACGAAAAAAAAGTTAAAAATGTATGAATTCTTAGATCCTTACAAGTACTATCTTTGTGCACGAGCATTTGTTATTTTACTACCATGTTATTGCTATTTTATTGCTATTTTATTGCTATTTTATTACTGTTTCTTTTACCCCACCCCTATCTTTGATTTGCAAAATTGTGTAAGCGATTGGAAGAAGATCGATTTGGGAATTGTCATAATCAGGTTAGCTGATATATTATGGTAGTAGGGAGATGGATGATAGTTCAGATGAGGAACAAGGTCTGATAGGACATTCGGTTGGTGCCTCTTCCATGTGGTGCTTCAGCGTATCGGTTTGTTCAGTTTATGTGTTATTGTAGGTATATATCATTTCGAAAAAAATGAAAAAAATGCAGGCAATTTTTTCTTCTCAGGGATTTTACAAATGGTGGTTAAAAACATGTTAACATTCTTGAGGACAGGTTTAATAGTTCATTTTGAGTTCAGTGCTGATGTGTTATATTGCAATATATTGTATTGAAAAGTATTGTATTGCAGTGTATTTTATTGAAATGTATTGTATTGTGTTGTATTATTTTTATTTTTTCCCCCGCATAAAGGTGAAAACACTTGGGGGCGGACGATACCTACGAACACATGGGGACCATCCCATTTTTCCACCACCCTCTCCTCATCGTTAACTATCTTCATACATACGCATTTGTTCAACCACTTGCGAACTATATGTACAGCTTAAGTATTTCATGTTGTAATACATATGGCCCATTTTGGAAAACTTATCAACATCAATTTTTAAGTTATTCTGTTTATGATAATTTAACATTTTCAACAGAAATTCTTTTCGCTTCATCCATTGTCCCGTAGATTCCCATTCTTTTCGAGTATTTGCGTCGATCAGCACTTTTTTCTCTTCTTCAGTGAAATTCTCTTCATTCAATTTTTGTTGTGTCCGTTCATCCATGGGTTGTAGCAAAGAGGTGAGGAAAAAAAAAAAAAAAAAAAAAAAAAAAAAAAAAAAAAAAAAAAAAAAAAAAAAAAAAAAAAAAAAAAAAAAAAAAAAAAAGAAACAGAAAAAGAAAAAGAAAAAGAAACAGAAAAAGAAAAAGAAAAAGAAAAAGAAAAAGAAAAAGAAACAGAAAAAGAAAAAGAAAAAGAAAAAGAAACAGAAAAAGAAAAAGAAAAAGAAAAAGAAAAACTCCGCTCTTTTCACACCTAATTGGGAATACTAAAGATATGATCCTACTAATGTATCACTTCAGAGTACCTATGTGTGTCTGGTTACTAGTGGTGATCATTCAATTATTTTCAGCTAAGTGGATGTTACATTAAATTTTCTCTTTTGATATGTTCCTATCCTATTGCCATTTTCAACTGAGGTGAAAATTTCTTATTCTTTTTTATATTTTTTTTTTTTAACACGAGATATGGAACTTTCCTTTAGATATATAATTTGTAAGCAAGAGATTCTGGGTGCTCAGCAAAAGTATCTTTTGTTATTTTTCTTGTTTTCCCCACTTTGTATTTTTTTTTTTTTTTTTTTTTTTTTTTCTCATGCTTATTTATGGTTCCCTACTTATCCTTGCTTCAACAATTCTTTATTTGTGCCGCAATGCATCAACAGTTCTGTTGCAGAGTGTTTTATACATTTATATATATATATATATATATCACCTATCTGTGTGTTTAGCGTGTCAGTTGATAACATTTTCTACTTCAAGGCTTTCATATTACTTTAACTGTTCTCGGTTTTTTCAGTTGTTCATTTTTCGTTTATTTATTCATGCTTGAATTTTCTTCTTTCTTCTGTGATCTTTTTTTATTCTTTTTTTTTTTTTTTTTTTTTTTTATCTCTCCAGCAAATGGATGATCAAGCGGAATACGACATTTTGGCTAGCACTTATCATTTTTTTTTTTTTTTTTTTTAATTTTTTCTAAATATTGCATTACATCATATGGACAAGGGTTTTTAAAATTAGAAACATTCTCATGTAGGAACCATCCATTCTAACATTTTTTTTCTTTAGCTTCTTACATGATTAAGAAAAAAAAAAAAAAGAATTTGGAAAATTCTCCACATTAGTAACCTTAACATCAAATAAAAAATTTTCCATCCAGTGGGAAAATATCAAAAATGAGGATCAAAAAAGGTACCAAAAAAAGGGACCAAAAAAAGGGACCAAAAAAGGGACCAAAAAAGAGATCACCATCATCAATTTTGAATTTTTCTTTTTTTTGGACAAATAGCTCTGCAGAATATGTGATGCACATATACATACATATATATATAGGTATAAGTTACAAACTGGAGCATTTTTTTTTTTTTTTTTTCGACACTTCCTCGCACATATCATATTACTGGGAAAAAGACAAGCATTGTTTATGTGTCGACGGATAAAAATGCATTAACCGCTAAGATGGAGTAATGAAAACATATAGCTAAGATTTGTTCAAGAGTGTTCTTTTTTTTTTTTTATAGTTTTCGTTTTATGGATTCTCTGCATGAGTGAAAGGAGAATTTCCTCAAGCCTCAGTGTGTGTGGATCCTCGCATTTATATATATATATATATAAATACAATAAATACACATAAATACTCATATATATATTTATATATATATGTATGTAAAATGTAGATAAACGCATGCTGAAGCAATGGTGCATGATCCATCGACAGTTTTTTTTTTTTTTTTTTTTTTCACATGTCAACTACACATAGAACAAATCCCTACTTGCGCTAAACGTCGCATCAATTTCTTCATTTTGAAAGATTCTTCACTATAACGTTTTTTCCCATGCCCAATTCGAAAGCATAAATGTGTGCTATTGTGAACACTGAAAAAATGATCAATAAACGCAAGGGGAAATGTATACAACGCCTACCTAAATTATATCAAAAGAATTTCCATACATCATCCGAATGCTTGGGTGTGGTGCCCCATATGAGGATAATGAGGAAATCAAATTATGAGATAATTGTGCATTTGAAATGAGTATTGAAGGGGAAAAAAAAAAAAAAAAAAAAAAAAAAAGGTTTACAACATGTAAAAAAATGTGCAAAATAAATTGGTATAAAGACATTGTAGAGATAGTGCGAAAAGAGAAAAATTAATTCACACACACCTGTATAAGAAGGGCTTACAAGGACTCTATTTCATTCTCCTACCATCTACCATACCTAACAAAGCATAATTTTTTTATAAGAGTGAGTTCCTTTTTTTTGGAAAAATCAATAAACACAGAGTGTGTGAGGAGAAAAACCAATTCAATAAAAAGAACTGAATAAGCAAAATTTCTCAAAAATGTTAAGAAAAAATAAATTGCCTTATCATTTCCAACAATTTGCATAAAAATGCAAACAATGGAAAAAAAAAAAACAACTACAACTACAACTACTACTACTACAAAAACAAAAACAAAAAAAACTTGCAAAGGGACAACCCAAAACTTTACACGTGTTGCACTTATTGGTGCTAAATTGTAACACCATGGCTAAGTGTTTACAGATTTCTATAATCACAAAACAGGTGAAAACAGAAGGAACAATTATTCAGGACAAGAAGCGCAAACAGAACAAAACAGAACAATGCCCCGAAATAACAACAAATTAGAAAGTTCCCTTTTCAAATTTTGAAAACACATTTATTAATAGAGTAGTGAGACATCGTAAATTACAGTTTTGTTCTCGAAAGTTTATAATTTTTTTTTTTTTTTTTTTTATTGTTCCATGCAATGGAAAAATCAATTTTATATTCAAAGATTTTTTTTTTTTTTTTTTTTTTTTTTTTTTATTAAGTTCACCAGAGGTCACTCGAAGTTGTTGCTGTTAAAAAAGTCCTGCAGCCTGTCGTTTTTGTGTGTAACGCTAGATTAAGGTGTGGAAGTGTATATATATTTAGTAATTTGATTTTTCGCATGATTATTTGTTTGCAGGTTTGTTTACTTATTACGGTATTTGTTTGTTTATCTTTTTATTTACCTATTAATATATACGCACATTTGCAACTATGCATATATAAAAAAAAAAAAAAAATAAATAAATAAAAAAAAAATAAAATAAATTTTAAATACACTAGCTACAATATCTGAAATCGTCAAGAAAAGTATAAAATAGCAACATTGTCGAATAAATTATCAAGCAGGGACACATTACAAATTTTTGTATTTACCTGGTAAAAAACTGGAGAAAAGGGAAAATTTTTGGTAGCGTTATAGGACACCATTTCTGAAAAGCAGGAAGTTTCTATTAAATTCTGAATAGTTCAGGTAAAAACGAAATTTTTATATAACGTAAAGAAATTAAGAGAAACTGTAAGTTTCGCATATGCGTCTGCATATATTACACCTATTTATGAACACACACGCCTGCAGCTATATAAACGCAACAAGTATATCCACACACACACACACACGCACACGTATCCTTGTATACGCCTATCCATACACACCCTTCTGCACACAGGAAAGTCTACAAAATGGACACTTTTAGCACAGCAGCAGATGAACCGAGGACAGATGGAAAGACATTTATGGAAAAAGTAAAGGAAGAAATGAAAAGCAGTGGAACTGCAGTTGGCCCACAGGATCCAAATATGTTTTACACAGCAGAAAGGATTAACGCAGTTGAAAGAATTAACACAACAGAAATGATTAATGCAAAAGAAAAGGCTAACGCACCTAATATGGATATCCCTGGTTATACTGTCAATCATCCCGGACCCCATATGAATAATAATTCAACGAATGTGATTAACAATTCCCCTGGAATAGAAAACTCTAATGGCGTAGCTAAACGATTAGATAATGTGGTGAATACACAGGATAAAACTGGACAAATTGCAAATGCTGAAAAAGATGCAGACAATGAAGGGTTGAAGAGTAGCAATAAAAACACAAATAATGTAAATTCTGAAAATGAGACAGTGGAAGAAAAAGTGGGGAATCATAATATAAATATGAATCGTAATGAAGATATGTCAGAGGGTTTTCTTTCCCCACCAGTTTTTCATTTAACTGAAATTATGCACAATGAAAAATGCTTTAAAAAAACAAAGGGCCACATAGCAGTTGAAATAAATGGTGATATATGTATATATGGAGGTATGGCACAAAATAAATGTGTTAATAATTTTATAAGGTATGTGCCCGGTATAAAATTATTTGAAAAAATTCGATTAAATTCAGAAGACATTGCACCTCGAGCATTTCATTCTGGAAATGTTATATCGGAAAACAATAAAAACAGTATCCTCATATTTGGTGGGATAAATGATAAAGAAGAAATTCTTGATGAAACATACAAATTTGATTTTCAGGCAAAAAAATGGGAACGAATAGAATGTAATGTGAAACCATGTGCAAGATATAAACATGCTTCATTTAGCTATAAGAATTCTATATTCATTCATGGTGGAATGAATTCGGATAATGCTACTTTATCTGATTTGTGGCATTTTTCTGGAGGCTCTTGGAATGAAATTACTCCAACAAGTAAAACTCCGGAAGCAAGATATGGACACACTTTAGTTTTTTCCTTATATGGAAATGCAAAACTTGTATTTCTCTTTGGTGGAAATAGAAAAGGCTTTAATGGAGCATTGGGTGATACATGGGTTCTTAACCTTAACACTCTTAAATGGAAGGAGATTACCAAAACTACGGGACCTAACCCCCGTGCACGATGGGCGTAATGAATAAAAGGGGGGAAAAAAAAAAAAAAAAAAAAAAAAATTGTACCAAAATAGCTAGCTATGAGAAAAAATCACCTGAACAGTTCATACAACACCAGTGCACACATTTATATATAACACATATTACAAATAAATATATGTGCAATTTTTTTTTTTTTTTTACTATTCACAGGCATTCTGCACAACTCTTTGATGAGTGGATGATAATATACGGTGGAATTACAAACGGGTGGATAGACAATTATGCCCTCTCAGGTACGTAAATAAAACTTCTCCCCATGGTGACCATGCAACTAATTTTTCTAATTAGTGCGCATTTATCATGTTGTGTATGTGATCTGTAACATAGGAACTTGGAATCGTCCATTAAATTATTGTGCAAATTTTCATCCCCTTTCTATTTTTTCTACTAGAGATTTGTTCGCTCATGTTATTACATTCTTTCTCTTCCCCCTATCCCCCCTTACACACACTATATCCCTCATATTTCCATCCTGGTCCCCTACAGATATGTACGCTTTGAACATTTACACGTTCTCTTGGTTCGAAGTCGATATAAGTAGATCCAAATGTTTCAACAGAGGATATTATGGGTCGTTATGCTTGGTACCTTATAAGAAATCATTGCACATTTTTGGAGGATCGGACGAATCCGACGAGTTTTCGGACGCATTCAGTTTGTCCCCATTAGTGACTTACGTGTACTACAAGAACTTGACAGAAAAAATTGAGAACCTCGATGCTAAAATGAAAATTATTAACGAAAACACGAATAGCAACGATCAAGTTAATTTAACTGAATTTGAGTTGAAAATATCAGAATTAAAAGGGGAAGTCAATAACATAAGCAACATGATGAAAACGTTCGAAATGAAATTTTTCGGTAAAACTACACACAACGCTACAATGTTTTAATGCAAAAAAAAAAAAAAAAAACATGTAAAAAGTATATATTTTTAAGTAGCCATCAAAACTTTTTCACAACTGATCATATTTTTTTTTTTTTTTTTTGCAGCACTTGAAAAGCTAAATGAACAATGTGAAAAGTTGCTCTCAAAAAATATGAACGCAGAAGCTTTAGAAAAATTAGAGCAGCGCATTCGAAAGTTGGAATCGTCAAATATATTGATGAAACATGAAAGTATATAGACACACTAAACCCCTCTCTCTGGTATTTTTTCCCCACACACGTGTTAATATGTGCTATATGTTATAGTTCTTCTGGTCTGTTAGTTATTTTATTTACATATTAAAGGAATACGGTAAAAATGACTTATCACGCCTGTCGAGAGTTGTATCAACCTCATATATATATATATGTACCTTTTTTTTTTTTTTCCCTTTGTCATTTCCCATTTTTAGACATTAATAAAAGGAGAATAACTAGTGCTTCGATTTTAATTTTTTTTTTTTTTTTTTTTTTTTTTTTTTTTTTGCAGCCCCCCCTTGCAGGGACACATTATGATGTAAAGTTTCATATTAATAGGAAAGAAGAAAAATAAAATATAAGTAATAATAAAAGTAAACGTCAAAAGAAACGCAAAAATAGACGTAAAAATAAATGCAAAAGTAAATATAAAAAATTCTTTTTCCTTTTTTTTTTTTTTTTTTGTTGTACTCCCCTTTTCTTTTTTAACTACCTTCAGTATATCCTTTTTTCTGTATCATCATGTTCCGGTTAATTTAATTCATATCCCTCTCTGTTTGTTTTTAAATTCGTGGAACAACATTTTAAACTTAGGACAAATTTTTTAATTTAGAAACATCCTTACTTGCCTTTCGATGCAACACGCTTTATTTCAATCGAGTTGTGCACATTCGCTTTGTTCTATGTTTGCTTTTTTTTTTTTTTTTTTACCCTCGTGGGAGGGAAACATTAAGCCGCTAGATGGAAAATAAAATAAAAAAATAAGAAAAAATGAAGAAAAAAATAAGGAAAAAAAGCAAAAGAAGAAAAAGAAAAAATAGAAATTATTTTAAGATAGCCACAAATGAGGTTGCATGGTGGCGCACAGCTATTGCTGCCTTCGGAAGAAAACATAGAAAGTAAAAAAAAAAAAAAAAAAAAAAAAATATCAGTGAAAAATAATTATTTGATAACATCATTTTCGTGTTACTAACACCTTTTTAATATAAAAAATGAATGTTAAATTTTAAAGCTAATTTATTTTCCCGTCTATTTTTTGCTACTTCTTCATTTTGTGGATCACGGCGTGGTGTTGTCATCTGACCGCAGAATGACACCCTCCATGGGATGTCCAAATAAGAAGGAAAAAAAAAAAAAAAAAAAAAAAAAAAAAAAAATCTAGAAAAATGTCATCAAATAAATTTTTAAACACCAAAAAGGAAGATTCTTATTTTGCGAAATTCACACAGGATACAATAATATTCGCAGAAAATTTATTTAAAATTATATCAAAGCCTTTTTACAATGGGAATTGGGGAACTTTAGAGGAATATCAAGATGATGGGAATGTGGAATCGATATCATTCTGTTCAGAAGTTTTACCTTTTTACTGTAAATCCGAATTATTACACCAAGGAGACGTTTTTAACGCTCGATTTGGTCATTCTTGTATTTTTTACAAGAATAATATATACATATATGGTGGAAATCAACTAAGTGAATCATTAAACACTAAACTTGTTAAGTTTAGCACGGGTAAAATTTTATGTACATTCGATGAGACAAGTAGAAACAATGCTTGTTTTGCGATAAGTGTAATTGTGCTTTTGTGTGCATGTAACGAGCTTCTCCTGCCTTAGAATTTGTCACACTTGTTAGGATGTTATATTGTGACGCTGCTACATATTGCTATGTTATTGATTAGTCTATTTTTTAACTTCTTTAAATTTTTGATTTCACTTATCCCATCGACCCCCTCTGCCCTGTGGTCTGCCACAGTAACACAAATTTTCAATCTAGTGGAGGAGAAGAAGCCACCCCAGAGCAGATACTATGCAACGCTTAACTTAATTTATTCGAGTGAACTGAAAGAACAATGTTTATTTTTATTTGGAGGGAAAAGAGGGAAGTACATTACGAATGACACTTATATGTTTAATTTAAATAATAATACATGGGAATGTATAAAAGTCAAATTTTCACCACCTCCATTTTTTGGTCATGTCTCGTTTAAATATAATAACATCATCTTTATTCATGGAGGTACGCTTTTCTCAAAGTGAATTTATTCACTCACAAAAGGAGGGACATAACATTATTTTTACACACATTTATATATTCCAAATATATAAAAGTGTGAGAAAAGCATTAGAGAGACAAGCTATTTGATAACATGAACAAAATTACGCATTTTTTTTTTTTTTTTTTTTTTTTTGTAGGGAATATGGGAAACTTAAATGTGAACAATGATATATGGTGTTATTTTGAAGAAGAAAAAAAATGGGTAAAAATTATGAGTAAAGATGAATATTATAATAAGAACATTTGTAAACCTAGTGCTCGTTTTTTCCATTCCTGTTCTCTTTGCATATCGAATCAAGGGAATGATGTGAAAGCTTTTATTTTTGGGGGTCTAAATGGGAACAATAAATGTGTTGAAGATATTTTTTGGTGTTATTCATTAAATACTGGGAAATGGCAGAAAATTCAAAATTCCTTTGGAAAAATTCCCGTGGAGAGATTTGGGTATTTACCAGAGATGCAGCGCTTGGCCAGAGATGTCACACCGTGCAGAGGATTTTAACTCACGAGAGGAATAATGTATATGTGTGCATGTGTATTTCTTTCCTTTTATAGGCACAGTTCCACGGTTCTGAACGACAGGTGGTTCCTCCTATGTGGAGGCTACAACTTTTGTTGGTATTCCAAGTCGGAGTTGCTGGGTAAGCACTAGATTAAGTAAAGTGCTGACTGCATCGCTCACTTCGACACGTGAACAAGGACATGCACACATGCATATGAACACGGACATGCATACACACATACATATGAACACGGACATGCATACACACATGCATATGAACACGGACATGCATATACACATACATATGAACACGGACATGCATACACACATACATATGAACACGGACATGCATACACACATACATATGAACACGGACATGCACACATACACATGTGGATTTTCCCTCTTTTTTCACTTGCGTCCACCCCCGTTTGAAGATATATGTGCATATGACATAAGCCTGAACACCTGGTCAAGCCTCAATGTGTACGGCACGCCTCCTGTCACTCTCCACTTTTATGGTAAAATAATTCAGGTTGATGATAGCGGTTATTTTTTCATCTTTGGGGGATTGAGAAATAATGGAGTTTCCAGCAAGATATACAAATACACACCACTACTCCCGACGCCGTACTTTAGGTAAAAGAAAAGGAAAAGAGAAAAAAAAATTCATCAAAGTTGAACCTTAAACGTTGAATGTTGAGTGTTGAGTGTTGAATGTTGAATGTTGAAACGAAGGCAGTTGTACACGACGGGGCAGCAAGGATCTGTGCCGGAATGACCTGTCTATCGCTCACCCAAAAGGGGAAACGCGAAAAAAAGGGGGAAAATAAAAATGACCTGTGCATGTATTTTTCCATAACAGAATCTTGCAAGAAAAAATAAACCAAGCGGAAGATAAAGTGAATAATTTAGAAAAGAACCCAATAAAACATATGAACCCCTCTTACGGCAAAGACATAAATGAAATAAAAACCACGCTAAGCGGTATTTCCTTTACACTGGTTAGGTATATACAACTGACTAGCGATATAAATGAAAAAATAAAAATTTCGAATGAGCTAGCCAAAAGCTGCTATAGTCAATTATCAGAAAAATTCGAACAATATAACAAACAATTTGCTGCATTGGAAAATAGATTTAATCAAATGGACCTATTGTTATCCGATTCTGACCATGACATGCATACAAACATACTAGAAGGTGACTCCAATGGGAATGTTTTCCAAAAAAAAAGTAGTTCCAGTTTTACCCTTTTTAGTGAGGATAACAGCGAACCGAATTGTGCTCAAAGCAGCGAGTTGTCATGAGAACAGAATAAGAAAAAAAAAATAAATCAACTTATGGAAGAAACGAAAAAAAAGGGAAAACACTCCCTTTTCATAATTTATCCAAGTATTTTACCTCCAGACAGAACAATCTTTTCAAATTCAAATATTTTACATCAACGATAAAATTTAAAGATGTTCCTCCCATGGGAGGAGGAGGAGAAAAAAAAAAAAAAAAAAAAAAAAAAAAAATTAACTCAAAATAACAAAAAGTAAGAAATTAAAAAAGGACTAAAAAGTGATAACATCAAGCATAAACACTTCAAATGCACAATATTCAAATTAATAAATTGAGTCTAATTGTATGTGTGTGCGTGAGTGGGTGTGTGTGTGTGTGGGGGGGAGATTTGTTCTTGCACTAGATTTGATGGAAAAACATATGTTGTAATATAATTTTTGCACAAAAATAAGTAGTGCATTTTGAGTTATGTAAGCACGAGCAACATAACAGTGAGTAGTCCTGTTGAACTCGGTGGACACTTTTTTGCTTACTCCGTTTTATAAAGGAATATATTATAATTCGAATTTAGTTCACAATCTTGTGTTCAATTTGGTAAAATTTTTTGTTATTTTATTTTCTTTCTTTTTCGCTTCATTTCCCCCTTTTTTGAGCGACCTATATGACCTTTACTCAGTTTTATGTTTCTACTTTTTCATTCCCAAAACGGCATTATCAAAAGTCCATCTCCAATTATCGTTAGACCACTATATACTGTGTGTGTGTTTCTCATGACATGTGTTGGGTAGCATTTAGATGAACCTATTTAAATTTTAAAATTTATGTAGCTCTTATCAGGTTCGGAGTTAAGAGTACCATTATGTGTTGACACCGGGGGATGTATATACAAGCATATATTTTTTAGTATGAACAATAGGATATATATATCAACTGATTTTTTGCACTCTTATTTGCCTAAACACATACAATCACTCTTCCGTTTTAAAAACATATAAAATGCGAACCTGTGGGGATTGAAATGTGTCACACATTTTTAAAAGTGGTATATATATATGTATATATCTTTTAACTAGCATTTTTGTGTTCACTTGGGATATTCGATTATTTTGTATAAGGTTTTAAATTTTAAATATTTATTAGACGTTCCCTTTTTTTTTTTTTTTTTTTTTGAAGTCATATATTCCCTTTCATTAAAAAGGGAAAAAAATCCAAATTCTTGCCTTTGAGTTAAGACTTTTTCTTGTTTTCTAAGTGGACTTTTTTTTTTTTTTTTTTTTTTTTTTTTTTTTTTTTTTTTTTTTTTTTTTTTTTTTTTTTTTTTTTTTTTTTTTTTTTTTTTTTCATAGTGCATATATTTTACTACCTACCTTTTTCATTTTACAAATATCATAAAATACCAATACTTGGTTATTTTTTTTTTTTTTTCCATATTTTATTCATTTTTCTGAGTCACTTTTCTGCCTTTGCGCCATATCAAGTGAGAAGAAATAGTTATAAATTTTTTTTATTTTTTCTTTCAAAAGTTCATTTTTTTTACATTGTTTAAATTTTTTTTTTTTCACAATTTTGTTTCACTTTTAGTTGAACATGTAACATCAGTACACGCAGGAAGTCAGTGTAGGAAAATACCATATCATAAATTATGCCTTAACATATGAATACAATTCCATACTGATGCCCAATGTGTGTAAAGCTTTATGATACATTGGCACACTACATCCATAGCAAGTCTACATCAGTGTGAGTTTAGGCAGAAGTGTGTAAGTTTAAGCAAAAGTGTAAGTTTAAGCAAACGTGTAAGTTTAAGCAAACGTGTAAGTTTAATCAAAAGTGTAAGTTTAATCAAAAGTGTAAGTTTAATCAAAAGTGTAAGTTTAAGCAAAAGTGTAAGTTTAAACAAAAGTGTAGGTCTAAGTATAAGTTTTTTTTTTTTTTTTTCATCTCACTTTTTTTATTTCAAGAAAATATTTAGCATAATGGTTTTCATCCCGACTGAAGAAATTTTTAAATATTTCCCAAACTTTTCAAAGGATCGTGTGAAATTTTTAAGGCGTTACAGGTAACTGAGGAAAAGAACACATGTTCATATAAGGAGTGTTTATATTTTTGTATCACCGCAATGTGTGGGTGGGTGGGTGGAAATATATAATTTTTCATCTTATCGTGTGACACCTGATTGATTAGCAAACTGATAAGCACATGAACAGTGCCTATGTGAAACAACATCGATGGATCTTTTCAAAAGGGCGATGCCTATGCATGGAGAAAATATATTTCATCCGTGTAGCTTTTTGTGCACGATTATTTATCACTGCATCTCAACGCATCATTACATTACCCGTTATTGCTTCTTTACCTACTATCACTTCTTTACCTGTTATTACTTCTTTACCTATTTCAATTTTTTATTTTATTCCTTGCTATGCCCACTTTACAGCTTTCTAAGCCTCATGTTAGGAGCCGCTGCGGTTGTCAGGTCACACAAGCCTGATTTTACAGTAAGGAATTATACACCATCTTATTTTTACAAATACCATTTAGACAAATTAAAGGCTAAGGGAATAATAGACGATGAGAAATATAATAAATTGTTGAATATTCAATGATAGAAACATAGTGATAGATCATCAACAAGGATGAATGTATATCCGTGGAATATATATTTGCATGGAATTATGGAGTATGTGCATTTGAGCTAAAAAATTTGCACCTAATTTAATTCAAAGTTGTAGCTGTATATGTATGTTGAGGAATTTGTTACAATCGTGGGTCATGGGGAGCGAGTAGAAATGTTCCACTGTTAGAACTGGAAGAAGAAGCTGCACCTCCATTTGTAGAAGCAGTGGAATCCTCGCCTCTTTGTGGACTCAATAGAATAGTGATAAAACAAGACGACACGATGGAAATATTTTTTTTATACTGTATGGAGAAAGTTAGGAAATAAAAATTTTAAAGAAAAAAACTTATTTGCATATATTTCATGATTCATTGTCAGTTTCTACACACAAACAAGTGTTGCTATAGCTATTTGTACATATATCACCAGAATATTGTATAAATGTCACGTAAAAAAAAAAAAAAAAAAAAAAAAAAAGTAATTTTTTTTTTTTTCATCATACGAAATGTTTTCCCAACTCCTCCAGTTTTGTGAAGATTTTCGATTGCATTGAGGAATTTTTTATGCCCATTAAAATAATTTTTCTTCCGTCAAATCACTTGATACGTATATGTATATGCATATATATGTAGTAATAGGAAATGTGCATTTTCTCCCCCTTAACCGTATTACGAAAAAAAAAAAAAAACTTTTTAAAATATTAAGAGAGAACACATATTAACTACAATATATATCCATTTAGTTAATCACATTGCTTATATACAGGAATGATATATACACACAAAACATATTTCACTTTAAGGAAAAAATATGATGCAGACTCGGACAAAAAAAAAAAAAAAAAAAAAAAAAAAAAAAGTTTAATTTTTCTTCATTACATTACAATATTTTGTGTGTAATGAATATAAACATACAAAAGTTTAATGAATAACAAACACAGATAAGAGGAAAAGACAAAATAGATCGACATCTTTGCCATATCAACTTGGACATTAAAGAATAAGTACCGTTACACTACTATTTTATAGGGATAAAAAAAAAAAAATTATCTATACATATATGTGCATATTATATACATAAATATATAAACGCAAAAAGGTGTTTTTTCTTTTTACTTTTCCCAATACAACAGTTGGAGATATTGTATTTTGTAAGCATATTTTTACTCTTTTTAAGTTTGAACGCCATCTCTATCTTTTTAACGAGAAAAAAAAATATATGAACATATTGTTGGTATCAAATGAGAAAAAATAGTGTGTTGTGGCTGAGAAAAAAAGCTTGGTAGGAATGGAAAATGTTTTGGCGTAATTTTTAAAAATGTTCCATAAAACTTATCCAACTTTTACGTCTCATTTTTTTTTTTTTTTTTTTACTTTTATAATTCACAAATTGTTGTTGATTTTAATGCAAAAAGGGGGTATCGTTTTGAATTTTTTTTTTTTTTTTTTTTTTTTTCTTTTATAATTCACAAATTGTAGTTCATTTGAAAATGTAGCACCCATTTGGTGACAGGCTAAATTGTGATTTTTTTTTTTTTTTTTTTTTATATCTTTTTTCTTTGCCAAAAACTTGGCAATGTAAAAATAGCAAAAATAGTTTTTTTTTTTAACAAAACATTAGGATTACACAAAGTGTACTATATTTTTAAGAATTAAACAGTTTTTTTTTTTTTTTTTTTTTTTTTTAAATAATTTTTTTAACCTTGTAAGCGGCATTTTTTTCGAACAGGCATCAGTTGCGCATGTGAAGCATTAACTCGGCATGTACCGTTTAACAACACATATGTAGAGAAGAAATATTTGTTCATGAATAATTAATTAAGGGATTAAGAAATGGTACGAGAGGTATCTTCTTTTGATGACATCAAGCATGTGAAGTCGCTTTTCACCGAGAAAAAGGCGTCATATAAAGAGTCCACATAAAGGGTCCACATAAAGGGTTCATATAAAGGGCATATAGAAAGACTGTATGAGAAGATTAAATCGAAAAACTGTACATAAAACGGAAGAACGAGAAAACGTTTCAAGAACTAGGTGAAAAATTCACCCATTTATTGAAATTTACAAAGCTCGTACATTCGCTTATCTAGTGAGGACACTTAGGAAGGAAGAGACCGTATCGCTCCGAAGGTAACTAACATTACTGAGGTATATTTTTGCAACAGCCGCAGGAATTCACGACAGAAGAACAGAACTAGAACATCAATCCCATGCTCAGTTTCTCCTGGCAGAAGGAAAATGAAACTAGTCACCTTTTTGATGAAATTAACGAACGAAAATGTTACAATAGAATTAAAGAACGGCACTCTTGTAACAGGAATAATAACAGGAGTAGATATTAAAATGAATACACATATGAAGAATGTTAAAGTCGTAATTAAGAACAAAAATGTTGGTGAATATAACGTTAATACAAAACAGTTTTTATCCCTGGAACATGTAACTATCAGAGGAAATAATATACGTTATTTTATTTTGTCCGATAGCTTACCATTGGACACATTACTAGTAGATGATACACCGAAACAGAAGTTGTCAAAGGACAAAGGATTTGCAAACAAGGACAAGGTTAAGATTGGAAAGGGAAGAGGACGCGGTCGGAAAATTATGAAAAGGTAGACAATGAATATTGCGAGGCGTGAAGTAAGCAGAACTGAACCGAAGTGGCCACAACTTAATTCATGGATGATACATTAATCGACACAGGCGTCTTCACGTTGCCATATTTAACGCAGGTACAAATGTTTTTCCAGCATTGCTATATTAAAAAAAAAAAAAAAAAAAAAAAAAAAAAATTTCCTTTGATAATAAGCTAGCCATTATATTCTGTCTTTCCCTTTTTCCTTTTTTTTTTTTTTTTTTACCTGAACTGTTAATAATTTTTTCTCAACTGTTTTCTGAATTTATTTCTTCCTTTTTTATTATCATATATGTATTACATGGATTGTACTTATGATGTACTACGCATGTGTGTTATACATACTTTGTCATGTTTATTATTTTAACATTTCACATGGTAATTATATTATTAATCCATGAAAAAAAAAAAAAAAAAAAGAAAAATAGTTCCCTTCTTTAATATACCTACCAATTAATTGTTTAAAATGAAACACCATTTTTTTTTTTTTTTTTCTTTGCACACATTGAAAAAAGCGTTGTTTTATAAACATGTTTTTACAAGCATCCAATTTACTTGTCTCTCATTAAATGACTAGTGTTACAATGAAACAAAAATTCATATCCATTAGGAATAGCAATTTGTTCTATTCTAACAAAAATAGAAACAACTGGAAAAATTATTTGGCCTTAAAATTTCACGGAGGGGAAGGGTAAACTTTTCCATTACAATTTTTCCCTTTGTCCTTCCAGTTAAAAAAGTTCTCTTTTGTTTTCTGGTTTTGTTAAAACAAATAATTGACAATAAATATTTTTGTTGGGTACCTTTTCACTGCAAAAAAAAAAAAAAAAAAAGAAAGTAGTGTGATGAATACGTTACACAAATGTGGGGATGAGGTGGGGGGAAAGGACATTTTATTTTCCGGTGTGAAGTTTTGAAAGTAGCTTTTAATTTTTTTTTCATCATCTGCTTTACATGCGTAAAATTTAGCCTCCTCATTTTATTTCCTGTCAAAGTGGCAACTCCATGCATATATACATAGAATACATCAAAATTGTACATACATAAGATATATATATATATATAGAGAGAGAGAGAGAGCGAGAGAGCGAGAGAGCGAGAGAGCGTTCACTTTATTAGTGCTTATATAATTTATATATATACTGGCAACACTGTCACGGGATTTGAAATTCTATAAAGAACCCTCAAAAAAAGCGACAACAAAAATGCATGTATAGAGAGGTAGAGAGGGGACAAGGAGAGCGCTTGCGTGACTCTTTGAAAACGTGCAAAATGGATTTTTTTTTTTTTTTTTTATTTCTACAAGAAGAATTTACATTTTTTTAAGTAAATTTAGGGATTAAATTTACATAAATAAAAATATGTATAAACTTTTATGAAACATTATAAGCATGTATTTTGAAACATGTATAAATATGTATAAAATATGTAAAAATATGTATACATACATATGTATAAAAAATGCATAAAATATGCACAATATATATACATAGTATAAATCCTATGTACGTGTTCATTTTTCATGGCTTATATTTGAATATATGTACATAAATTATTAACAAACATTAGCGTTTAAAGACTGAGTTCAGTGTTAATGAGTGAGAGTGAGTCACACGCCTTAGTAAATCAATACACCAGCAAAGGACGTGTTTCCACATATAAAAGGGAGTTGTTAGAGGAGGAAGAAGAAGAAGAAGAAGAAGAAGCAGAAGAAGAGCACTTGTGCTGACAAATGAGCACGACACTGCAATAGCGACGCAAAGGTGGGGGGAGAGGTTCACAATACCTACGTTTATATGCACATATACATAAAAATGCACCGGTATCTATAAATGCATAAACACATACACACAACATACATACAACGTACATACCAACCCCTTTGGCGTAATTTGTTTTGTGCTTTTTTTTTTTTTTTTTTTTTTTTTTTTTTTCATGCCAAGCACACCATATATACATGTCACAACAAAAGTAGGCAAAAATATAGATGTACACCAAAATGAACCCAACCGTGTGAAGCCATTTTTGTATGACTATGAAGTGAACATTCGACGCTGTCACTTTGTTAAATATGGTTTAGCGTTAAACGAACTTGCTGATACTAAAAAAACACATGCACGTGCATGTATATATGTATATATTATACATGTATGTATACATATGTATGCACATGTATGTATATGAGCATAACCTAGGGTGAAACTTATAATGAGGGGGATATTAAACAATGTACTTATCGTTAATCATAATATTGGCAAGAACTTCAAATGTAGGAGATTCGTTTCTGGAAAATATGAATCTAAACATTCTTTTAACAACCACTACTATGTGTTGAAGAATAGCGAACAATCCTTATGGAGACACAGGAACATACATGGGTGTGTGAACCCGACAGTAAATAGTAAAAGATGTTTTTCAACCTTTATGAAAAATGTCATAGAACAGGTAATGTACCTCTTCCGAGGAGGCTACTTTCTCTCGCAACCCATCAAGCCATTTCCTCTGTCTGCTTTGTTTTCTTGTCTTCTTGTTTGTGTGCTTTTCCCATCCCCGCAGGTGCACAGTAGAATATGAACTCCCTTTTCACATTTGACATATGATCACGTCCCACATAATGTTGTAACTTCTGCACCCCTTACATTTGATAGGTGAAGAAAGACATGAAGGAAAATAAACAGTACCAAGAAGCCCTGAAGGAGTTGAAGGAAAAAACGGAAATAGACCATAAAGCTGTAAAATTAAAAAAAAATATTGAAGAAAAGATAATTTTTTTAAAATCTTTAAAAGAAAAAAATGAAGAAGCTGTAAAATTACTATACAATGATATGAATAAATGTATTAAGTACATGTTTGAGAATTATAGAATTTTAAAATTTTGTAAATATACAAGTGTTCAATTTTTTTTAACCTTACAAAAATTACTGTTTTATACAAGCAGTAAATTGACCGAATTGTGTGACAAATGGAATGACAAAAATAGTGCATTCGTTCAATTGGATAAGTGGAGACAAGAAATGGCCATCAAAAGATACAAAAAGAATAATGCCCGTGTGAAAAAGCAGAAGAGAATGGGAGTACATGATATGGATCAAAACAATGTTGATGAAGAAGATAAGGAATTTCCAAATGAATTCAACACAGAGACTTTAAATGAAAAAAAAAATGAGTCAAAATCTGAAGAAGAGTGCTATGAACAAAAAACAGGAGGAAATAAAAAGGAGACTAGTGGTGAACTCGTACTCGCACACGAATCTGCATGGGATAAATTTGGAAGTAAATTGAAAGACATGCCATTTTTAAACAACTTTTTTGAAAATCCAATTTTAGGAAAATTATTTGGAGAAACAGAATTAGCAGCAGCATTGAGAGAAATGAAAATACAGGACAAAAATTTTAAGCTATCAGAACTCATGTACTTGTTCGAGTGTGTAATTTCAAAACATATTGTTGAATCGTACTTGATTGGAGATGAGGAAACTCTTAGGTTACACTGTGGTAGTTCAGCTTTTAATTCTTTAAATGCAAGTATAAATGAGAGGAAAAAAAAAAAAGTGTATTTAGATACCAATGTTTTAATATATAAAAACCATGAACTTAAGGGGGCTCAAAGAATGGAAGAAAGTTCTCCATGGTTCATCTTTACATTCCATACGCAACAAATAAATTGTTTAAAAAATATAAATGAAGAAATTATCGAAGGAAACATTGATGACATTCGTGAGGTTGTTTACACAATTGCTTTGTCCAAACATCCAGAGCCAGAAACCGAGGGGCTTCTTTATCCGTACATTATTCGAGAATTTGCCATTATTGGGAATACTCCCTCGTGGTAGGAAAAGGCTGAAATGAAACGCACTGTCGTGGTGAATCTAACACATCCATTTAGATGCGACTCGAGTCGCACCTCTGCAAAATAAATCCGACTTTGAAAAGGTATGAATGAATTTGAATCACATATTCCCTAACGTCTGTGCATGTGCGTGTGTGTGTGTCCAAACTGGATTTAACTTCATTGAAAAAAGAAGAAGAAAAAAAAAAAAAAAAAAAAAAAAAAAAAAACGCTGCATATATATTTATAGCCATGATGATAAAAGTGTGTTTCATTGGGTGTTAATTTTTGTTCATAAAAAATGGTTCTCTCGAGACAAGTGTGAAGCACAGCTCCTGTTCGTAAAATTTGCAAGGAGGAGAGAGGGGGAGGGGGGAGTTCCCTTTCGCACATCTACATACATACATGCATACATATCTACATGGGTGCATACATACATATCTACATACATACATGCATACATATCTACATACATACATGCATACATATCTACATACATACATGCATACATATCTACATACATACATGCATACATATCTACATACATACATGCATACATATCTACATACATACATGCATACATATCTGCATGGGTACACATGCACTTCTATTTCTTTTTCTGCTTCTATTCGTGTAAAACACATGTGCGCACGCTCGGGGTGGCACTTTTCCCCACAAGTTTATATGCCATTCATTTTGAACACACATGCGTATGTGCGACCAAGTGTAGTAGACTTGAAACTCAGAATGAGACGCTTTTCTTGAATGTTTGAAGTTCAATATGTGGAACGCAGAACTGGGAGAAAATATTTCTAGACGTCTATCTAATGAGAATTTTCATTTGGGGTGTTATTTTCCCTTTCTCCTATGTTTGTATATGGCTTGATCCCACCACATGAGATATCTCCCATCCGATTTTATATTCAACTGAAAAAATAATGGCTGTGTCGAACGAGAGACACATCTAGATGACCTTGTTGCGGAGGAGGGGGTATTTTGGTTGCATGTTTTCCTAATTGCATTTGATAGTTATGGTAGATATTTTGTAGTATTGGTTCATTATACAATGTAACAAAGGAATCTCTAATAAATTTATTCATTATATCAACATTGCATGCATGAGACCAGTATGAGTCATGCACAGCAGCAAAACTGAAATTGTTTTCTATGAGCATTTTTTCAGCTGTCATCATAAGATGTGATGCATCTAAGGAATGTACAAAATTTGGTGGAAATCCAAGTCTTTGTTTATTTTTATGAAGTAAGCTATTTTTATATGAAATAACACTGACAGATTGAAGTGGTGTATTGACTAAAATCCTTTGTCCTAGTCGATATGGCTGTTCACATGGGAGACCTATGGGTGATATCCAAGTAACTGGAATGTTTAATTCATTCGTTACTTTTGATAAATTATTGAACCATTTTTTTATGATCATTGCTCTTTTGAATATCTCGCTAATCGATTCGAAAATGTAATTTGCTATATATTGCGATAATTTATTTATCATATTCTTATCTAATACTTTTCCAATCATGTTCTGAATTTTTCCATTCACTTGATCTTTGGCTCCAACGGATGTCACACCGTAACATATTGTCATAATGGTTTGTTTTACAACCTTTCTTTTTAAGAGGTCAAATTGAAAGCAGTATTGAGCAAGATCTCTTTTTCCTTCTGGGGTTATAACTCGACTAGGAGGAGTATTATTAAAATTGTTTACATTGTTCGATTTTTCAATTGAAATTCCATAATCATCTAAGTCTGCTCTTATCTTACTTGTTACAATATCTAAAACAACAGTGTAAATATCTTGTGGTTCTTCAGAAGGAATGATATTAACAGCTTTACCTCCATCATAATCTCTTCCAAGAGCTGCGTAATGCTGAAGTCCATTGCAAGTTCCATCTTGCTGTACAGGGATATTACTTCTATATTTTGTTGGATCAGAACATTGTAATGCATTAATTAGATCTATGGAAACTGCCAATGCTTGCCATGGTTTATCTGCTGTATTCCAGAATTCGATATTTTGGAAAGGTTTTTGTGTGAGTTGTTTTATATTATTAATATTTTGATCAACCCATTGAATTCTTTTTTCAAAATTTAATTTGTCTTTTCCAAAATTATTTGCTAAATGTATTTTGAGCCAGAATAATCCTCTATTTCCAATTTCCTTTTTATTATAAAATGAAATTAAACTTCTACAAATATCATCACTCATGTGATGTAAATGTGGAGAAAGGGGATACATACGTCCACGGAAATCAATATTATGTGGAAAATATATGACCTTACTATTTTTTAACGTTTTCGCTACAGCTATTTTTTGTAGAAATGTTGGTCGTTCACTTATTAGACATTTATTCAATCTATTAATTTCTTCCTTTAACAAATAATACTTCTTTATTTCTTCTTCATTATTTTTTTTGTTTATTTCTATTTTTTTACCATTCGGTAAGGTATAATTTTTATTTAGAGGTATTTTTCCTATTGTAATTCCATTCATATAAGCATATTCTATGAAATGTAAAATTTCTTTATTTATTTTCCATTTCACGTTTCCAATTTCTGAAACGATATTTTTAATTCGATCTAAATTACAAACATTTAAATTAAAAAGTGGTTTAATATTACAACGGATGAAATTGTTTTTTAAAAATATCATTCCTCCTTCAGATTGACTCCATTTTTTAGGTTTACATATCATGGGTAAATGGTTTAATGGAATATGTGAATTTATAGCATTGTTTAGCAAATAATTTGCACAACATTCTCTCATATGTATTACTCCATACCAACTTCCATTCTTCCATACATAAGAGTGGATAAACACTGGGAGTTCGATTTTGTTTAAATCTCTTCTTGATCGGTACAGTACTATTTCTTTGTTTTTCAATTTCTCTTTTTGATTTTTGCAAAAATTATTTTCTCTCCCCTTCTTCTTTTTAATACCTTCGCGCACTACTCCTTTTTTTTTTTCTTCTTCTTCTGTCTCTCCTTTGGGGTGTGTATTCCCCGTTTCCTGCATATTCAGATTGTTCTTATCAGTTTGGTTGTTTTGAAAACTTGTTTTCACTTCAATTGAACTATTTTTTTTCTTCCCTTTCTTCCCTTTTTTTTTTTTTTTTCTTTCTTTTTCTCTTCCGTCATTTTCATTCTCAGCACAATTTTCAACACTATCCTCCTTGGAATCTTTTGCCACGTTTTCCACACACCTACTTTTTCCTCTATCGGAGATAACAAAATTCAAAGAATTAGACTCATCTTCATAATACTTTTGGTAATTTAGCTCCTTTTCATATTTGCATTCTGCATGCAAATTTTCCCCACAGTTTTTGGCCATTTTATGCAAAAATAGGTAATACTTGTATTCATTTTTGTATTCTTCCTTCGCTACATCTAAATCCACATCCATCTTTGCACTATCAATAAGCATTTCCAGCAAAAGTCCCCCGATTCCTGCTTTTTTCTCTGAATTCCATTGCACAAAGTGAAAAGCATCATCCGTTCTTTTTGCATATTCATTCGCTTCTGATCCCGCTTCTGAAGCCGCCCCCGATCCCGCTTCTGATCCCGCTTCTGATCCCGCTTCTGATCCCGCTTCTGATCCCGCTTCTGAAGCCGCCCCCGATCCCGCTTGTCGAACCTCCTCCTGGTGGGCTTGCCTGTGTCTTCTGAGCTTCTCCTTAATATCGTTCAGTATCCTATATTTTTGGAAATGAGAAAAAGAAGCGTTGCCCTTGTTCTTCTTCACGTACCGATACAGCAGATTATTTTTCTCCAGCAGTTGGAAGTTCAACTCATTGTTAATTTCTTGTCCAATCTTAATAGCGATGTGTGTAAAAAGCGATTGGTATGCATAAGCTTGTTCAAAATTCTTCGATTGTGTTGTCACATTATTCGAATACTTTTTCCTCAAAGGATTGAAAGTATACTGAATAGTCCACTTCACAGTGATAATAGCAAGTAATTTTTCTTCGATCATATCTGGAAATATGCAGTATCCACTACTTCCTATACGAGTGGTAGTGCTGTTTTTTTCATTTATATGTATTTTTTTCTTCTTCTTCTGTTTATTCTGCTTATTCTGCTTACTCTGCTTACTCTGCTTATTTTTTTTTTTCTTTTCCTTGTAGTTGATAATTTTTTTTTCTAATTCGTTAACCCAGTTGAGATATATTTTACACAGCCCCTGTATTTCGGTTATTTTTTTTAAATTGTGTAAATTTGAAACAAATTCTTCAGCTTCTTCAATGGCTTTGTGGTATGAGCATCGTTCTATCAGCATTTGCCTACGCACATTTACTAAGTCATCATCTGGACAATCCTCACACACATCTTCTCTCTCTCCTTCGATGCTAAGAATCTGGTCTCTTGGGAAGTGCACTCCTGTGCTGGTGTGCACCGTGCAATCTGTTTTGTCATGCGGATTGTCATGTGGATTGTGGCAAGTAGTTCTGCCTTCTCTTCTCCGTTCAGTGCCACATTGTGCCTCCTCCACAAGGGAATCCTGAATAATTGGGTATATGTGGTCTCCATATAATTTTTGTTTCTTCTCTCTTATAAAGTTCGAATCAAAGAGGTTATTTATATACATATCGGATGTGTTCCTTTTACTGCAATCGATAAAGACTTTCTCGATGTGATTAAAAATTTCCTTTCCCCCAAGGTCACACATTAATAGCCCATTTGCAGCCATATATTGATCTAGATTTTCAAAAAATGTTATAATATCTTTTTCAATATTTTGTAAATATTTTTTATTTAAAGTATCAATGTATTTCATAATTTGTTGTTTCTTCTTATTATCTAATTTTTTAATAGACCTTATTAAATTATGTAATTCTCTTACCACTTCTTCATCTAGGTTTTTTTCTGTTCTTTCATTTTCAGACTTACATTCCATTGATACTTCATCTTGAGTTTCTTGGTTCCATTTGGTTGATCTTTTCTCTGCAACAAAATCGAGGTGCAAATCACGTGATTGTCCAATACATCCTCCTCCTTCCACACATACTGAAGGAGAAATAAAAACATCTTCTTTCTTCTCTTTTACAACGAAATGTTTAGAATCATCATGCTGTGTTAGAAAATTTACACTTTCTTCATTACTGTAAGTGGGCTTAACTGAATCACCGTTTTTTTCCTTATTTGATATACATGCTCTTGTTGAAATTTGTGCTTTCTTTAGAATACATTTTTCGTTAGAAATGTATCTTTTTCTCAAAATATGCACTCTGTGGGGAATACTTGAATAGCATTGTGTGTTATGTCTATTTGAGATTCTTACATAAGTGTGGAATTTTTTTATTGTTAATTGTGAAAGAAGATTGATATAGTGTAAGGGAACAGCATTTAATTTCATTTATTATGATGGATAGAAGCAAACTCTACAGAATGGAGGAGAGCTCAACATTGTTTTATGTCACCTGCACCCTGAAACCCTTCTCCAGGAAGAGAGTGTCAAATATTTTTTCGAGACACAATATAGTCGAGCTCAACCTGTTCGCGAATGCATATGCATGTGTGTGTGTATGTATATATGCATGTACGTGTGTGTGTATATATATGCATGTACATGTGTATGCATGCGCATATCATCCACTTATCCCTCTTCTCCACTCTTACATCATCACTAAAGGCAGAAAACTCCTATGTCCATGGTGCTAAACATAAAAATAAAAAAACAAACTTCCTAGTAAACCTATGTAAGTATATGAGGAAGTAACAGTGTAAATGGGACAAAAAAAAAAAAAAAAAAAAAAAAAGGGACAATTTTTTCCCCACTATATACTTTTTAAAGTTTTTTGCTCTTTTTTTTTTTTTTTTTTTTTTTTTTTTCACATTTCCCTAGTCTGCTGTACAACTATTATTATTATGAAACTTATTTATACTGTACACTACTGTTGCTATATTATTAATATGCTTTGTCGGGAATAACTTCGCGACGTGGTTCTTTCTTTTAAAACATTTTGTAGCAAATGTGAAAACAAGCAGGTTTAACTTACCGTTTTTGTTCGTTCGTATAAAAAAAAAAAAAAAAAAAAAAAAAAAAAAAAAAATTACTATCCCCTTTTTTTCCCTGTTGAGGGAAAACAAAAAAGGTGAAAAAAAAAAAAAAAAAATTAAAAAAAATGTAAAATAAAATATATATGAAAAGATAAAAATGAAAAGATATAAGTGTAAATATATAAGTGAAAAGATAAAAATAAAAGTAACATTTTGTTATATTTTATTTTCTACCATTGTTCGGGACATTAGCAGCACGTGGGATCACAAATGTGAGTCGTTTTTTACTTTTCTTTCCACTTGCAGGTAAGAATTTGCGTTAATGTGTATACCTATATATATATATATATATATCCGACCGTGCGATTGCATAGATTTGTGAGGAAAAAACCAACATGAGGAGAGTAAACAAAGGAACATTACTTATGTGAAACGAATCCGTTTTGTGACGCATCTTCCAAATGCCATAATTCTCTAATTTTTTTCATACATTAGATTTTACACAACAGAATTGTGCATATACATTAAACCCATTATCTATTCTCAGTAATTGGATAATATTTAGCTATTTGGGACATATGTAGGATGAGTGCATTTTTCTTTTTTTTCTTTTTAATTGGTTACTTTTTCTCTCTTCTACATGACGTGAAAAAAGAAAAAAGATCCAGCTCATTTTTATTTAAAAAAAAAAAAAAAAACATACATATGTACACCATACATACGTACACTCATACATATATGTATATGCATGTATTATTAAAAATACGCGAAGCTGCTTCCAAATTTTATGAAGAAAAAATTGCTACTTTCCTCATCTATGGATATCCACTTGGGGACACACGAAAATGAACAAGCTTCTTTACATGTGTAACAAAACCAAGTAATTTAGTTGACGTATCATTCTCACGTCTTGCCAAGAGCATCAGGAAATGTATTCCTATATATGTAATGGAATCACTGCGAATGTTCCATACCTTTGTATGCTTATGGAAAAGATAAAAAAATAATAATAAATGAATGAACAAATGAATGAGAAAAAGCAAAACAGTGCAGAAATATGAACCCGATGCACGTTGTTGAAGTAGAATAAAAGTCTTTTTGTTTTTTCTCCTCGGTAGTACTAAACCTTCATGGGCTCCCATGAGCCACGGAATTGCACATGTACACACATGTATATATATATATGTTCATACCAACTGATGGGTTAAAACTACTTAATAACAAAGAGATGTGTACATAGTGTACAAATTTGCAAGCAAAGAGGTTCTTTATATACGCGCTCCCTTCATTTGTGTACAAGCATTTTGCAAATGCATTTATACATGTACTCATAAAAATACACTCATAAAAATACACTCATAAGCATGTACTCATAAAAATACACATGCGACATTATCCAGATGGGCACTTGAATATCAACTTTGTTCTACATGAGATGAAAAATAATATTCTATTTCATCTATGAGAGAGGTCGACATGGATCGTATATTTTGCACGTTTTGCATGGCTTATATACAAGTGAATATATATGTAAAAGTATATATGCAAACATATATGCAAATGTATGTGCAAATATGTATGAAAATATGTATGCAAATATGTATGCAAATATGTATGCAAATATGTATGCAAATATGTATGCAAATATATGTGCAAATATGTATGAAAATATGTATGCAAATATATACGCACTTTCTTTCTTTCCTTTTTTTTTTTTTTTTTTTTTAACAAAACTTTTGCCTTCACACTAGAATCACAACTTTTGTTTCATATTTAATTTGCATTCTTGATGAAGCTCTTTTTTTTTTTTTTTTTTTTTTTTTTGATTTTACCCCACCCGTTCACTGTATATATACTTATTTATGTACCTATGTATTTGCATACATATATAGGGACATTTTTCTTTTTTCCCACATATAACAGCACATTTTTTAATTAAATACATTGGCTTGTCAATTTTGGGAAAAGTTAATGACTTGGAAAATTACAGCTATATTATAAAAGGAAAGAAAAGATATATATTTATATGTATATATATCTTGTAGGGTGAATAAAATTGAGTGAATTATATTTGACATACTGTCAAGTGGAAAAAAAAATATATCACAAACGTGAAACAAATCTTCAATCCATATTACCACAACATATTGTTAAGTGTGGAAATGCACAAACAGGGATGGTCAACAGATTGATAAAATTTATAGTCCTCAGGCCTAGGGGAATCCTCCAAAATTTGGGTACCCCAAAATATATAAGAGAGAGAAAAGAAATAGTAAAAGAGAGAGAGAGAGGTCGAACCAAAGGGATATAAAATTTCACATATCGAATGTGTTTGAAGACATACATAATATATGAACTAAAAATATTTTACATATTTGATGAGACTTGTGTCATGTATCTTCACCATTTTGTGAATCTTCCCACAAATTGCTTGTCCTCTCTTTTCCTTTCATCAAGACTAATACCTTTCATGATATTGCCCTTTCTACATATAATTTTTTTTTTTTTTTTTTTTTTTTCTCTGAGAAATATATTCATATGAATGTCTTAGTTATTGCATGACATATTTGTTACATATAATATAGTCAACTTATATAATATAAAATTTTAACATGTATATTTGTAAATACATAAGGACCTACCTATCATTTGATTTTTATCCATTTTACACCAATCACAGAAGTAGAAGTTAACTGCAGAGAGTTCATCAAAAATGTGAAGCGGCATATATTTTCAGAAGATTTGAAAAAAGGTAGGTATGCCCACAAATTGTGCAAGGGTGTAAGGGTCAAAAGGGCACAAGTGGAAAAAGTGGAAAAATGGCTCATTTATTCTTTTCATTGGGTTCAATAAAGCAAAACAAAAAATCGTCCATTCTGTAGGTTTAAGTGTAACTAGCCAATATACCCCTTCCCGCACCCCCAATTTTTTTTTTTTTTTTTTTTTTTTCGTATTTTCATATTTTCGTATTTTCTTATATTATTTTTATTTTTTTTCGTCGCAAACGTTTGTACCCTTTTGCAGAAATGAACGTTCGACTAATATACATGGGAAAGATCTTAGATGATAAAAAAAGGTTAGAAGATTACATAAATTATTATCACAAAGATTTGTTATATAATATTAAATCAAGTTCATCAGGAATTGAAAGTAAAAAAGATGGATCTATAGGCTTGAATAGCCTAAATAGAGACATAAATAGTAAAAGTGTTTCGAACTGTTCCAAGGAGAACATCAATAATATCCCAATTACAATTCATGTAAAGATAACAGAAAAGTCTGTGATCTCGAACAATGGTAAATTTTTGAGCAATAATATACATATATATATATATATATATATATATATATATATATATATATATATATATATATGTATAAATTTATACATGTGTAGCCATTTGGATGACACGTCCTTTTTGTGAGGGGTGAACCCATTAGTGTGCCTTGTCTTTATGTGTAATATTTCATCCCACGTTAGTTGTAATCGCACTAATTTTATGTTTTTCACATTGCGCACCCTTTTTATATAGATAGCGTTCATGGGAAGAATATCAACACAACATTAGCACAGCTGAGTTTGCTTATGTTTGTTTCATTACTATGGATGTACAGATACAATTATGCTGAAGTTTTCCCTGTATTTTCTTCAGTAGTGCTTTGTATATTTACAGTATTCATTATGAGCATTCTTTTTTACACATATATAATTTTATTTTTAAAAATTTTTTTCAAAATAATGGCAACACTATGCCATGTAATTAAGCAAAATGTTGTGCGTGTTTTTACATACATCACTCAAATGAAGACCAAGTTGTTTTTAAAGAAGGAGAAGAGAGGAGGAGTTGCCACTGATGTTAAGGAGAACTGACGATGCGCATCTGCACCTACGTTTACACCTGCGTGTGTTTGTATATTTGTGTGTGTGTTTTTTTTTTATTCCCTTTTGTGGCCCTTACCCACGTTTTATGAATTCAGCAATGTGTGTTAATTTGCACAAGATACAAGCCCATACAGCACGCCTGTTGTGGGAATTCATTTTACTTTATTTATTTTATTATTTTATTTTATTATTTTTTTTATTTAATTTTTTTTTTTGTCTGTTTGTATTTGTGTTCTCGTATACCGATATGCACATATGTGCGCATGCACGCGTCTGTGTGCTCTTGTTAGTTCTCGTGTGTCTACACGCCATATGTACTTGTTTATAATCCATTTTATTCCATTAAGCAAATAAAAAGGCCAAAATAAGAGCCACCCCTTTTCTATTCTTTCCGTCGTTTTATTTATGCAAGATCAACCAGTTACTTGCACGTTATGCCATGTGATTTAGTCACAACCCTGGGAAACAAATATGCACGCGCCACCCATACATATGCATATATTCTTACATTTGTATAATGCTCATCAAACGTTTTTGTTTTTTCCCGTTTTAATATGCATGTCCCCATGCATCACTTCCACTGAGTTATGTGCATTAATTATTTTTTTTTTTTTTTTTTTCCTTTTGAATTATGCATATACAGCAAATAAAAAAATGGTTATAAAAATGGTTATAAAAATGGTTATAAAAAATGTTATAAAAAAAACAAAACACCCATTTTAAGAAATTTGAATTTATTTATCTTATTTTGTATTCATTTTGTACGTTATTTTGCTTGCTTTTTCTTATGAATGGTCAGGCATTTTTTTTTTTTTTTTTTCTCCTATTCATAACTTAGTAACTAGCTAGCCAAATGTTTCCACGCCCACTAACTACTCCAGTTCCTTGAAAATCCCCAAATGAGATAAAATGTTGTCTCTTGTGATAACATATCCAAGTGGCCATTTACTTGCATCTCGTGTGGGATGCCAATACATGTAAAATATTTTAAGTTTCAAGGAGTAATGTAAAAAAAAAAAAAAAAAAAAAGGCTAGTTGAGTGAGGAACACGCAAGCAACGAGCGTTGTGGAAATAGGAAATAAGATAGAAATAGGATAGAAATAAGATGGAGGAGGAAAATAGAAAGGAAAATTGGGGGGAAAAAAATTCAACTAGTTATATAGGCTCGTGGGGGAAACTACATAAAGGCCTTCAAGAAGGCTACCAAATTTCTGTCGTGCATTTTCTTATTCGCGTCGGATATTATTCGATTGACAGTTTGAGCAATTCCGTTGGAATCCTCGTCTCTGGGTTGAACGGTTGGTGTGTTATCTTCGTTGACATAGAAACCGAATCTGTTATTTATGAGAACATACAATTTTAATAATTCCTTGTAATCTTCTTGACTAAGTTTGTTAATATCTAAGGCACACTTGGAAGTGATGGCCTTGATTTTTTGTGCTTCATCTTTATGGACAACAAATTCTTTTACATATTGTTCTTTTTTCAATTCATATTGATCAAGTATATTTTTAACCAATGGGTTATTTTTGTCCAGATTTTTGATAAAGTTTAGTTCATTTTTAACGTGCTTTATTAGGGTGTCATTTTGTGTAATACCTTTTATATTGTTAATACTATCATTTAAAATTGAATTATAAAAATTTGGATCCGTTTCAAGTTGTTGGTATGTTTTTTTAACAATTTCTCGTACAAGAATTTGTTGCAACGAGTTTTTATAATTCATTTCAGCGTTATATATTTCATTTAATTTTTTCTCTATTTGTTCATGTATTTTGTTCCTCTGCTCATTTATGTAAGCCTTTCTATAAATTTTAATTAATTCATCACAATAGTTTTTGAAATTGGTTAAATTGGCACTACATTCTGTGTCTTTAGAATACAATTTTAACTGGTTGTAAATAATATCCTCTGCAGATAATTTATTTTGTTCACATTGCTCTATCATTAGATTTTTTTCTTTATTTAGGAAATTCCATATGTCTTTATAAAAATGAGAGGCTAGCATATAAAAAACAGAAAAAAAAGGAATTGTTTTAGATAAGAACCATGCATTACTCAATACAACATTATTTAAGCCAAAGTATAGGAACACAAATATTAAACCATAGGATGATAACATATTTTTGTCTTTAACATATTTTAAATGAAATAATTTTTCCGGATTTTCACTTCTTTTTTTAAGACAAAATTTGTACACGTCTTCTTCATCTAATTGAAAAAGAACAGATATTTCTGGATAATGAAATTCATAATTATTTGTAAATGCTAAATCGAATGCATTCATTTCTTTTTTTGAATAACCATTTATAAACATTAATTCGAGTAATTCTTCTTTTGTTAAATATATATCTTTTTCTATTGTCAATCCATTTTCACATCTCTTTGCAAATTCTATGAAATCTGAATTTCGATTTTCCAATGATGTTATTAATTTTAAGTACCTTAAAAATATTGGTACCTTTTTAGTGAAGGCATATAATTCATCTCTATTTGGACTTGACAAGTATAAATCATCGTACCTTACGTTGCTTATGCTTGGCAAACTAATTCGATATTTTGTATACACATATTCCTTCTGCATTCCTCTACTATTGTTTGTGTAATTCCTTCTCATAGGGAAGCGGATTTCTCCCCCAATTTTTATTTTGCTCCTTACCCTGAACATAATTGTTTTTTATTTTTTTTTTCGTTACTCTGGGTTAGTGTTCGAGCATTTATATTCGGCACCTTGCCCTTAAGCTTGCACACACGAGTAACGATGGTGGTTAAACATGTGTTCTTTTTTCCTATGGTTTTCTTTTCGCCTTCGTTTGTGTCACTTTCCTCTTGCTTCAACTTATTTTCCGTTATTTTTCCCCCTGTTTCAAGTTACTCTGTTTTGTTTTATTTTTTTTTTTTTTTGTGTCCTTGAAAAAATAAAAAGAAAAAAAAATTACAGCGCTCACCCAACATAGATAAACCCAGAAATGTGCTCGCGTTCACTTGAAATTCTGAAAAAATACGACACAATTTCGAGTTCGCTTTTGTACAGTTGTGGGATGAAACATGATATACATATATATATATATATATATAAAATTAAAATAAAATAAATAAATTTATAAGTGCAATTGAGTATTTCCTTTCCCCAATCATTTTTTAGTAACGCAATTTGCATTCCTCTTCACGATGGTCCCGTTGTTCCAACGTATTTTTTGTTTTTATTTTTCATCCTTTTCTTTCCCTCTGGGGACGATGCAGCTGAGTAAGAGTAAAAAAAATTAACCACTAAAAAAGTAAACAAAAATGTACATACATATATATACATACATATGTATATGTGGGTAAACGCATGCACGAATAAACAAGCAAATAGGGTGAAAGAGAAAAAAGTACCACTTTTGAATTCTTTTTTTTTTTTTTTTTTTTTTTTTTTTTAATTACACCAAGGGGAGAGAAGAAAAGCTTAACTCAAATATAGCATGCTTTCGTTCTGTGCCCCGTTAACGGCATTTTGCACTGAAATGTACATTCACAATTATGTATATATACATATGAATATTACATATGTATGTGTGCGTTTTTATTTTTGATTTTTTTGAAAGAGCAACCTACTCAGGCGAGCCAAGGTACAGGGAAAAATGAATGTAACAGATTTGTGAATAATATTTTTGTGTCCCCTTTTAGTGCCTATGCCCATCAGACCATTTTTATATTCTAAGTTTAGAACACTAAGTGTTAAGATGATATGGAAGTGTAATCGGATCAATGTAACGGTTTGCTCAGGTATCTCATTTGAAATACCCTATTGAAGAACACTATAGCAAGAGGCTTGCTTTATTCTGATCTATTCCAATTTATTTTGGTGGAATATTTTGGTGGACTATATCTTTCTTGGCTTTATCTTGCCATACTTGACGTTATTCTGACCTACCCCATTTCAGGGTATTTTTTTCGCGAGCCATTTGGCATGCCAGGAAATATGAAAAATGCTGCGATTATTCTAGTGTGCATGTTTTTTAATTTCCAACAAAAAATAAGAGCAGTTGTTATTAAGTACAAAAGAGTGCGTGAAGGCCCATCATTTTTATTTCATCAAAATGGAGGAAAAAAGAAAGATATAAATCGAACAAGGGAATTCCAGAAATTTAAAATTTCATTGTGGGGATACCCAATATATGATGACTCCCCGTTTAAACTCAGGAGACAAAAAATATATCCCAATTTTGAATATGGAGAATTGAGAAAGTCACAAGATTTCGATTATGTGATAAGCACGAATATTGCCCAGAAAAAGTAGGATTCTCCTAGTTGCCTCTTCTCTGCAGCATTGAAGGGGATGAAGGGAACACACCATGGAGGAAAAGCAATCGCTATCCCACTAGAATTTTTTTTTTTTTTTTTTTTTTTTTTTTTTTTTTTTTTTTTGCACTGCTACGAGCCTCATTTTGCATTACACCTTTCAGAATATGTATATATTATGTATACATATATGTATTCATTTTTTTTTTTTTTTTCCAATCCCCTAAACAGCTACAAAGTTCCTGATGTGGGGTACCTATACACGGTAGATGAGATGGGAACAGGCAAAACGGACGATGTGTAAGGAAAAATAGAAAAAGAGAAAAATATAAATTAATAAATTAATAAAATAATTTAAATGTACATAACACTATACAAATATAAGTTGACTTAACCTAGTTTGGTTGTAGGGTCCTTTTGAAGCATATGACCCAGTGGAAAATTTTGCAGTTCACCAGTGTGAAATAGAAAAAAAACTGAATTTTTATTACTTCTACACAATCTGGACTTTTTTCTCATACATACTGGTTTTTTTTTTACCCCACTTTTTTATTTATTTTCCCTTTTTTTTTTTTTTTTTTTTTTTTTTTTCCTTTTCATACTACCCCCCACACACACATACCCCAAAAAAAAAAAAAAAAAAAAAGGCACACACCCATTGAAATGGTTTTTGGGGAGAGAGATATTGACCCAAATGAAGTGGAAAAAATTAAGGCCGTTTTGAATGTCTTTGATCAGGGAAATGTATAAAAGGATAAGGGAAAGAGAAACAAATTAAAATTTCCCCAAAAGAAGAGATAAATTCATGTATACAATGTTATAAAGAAGATGGATGTTATATTTCTACTTCATTCGCGCAGTATTCAAAATGTTTATTCATATGTGTGGTTGTGAAGAGTGGATTGTAAATGCTGTTTTTTTTTTTTTTTTTTTTTTTTTTTTTTTTTTTTTTTTCTCACATTTTTATATGTTTTTCTTTTTTTTTATCTCACTTTTTTATATATTTATCTTTTTTTTATCTCACATTTTTATATATTTTTCTTTTTTAAATCCCACCTCTCTTCCTCTCTTCTCCTTTTGAAGGGCATGGGAATATGCACCTTAATGGGCGCGAAACGGGCACACTTCGCCTTCAAATATAATGGCTATTTGAGTCACTTTCATGGAATTAAAAATTATTTAAGGTAAAAACTGAATCCTTTTTCCATTCCTGAGTTTGGAATTCTTTATCCCCTCCCCCCCCCAATATGGCCCCTTTTTTCACACCACATTTGTGGCACATTTGTGACACATTTATGGCACGCATATTCACGCTACATTAAATTTTTCTCCTTCCGTTTTCAGGTTTTTAATTAACAAGCATTACCCTGGTGCCAAGATAACCCTCATTAGCGAGGTATGTTTAACATGGTTCTGTGTTGTCTATATTTGGATATATGTAAAATATGTAAATACATTTACTGCACCATTATTCTATGGAAGAATCCTATTCATTTATGTGAATATATTTTTTTTTTTTTTTTGCTTTTGCTCCTTCAGCACTGGATTGATCCGATTGATGAATCCGTATGTCTTAGACATAGCAACATCCCGCTTTCTAAAATTGGTTATGTAAGTTCCTGAGTTCGATGAGGAATAGCCATTTATGGACAAAAAAAAAAAAAAAAAAAAAAAGAGGAAGAAGCAGCAGTAGCAGTAGTAGCAGTGGGTGCTTAAGGAGGCCCTTTACCTGTTAAAGGATAAACATTACTCTTTATTCATTTTTCCCAAAACACACATATGCAGTAATATGCAATAATATGGTTACGTATTTTTTTTCCAAATTATTTGCAGCAAAGAAGATTGGTGTATAATAAGTACGATTACATATATGAGAACGACAAGAATAAGCGTATATATAAAGGAGAAAATCGAAGCAATGTATGGGCCTTTTATAATGACCCACAAATGTTGACCTAAGAAATAAAAAAACTTGAACTTGAAGTATTTACACATTTCTAACGCAATGAATACAAAATAATATGATGTCCTTTTTAATCAGCAGAATGTTTCTCTTAAATGGCCAATTTTTTTTTTTTTTTTTAACCATGTGCACATTTAAGTTATGGGATTATATATGAGATGTTGTGTACATATGAATGTAAGGGAAATGCATCATCGTCACTTACTTGGAAAAAATAAAATAAATCAAACCCAATATGATGTCTTGCATATTTTCGTCCCGTTCACACATACACTTTGCGTTCATGCAACTTTTTTCACGTTTTCATTCTTTTTTCTTTTTTTGCAATAAAAATGGTGCTATAAATTAACTTCTTCCATTTGGTTAATCAGCACGAAAAAATACAAATAACGTGGCAAGTATGTGTTAATTTGCAAAGTTGCAAAAAAAAAAAAAAAAAAAAAAAAAAAAACTCGTAGTAACTTTTTAAAAGTAATATTCTATCCCGCATAAGCATAACGATATTTTTCATTCTTTGTTAGTCTGATTTGGTTGTCTTTTTATTCATTAAATTTGTAAAAAAAGTGCAAAAAAAAAAAAAGTAAATTATAACGTGTAACAACGTGAAGGGTACAGGTTTAGAGAATTCATAAAATAATCACTGCGAGCATGTGGAAAAATAAAATTTAATTTCTAAACATGTTAGGGTTGAGGTAAAATAAGTGTGTTTATTCCTTGGCAACTAAAAGGTATTTTCTTTTGGGGAAATTTTTCACTTTCTTCTGTGTTCTGTGGAATTTAATAACAAAAATGAAAAAAAGGGAAAATGTGTAAACGGGCAATAAATGGGCAATAAATAGGCAATAAATGGGCAATAAATGGGCAATAAATGGGCAATAAATAGGCAATAAATGGGCAATAAATGGGCAATAAATAAGCAATAAATGGGCAATAAATACGTACTAAATACGTAATAAAAAAGTAATAAATAGGCTAAACGAAGAAAAGGCCAATAGGTCAGAGAGAAAACGGAAATAGTATATTTTAATTACACATATACAGGTGAAAAACTACAAGAATAATATTTCTTGTATGAAAATTGGCATAATAACACAGTACTCCTCTTTTTTTTAAAAAATTCATTCACCTTAATGTCATGGCAGCTTTTTGTTTTGGAGTTAATTCCAATCTCTTAGCTTTCGTTAATTTTTTTCTTAAATTGTATGGCTTGAATTTTTTGTTTTTGTATTTTCTTCTTAACTCCATTTTTCTCCTTTGATTGTAGACTGTTAGGACTCGTGCGATGTCTTCGTGGTAAAAAAAAAAAAAAAAAAAAAAAGAGATGGATTTTGCTCAATGAGTGTGTTGTTGTTATATGAACGATCAAGCAAAACAGGAAAAACAATGTCATTAGAGAGGTGAAAAAAAAAAAAAAAAACATACTTTTTCGGACGCTGCATATTTTTGAGTTCTTTGCTGAGTTCCCTATGGCTTTGCTTATTCTTAAACCACTCAACTCCTTTTTGAATTCCTCCAGCTTATCCAACAATTCCTTCTTTTTTAAGGGTTTTAATTGAAACGCCTTAATATTGCTCTGCAAAAAAGGGGTTGCGAGTGATCATGGTGATCGTAATGTGCTATATGTATAATCTGTTTTTATATCTATGGGGAACGCACGTATGTGTGAAGTAAAAAAAAAAAAAAAAAAAAAAAAAAACCAAAAGGAAGACGAAGAAGATGAAAAAAAAAGGAGAAGCTTAGAGGGGGAGGGGCAGAAGGCATGAGTGTTAAAACCTACAGGTCGGACCTCCTTCTCTCACTTCTGCAACTGAGACCTCCTTGCAATTCCCTAAACATTTATACTCTAGTCTCATCCCCCTTTCCGTTCATAAAAAGTTCATGCCAGCATAATATTGTAAAAAATAAATGGAATAAATAAGTTGCACAATTTCTCGATATAGATAACTTGGTCAAACAGATCAAATATATACACCCAAATAGATCCTTTTTTCCCTTGCGGGTAGTATTGGTAGATTTATGTACCACTTCGCTCATCTCTGGGCATTTTTATGCATCTTCACATATCTCTACGCATATATTAGAACATCTGCCCAGTTTTAAACAGGTCTGCCATTTTTAAGCCTATCTTTTATATTTTTCTCTCTTACCATTTTTGCAAATTGGTTGGGATGTAAAATATATACTACAGCTTCTTTCCCTTGAAACTTGATTTTTCAAAAAAAAATATATTAAGAGATAATTTAAATATAGTTGTAAAGGGTAAGGTGTTTTTTCTCCCCTGTTGCTTGATTGTGTTTTTTTTCTGGTAACTAAAATAAAGAAAAAAATACCGTTCGACGATGTACTCGTATCTTCGCGATACTAATTAGGAATCCTAAAATGTTTCTTGCTTCTTTATATATGCTTTCTTTCTCAGTTGGGCTCTTTTTTTTTTTTACTTTATTTTATTTATTTCTTTTTCTTCCCTCTCTCTTTTTTGTTACTTTTTTGTTACTTTTTTGATAATTTTTTTCTAATTTTTTGCTGATTTTTTTGCTGATTTTTTTGTTATTTTTTCGATTTCCCCCTTTGTTCGCGTATGTACACTAGCACTCCTCAGAAATGCACCCATGTGGTGATATATTATTAACGTATGCATAATATATGCATATATATATATAAATACATGCTGCATATATGTTGTGAATTTACATTTATTTTTGTTGCGGTTTCTAGGCAAATAATTTTTTCACAATCTGGAGTACACGTTTTTAAGAATATCCACGTTTTCGCTTCGCTTACAATAATTAGATGTACTTATATGCACTCCTCCTCACTCGCTAGAGTATTATTATGGATGTAAAATGATTAACCCCCTCTTTCAACTTCATCCGTTTTTCCCTCGCCCATGTGGCATTGTATACAGGTACAATATATATGTGCACATGCATAATAATATATTATTTCTGACATAGGTACATGGTGCTATGTATGCATATATGCATATTTGTACATATATATATATATATATATATATATATATATATATATATATATATATATATATATAATTACAAAAGTAGTGGAGTCCATGCAGAGCCACGCGAACGTAAGCATTGCAACATCCCTTTTCCGTTAAATTAACAAAAAAGAAAGTGTTTTGTATAACAATTTTTTTCTCCTTCTCCATATTCTTTTTTTCTCCGTCATTTTGGCTCCTCTCATTTGAGAAACAACAATACATGAAATTTTAAAATTTTTCCAAAAAAAAAAAAAAAGAAGCGCTAAACGATTTGTGATGGTGATATGGGCACTGGGGAAGAAACATCAGATTTACTTTCCCCCAATTTACAGGCTCAAAAATAAATAAATAAAAAAAATAAGTGATTTGCCCGTGTTCCATTATAAGCATATATTATTACTATTTTATTTTTGTAAGAATCCTCCACACGTAAGGACAAAAAAAACGATTTAAGTTTTTTTTTTTCCAAAGATGATTAGCATCTCGCAGGGGTGTTGTTGGGCGAGGGGGAGAGAAAAAAAAAGAAAAATAATTTATGATAAAATAAATTAACCTTATGATCTCCAAAATGCAAGTTATATTTTAACGATGCTTAAATGTGGACGAATTTACAAAACCAAATAGAGAAGAGTCCGTTTTATGCAGTTATTCGCAGGTTCATTAAGGATACAAATTTTGTAAGGGAGAAAAATTACACATCTATTTAAATATAGGAAATAGGATCGAGTTAAAGAAACTTCGTCCTTCCTTCCCCAGATTCACACATTACATCATATCTCTTCTTTACTGTGCGAACACCATCCTTTGTATTGTTAAACATGAGTATAATACCATTTTTTTATAATGCACAGAATATGCATGGTTATTTGAGGATTCTTCTAAGAATAATTTACCAAATAGATTTAAAAGTAGAGGGAAAAAAAATTTACTCTCAAAAAAGAAAAAAAAAGCATTTTAAAAAGATCATATTTCTAAGGTGTCATTATCCTCCAACTATATGTTCTGTTATCTAACCTTACAACATATTAGACAGATGTTAAAATTATATTGCTCTTATGTTTTCTTCTAACAAAAGGCTAGAAAATAAAAAAGCTCACCACATTTTCATAAACGTATCGCAAAAAAAAAAAAAAAAAAAAAAAAAAAAAAAACTGTTTAAACCGCTCCTTTTCTCTGCTGTACTGCTTATGTAATTATTTACAATAAACGTCATACATATGTCCTCAACCTCGTGCTTAAATCCGAATTTTTTTTAAAAGATGTAACATTATAGAGAAGTATTTTTGACAAGTCTTAATTTAATGAATGCTAATGAGAATGATAAAAAAAAAAAAAAAAGGAAAAAAATAAACATACAACAACACCACAATAATATGCACTAACACAACGCACTAATATATAGCCTTAAGAATTTAAAAAATACATCTTTTCCAAAATGTTTCGATGGGTATTTACACCATGTGTGATATAACATGTGTATGACACGATGTGTTGTGTAATGTGCTATGAGAAGCATACATGCCGCCACATTCTGCACGTTTATACATATACTTGGTTTAATATATAGAAAAGACAGACACAAGTGTAATATGCTGGAAAAAAATAAAAAATGAAAAAGTGAAATCGTAAAAACCTCAGCACAGAGCAGTAATGTCGTAACGAGCTTGACAGTATTTCTATATATACTCATTTAAGAATTCCTCATCAGACATAACCTCACATGTTTTACTCTTTTTCTATGTCTTCAATACATGTAATATGGATATGCACACATATATGTACGTATACGTTTTTGCGTGTATATATATATATATATATATATATATATATATTTACAACACTATAGGATGTGCCAAACTAACCTTTTCGACTTTGGACACATGTTACACTTTCTCCTTTTAAATTTTCTGTTTTATTTGAATACTGCAACACGTGAGCATGTAGTACACATGTACATGTGTTAAAAAAAAAAAAAAAAAAAAATTCCTTTTTTCTATTTTTCTATTTTTCTATATTTCTTTTTTTCTTATTTTCTTTTTTCAGTTTGACGTTTTTTAGTGAAAAGCATGATATGCATGCGATGCGAGGAACTTCTTGTTGGAGTCCAAACAATCGCTCAACATGTATTTAAAAACAATTCTCAAACCTTTTGTAAGATTTTCCTTAAGTGTGTATTTATCTACTTACAATATAGACGTAGCATTTTTAAGGCGTGTAATTCCTTATATATGTATTTACATTAAACATATGCATCTTCACCTTTTCGTTTGCAAAAAAAAAAAAATTTACTCGCTATTTTCCACCTCCATTATACACAGAATTGTCATCCTCATCTGCAACTATTCCTAAGTTTTCTTCCCCCTCTAGGGTTTCAAAAGACTTTTCATTCACATCTTTGTACCCAATCATATGTTCATTCGATGCCTTTCTCGACAACATATTCAAATACGTAGAATCAGAGTTCATAGAATCGTTATCATTTCCACAGTAATAATCTCCATTCTCTTTACCACTACCTTCCACAAAAATTTCATTCGCATTTTCATTCATGTTTTTTTCATCAGCTTTCTCTTTGATGGCACTCCACTGCCCGTTATTTATTCTCTCGCTTGGTACCTTTTCCACTTCTCCCTCTGCCACTTCTTCCTCTTCCACTTCTCCCTCTGCCACTTCTTCCTCTTCCACTTCTCCCTCTGCCACTTCTTCCTCTTCCACTTCTTCCTCTTCCACTTCTCCCTCTGCCACTTCTTCCTCTTCCACTTCTCCCTCTTCCACTTCTTCCTCTGCCACTTCTCCCGCTGCCATTTCTCCCTCTGCCACTTCTTCCTCTCCCCCGTTTTCCTTTTCCACCACTTCTTCATATTCATCTTTCATTTCCTCCATTTCCTCCATTTCCTCCATTTCCTCCATTTCCTCCACTTCTTCCACTTCCTCATACACATCCTCTTCCGCTACCTCTTCAAACTCATCTGATTCTGCTTGCACTCATTTTTTTCTCTTCTTCTTTCTCTTTGATGGCACTCCACTGCCCGTTATTTATTCTCTCGCTTGGTACCTTTTCCACTTCTCCCTCTGCCACTTCTTCCTCTTCCACTTCTCCCTCTGCCACTTCTTCCTCTTCCACTTCTCCCTCTGCCACTTCTTCCTCTTCCACTTCTTCCTCTTCCACTTCTCCCTCTGCCACTTCTCCCTCTGCCACTTCTTCCTCTGCCACTTCTCCCTCTGCCACTTCTTCCTCTTCCACTTCTCCCTCTTCCACTTCTCCCTCTTCCACTTCTCCCTCTGCCACTTCTTCCTCTTCCACTTCTCCCTCTGCCACTTCTTCCTCTTCCACTTCTCCCTCTTCCACTTCTTCCTCTTCCACTTCTTCCTCTTCCACTTCTCCCTCTTCCACTTCTTCCTCTTCCACTTCTCCCTCTTCCACTTCTTCCTCTTCCACTTCTTCCTCTTCCACTTCTTCCTCTTCCTCTTCTTCCTCTTCCACTTCTTCCTCTTCCTCTTCTTCCTCTTCCACTTCTTCCTCTTCCTCTTCTTCCTCTTCTCATTCTGCTTCCACTACTTCAATCTCATCTGATTCTGCTTGCACTACTTTCTTCTCTTCTTCTTCTACTTCTCCCACTTCTTCCTCTTCTACCGTTTCTTCCACTTCTTCTATCACATCACCAGCGTGTAACTTTTCTTCCTGGAATTCTTCTATTTTTCCCACTTCTATTTTTCCCACTTCTATTTTTCCCACTTCTATTTCTCCCATTTCTACTTCTCCCACTTCTACTTCTTCCATTTCTACTCCTCCCATTTCTACTTCTCCCAATACTACTTCTCCCAATACTACTTCTCCCACTTCTACTCCTCCCATTTCTACTTCTCCCACTTCTACTTCTCCCATTTCTACTCCTCCCATTTCTACTTCTCCCAATACTACTTCTCCCACTTCTACTTCTCCCACTTCTACTTCTCCCACTTCTACTTCTTCCATTTCTACTTCTTCCACTTCTATTTCTCCCACTTTTTCCTCCTCTTTTTCTATCACTTCACCAGCGTGTATCTTTTCTTGTTGGAATTCTTCTACATGCCCGCCCTCCTTTTCCTTTGCTTCTTTGCTTACGTCAATTTCTCCAATGTGCACAATGTCTACATCTACTTCCTCTACAACAATAATTTCGTCTTCCACTTCTTTCGCTTCTCCTGTTACTCCTTTGATTTCTTCTTCTACCACGTCTTCCAATACACTCTCGCTTTCCTTTTCTACCACGTCTTCTAGCACACTATTGCTTTCCTGTACATCCATTTCCACCATGACATCTACATTTTCCGATACTTCCTCCTCCTTTTCTACATCTACCTGGTCATGCTCCACGTCTCTCGATTCTGCTACCTCCACAACTTTGTCTTCAAATTTCTCTTTGCCTCCCTCTAAATACCCCTCTTCTTGTTGCTCCTTATCATCACTTTGCATCTCTTCAACAGTTTCCTCCTTTTCTCCCTCACCGCTTGTATTTTCATATAGATTTGTCAAAATGTCTGTTTGAGTTTGTTCACAATTCCATTCTTTTATTGAGGGCAAGTTTTCTTCTTCACAATTCATTTTCTGTTGATCTTTTTCGCTTTCTTTGCAAATTTCTTCTTCCTCTTCTTTAGCACTGATCTGCATGAATATGTTGCTTACACATTGCATCCCTCTTGTATCTGTATCTGTATCTTCATTTGTTCCATATTTGACATTTTCGAACTCTGCTTTACTGGTTTCAGTAGCATGATCTTTTATTTCGTTATTCACTAACGCTTTAATATTATCTCCAACAATTATTACCATATTTGGATCCTGTGTGTTTTTCTCAAACTCTACCATTTTGTTAATTATACCAACATTATCATCTTCGCAATCATTACCCTCATCATCCACATTTTCTTTCTTTTTTAATTTTTTACTTACCTTGTGGAGGGTATGTTGTTCATGTGAATTTTTTCTCTTGTTATTTTGAATGTTAACACCTCCAGATACATCACCTCTTTCTTGTTGACAATTACTACTCATTGAATTTTTCTCTTTTTCTTGGTTGTAGTATTGTTCATTAAGATTAACATCCTTTTGATTCGAATATACAACGGTTCTTGGGTCACTTTTATCGTTCCATTCATTGGTGTATATTTTTTTCAATTTTTTTTTTTTCTCCTCCTTCCCCTCTCCCTGTTCTTCTATCATTTTAAAATCTTTTATTGTTCCTTTTTTATTACCCTTCTTTTCATACGCATTCGTTTTCACACATTCTGCATTTAGCGAAAGAATCATAGTAGACCCCTTTTGCTTATATTCATTTTCATCAAATTTTTCAATCGCTTTTCTCCTTTCTTTTCCATTGATGTTCATGTTTTGATCAGAATTCATTTCATTAATTTCATTATCAACAGAAACAACAGAGGAAGCGACATCACCAGTATCAGCGCTGTCGTAAATAATATTATTATTCTTATTATACTTTGAAATATCCTTCGATATTGAAATTAATTTGAATATTTTACTGTATTGCTCATAACTAAATTCATCTCCCTTATTTGAATCCATTTCAAATTCTTGCACTCTTTGGTGGTGATTATTCATATCAGCTTTATTAATTTTTTTATACAACCTTTCTAATTGTTTATTTTCCAAATCTCCTTTTTCTTTCTGGTTAAACTTTAATTTCTCTTGTTTTCCCTTATCATCCAATTTTTTTCTCCTTTTTCTTTTCCTTTCTTCTGTTTCTTCTTCTTCGGTTTTCTCACGCAAATTTTGTAAATGTCGCAACTCTTGCAATCCCTGCACAAATGGTACTGTTGACACTTCATTCCTTTTTCGCCTCTCTTCCATTGCTTCTGCCATATGGGTTTCTTGTGCCCTCTTGATGGACTCTACCATATGGGTTACCTCCTCCCTCTGGAATGATTCTACCATCTTGGTTGCATCTGTTCCGTGGACTGTCTCTACCATATGCATCGATTCATTTTCCTGTATCTTCTTGTTATTCAAGCCACTTTCCCCTTTCCACAAAATGGTATCTGAGTTCTGAGCATCTCGCAAGCTGCTTACCTCGTCATTATTCATTTCTTTATTTTTTTTGTTTACCAAACTTAGGCTACAATCGAAGTGATTTATAAGAAACGTTTCTACTACCTTCAGATCAAATTCGTCTTTCTGATTTTTTTTCTCCATTTTATTATTTGGATTTTCCTTTGCGTTTTTTTTATTTCCTCGATCTTGATCATTTTTTTCTTTACTACAGTAGATCTCCTCAATAAGACCTTTCTCCTTCTCATCCTGTGTTTGGGCTTCTTCCACATTGGCATCCATGGGGGATGGATATGTATTTTCTGATTTAAAGGACTCATAAATTTTGCTAATTTCCATATCTTCCAATTCATCATTTGTTGAGTCTTCCCCTATTCCTCTTATTGAAACACTCTTATTATCAAAGTCGTAGTCCCCTTCGTCTTCTTCACCATCATCATCCTCATCATCTTCATCATCCTCATCATCTTCATCATCTTCACCATCTTCATAATCGTCCCCACAATCGTCCCCATAATTATGCACACAATTATCTCTAGCGTCCTCTTCGCCCTCATCTTCGCCCCCATCTTCGTCTTCATCATCCGCAAAATCCTCCTCTGCTTCCCCTGCTTCCCCTGCTTCCTCCGCTTCGTCCACTTCTGCTGCACTATTAATACCCATTCGACGAGACTTTCTCAAGAGCGAGTAATTGGTATTCCTCACTTTTTCTTCTCCCATATGACTTTTATTATTTTTCAAAAAATTGTACGTGTCATTTGTTATATTTAACTTGTTTATGATTGCACTTATGTCATTTAGATTTTCATTTAAACCATCTATTACAATGTATATATTACTATCATCGATTTCGATATGATCTTTTTTATTTTTATTAGTATTTCTATGTTTTTTTAAATTAGAAATATTGCTTTCCTTCTTCTTTTCTTCTTTCATTACATTTTTCACATTTTGTTTCTCTTCAATCTTGTTTTTCTTAGGATAATTTTTTATATTTTTTTCATCACTGCTAGATGAAGTATTGCCTTTATTGTCTTTCGTATCTCCCTTGTTTCCACTTATACCTTTTTCTTTTCCGCTTATTCGTTCTTTGTTTAATCCTTGGATCAACTTGGATATATTTTTTTCTTCTCGGATACCATCATGTGGCATAAGCATTCCTATCGGGGATGTTTTTCTGCCTTTACAAGTTCTTCTATTACTTTTGGTTATTACTTGTGCACTATTATTCCTTTCCTTTAGTTGGAAATTTTCCATATTTATTCCCTTGGAATGAGCACTTTTTTTTTTTTTTTTCTCTTTTTCATTCATATTTTTATTTCTATTCTCCTCATTAAGCTTGAGTGCATTTCTCCTAGTATTGTTTCTATTTCTATTTTTTTTCTCTGTCATTGTATTTTTCTCTTTTGCTTTATTTAAAAATCTTTCTCTTTCATTTACTTTTTCTATATCTTTTATAAGAGTACTTTTCTTTCCTTGATTGTTTATTTCATTTAAAATTCTTAGTTTATCAATGTGTCTTACATTTGTCTCTGAATGTTTCTTCGTGCCTGCGGAACTCTTCTTCAAAACATTTTGGTTATGTGTCCCTCTTCCTTTGGAACTTTCTATTTTTTTTTTGGTTTGCATTTTTCTTGTTTCTCCCCTTGGATCGTCTTATTTTTTTTTTTTCTTACTGTGTTAACACGTGTGAGAGACCACCACCTTTCCTCACTTTTTAATTTTAGTAAAAAAAAGGTTTTCTATTCTGATCACCAATTCGAAGGAATTTTATTTTCTGCCTTCTTTCTCTTTTACTTATTTTTGCTTTTTCCGCCGACCCCCTTTATTTTCCCTAATATTCTTGTACCTCCAAATTGAATTTAGCTGTAGTTCATATGACCAATCACAAACTTAAATGTGTGTAACAGGTGAAAAAATAAAATAAAATAATATAATACATGTGTGTGCATGTGTAAGGCAGAAAGGAGATACACGGCTAATTTGTGTTCGTTCGTTTTTCTCCTTTGGTTTGTTCGCTCATAAGCTCATAAGCTCATTCGCTTGCTTGCTTGGTTCTTTTTTTTTTTTTTTTTTTTTTTTTTTTTTTTTTTTTTTTTTTTTTTTTTTGTATAATTTACTTTATTTGCATGAACAGTTCAGGTGGAATGGTTAAGAGGTATTTCTCCCTTTCCTTCAGAAAAAGTATTTTTATTTTATAACACACATAAGAAAAAGGGATTTTCATATATGTGAAATAATATATAACACATTCACAAGATAAGGAACACGAGGGAAATTTATATTTACAGTAACCATTGGTGTATATCCTGGGCCTTTTTTTGTGTATGAGCCTGTTAATGTTTAGCAATTTTACACAGTATTTCAACTGATATACCAATTTGACACACAAAAAGGAGAATGGAAAAAGGAAAAGGGAAAAATATGAAAAAAAAAAAAAAATAAATAATAATTCTCCTAAAATGGTTAAAATATCCCTGTGATCTTATATATATTTTGATTCTTATTTTTGAAAGGTTAATTTAAAAAAAAAAAAAAATCAACTTTAAACTTTGGGAAAAGCTTAAAAATGTAAAGATCAATTGTGTCATTGAGTGTGTTTTTTTTTTTTTTTTTTTTTTTGAGGTGTGAAGTTATATTATTCCAACACTTTTTCTGAAGAGAAGAAAAAATTGATAAAAAGGAGTTATGAAAAAAGTAAGGCACAAAGGAAGAATAGGTAGGTATAATAAATGCATAAAAGAAAAAAAAAAAAAAAAAAAAGGGAAGCAAAATAGGAAAAAAATGTGAAACAATATAGAGGAAAAAAGATATAAACAGAACGGAGCGAGTGGGCTAGGGGAAATAAAATAATGCTACGGTAATTTTTAAATGGAGTAAAATAAAAACTCTTCACCCATTCACACTACAGAAAACAAAATGAATGTATGCACATATGTATATATTTACCTATACATTTATATGTACAAAATAAAAACGAATAGAACAATAATAAGGCTTCTAAAACATAAGCAAATGTGTAAAAAGTGTGGCATTTCTCATCTGGATGAGTGATGTGATATTGAGTTCTTTTGTAAAATGTACTTTTTGACATAGGAACCTACTATATATCGAAGGTCCCTTATCCTTTAGTAGGTTTTCTCATATGAAAATATATTTATGCACAAATTGAGTTATATCAAAAGGTACACATATATAATATAATGTGTGATTAACTTTCTCCCCTTTCTCTCTGCCTATATAGCCCACTATAATTATAAGAATATAACAAACACAATAAGAATGTATATTTTTGATATGCTAGGGTAAATATGTTTCAAGAGACGTAGTGATAGAACCTTTTGTATGCACACACTGGAAACATTGTTTTTTCCTTCCTTATTTTACATACGACACACTTTGCACTATAATTGTATGGAATTTTTTTTTTTATTAATAGGTGATACAAATGCACATGCAACAAAGTGTATATGTTTACGCTTGTGCTTTCTTCTCCAACATTTTCCTGAATTAGAGAAGCACAAAACTGTGTTTATTATACACAGGCATATTTACCGTTTTTGCACAGCTTCTCACCTTTTTTTTTTTTTTTTTTTTTTTTTGACACTAGATTATTTTCAAAAATGGAATGGAAAAAAAGAATAATTTAAAAAATGAATCAGTTCCCTTCTTTGCATGTACCCTAGAGAAGGGTACCTTATTTTCATGTTCAATAAATTTCATCTTGTGTGTTTTACGAATTTGTCCCATTTACGCAGTTGACTGATTTTCCCTGCTTCATATATTTTTTTTATTTTTTTGCAGATAAGCAAAAACACTTAGATACACAAGGAAAAAAAAAAAAAAAATGCTAGATCAAAACTTGTATACATAATGTTGCACAGAAAATATATGAAACTTTTCCCATCTTTTCATGGCTCAGGAATGTGTTGTTATAGTGCTAGTTCCACAAAATAAGTTGGTCGCTTAGTGAGAGGTTGATCGCAGTACGTGATGTGGTTGACAGATCGGTGAAGCGGTTGATCGATCAGTGAAGCTCAAAATTTGGAAAGGATGAAATTTCCTTTTTCAGTAATTCATCAAAAAAAAGTTTTAAGGGGGTATGGAGAGATAACATAATTTAAAACGTACGCCCAGAGGAAGAGGAAATAAATTTTTTTTTTTTTTTTTTTTTGAGTGGTGGTGGCCCACTTACATTTAATATGGGATTCGCTATACATCCATCGATGCTTATTATACCCCCAATGCAATACAAGGTATTACATATGTAAGCAATGCAGTAGCCCAAGAACAGGCGTATGAAAAGTATCTATTTCGAACAAGTGTACATAAATATATGTATTTATGTATGTATGTACATAAATATATGTATTTATGTATATATGTATGTATATATATGTATGTATATATATGTATGTATATATATATATATATATATATACCGAGTAAATGGTTAATGATGGCCAACTTTATCAAGGTATTAGGGAAAGAATACCTACCCACCCTGATACACTTTGGCGCGACTTTGGATTGAAGGTGATGAAGCAAAGGTTGCGAAGGAAAATTTCTTTTCTCTTATTTGGTTTACATATTTTTGTTATACCACACCGATTTAATTCTAATCCCACGGAAAAAAGAGTTCTGCACGCCTGATTTTCCATAAAAATATTTCTTCTCTGCTATGTTTTCTGAACTTGACGAATGAACATATATAAAAAAGAAAAAATATACCATGACATTTATTTCATTTAAATAAACTAAAATAAGGATTGTGACAATAAGGTTTTTTAAAAAAATGCCAAAAGAAAGGGGGTAAAACCTAACCTATATATGTTTCTTCTTCGACAATACATTGGTACATCATTAAAAAGAATAAAAGAAAAAAAGAAAAAAAAAAAAAAGGGAGAATTTCTTCTCCATTTCCCCTACATAATCAATTGCTGTAATAAAATTGTTTGCAATAATTTAAACAAAAAAAAAAAAAAAAAAAAAAATGGGGATGCTGGAGAAACTCAAAAAAAAAATTAAAAGTTCTCGTAACATTCGAATGTCTATGAAATGCATTATGTTTTACTTTTTAGTTTAGGCATTTTTTTTTTTTTTTTTTTTTTTTTTTGGTGATCTTCTTCTTTTGCATTAGATTGTACATATGCAAATATAACCCAGGAGTGGAAGTTAAAATTTGCAAAGTTATATCATCGCTGATGACGACGACAGTTGAACACCTTTCTTTATTTCTTTCTTTCTTTATTATTTTTTTTTATAAATCTTTACCATTTTATGAGCCCTTTTAAAAAAAGGAAAAATATTGATATACGTAAACGTTTCTTCTTCTTTACACTTGATAAGTAGCCCATCCGCATTGTGTTTACCGATATCTATACTTCCTTGGTTTATCGATTGATCGATTGATCGATTGACCGATTGACCGATTGACCGATTGACCGATTGACCGATTGATTGACTGTTTGATTTCTTTTTTTTTTTTTTTTTTTCCTTGTTTGAAAATTTTTTAAAAGTATATTAACGGTTTGAAGCATAGAGGAGAAAACAAAATGAGCATAGAATTTTGTTCTCAACACCTTTTGGCATATGACAACTCGATGCTTGCGTCTGAAAATGAGTAATAACCAACGAGCAGTTGGGGAAGTGGTAGTAGTGGATGTGGCAGTGGATGAGGAATAACGAGAGTTGCCTGAGTTTGGAGCGCTCAAAAAGCACGCGATAAATATGTACATATGCATGTATGGATGTACATATGCATGTGAAACATAACACCGAGAACGTGGCGTGAAAAATATATATTCCGCTAATGAATAGATTACTCCATTTTGCTCCTTCCACTTGTCTAGCCTAATTTCTGCACCCCACCCCCAACAGCTTTTCACCAGGAGGAAAGTTTTTGTGTGAAGGCAAAAGATAATATACATATGTACATGTATACGAACGAATATGAACAATCAGGCATATGCGCTTAGACATGTATGCAAATGTCATATAATACGTATGCGTGATACATTTTTGTTCCTTACCACACCCACCTTATGCAGAATAAAAGCGAAGGTAGAAGAAAACCTGAAATGCATCATCCAACGCATGAACGAACTAAAAAGTGGAAAAGATGATCTTGGAGATGTGATTTTCCAACTAACAAAAATTAATCATTTCAATCTACCAAGATACTCTAAAATCCCGAAAGCCAAAAAAAACACCAAATGGGAAATGTTTGCTCAAAAGAAATTAATGAAAAAAAATAAGAGTGGATTAATATACGACAACAATTCCAAAGGATGGGTTAGACGATTTCAGAAAAAACAAATAAAAATAAATGAAGAAAATGCAGATTTTATTCATGAATATAAACCAAATGATAATATTTATGAAGACCCATTTGAAAAAATTGAGGAAGAAAAAGAAATTAAAAAAATGAAACAAAAAATGAGAGAAATGAAAAATAAATTCCATCAAGAAGGAATATCAACCCAGGATATAAAATACATTAATTTGCAAAAAAGGAAAAGAGAAAATTTAATCGACAACTTGAAAATGTAAGAAATAAAATAATATATTCAAAGGAAATATTAACTGAAAAAGAAAAGACTTGTGTCCTGAGTTCTTACATTGCTCAACGCACCCCCCCCCCCCCCCCCTTACCCCACCCTAAAAAATAAAAAAAAAACATATACTTCTTCGAACCATGCTAAATTATTTTGTATTATCCTCCACACTGACACTGAAATATGCATATGTCACTGTTTTCATGTGTGTAAAAATGTTGGCTATATTTATATTGCCACGTCTTACTCAGTAGGCACATACATTGCCAAGTGGGGCCTAGAGATTTTTGCTCATTTGTTTTGCTCCTATCACAAACATTGATCATTTTTCTCATCAGCCATTTGTCATATATGCACACAATAAAATAAAACGCGCGACATTGCAAACCTATGTTCGTTCATAGGACTGTAAAAAAAAAATGCATACCATGATTTTGATAGTGAAAATACATCCGACGCTAACCACGCACGAGTGTACATGTATACATATATATATATATACGCTTTTCTACTTTTCCACTTTTCCCGCAGGGCTCAAATATCTTCGTCTACTTTTGGGCGACAAGACAAAAAGTTGAAAAAAGAAAAAAAAATGAAAGTGAAAAATAATAGCATAATACATCAAAAGTGCGAGAAACGTTTAGTGAAAGATGAAATTAAGCAAAATAATAAATTGGCATCAATTGTTTTGAAGTCCTTATAAAATGTGCTCCTCATTGGTATACTTGTGAAGAAAAGACACGTATTATTTTTTATTATTCTTGTTATATTCTTTATAGTTTTTTTTTTTTTTTTTTTTTGAGAATTAATGCAAAAATTTTGTTTTTCTTTAGCATTATTCATATGCATGTCAAATTTTCGTATCAATTTATTATTTTTTATTTTTTTTTTGTTATATATGGGACCTTTTAATTTTAACATTTTATTTCCCATCATCGAGGTAGTATTAATGTCTGTCATGTGTGTTCCATTCAGTGCTCATCCTGACCTTTTGGAAACGTATGACATCTTGCACTGATTGCATACAACTGTTGCAGATATCCTACCCTCAATATATAGCTATATTCCTATAGGAAAATGTGTTACCATTCAATTTATATGTAGGTAATATAAAACCTCTTATTTTTTTTTTTACAATTCGTGGGAATGATAAAATAAAATAGAACAATCCGCACGTATATCATTGCAAAATGCTAAGATAAGTGAAATGTTTATGGGTACTTGAATATTCTACTTGTTGGGCTTGTGTGTGTGTGGGGAGTTAATGTGTTTAAATGATAAAATGAGAAACATGCCAAGTCAGAACCTTTTAACATAAGATAGTTAATATATGTTTATATTTCCCCACCACCACCACCCCCTTTTTAAAATAACTCTTATTAAGTTATATTTTATTTTTTATTTTATTTTTCTCGTATCTCCTCACCTCTAATGTTCATACATTATACAGTGTAGCAACTGTAAGGTTAAGAGCATAATAATACCTAAGAAATGTATTTGTCATTGGTATAGAGTAACATAATTCAATACAAAGATGGTCCCCAATGAATAATTTTATATTTATTTTTTTTTTTTTTTTTCCTTCGTACATTCCCTGTGTGAAAATAAGTTCATTTGATGCATGTAGAATATATATCAGTATTAATTTTACGAGGGGGAGAAACATTTTATATGTTCCCCTCAGCCCCTAGTTGTAAAAGATTTAAAAAAACAAAAATACACACTTTTTCCAGATTCCACTTGAAACATTTCAAGTATGTTTTATTTGGAAGGAAAAAGAAAGGGAAGGAAGGGGAACGTGTTTGGGGGTGGTGGGAGTGCTGGTGTAATCATTACCTAGTTGCTATAACCTCAATGGGTACAATACATTAAGTTATGTATATTCTCTAAGATTTCTCACTTTTTCTTCCCCATCTTTGAGGCCAAAAAAAAAAAAAAAAAAAAAAATAGTAAATGAAAAAGGAACAATTTTAAAGAAAAATTTCTGCAGCGCATTTGTGCACTACCTCATATGTGTTTTAGTTTACATTTTTGCAACGATCACAATTTTGTTATATTCCCCATTTAACATTTGTGAGAGAATTTTTTTTTTTTTTTTTCCCTTTTTCCATTTTCTAACCTCTCCCATTTCTTGCATAGCCGAGCATTAACATGACAAAAACCGACACAAACGAGTGAAACGGCTCTTGAGAAGCATACGACATACCATTGCTTTGTACGTTATAGAAACTGTTATTCCAAGCGGCTGAATGGGTAATGCGTGCACATACATGTACATATGCATATGCATATATATATATATATATAACCATGCCTGATCGTTAATAAAAAAAAAAAAAAAAATAGCTTTCCATGTTAAGAATATTTTGCTAACATATTTTGGAACAAGTCCTAAATTTTATGAACAGTCATAATTTTTTCAGAACTTTTTCTGACTGTTTTTTTTTTTTTTTGACAAATTTTCCGAATTTTTTCCTAACTTTTAAGAATCTGCAAATTATGAAGTACGCGAATTTTCTGAAACGAGGGGTAAGTTGCAGAGCCCCCCTAAACACATCAGGGATGCAGAAAGTGCTATTTAGAAGATACCACTTAACCAATTTGTACCCGAAAGAGTCCTATGCGGGAATGATGAGAGGGCGCTTGTTCACAAGTGGATCGGGCAGGCAAGATATACCGGACCGGGGTATGGAAGGGCAAAATGAAAGTAGTAAAAGCGGAGGAATTAATGAAAGCAACAGAAAAAATGGATATAAGGAACATAATGAGAATAGCGAACATGGAGAACATGGTGAACATAACAAAAACGGGGAACACAATGAACACATGAACAGAGCAGACAATACTGGGAACAGCACGGGAGAACGACAGAATGAAGAAGCAGAAAGAATAAATTACGAAAAGTTAAACAAAGTAGATTTAATTAACGAAATTAAAAAAGTAAAGAAAAATATGGAAGAAAAAATTGTGGATAATAAAATTTTAAAAGAAAAATATCTGTCCGTGTTGGCAGAAAATGAAAACTTGAGAAATCGATATATAAAAGAAATTGAAAACAGTAAACTTTATTGCATCAGTAATTTTGCAAAGTCCTTATTGGATGTTGCGGATAATTTATCACTTGCCATTAAAAATATTAGTGAAGAATCCTTAAAGCAGAATGAAGAAATTCATAACATATACAAAGGAATACAAATGACAGAAACCATATTGCATAATATTTTTAATAAATATGGAATTGACAAATATGATCCAATAAATGAAAAATTCAACCCTCAATTCCATGAAGCACTTTTTGAAATTGACGATACTACTAAGGAAAAGGGAACTGTTGCGACAGTTGTGCAACAGGGATACAAAATAAAGGACCGAATTTTACGGTACTTTTCATTCTATAAATTCAGTACCGCACTCCCTCCGAGTGTATTTTTTGAAAAGTTTTAATTTTACGGATGTTTATTTGCTCCTAGCCAATAATTCGACAGATAACACATTTTCATCCATCCCAATTTTTTCTCTCCTTTAGAGCTGCCAAAGTTGGAGTTGTTAAGAATTAAGAAAATGAAGCCTTTTCGATAAAGGAACAGGGAGAATATATGAAACAATTCCCTACCAACCCAAATGTTGGTTTTGTCGTGTAACCCTGATGTGCATATATACATAGCTGTTGAGAAGGTACACAAATCAGAACTACACGTTAAGGGATTAGAGCAACCTTTGGATTCGATTTTCCGAAAAAGTAGCATCAGACAAATTCTTCCTCTTTTTTTTTTTCTCCTTTTTTTCCTTTTTTTTCATGTTATAAGGCAGGATCGTGTTCCTCGCACGACCACGCCACGGCAGGAAAATTCAAAACATGTGCTCTTTTCGATGCACACACACACAAAGTATAATGTAGCACCCTTCACTGTTTGTGGGACACGTACATAAGCAACAAATTTTCCATGTCAACATGCATGAGCATACATTTTTTATACATACACATATATGACACATATTCGGAACGAACATAAATAAAAACACAAATAATGTTGCATTACCAGGTGATTTTCAAAGTTCATATGTACTATTTGTTCTTGATGCGGTGCAATGGGATATCAAATAGGCAGGAAGGTGGTGGTGGTGGGGGGAAATCGATTTACAAATTTTATTTCTTTTTCTGTACTGCTGAAAATGTTTACTTAAGTGAAACTACATGTTAATGCTTTTTAACATTATTTATAAAACAAACAAACAAGTGAAGGCGAAAGTTAAGGCGAAAGTTAAGGCGAAAGTGAAGGCGAAAGTGAAGGTGAACGTGAACAAGAAAAGAAAGTGAAAGGGGAAGGACATTATAACGTTTATCCATTAAGTAAAAATAATTTCCTATTTTATATGAAGTCATATTTTTAAGAGGATCACACTAATTGGCCTCAATAAAACGGTGTGTGATAAATAGCGGATACCACATTTTACGTTTTCGATACAATTCTACTTTTTAATTTTTTAAATAAACTGATTTATCAATGATTTTCTTCGAAAAAGCGAGGGAAAAAAAAAAAAAAAAAAAAAAAAAAAAAAAAAAAAAAATTATAACATGTGTTGCATATTTGATTTCAGGTTTATCCATGCATGTTACAACACGTATTGACATTTTTCTACTTCTCCTGTACCCCTTCACCCCTCCTCCCCCAATGTGCAGATCTCGCGGCCCTATTTCTCACGAATAATATGTCCTATTAAATTTTTATATTCATGTATACCTCCTACTATAGCCTTATATATATGTATTGTTCACATAAATATTCAATCATCCGTGTACATATGTTGAATAAAGAAAAAAATTTTTGAATATTTTTCTCCATTGACATGATTAACTTAAACTTTCTTTTCTCAATTTATGTGGCAAAGAGAACTTAGAACATTAATTATTCATAAAAAAGAGCTGAAAATTTGTGCACACACTTGAGGTATATATATAATAATCTTCACACAACATTGATAAGAGGGAGTGTATGTAAAAAAAAATAAAAAAAAAAAAAAAAAAAAATTATAAACAATTTCTTTATGTCGTACATATTGAGTCGTAGGGTTTTGGGGGAGTGGGGGATGGTGCTGGTCGGAGAGCTTTGCTCAAAGTTGCTTAGGGTTTGGATTGGAAGAATTTTCACGTCTGGGTATTTTTCCCCCCATCCCTTAGTATCATCGATTTAGTGTATTTTATTGTTTTTTTTTTTTTTTTTTTTTTTTTTTTTTTTTTTTAAATAGTTTAAAATTGGCCTCGTAAAAATTTAAATTTACCCGTTAATCAATTTAAAATTAGGCGCATAACTTAAAAATTAATTTTTTTTTGTAATTTTTTTATAAAATTACTTTAAGCCATTTCCATTTAATTACCCCTGTTTTACTTATATATTTAATTACCTCCATGTTATTCATTCATTTGTTCACTCATTTGTTCATTCATTTGTTCATTTATTTGTTCATTTATTTGTTCATTTATTTGTTCATTTATTTGTTCATTCATCTGTTCATTCATCTGTTCATTCATCTATTCATTCATTTATTCATTGTAACGTTTTCGAGCGTGAAAACTCCATTTTTCAGTTTCACAAAATTTTACCTCAATTATGAAAGTTTCATTTTACTAAGAGCAATTAACTGCTTTTCACTAACACAATTCAGTTCTTTTGTTTCTTTTTCCCCTTTTCGACTTGAAAAATTTAATGAGAACAATATAGCAAAAGAAGGATTTAAAGAGGGGAAAAAAAAAAAAAAAAAAAAAAGAGAAAAACTTATCCATTTTCCTGCCCCCCTCCCCCCTTATTTACTTACAACGTAAAAGTCCAACCAATATATACTTTTGTACACACCCAAAGACTTTCACTTATTTTCTCTTACCCACTTGGCACACGTACATATATATTTGCAACCAAATTTGGAAGAGAAAAAAAAAAAAAAAAAAAAAAAAAAAAAAAAGGAATTTAAGTTACGTTTAGGTATTTTTACACAATAGTTTTTAATTTATAGTTCCCAAGTGAAAAAAAAAAAAAAAAAAAAATAGAATAAAAATTAAATAAAACATTTTTAACGCAGAAAATTGGTTATTTGTCAAACTTCTGAGTTTCAATTTTCTGAGTTGAGATAAAACTATCTCACAAGTTTACCATCTGCTGAGTGATCAATTTCCCGAGTTTTCCACGTCGCAAAAGAAAAAAAAAAAAAAAAGAAAAAAAATTATTTTCTCAAAAGACTAACATGAATCTGAAACAAGACACAGAATTGGACACAGCTCAGAATACACACTCCTGGTGTATACTCTTTTTTCTATATGGGCCGTTACACTCATACATAAATCTGTAATTGCACCAGTTTACATTTACACGAATTTATACCTACATAAATTTGTGCACTCATAAATTTGTGCACTCATAAATTTGCTCATTCATAAATTTCGTTTTCATAAGTTTTTATGTGTACATGTGTTCATACGCATGTGCAGACAAATTATTTCGTGGGTCTTCTTTTCTTCTTTTCGCTCATATCTGTTACGAAAACAAGTGGGAAATCAGTATTACATTTGTGTGAAAAATATACATACGTGCGTATAGATATATATGTATATATGCATAAAAATATGTTTATATGTGCGAAAATACAGCACAGTCTCTCTCACATGCCATGAATATCATTTAAGGGCTCTGTTGAGAATACCCCGCCTATCATGGAGTAGTTGTAGCTGAGCTCTATCTACTTAAAAAAGAAATAAAATATAATAAAACAGTAAAATATATATATATATATATATATAAATCACTCGTTTAACTTTTTTTTTCACACGTGCTTGCGCAACTGTGTATGCAACGGTATACAGTGCATACATGCAAACGTTTGTCTTTTTTTTTTTTTTTTTTTTTTTTTTTTTTTTTTTTGTCAATCTAGTTTTCCATTTTGTTAATTTATTACCTCTTTTCATTACTTCTCCTTTTTTTCTTGACATATCTTTTCTTTTTCGATTTCAACAACAACGGCCAAATTACTAGCTTACTTACTACCACCCGTACACTCCAAAAGATATACGATAGTGTGTGTATGTAAATTACACACAAAATCTGCACACACACTTGTGCAATGTTAACATTCCAATCTAGTAGTGCATATATAGAGGGTAAAAAGTAATTTGGTGTGTAAACACATAGGCTTCTACTTATATATATATAACCATACACGTGTATGAATACTTGTGTGTTCATATGTATCCACACGCAAATGTCCCCACTTCTGCATAATTCTTGCATGTGGGAAAAACGCACGCCCCCAAAAGTAGTACTTACGTTATAGTGTTCAATATTATATGACAATTTTTTTATTTTATTATTTTTTTTTATTTGTTCGCAGATAAATAGCATACCATTCATGTGTTATTTAAAATTGAACACGTCAGTGAAATTTTATTTTTTATTTTTTTTTTTTTTTTACGTCAGCAATATACCCCGATAGCCAATCGGGTATTTACACGTTCCGTTTACCAATTGTGATTTATTGGACTGTTCATAACTGAAGAAACAGAACATCTGTAAATAAAAATTCAGATTCTTCTTCTTGCAAGAGATTACCCGTGGGAGTGTCAAGGAAAATCTATTCTGTACTTTTGTGAAAACTGTGAAAACTGTGTTGTAGGAACATTACAGTATTGTCATTTCTATTTTCTTTTATATGACTTCATTTCTGTGATAACTACAAAAGAATAAATTATCTACATTTCACATGTTAATATGTACACAACAGTAGCAATAGTCTCGAAATAGATAAGAAGCAATTACCTCAAAGTTAGCAATTACATATTATTACATTTTTTTTTTTTTTTTTTTTGGGGAGGGGGGTACGCAAATATGGTTATATAAACCTATATATGTATGTAATGATATTAAAAAAACAATTTTATGATATAATCTTAATACTTATCAATGTGCGTTTTTTTTTTTTTTTTTTTTTTCATGGGAAGTAGAGTTGACACAGTAAAGGAATTCTGGATTCTAGACAAGAAGGAGAAGAAGTGAGTGTATATAACACAATACCGTTATTATTGCTAGTGTAGGGGTATATTTCTGTACACTAAGTAAACTACAAAACACATAACCAAACATATCATCAGGCGACTATGTACGCATTTCAATTATTAAATAAAAAACCTACTTTGCCATCTCTATAACTTATTTTACATAAAAGAGAGTGATAACCATATTACATATTCTTACATTTAAGTGAAAGCAAAAAATCTGCGTACGATTTCATATTTGGACAATGTGAATATGCCTTTCGGCTTTCAGAAAAAAGGGAAATGTACTTTGGATTGATTTCATTTGGGATTGATTTCATTTGGGATTGATCCCATTTAAACACACATATGACAAGTTGTCCAAATTTCCAATTGCAAAAATTCACGGCACATTCCGTTTGTGAAAAAAGTATACATTTCTACACAGAACGCAGTTTATTTGTCTTGTTCGTTGCGTAGACACTTGTTATTATAAGTGAATATTTTTAGAAAAAAAAAAAAAAAAATACACAAAAAAGGGCACAAACAAGGGCATAAAAAAAGACACAATCGAGAGCCCAAAAAAGACACAATCGAGAGCCCAAAAAAGACACAACCGAGAGCCCAAAAAAGACACAACCGAGAGCCCAAAAAAGGGCACAAAAGTAGGTAGATACATATATCCATATTGAAGAGAAAGAAAAAGAAGAGAAGATGGAAGAGGATAAGAAGAGGAGGCTTGAGGAAACAGAGAAGAAGCCGAATTGTCTATCGATGGAAAGTATCCATGTATCCGTGAGAAGAAAAACGAGTGTAGGATCAACGAATTCACAAATTACAGAAACAAAAAATAAGCATGGAGTATATCCAATATCAGAAAATAATTTAAAAATAGAAGAAGGAGAAAACAGAAGCAAAAGAGCAGAAGAATTATTAGAAATATTTGTTAGTAACATCTTCGAAAATGAACATACATTATTCATTTATTGCAAATATGTGATGTTGCACTATGGAAAAGACTTAATAGAAGAAAATAAAGTGGATGAATTAAATTTTGAAATGATAAATGGAGGAATTACAAATATTCTTGTAAAAGTAGAAGACACATCTAAAAAAGCAAAATATTTGATAAGACTTTATGGACCTAAAACAAATGAAATTATAAATAGAGATCGAGAAAAGAAAATTTCCATTATTTTATATGATAAAAATATTGGGAAAAAAATTTATGTATTTTTTCCAAATGGAAGAATTGAAGAGTTCATGGATGGATATGCACTCTCAAGGGAAGATATAAAAAATCCAATATTTCAAAAATTAATTGCAAAAAATTTGAAAGCTCTACATGATGTTAAATTAAATGATACATTGTATAAAGAATTACAGAATTCTCAGAATGTTCAAGGAACTAGACCATCTTTCTTGTGGAGTACCATTTGGAAATATTTCAATTTGCTGAATGAAGAACGAAAACAAATTTGTTCTTTTGATGCAAAAGCAAATATTTTAAAACTTATTGATTTTGATGTTTTACAAAACACTATACAGGAAATAGAAAAATTATGTAAAATGGAAAATTCTCCCATTGTTTTATGTCACTGTGATTTATTGTCTTCAAATATTATTAGCACATTTGATACATCCAAGGTGGTGGTGAGTACAGAATCTGCTGTATCTTCTAAATCCAATGAATGCGAATCTAATACAGATTCTGTTTCATCTAACATAGATGTAAAGGGTGGTAGTAATCTCATATCGACAGATAAAAAGAACATCTCGTTTATCGATTTTGAATATGCTTGTCCAATGGAAAGAGCATACGACATAGCTAATCATTTCAATGAATATGCTGGGTTTAATTGTGATTGGGATTTGACTCCTTCTAGGGATGAAGAATATCATTTCATAAAGCATTACTTGAATACAGACGATGAAAATTTAATTAATAAACTGATTCAAGAAATACAACCATTTTATATATGTTCTCATATTTATTGGGGATTATGGTCCTTACTACAAGGTCTTCATTCGTCTATTGATTTTGATTTTATTAATTATGGGATGACTCGATTGACAGCGTCCTGTTTACCCATCTTTAGATCCAAGGTATCCAACACGGGTTCTTGATACGAGTGCAAAAGAGGGGAAGTGCATGTCGGAGTCGCTGCCTTAGCTACTTCTTTAGGCACTGCTTGAGCACCTGGACGAGTTGTTTGGTGAAGACTTTTTCCCATGTGGTGATCCAAGTGATGAGGGAACCTACGAGCTTGATTTACCTTTTTGCTTTGCCCTTTACCTTCCAATCCCTCGCATAAATTGTTTTCCATTCGTACGTTCGGGTAGGATACACGTATCAGTATCTTACATATTGATATGTTAAAGACCACATTTGCAGGAGTCCCCCATTGTTATGAGATTTTTTTTTTTTTTTTTTTTTTTTTTTTTTTTTTTTTTCATTCATTCCAAAATGCCATTTCAACGAGATGAAGAATAGGGAGGAAAAAGCTGAGTGGAGATTCCAAAGAGAATTTTTATGAAGAACAGAAAATGAACCTTTCCAAAATGGGAAACGCTTTTGCTACACACTCATTAAATAGGAGGGAAATATTTTGTTTATCATTTATCACCAAATAGGAGACTCCGTCAGTTAGTTTGCCGTACCTTTTGTGCAATTTTTTAACAGCCATTTCCTTCCCACTCCCCCATGTTTTACCTTTTTTTTTCGTTTCCCATGTTTGGGTAAGCATAACAATGCAACATGTTGTGAATACCCCAATGTCCTGGAGAAAAAAAGAAGAAAAAAAAGGGTATGTTTGCATGAGCGCATGAAATGTTTATTTATACCAAAATAAGGGAGTAGTGTGAGTTCACCTCTTTTTTTTTTTTTCCCCTTCCCGTACGAACAGACTCGACATACATGCCTCTATACATCTGCATGTCTACGTGAACCCCTCTCCCATAAATAAGATATAGATAGTTGGGTTAAGTATCCAGATGATACACAGAAAAATGAGTAACATTAGCTATCTATATACCCCTTCTTCTCGTGAATGAACTTTTTAAGGTGTAATTTTTTTCCCATTTTTTTTTTTTTTTTTATTTTTATTTTTGTCTCTCCCCATATTTACATATATTTCTTATATAATGATGGTAATATAATTTATACCATTTTTGCATTTTCTATCTATTCCTATAATTATAACAAATGTGTGTTTGTCTTTTTTCCATTCCGAAACACTTTCTCCATCAGTATTATGTGAATTGTTATGCATAATTCTGTTTTTAGTGTTACCTCTTTATCTCGACATTATTTGGCTTTTTTTTTTTTTTTTTTTTTCTTCCATTTAGCCATTTTAACAACACATTTAACGTGAAACTCTATTTTTTCAATCACTATAAAAATTGTAAATATCTAGTGTTCATGTTTTTTAGTAAAGCTCTTATTATGATTATGTATGAAGACATTTTTTCTGTTGCTTTAATTTGGTGTATTTTATTTTATTTTTTTTTTTTTCTATCATTATATTTGTATCACTGTTGATTTTGTATCTATTTGGTGTAAGAGGGGTATTATAAGTACTTGTGGTTGAGGAGAAAAATTACAGAGAAATGAATTACACTGTTTCTTGACCAATGCAAGATATATCACCTTGTCTTGAACTTTACAGCAATGATGAATATGTAAGGAAAAATATAACAAGTTATCTGTTCCTCAATTTCTTTTGTTCATTATTAATATTCCCTTTTTTGAAGAGGGGTGGAATGGAAAGTTTGATGAATGTTCCAAATTCATTGTAAAAAGGTACATGGTTCATATCACCATATCACATGTCTTATACATCACTCCTGAAAAGGCAATAAACTGAACCGCACATTTTTACGTATCTGTATTTTTGCACCTCGTTTATATTAACATAAGGGGGGTGAATCATAAAATGCTTCAAAACAAAATGTCCATTTTGTTAAGAGTTAAAATTTCATCTTGTTAATTTACATCTATTAGTTGTATGTTATAAATATACAGGCGGAACACCCTTCATTGGATTGTTCAAAGAGAAAAAAAAAAAAAAAGGAACCGCATAATATTTTTAAATAATGGAAACTAAAAAAAAAAAAAAAAAAAAGAATGAAAACAATCCAAGTGATACAATTAATAAGAACAAAAAGGGACGTAAAAATAAAAAAAAATAAAATAATAATAATAAAATAAAATAAAAACAAAAAAATTCACTAAAGTAAAAGATAGATGTATAAACTGCGATGTGGTAAATCCTCATTTAATCCATTTCATTACATGTTCGAACCCATTTTTTTTTTTTTTTTTTTTTTTTTTGAAAACATCATTCAAATGTGATAACAAATATACTAGGAAAAATGTGGCACATGGTGAGTTATAAATATATCCCATGATCAAATGTGCAGACATTCACACATACGAAATTTCCAATATGAGTTTTCGAGTAGGAAAATCCCCTTCATATAGCACATTTGCGTGTCCATTCACAGAGGTGCATGTGCATTGGCCATTATGCAATTATGCTACTACACCGCTGCACCGTTATGCAATTATGCTACTGCACCACTGTACCAATGTGGTGCTCCGTCCCAGAAGCATGATGTGGTGGGGAACGCACTAGTTAATGACAAGGGGGAGGGCCTTGCGTGTAAAGAACTCGGACGGGTCGGCCTTTTTGTTCTGCATTTTTCTGATCTTCTCCTTCTGAAGAGCTTCGTAATATTCAGCAAGTTCCGAATCCGTCAAGTGATCAAACTTTGTGTATTGCTTGTACTCAGGCATGCAGGAAGTTTTTTCTGAGGGAGCAAAAATATTTTGCTTCAACAAATGACATACGTTTATATTTTGGCTGTTCTTTAAGTTTTCATCAGCATCAAGTTCAGCATTTTTTAACATTTCTTTGGTTTTTATTTTTATTTCTTCAAAGAATGATTCTTTGACAAGGTTATTTTTTTTCATGTAGCTAGCTAAATGTACAAGAGGATCTCTTTTCTTCCAGGATGATTTTTCTTCCTGTACTCGAAGCTCATCTGGATCTGCAAGGGAATGACCTTTAGCTCTATAAGTAATTGCTTCTATAAGCACAGGTCCACACTCTCTTTTTCTCATTTCTTTTACCTTTTTTTTCATCAATTTGTATATCCTTAACACATCATTCCCGTCAATTCTATAGGTGTCTAAGTTGAAAGACTTTCCTTTGACGTAGTTGTTCATAATGTCATCTGTTGAACTCCTTGATCCCTCCATTCCTATAGCCCAGTTATTATTTTCTATAACGAATATGATTGGCAAATTATATACAGATGCCAGATTTAGAGATTCGAAGAACTGCCCAATGTTCGTGGTGCCATCCCCTAGAAAGCAGACTACCACATCTACATCGGTGCTTTTTTTGGTAACACTAGCGCTTGCTCCATCTGCCCCGTTTGAATTTGCCCCGCCTGAATCTGCCCCGTTTGAATTTGCCCCGCCTGAATCTGCCCCGTTTGAATTTGCCCCGTTTGAATATGCCCCGTTTGAATATGCCCCGTTTGAATATGCCCCGTTTGAATATGCCCCGTTTGAATATGCCCCTTGGGGTGGAAACTCTTGTTTGTACAAAATGCTATAAGCCAAGCCAACGGCTATAGGAATTTGTTCTCCAATAAAACCGAACCCTCCAATGAAGTTGTGATCTTTGCTATATATATGCATGGATCCCCCCTTGCCTCTATTTGTGCTTCCGTAATAATTTCCATACAATTCATTTAAAACTTTTTTTGGTGCTACATTTTTGCTTATCGCATGAACATGGTCTCTATATGTACTTGTTACAAAATCTGATGGTCTTAAATTTTTTATGATTCCTGTACTTATGGCTTCTTGTCCATTATACAGATGAACGAACCCATTTATTTTTTTATTATAGTACAATTTGGCTACTAAATTTTCAAACATTCTTCCCAGATGCATATCTTCATACAACATTTTCATTTCTTCCTTCGTTACATTTACATCGGATATGTATTCGTCCATCTTGTTGTTTTCCAAATATATGTTATAGTTGTTCTCATGGCTCGCCACTTTTCCTAGAATTTCTTTAGCATCTTCTTCATATGAATTTCTTTTTTCCTCTCTATTATTTATATATGTATGATGCAGAGTATTGTCGTGATGTAGAAGCTGGGCAGTTCTCCCATCATCCACCTGTACTATAGCCTGCTCCACTTTTTTGGATCCAATCATTTGGTTCTTCATAGGCCTGTAGTGTGCATCTATTTTTTTTTTCATACTGCTACTTAAACCACTTATGTCACTTGTATTTGTGAATGTATTTTTGATAAACATTACATTGGTTTTCTTTTGTATGTTCATAGTTCTACTAATTTCCACTCCTATGATTAGCATAGTAATAAATCCAACTCTTACCTGCATCGTCAACTGAATTTTTCTACAGCACAGGTCGGGGGCAAGCAATGGTGCAACTGATCGAGGTGTATATTTTTTCTGTGTGGTTGTCACTTTGGTTTTGACTTGCGTTCTATGTGCTTTGCCTTCTTATTTATTTTATTTTTAATTTATTTTATCTTTTCTTATGTTTTTATTTATTTTGTTTTCTATTCCATCTTATTGTTTTATTTTATTTTATTTTTTTTTTTTTTTTTTCTATTCCATCTTATTGCTTTATTTGTTTTTTTTTCTATTTCATCTCATTATTTTTATTCATTTTCGTGCGTATGTCAAATGTCCTACCTCAATTGGAAAAGAAAATTCGAGGGGGCGTTCAACAAACAAATGTTTACGTCGAAATGAAAAGGGAAAAAAAAAAAAAAAAAAAAAAAAGAGGCACTTCACAGTCGTGGCATACTTATGACAATGTTCGTTTGGGAAATATATTTACGTCTTATATTTTTCCTATTCGTTTAAGTTTCACATTTTGTTCTTCTTCCGTTCATGTTCTTTTTCCACTCTTGTTCTCTCTTCATTTTTGTTCTTTTTCCACTCTTGTTTTCTCTTCATTCTTGTTCCTTTTCCATTCCTGTTCCTTTTCCATTCTTATTCCTTTTCCATTCTCTTGTTCTTTTCCTTTTCCTTTTCCTTTTCCTTTTTCTTTTTCTTTTCTTTTCTTTTCTTTTCTTTTCTTTTTTTTTTTTTTTTTTTTTTTTTTCTTTCCCTCCTTTTTTTTTTCCTTGTTTTTTTCCTTTTTTTTTTTTTTTTTTTTTTTTTTTTTTTTTTTTTTTTTTTTTTTTTTTTTTTTTTTTTCCTCTTTTTTTTTTTTTTTTTTTTTTTTTTTTTTTTTTTTCTCCCTTGGCTTGGGTAAGGCTCATGCTAGTGTCCCCCATATAGGATGCATGAAATTCATTTTTTACATTTTACTTTAGTTTGATTATTACATTTTTTCCCCTCCTTCAATTTTAAGTTCCCGTTTTAAAGGAGTGTATACTTTAAGCTGATTCATGTTTGCTATCAGAATATGTTGACACAAGTGGAGAGAGAGAGGTTCAAGATAATTTCTGAATTAACTTGAGTAAACTTGTGTTAGGAAAATACCCCCAAGGGGCCAAGCAGCAGATGTAGAAGATACAGCTGATGGCAACCTTACAAAAGTCTACTTCTTTTCATACACAAAAAGAATATGCATGGAGTGTAAATCACCTAAGATCCTACAAATAACAGCATCATTGTAATTATCGGGAAAGGTCATTTACATTTTAATTTTTCCATTTCATATTTGGAGAAGGAAAGAAAACTGGATATTTACAAAAAAAAGAAAAAAAAAAAAAAAAAAAAAAACTGAACCGGTACTGTGATAAGAGGTAAAAAGGGGTCAAACAGAACAAAATTTTATTCCCAAGTAGGTGAAACTGAAGGAGTAAAAAGGGAAAAAAAAAAAAAAAAAAAAGAAAAAAAAAAGAAAAAAAAAAGAAAAGATAATGCTTGATTGATGAACATATGAATACTTGAAAACGCTTGTTTACCAAGTGGAACATGAGAGAATACAGCCAAGCGGGATAAACACAGGTGCATATGAAATGTATATGCATATGTATATACATGTACATATATACACGCTTGTGCTACACGAGTAATATATGCCCATGCTTATACGTACGAAGAGATTCTCAACACCATCTACATTTAAAAGAAATCCGCACACACGAGGAATAAGGGCAAATGGAGCCTTCTTCCATGCCTCTTTGGTTCAGCACATTTGAGGAGGATATCGATACATACATTTTTATTTCTTCCAGGGATAATAAATTGTACTTAGGTGAGTCATAGGAGGAGAAACTGTTATGTATATGTTAAGCTGGATATGGGATGAATTACCATTCTCTCAAATATATTTATCCCCCAGGCATCTTTCTCCTGCACATGCAAATGCACACATACATATACCTCTCCTTTTTTTTTTTCTGCAACACACAAAAAAGGTATACTAAGAACATACGACCAGCATGGAAATATTTTTTTAACTCATTGTGTAGAGAAAATAATAATCCCAGATAAAAACTACTTTTCTGATGTGTACATAGGTAAAATTTACAAATGATTTTTTTGTTTTAGATGCTCGTGCATTTATGGGTTAACATTTGCTGCAAAAATTTTTTTCAGTTCTAAGTCCCTATGAGTCTGTTTTATGAACCCCCCCCCCCCCACGAACGTGAACTCTTTTTTTTTTTTTTTTTTTCACTAGTTATTATTTTCCATTCCATTACATTAAACTCGCTATCCAATCATTAGGAAACCTCATAATAAGGGGAGATAACATTGCCTACTTCGGTTCAGTTGATGAAGATAAGTACTCAAAAATGTTTGATTATTCACAAATACACAAAAAAGAAAATGAAGAGGATGAGAAAGCAGAAGTCTACTCATCAAGTGACATGGTGGTGACAGCTCCATTATCTGAGAATGTCATTTTGCGATACAAACCCATAAACCAAATTTTGAATTATCTACCGGAGAATAATCAAGAGTCAACCATTTTTGAGAATTAACCGTAAGGGAAAAATAAAAAATGAGCAAAGAATGGGCAGTTTGCAACCACAAAATGAGAAGAAGAAGAAGAAGAAGAAGTGGATGTTTGAGTGCCATTGTATGAACCATCAAGATATTTCTAAACTCTGACATTTATTTCCAAGGAGAAGAGGAGGTATATATCACTCTCCTTTTTATGTGCCTAATTTCGGTGTATCTACCCCCACCCACCCAAATTATCAAGAATCATTCTTCTTTACGAATTTTGCATGAGACTGTGTACATAAAACAGGTCTATGCACATGTGTATGAATATGTATACATATATGCATGTGTACATGCATGCGTACATACATGCGTGTGTGTTATATGGCTGTGTTCAACCCAATTCCTGAATTTCCTTTTAAAGGGAATCTAGACACATGAACAACACGCCCGCACAAATACTCCCTCACCCAATTTTTAGTATTCTTTTTTTAAAAGTATCATTTTGCTTTTAACACTCATTTGGGATTTCCGTTTTTTGATATTTTTCTTTTTTTTTTTTTTTTTTTTTTTTTTTGTACTCCCCAATGAATCTTCATCTTCCACTTTTTCGTAGCCTTTTTTGTAAATATTTTGTTATGAACAAATTGTAAATCGAAAGTACTTCTATGCCACATTTGCTACTTTTTTATTACATATAATATAAATCTTTCTTTTCCTTACTCATAAGACGTTAATATTTTATGAAGTATATGTTAAGTAAATTCTGTTCATTTCATCACTAGATCGTAAATTATTATGAATTTTTTTTTTTTTTTTTTTTTTTTTAACATCCCATATTTTTCTAATAACCCCCAAAAATGTGTTTAGGTTCCTCTCTTCTTCAACCATAAATAAATTGAAAAGTCCAAATTATTTTCTTGGAAATTTTGAACCTTTAATAAAATTTAGAGGAATATATATAAACCATTTAATTGTATAGTAATATGCATCCGTTCAAGGTGTCCTCTTCCTGAGTGTGGTGCATTATGCTCTATTATATATATGCACCACACAATTAGCTAATTGTCAAATTCAGTTCGATTTGAATAAGACTATATTGGACTAAGTTAAATTTTACACTTGACAATTGTTATTTAAAAGATGTACGGGGTTTAAAAAAAGGAGTAATAAACTGAGGCGATAAATTGAAACATAAAAATAAAATAATAATGAAATAATAAAGGAGTGCAGGCAAAATAAAAATACACATGGTACACGATGTAGTAACATAAAAAGTGCTAAAAGATTTATATTTGAATAAATCTAACACGTGGTGATGGTGAGGGTTTACATATGCGGGTCGCGCAAAGACGTATAGGAGGTCGATTCCTCACACGTTGCCTTTTTTTTTTTTTTTTCGAGGGACGAGGAATGTGTGTGAATGTGTACATATGCATATGTGGGGTGTGTTAACCCATCAATATATGTATGTAGACATACATATGTGCATACACATATGGCACACACATGTATATAATACATATATGTATATGTAAATGATATATATACGTCGTAAACTTAAAAATCATTGAGGGATGCATTAAAACAATTAAGTAACGAAATTCTCAGGCGTGATAAAACAAAATATATAACAGAGAAATACGCGAAAAGGGCTTCAGAAAAAAAAAAAAAAAAAAAAAAAAAAAAAAAAAAAAAAAAAAAAAAAAAAAAAAAAAAAAAAAAAAAAAAAAAAAAAAAAAAAAAAAAAAAAAAAAAAAAAAAAAAAAAAAAAAAAAAAAAAAAAAGGAAAAAGGGTTTAAAAAAAAAAAAAAAAAAAAAAAAAAAAAAAAGGAAAAAAAAACTACAACAACAATAGTAACTGTAATAGTGACAATAACAACGTAAACACAGGAAAAGCCAGCTAACACAATTGTAAGGCACGTTCAAATAATTAAAATGTGAAGAATTCAAAAAAAAAAAAAAAAAAAAAAAAATATTAACAATAAAACAGTTGGAAAATAACAGCGAAACTGTACGTGGAACACATACATATGGCCACGAACAAACACAGAGTATAGTGTCTTCAACTATAAAAGTTTCGAATTTTAACTATTCTTACTTACACTCTAACGAGTGATTGTGCACATAATTTTGTGCTGAAATTAGTACAAAAAAAAAAAAATAATAATAATAATTATAGTAATAATAATAAAAAATAAAGGGATTGTGCGTCTGGAAGAAAGATTTGTAAGTGTGCATATAGCATGAGGGATACGAATATAAACGCTAACATGGATGACAAATATTATAATGGATAATATGGTAGGAAAATGGAGCGGTATGTTACAAAAGGTCATAATATTTCCTTAAATACGTTGTAAAAAATATATCATATGACTCATATATCCGTGGCAAGGTATTTTTCTCAACTGTTAACTGTTGCATAAAGCAAAACCTATCAAGCAAATGAATGATAAAAAAAAAAAAAGTGTACTCAGGATACTAGTATGAGTCCTTTGAAGAATCACTCTCAGATTCTGATGAGTCACTTTGTTTGCTCTTCAATTCTAGCTGGTCTTTGCACCAATTGTACATTTCTCTGCGGTGAGAAAAAGGGAATCGAAAAAAGTGTGCGTAAGTGAACGGGGCGATATCACAAACAAAACGTGTGAATTAATTCATATATGCAGAATGGAAAAAAGAAAAAAAAAAACACGAGCATGAGCATGAACATGAGAATGAACGTGAACAGGTTCTCCTTTTCACCATGCGGGATCTGCGTTTACCTGAACACGTCCGCTTTGGTCAGCTTGTCATCTAGCTCTATTTCCCCTCCCTCCAGGGTCTTCCATACTGCTTTGTTTTTGAATTTTCTGAAAAGCTAATGGGAGGAAAAACAAAAAAGGGCATATATATATATAGGAACGACTCGCACATATAGACAGCTTTGTAACGGCAAATATTACAGCAACAAAATGGAGGTAAAAAAGCTTCTAAAAAGCTACAATCAATATCTCTCTATCCCTGTGGAGAGAGAATATATCCACTTCTATATGTTCTCACCTCAAAGTGTATATCCTGGTGCAATTTTCCTAGGAGCAACTGGAAGGCCAACTTCTCCTCCTCATTGATAGACTGTTCAATGGTATCCTGTGAATTTATTTTTTCCTTTTTCATTTCTTCCTTAGCCATGGATTGATGGTGTACATTGTGAATTGTCTGTATCCATGCTTTATCTTTTTTTCTTTGTTGAATATCTGAAATGCTGTTAGTAATTTGAGTAGATAATTCATGTAACTTCATCCATATATAACTAGACGGTTTGGACATAAATAATAAGTTATTCAGATACAAATATACGTCATTATATATTAAAAAAGTATTTTCATATTTTTTATTTTTTAATTTTTCCATTATACATTGGAAATAAAAACAATTATTATCTTCTATTTTATTATCTAAATTTTTAAAATTATTTTCTATATTTAATATTTGATCATAAAAGGAATTCTTTATTTGCGTTAAAATTTCATCACATAATTCTATCTTTTCTTTATCCTCAAGTTCTTTTTTCGCATCTTCGTCTAAGTAATTACTTGTCTTATCACTTTTTTTCTCTTTCATTTCGTTTAGTGTACTATCTCTGTGAATATCATCTTCATATTCTTTCAGTTTCCTTTCAGATTTGTCTTCTTGTTTCTCTGCATAATGGTACACTTTCGTATGTTCAGTTTTTCCAACATTTCCTGAATGTGTTAATAATGTGCCACAATCACTTCCTCCTGTTTTTATTTCGCATTTTACAACATTTTCATCTGCATTGGAGAAATCCTCATTTTTGCCTCTATCTCCTATTTCTATTTTCTTTCCCTCATAACTTCCATCCCTTTTAAAACTTGATCCAATAGGATGATCACTCTTTATTCTCTTTGTGTCAACTATTAATTCGTCCAACTTGGAAAGTTCTCTTTTTTTTTTCTTTTTAGTGTCATCAATGGGAAAAAATCTAAACCCACTTGTTGATAGATGGTACGAAATTAATGCTAATTCATTTTCATTTAGATAAATTTCTCCTCTATCTAGATTTAATTCAGTTTTATTCTTATGAAATGTCGATATGGCACTTATGGCTAGCTGTAATTCACAATTCTGTGGTATGGTAACCATGGTCTTTTCTTGTTCCGCAGGATTTATCTCTTCTTTCGATAATAAGTTCATCCCACCACCACTCTCCTCATTGTCATTACAGTTTGTATTTCCCTCATTATCTTTGCTGCTCCCCATTTTCTCCACTTCCATATCCACGTCGCCTTCAGATGTGGCACTGTTGAAATTTTTTATTTTGTTAACACATTTAGTAAAAAACGAAGGCGTTTTAACCTCATCATTCTTCTGTTCACTTTTGTCATTTGTATCGACACATTCCGAAGTTCCCTTCTCCTTTGAATCTGCTGAATCTGCGGAATTCGCGGAATCAACCGAGTCTGCCGAATCAAAAGAATCTCTAATTTTTTCAAATTCGTTTGTTTTGTTATTTATATTATGCTCTTTTTCCTTTACCGTAGAAGCATCGTTAACATTATCGCTATTCCTCAATTCACTATCATTTTTCTCATTCATTTTTTCATTATGTTAGAAAGGGGGCAAAAAATTTTGTTCCACTTTCACTGGATTGGTTTTGATTGATTATAGAATCTTGTTTCTTTATCTATCTGTTTTCTCCTTTATTTTAACGTATTTTATTTTTTGTTTTATTTTTTCCTCTACTCTGTCTTATTCTAATCTGATCTTATAACAAACCTCAATATATGTGTGTATGTATATACATATATCTTGCTCTTCTCTATTCTTAAGAATTCTAATCTTACAAGGAGATTCTTCTCTCTCGTCAATTTCTAAAGCTTTATTTTATATTGCGATTTTTATTTTCGCTTTTATATTCTCTTCTTTTCTTACTTGCGCGTAAAAATTTTGTGGTCAGTTTATCATTATTATACGCACTTTGTGTTGTTTTCGTCTTCTACTTATTTTGTTATTCTGTCGTATCGATCTTCTTTTTTTTTTTTTTTTTTTTTTTTTTTTTATTTTCCTTTCTATTTCAATATCGTATATCTTCTTTGTCACTTTTTTTGTCGATCTATGCTGTACGGTATGCAAACTTTGAATGCGTTCAGAGCGCATACTCTTTGATTTTCTGTTCGTGCACCCATGTACATATATTATGTGTAGATATATGTGTATGCATACGGGAGGATTCCACACCTATGGTATACATGCAGCTATATACATAGGGTTTATGTATATATGGTTGTATAAGAGCGTCTGTATATATATATATATATATATACATACATATATGTATGTATGGCATACACTTGCATAATGCACTCTCGAATGCACATGCAAATATATATATACATACGCTTATATACGACCTCCCCTCCTACTACAGAAAAGTGAAAAACTTTGACAATCTACACACCTCATTGGGTTCAATATTTTTTTCTTTCTTTTCAATTACACTTTCATCGTGTTTATAAAAAAAGACACATATAAATTATAGAGGTGATTAAAATGAAAAAATTTAGTAGCCAATAACTAAATGAATACTCTTTACAAATGGGAAATGAGGAGAAAAAAAAAAAAAAAAAAAAAAAAAAAAAAGTTCAGTATAATTCTTGTACAACAATTTATTTTTTTTTTTTTTTTTTTTTTTCTTTTGAAAAAATTCTCATTATTTATGCATATTTTTTCTTGACAAATATTGTATGCTAGTTATATATTTCATCATTTAAAAAAGTAATATTTATAATATCGGGAATAAAGTTCTCTTTCTCTAGTGCATTAATATTAGAATTAAAAACTACGCGAATATGCTGTGATGCTTAATGAATTACACACTTTTTTCGTCAAACCAGGAAAATATATAGGGGTACATGAATATATATCTATATATCTCTATGTACATATATATATATGTATGTGCCTACATATATGCCTCTACATATAGATGCTCAATTTGGCTCCCCGTAGGGACACAAATATGACAACCTTTGTATCCCCCGGGCTTTAAAAATGTACAAATTAATTTTCCTCTTATAAATATAAAAATTATATTCAGAATTAAAAAAGGGTTTTATTAATTATTGGTATACATAAAACAACATATGTACATGTAAATTTTTGCACATGCATATGTGGTTACTTCAAAATGTAGCATGGGCACTTTATATAAAAACTTGCTCTTAAACGTGTGTGTATGTTATGTATTTACGTAATTGGGGGATGATGTTATGGCCTATGACCCACCCCTATTTATGTATATAAGTTGCATATTTTTCTTTGTTTCGTCGTCCTTTTGTCCACTCACGCAGTTATTTTTATTTTTCCTATTCTTTTTTTTTTTTTTTTTTCTCCTTTGTATGTTCTGTTTTTATCCTTAAATCTACAATATCGTGTTTTTGTGCAACAAAAATGTTATTCACAAAAAAAAAAAAAAAAAAAAAAAAACCTTGGAAATATTAAAAATTCACAAAATGGTGATGCAACTTCACAATTATTATTTTATTTTATTTATTTTTTTTTTTTTTTGTTCTTCCAATTTGATAATTTACGTCAAATTTAATTTATTTTTAAATGACAAAATTTTATTATATTTCTTAATTCGTTCATCATAACTTAATTTAGATGAAAAAATAATAAACTACAAATAGTCAATTATTAAAATGAAATAAAAAAGCTTATCTTTTCTTCCACTTTCTAAAACTGTGTAATCATTTTATGTTTGTTTTGCATCATATGTATATATAAGAGAGTGTACAATAAAAGAACAACGCTGGAAAAAAAAAAAAAAAAAATTATACGATAAACGGTTAAACAACCAACTTGTAACTTTTACTACTTGTGCGCTTAATAAGCTTGAGATTGTATTATTTTACAGATCATGACTTAGAAAAGTTTTGTGAATTTATTACAACGTGTATATATAAGTAATAAAAGAAACTTATATTCATTTAAAAGTGTATACATACATTTATATATGTAATGTAAATAATGTTACATAATATATATATGTAATATATATGTATACATGTGTTTGCTTATTTAAAAATCAGTTGAACAAAATGGAATAAAAAGAAAAATAGGATTAAATTTTAAATAAAATGAATTATTTTTATGTGTTTGTTTATTATTATGAAAGTTAATGAAATATGTAATGAAAATGGTTTGTATACAAATTGATTTTTTTCCCAATTTTTTTTTTTTTTTTTTTTTTTTTTGCGTATATTACAAAATTTGAAATAATTATTTTCTGAACATTGATACATTTTTTGATATACGCAGAAAAAAATAAAGGGGAAAAGGGAAAAAGAAAAAAAAAAAAAAAAATAATAAAATAAAATATAAATTATAAAATATAAATTATAAAGCATAAATTATAAAGCATAAATTATAAAGCATAAATTATAAAATATAAATTATAAAGCATAAATTGTAAAACATAAATTGTAAATATAAATTATAAAATATGAATTGTAAATTATAAAATAAGATAAAAAAAAAAAAAAAAAAGTAGCACAAGGCAAAATATGAACAAATTTAAAAATGGTTATCATAATAATTTATTTTATGTGTGTTATGAAAAGTTCTTACATAGGCGCTAAGGCTCTTATATATATTTATTACATGTATGCATTTATTATATATAACTATCTAAAATAGGGGTATATATATAAAATACACTATATACAACACATTTCCGGTTCTCATAAAAAATTCTATTTTGAGAAAATTATTTTTACCGTTTTGGTTTATTTTATGAGAAAGAAACACATTTTTCTTACATTTGTTTTGCACACTTTTTAAGTGTTTATTTTTGAGTAGATTTTTAGCTTAAAAGTATGTCACAAGTTGTGTATATTCTTAATTATATATATTGTTAGTAAGAGATTAATCTCATTGCCATAACATAAGAAGGGGAGCAAGCATGACAGTAAAAATAATGCAAATGCAATAATAATGTTATATTGGAAATATAAAAAGGTTTCCGTATTATATGATTATTCAGGTGAAGATAAAAAAAAAAAAAAAGCACAGTCCACGTATTATAAAAGTTGAGTTTTGTATGCATGGTTCATAAAATAATGGGACTTTTTTTTTTTTTTTTTTTTTTTTTTTTTTATGATTTAGCTAACCATTTTATCATACAACACTGTTGAGGTAATCTATAAATATATTTTTGCTATATACATAAATATATCAATGCTATCACGCGTGTTCCTTTTAGCTGCTCACGTCATTGCACTGGGGTTCTGTGCACAAGTAACGCATTCCAAAGAATGGGTTTTAATTAAGGAATGGCAGAAATTGTACATCCTGTACATTTTTGAAGAAGGATATAAAAATCACATGTATTTTAAGGTTTCCACGCGTCGCATACATGAGGAAAATTCAGTGTTTTATTTATGTATATATTTATTCATTTGTCTATCTATTCTCCTGTTTATCTATTCTCCTGTTTATCTGTTTACCTGTTTATCTGTTTACCTGTTTATCTGTTTACCTGTTTATCAGTTTACCTGTTTATCTATTTTTTTTTTTTTTTTTTTTTTTAAATGGAAATAAAGTAGTTGCAAAAAGAAGAAAAAAAAAAAAAAAAATTCGGGAAGTGTTGCATGTTCATGTAAGTTTTACATTGCTTAGTAGGTAATTAGTTCAATTTCGCAACTCGTTCATACATTCATTTTTTAAGTTTTAAAAAATTGTCATAAAGGCTAATTTTCCAGTCGAGTAACAAGCAAATATGATTTCAGTTTATCAACAGATCCACATTTTGTATTGTTCATTTACTATTCCCTGGTTGCTCACATCTCCTAGGCAGGGCCAACTAATTATTGATCAAAATGTAAAAGGAAAAATATGGTTCCACGCCCCTCCTATCCCCCGAACATTTGCAAAAATAAGACCTTAAATGAGGTAGCAAAATTGGAAAATAAGGAAGAATAAAAAAAAAATGGAAATAATAAATTGGCAAATGTCGAATCACGATTTACAAGTTGAAATATCAGTTCAGCACATTAATTTTGTAACTTAAATCCGCAAGTCGGAATTTTTTTTTTTTTATCGCGCTTTTTTTCCCTCACTCCCTACCATTTTTTAAATGTAAAAAACGCATTATACTAGCAATAATATCTTTTTTTTTTATTTTGCACAACTTGAGTAAACTATTCTTCAGTACACAGTTCTACCTTTTCTTCGTTTCTTTTAAAAGACGTTTTGATATTTGTTAAGGATGCAAAAAACTTTTCTATATGTACAATGTAAGAACAAATTCGCATATAAATAGGTGCATATAAAAGGGGTAAATAATTACATTAGTGCATACCTTCGCACATACGGCGATATTCGCATACACACATATATATATTCCTGTATGAAGAAATGGCCAAGTTTGTAATACATAGGGAAATGAGTAAATAATGCAACGCACATATATAATACTTACATATTTATATGTACATGTACGGTCATATATAACCACGTACACCTGTACATCCCGCTCCTACCGTCTTCGTTCGCGTGAAAACAGAAGAAAATTTATTATAACACAAAAAAAAAAAAGAAAAAAAAAAAAAATGACAAAGGTGAAAAAAACTCAAGACAGTTCAAGCGATCATTTATAAAACTTGCACTTTATAAAAAAAAAAAAAAAAAAAAATACATAGGAAAGAGAAGTATTATTTTTTTCATGTCTAAAAAAGTTAGCCATTTGTACTGACACAAAAACATCTGGGTAAAGTGAAACACTAGTACGAGTACTGGTGAAAAACAAGAGAAAAAATAGTAACAAAAAATACGTTACTGAAAAGGTGAGGGAAAAACATACGTTGATATGTATACATATAAGCTGTAGTATTTGATCAATTAAAATATATATCTATAGGCAAATTTGCTGCTAAAAAGTTGGCACATGTTACGAATTGATAAACGTAGAAATGATAGCCAAGCAAGAGATTGAAGAATTCCTGCGGCATATTGGTAAAAGAAGAAAGAAGAAAAAATATGAAAAATGTATGTCCATAAATGGTTGCACATGGATATTTTTGCATGTACATTTTTGCACGGACATTTTTGCATGTACATTTTTGCACGGACATTTTTGCATGTATATTTTTGCACGGACATTTTTGCATGTATATTTTTGCACGGACATTTTTGCATGTATATTTTTGCACGGACATTTTTGCATGGATGTGTATGCCCATACTCACATGCACATTTACACATACTGATATACATAATGACAAATTAGTAACCTGGAAAAATAACAACACTCATTAAATAAAAGAATGAAATGAGTTAATAATTTCTTCTACATTTTTCTAATTAGCACAGAAGATGCAACGGAGGATACAGCCCTGTACTATTTGGAAGTATGAACTTAAGAGACAAAAAAAAAGAAGAATTGCTAGAAAGCTGTGAATCAGATGTTATCAAGTTCATGTTTTGTATGTCTTGTATGTTTTTACTGTTTTTTTATTTTTTTTTTCTTCGTTTTATTAATCTCCATAGTGGACTTATTTGACTTGTATATGTATCAGTTGCTACTAACATTTTCCACACAACATAGCTCCCCTTCCCCCGCACGAACACCTCCACATCTACGTAAACACATATTTTCTTCTGTTTTCATCCCAGATGTGTAATGGAAACTGTAGTGATGCGCTAAATTTGTATTACGAAATAAATGGGGAACCTACTTCGCATAGCCAACATCATAATGATGGAATGGGACAAGGGGAAGAAACATTAGAAGATGCGGACACACAACAAGTTGGAATAGAGGACGCAAGAGATCGAACCCAGGACGCAAGGGATCGAACCCAGAACACAAGAGATCGAAACGAACATGTAACAGACCAAATGGAAGACTACAGTACTGAATATGACGACTGTATTAGAGAACCAGATAAACATTTCAGTCAAGCCTTAATTCATGATATGGATAAATCTAACTTTTTACATTTTAATGAGAAAAATAAAAAGGATAAAAAAAGCAAAATCGAATTAGGAGATGCTATTGGAAAACTCTTTTCCCCTCCTGTATTTCTGAATTGCAACTTATCATTGGAAGAAGTGCGTAAAAAGTCTAGAAAAGAAGATAAGTATATACTTGTCAATATCCAAGATTCAGAATTTGAATCCATGCGTCTCAATAGAGATATATGGAATAATGAAGTGATTCAAGAAATAATAAAAGACTTTTTCATTTTCTGGCTTCGTTATGAGCATGACCAAGATGCTATGATATTCATGAGCACGTACAAGGTTAGTACAGCAAGGGAACGCTGGAAATTCCTCTACCCCTCCTCAATTATGATATGCCCTCATATGTGTGCTAGAATATACATATGTACATATTTACTCATTTATTTACGTCCTTATGAAAAACATGTTTTCCCTCCCTCACCATGTACATGCAGGTAACAAAACTGCCACACATCTGCGCACTGTGCAAAAGGACGGGTCGAAAACTTAAAGTGTGGAATCTGAAAAACTTCCAGGATCCCATATGTGCACAATCACAATTGTACGAATTTATCGAAAAGATGGAACCAAAAAATGAATCGGATAATAGTACTGTTAATAAAGATGGAATTATGTTTGAAAAATGCATTGAAGCACTTCCAAGTGGAGAGGATAATAACAAAAGTATGTTTAATAACATGAATGAAAATAAAATTAGTAGCACTTTAAAAAATATGGATATCAGGGTTAATGAAATTCATGCCAATATGAATAAAAATAAAAGTTGTGGGAAATCTACAGATTTGTTAAAAAACACAAATGATGCAACAAACGGTAGGACAGATGGTGTAGTACAGTATAACAAAATAAATAATGAATTATCTGAACTGCACAAATTAAGGTTACAACGATTCCAGAAGAGGTAGCATCCACACTGCCTGCAATTATATGCTGCGCGTGTATATGTATACATATATATTTATACATATATGGTATAAATATCCATAAGTCTACCTAGGTATGGAACATATTTCATAAAATATTCCTACAGTACTGTGCGTGGATAGTATACATACAGCGTTTTTACATTCCACAAGTTCATCTCCACAAATAAGCTTCAACATTAGAGATCACATGGAAAACAGACGAACGAGTATCAACATTGAATTTTTTAAAGTGATGTCAAAAACATATGCTATTTTTCAAATGGATCAAAAAAAAAAAAAAAAAAAAAAATTTCTTTCATATCAGTTCATTCTGCAGAAAGTACTACCGTTCCATGTATGTAGATATATATATATATATATATCTACTTATATGTGTTTTCGCATAGGCATGTAATATTTGTACCGTCGTGCACCTTTTGTAAAATTTCGTATGTGTATCATTTGTACCTCAAATTATACGTATCAACCCTTTGGGTCCAAATTTGTTTTTGTCTTTTACAACAAGTCCTAATTTATACATTAATTTTGAAGAAGAAAAACGGATCCCTCCATTTCCCTTCTTCACCAGACTGGCTCAGAAATAGTTTTTATGTGCTCTAACACTGTGCGTTATCTTTTTTATATGAATTCTGTTCTTATGGGTTTTTGGGAGGATTCATGATAAATTATACATGTGAATATATGTTATTCATATTATGGGAGAAAAAATGTTCACTTTTTATTTTTTTATTTTTTTTTTCATTATTATTTTATTATTATTTTTTTCATTATTATTTTATTATTATTTTTTTCATTATTATTTTATTATTATTTTTTTCATTATTATGTTATTATTATTTTTTTCATTATTATTTTATTATTATTATTATTTTTTTTTCTTTCTTTTTCCTCTCCTTTTTCTTATTTATTATTTTATTTTTGCACTATATTGAGAATTCATGATAAAAGGGAAGCGAAAAAAAAAAGTAATAAAAATAAAAAAAAATAACGACATGAAAGAAGCCATATAAAGAGATACATATATTTCATATGCTAAGTTTGATATAAAAGCAAAAAAAAAAAAAAAAAAAATTTTTTTTTAGAATTTTTAAGTACATATATAAAACAACTCCATGTTATAAAATACGCATGAACAAATAATACATTTGTACGAATTTTTGAAACACGTGGGGTTACATGTATATACATATATATATGCATATATGTAATGTTTGTGAAAAGGATTCTGGGCACATCGAAAGAGGAATGATGAGTCTGTCCTTACGTGAACAAGCTTGAGGCATACGTATTGCGCATAATGGATATCGCACATTGGCACTTTAGGAAATTGGTACACTAGGAAATTGGCAAATTGGCACACCGTTACACTGACAAATTGGCACTTCCACACTGATAATCACTACTTTGAACACACGCACATGCCTGCTCAGGCATATTTAAATGCGTACATGCGAATTCGTATGAGAGAAAAAATGAACGGTTGTGAAACGAATTCATATGCGTGGAGGACGGATGGTGGCATGAGCCAAAGTCAATTCTAATTTTATTTACTTGACACGGAGTTCAACATTCTTAGAAGTTACAAAGGAGTGAATCTCCAAATTGAGCAACGCTAACTTTCTCAGCCCATCTCTTTGCATCTACTATCGATTGTGTGTACGAAGGGAGGCAAATTAAAGTTTTACTTTTTGATTTTGCTGCTATCTGTTGGACTCACAGAAAATCACGCACAGCATATGCAACGTTGAAAGGAAAAGACTATCCTCTGAAAAACTGAAAAGAGGGAAGGAGCAAGCTAAGGAGTGAATCCCAAAAGTGAAGGTGTAAAAAAAATGGAAAAATCAACGGCAAGGTGCTTCAATTTACTCTTTTTAGAGGAAGATGAAGAATATATGGATGATATGTTAATAACCATGAGGAGGAAACAACAGAATGGTGTCATCCAACATAGAGATAAAATTTCAAACGAGCATGCAATTAAATCTGAAGAATTTACAAACATGTACATATGCACACGTGGAAGGTTAAGGCTGTGCTCAAAATCCTTAGTGTTTGAACCATACAGCGTGGATGAGGATGTTTTGAAATTCCCTTTTAAGAAATTAGAAAATGCAAAGATGTGTGCGTTACAAAATGAAATAATTATAAAAACGTCTGAAGTTATTAAAATTAAAACGATTTTATATAATAAGAAAACAAGGTGCACTTCTCAGTTTACATACGATAGGAAAAATAGAAGAAGTATTAACTTAATGAATAGTCTTTACAATGAATACTACGATGAGATTCGAATGATTGATAACGACAATATAGACGACAAAATTCCTCTCTTTGAGAAAATTCTCAATAACTTCGATGAAAATGAGATGGAAAATTCTTCCACTACAGCGGCTATTAAAGTGGCCATTACAACTGCACCCACAACTGCAACCACTACTGCACCCACAACTGCAACCGCAACTGCACCCACAACTGCAACCACTACTGCAACCACTACTGCCAACAGTGCAACTTCGTTTGTGTACTCATTCCAGTGTGATGGATCTCTCAGCAGCAGGAAGAAGCTGAAAGCGATGTACGACATAGTCTCGAAAATAAAAATCGCGATGGTGATACACGAAAAGCAAATGGAAATTCTAATAAAGGAAAAGAAGAAAAAGCAGCAAGGGACTGGATTTGGAACTGGAAGTGGAATTGGAGAATTTTCAAATGAATACCAGAGGGCAAGGGAAAATAGGCAAGAAAAGGATGGAGAAAATTTTGGTGATTACGAGAAAGAAGGGAGGAGAGGGGGTGGGATCAGCGCCTCAGTGAATAGAGGGAAAAACAGTAACTACTTGAACAAAGTAAAAGAAGTTGATATTGAAAAGTACATTGAGAAGATAATGGAAAGGTTGACAGAAAATATGAAATTTGATATAAGCAGTATAAGCATACATGAAAAAATAATTACAAAAAGAATGGAAGGATATTGGGTATTTAAAATATCTCCCTTGTTAAGAACCAAAGGTATATTAAACATAACAAATAAATTTATATATTTCCAATATAATCCAAATTTTACAAATAAAAAAGAAAAGAAATGGAAAACGGAAAACATTTTACATGTATTTAAAAGAATCATAATTATGAAACCTAATGCATTAGAAATAATATTTGACCATGAAAGTAAGAAAAAATATAGTTCATTATATATCGAATTTGTCAATTATGGTGACAGAGAAGTAATAATTTCTGTACTGAAAAAAATAAAACCGCAATGTTTATTTATAGAAGAAAATAAAGATTTTGTATATGCTATTCAGAAGAAATGGGAATATGGTGCTATATCTAATTATGAATATTTAGATTTTATTAATTGTATCGCTGGTAGAAGTAGAAAAGATTTTTCTCAATATCCAATTTTTCCTTGGTTGTTATGTGACTATTCTAGTGAATCAATTAATTTAAATGATGATTCTATTTATCGAAATTTGAGAAAACCAGTTGGTTGTTTAAATCCGGATAGATTAAATTCTTTAATAGAAAAGATGCAAGATCATGATTATTTTTATGGTTCCCATTATTCTACCTTAGCTTATGTTGTTTATTTTTTAATTCGTTTACATCCAGAATGTCAACTGAAATTACAAAGTGGTAAATTTGACACTCTTTCGAGAATATTTTTATCTATTGAAAGCACATTTAACACTGCTTTAAATGCGAATTCTTCATTCATCGAATTGATACCAGAATTTTATGAAGACAATGATAGCTTTTTAAAAAATTTTCTTGACATTGGTTCAAGTGAAGGAAATATCCATGATGTCATTCTTCCTAAGTGGTGTACCTCATCAAAAGATTTTTTAATAAAAATGAAAAATTCTCTTGAGAGTAACTATGCAAATAAGCATATTAACGAATGGATTAATTTGATTTTTGGTTATAAACAAAGTGGACAAATAGCAAAAGAAAATTTCAATTTATATCACCCCCTTACATATATGCATACTATACTTAATGAAAAATTATGTGTAGCTAATTATAAGTCTCATTGTGATCGAATTAGACAAGAAGAAGAAAATGAATTTGAACGAAATTTTAATGAAAAAATTAAATCATTAATTACTACTATGCCTTCTAAAGCGTTAAAAACACAGTTACACGAATTTGGACAATGCCCATTCCAAATTTTTAAAGAACATCACGTGTCTAGAAAATCATCTGTTTCTTTTAACTACAACGAGGAGATTAAGAATTCTCCCTGGTATTACTCTCCAATTTTTAATGAAGTTTTGTCTGAACTCTATTTCAAGAGGAAAAGGAAAAAAGACTTGAAAATGCGTAGGAGGTTACTAACCCGTGGGGGACTTAGGGGAGACCGATTTGGTGGATACCTACGGGATGAGGAAGATGAAGAAGAAGATGAAGAAGAAGATGAAGATGATGAAGAAGTTGATGAAGAAGATGAAGCAGGAGAAGTAGACGAAGCAGGAGAAGTAGACGAAGCAGGAGAAGTAGACGAAGCAGGAGAAGTAGACGAAGCAGGAGAAGTAGACGAAGCAAGAGAAGTAGACGAAGAAGACGAAGCAGATGGAACAGATGGGGAAGATGAAGACGACCCCGATCATCACCAACGGGACGAGGAAGAGGATGAGGGAGGAGGAGACATTTACCATGGAGATGTCTGTGGTGAGGAAGATGGAGAGCAGAAAGAAGACAAGTCATTCGAAGGAGTGAAAGATATAAATGGAACGGATTACTATCAAAGAAACAAGAACAAGTTTCGAGGCATAAACAGAAGCAAGAGAAGAGGATACATTGATGAATGTACAAGAACAAAGCACGTACCAAATAGAAATGGTGATAAGGATATACGTGGAAATTATTTCAAAAGACACAAATGGAATTTACATAGAATCGATCTGATACCATGTGTTGTAAATGGAGTTGCATACAACCATAGCAACATTTGCTTTGTTTGTAATAATGGATTTATAAAAATAATTAGTTATAATGATTTAATAAAATACGAAATAAAAAATAACAATAATTTGATTTCTCTAAAATTTGGTGATGAAAACTTTTCTTGTATTACAAATGTCCAAGGGAAATATATCATAGGGACATGCAATGGAAATATTCTTTTTCTGAACCCACAAAGCATTTTGAGAGTGAATGAGTGTGATGTAGAACCCATGGATTCTAACGAACACCCAAAAAAAGAGGAGGAGGAGGAGGACGGGGGAGGCAGTAGTAATAAGGGAAAAAAACTGTTAAACGAGAGATATTTATCCCTCAATGATTCGAGAATATCTAGGAGTGACTCTGAAAATTCTCTGCTGTCCTCCTTTGATGATGTGTTTGAGTGTGTCGAGAGGAGCAGTAATGGGGTGAGCAATGAGATCAGTAACGGATGGAATCATAAGAATTGTAAGGAGAGAAAGAATAAACACAGGAGAAACGAATTTCTGTACAGTGCAAACATTTACAATCAATTGGTAAGTAGAAAGTTACACAATGACACAGTGACGTGTATGAGTTTCAACAAGAATTATTTAGCAACAGGTTCATCAGATGAAACAGTGCAATTACTTAACGTTGAAAATAATTTTGAAATTTTACAAACATATGATAATTTTAGCGATTCTGTAAAATTTGTGCAGCTAAAGAATAAACTTTTATTGACACGATCTGATGGATTCAAATTATTTGATATTCGAACAAGACCTCGGAAAAAACTGGAATTTGAAAATTTGAATTCTAAATGTTTCAGCGTTTCTTCTCCAAATGGAAATAACAAAATAGGAAAGTTACATAAAAGTAAATTTTCATCAAAGGGTGAATTTGGCTCTGGGAAATTCTTTCGCTTTTATGGAAATGAACAAGTGCGACTTTTCTATAAGACTATACAAAAAGTGTATGAACAAAATTATATCTCCATAAATTATATGAATCCACAATATTTATATGAGAAAAAAATTAAAAAAAATTTGAACGACACATTTTCAAATAATTTTGGAAACATCATCTATTCATCTCTCATTAATGACAACACAATCTTTAGTTTAGATCGAACTAACAATTTTTATTTTTATGATATCAGAGGAGAAAATTGGATCAATGTAATTTCAAATAGTTCAACAGATATCAAAAAAAAAAATAAAAATAAAAATAAAAATATTTTTACAACTGCTAATTGTGATGACAGGCAACAACTATGCGCTATCAGCAATGCTGGTGATATTTTTTTTGAACCCATAAACTTCTGGAGTGCCTTTGATGATGAGGAGAATAATGATGACGATCAGGACAATCCCATCGCCACCTTTTCGAAAACGAACATTTTCAACACTAGGTGTTCCTTTATCCCCTCGTATATTTCCTTCCTCAGTCATTATGCATCTTCGAATGATTTGGATATCAACGATGAGGGATCGACCAGCACAACTGCTGCTTCATGTAATTACATATTATTCACAGGGATGAATGGCAAAATAGAAATACATAAAAAAGGTGCCCCCTCCAACTGAGAGAAAAAGAAGAAGAAGAAGAAGAAGAAGAGACAGATAAAAAAAGGGTCGATAAAAAAATATACAGAGAGAACTAAATAGGAGTTTCGTTTATTTACCACATTTGGAATATCAATTTTCTGACCACAACACCCTAGATTAATAATTGAGCTGAGAAATTCGTGCATTTTGCGAATTTTGCCAATTTTGCAAGTTTTTCGAACTTTTCGAACTTTTCGAACTTTTCGAACTTTTCGATCATTTCGAGCTTTTCAAACTTTTCGATCATTTCGAAGCTTTTCCAATTATACCAATTTCGCTAATTTTTCGCAATATTTTCCAACTTTGAGACGCTGTCAAATTATTCAACTGCTGAATTATGAAACTTCGAAGTTGTCAAGTGAAAGAGAATCATGAATTTTTGTTGAAGTATTATTATGTTCATCCATGGCACGGTGTGAAAAGGAGGCATACCAAGTGGGGGGGCGTAAAAAAAAAAAAAAAAAAAAAAAAAAAAAAAAATGTCATCAAATGGAGTATGAAATGGACGGAAGGAGAATAAAGTGGAAGAAGAAAATCATACGCACATTAAATCATGTTATGAAGTGAAGCTATGAGAGATATGTACATATATATATATATATATATATATATACATATTCACACGTGTGGGAAAAAAAGCAAAAAGACTTTCGTTCACACATGGATTGGATATATATATGGAGTTACAGAGGGGAGCTGAAAATAAATCATCAATTTAGTCAAAAAGTTCGGGAGTTCAAAATATTTTTTGAATTTATGAGAGATTTGGATGCAGGAACTTTTCTTACAAACGCACACGCATATCGTGGAGTATTGTTTGGCTTGGCTTGGCTTAACTCGGTCAGGCATTTTTTTTTTTTATGTGCGCTTGTGTGTGCCAACTTTCGAACTGGTTAATTCATAGTGGATTTTAAAAGTTTTGAATTCTCCAAAGTTGCACGTCTTTGTGCGTGTGCAGATGTGAATACATATATACGCATTTCAATTTTAAATAAACTTGTTATTATGTTTTTTTTTTTTTTTTTTTTTCTTTATTATAATTCCGCACAGTTATAAATATCACGGAATATACTATTAAAATTATGCATAGACAAAATGATAACAGGTAGAAAATAAATGTTGCTCTTTTTAATTTTAATCTTTCTTCGAATCTGCACAAATGGAGGGAAAAAAGAAGTATGGAATCATAAGCGGATATATATGTGTTTTTCACTGAATGTGTTGAACTTTTTTTGCTTCCCATCACGGCTAGGTTAGTTATACTACCACCACGCGAGCGATCATGTAATGTGATAGAGACGGAAAATATAATTGGATGTACAGCATAATCATATGTAACACCACATAACAGAGTAAGACGATTCCACCCAAAGGAGATCCACACAAAGGAGACGCACACAAAGGAGACGCACACAAAGGAGACGCACACAAACGAGATGCGCACTAATGCAATGCACCCATGCGTGATCCACTCTAACGTGGATCCAAACAAAAAAGCACATCCGACTTACTTGTTTAAAATAATTATCGAATCCGCGAAGTAGTAAAGGGAATTGATTAGAGCCGTGATTTCGTTTCTCTCCAGAGATCCAATATGTTCGTTACTCATTCCCTCCTGAGGGGAAAGAAAAAAGGGGGAGGGGGGAGGGGGGGGGATTCATAAAAGGAACTCACAAATATTTGTGTGTCTGTATTCGTCCATGCATTCGTACATGCACTCGTTGATTTATTCGTGTGTGTGCAATTCGCTAGTTTTTCCAGGACGCACTTACCACCAAGGCTATCTGCAGGGCAGTCGTTTTTAGTTTTCCATGCAAACGACATTTGACACAAGGTACACAATCTAAAATGTTGGTTATGTTCATAAATTTCGCTAATATTTCTTTCCCATGTGTTGGAAATATCGGTTCTAAGAATTCCTTCGATGAACACGCGTGATATAAATTCCCCAGTAAATTATCCAGAAGTTTAAGCGCCTCCTTGTCGTTCTGTTCCTGACCTGCATTTGATTCAAGGAGAAATGGTTTAATTTGGAAGTAGATGTCATTACGGTATGTTTCACGGTTGTGGAGAGTCTACAGGCATGAGGATCTCGCTTCTTCCCCCTTTCTCTCTCTAGCTATCTATTAATAGGTACTTCTCTCTAGATACGTCTCAATAGCTACCCCTCAATAGCTACCCCTCCATAGCTACCCCGCCTCACCTGAGTTGCACTTGCACTGGCTGACAAGGGGCTTCAGTCGACACATGGCTCTCAGCAAGATGGCAAAAGTAAAATATAAATTTTCAATCCTCTCCGGGTAAAGTGCAATCTTTTCCTTAAAGAAATTCACATTGTAATCATAATTTAACTTTTTAAAATAATCACTTTTTATAACATCAACAGAGTGCAAATCTCCGAATACAAAATCATTCTTAAGGTAGTAATATTCAGCTGATAAAATCGCTATGTTGGATTGCATTCCTGAAATTATTCTATAAAAACTTTTCATTTCCTTACATCCATTCTTCTCGTTCTGGAAACAGTTTTCTTTATATATCTTGTTCCTATGTCAGGTGGATGGTGGTGGAGTAAATATGTGTATATATATAATATATCTTCCATACGTGGGAGAGATATGTAAAAAGGGGAAAAAAAAATAAAATAAGTACAGCTATTACATCACGTATAAAACAAGGGTCAAAAAAAAAAAAAAAAAAAAAAAAAAAAAAAACTATGACATGTAAATTTTATATTTGCATGCGTGCCAATCCTGGGATACAAACAATTTTGAACACTCGAGATAAGCAAGTTGTTCTGAAAAGTGACGAATGTAAATGATTTACATCTATGTGAATACAATTTTTTTCATTGTAGAATGTGATTTTCCACTCCAAATTTTGACGTACCAAATATTTCGACCCTCGTAGGCAGTGAATGAGGGAGAGTTGTAAACCAAATCTACATAAGTTAAAAATCCTTCATCAGATGTGGCATAGATTCCTAATATGTCTTTATAGAGTTTATTTTCAATAAAAGTTTTTTTCAAATCTTCATTCGACATTTTATCTTCAATTATTTCAATTTCATTGGTTCGAAAATTATATGGTATTTCCTCATTTTCACATTCACAAACACTACATTTTTTCATTTCTTTACATTTTTCATTTACTTTTAAAATTTTGCATGGTATATGTAAATTCACTTTGAAAATTCGAAAATAATCCTTTTGTTTTAATTCTTTTAATATTGGATATACTTCATATGCATCTTTTTCAATGTCCCGTACATGAAGCCCTAGGATCTTTTCATTATGAACATAACTTGATGGAAATTCAATGTCAAATATGTTGAAGTATAATAATATTTCTTTAAATCTTTCCTTCAATATTACTCCATATGATATAAAGGTATCTTGTTCCTTTGTCTTTAAAAAAAGACCAGTAAATATTATTGGAAGTAGTACGGAGATCACGGCGATTTTCATTTTTTCCTGAGAGATTATTTGTGGGGGAGGGGGCGGGGGGGTTCTTGTTAAGGAGGTTCTATAGATATGGCTTCTCCTCTCTGCGACTCTTATGACTCTGTGTCTCCCTTTAGGAGAAACAGTTTCCCGTGAGGTTTCTCCTTCTGGTGGACTTCACTTTCTCTTGTTAGACTTCACTTCCTCTTGTTAGACTTCACTTCCTCTTGTTAGACTTCACTTCCTCTTGTTAGACTTCACTTCCTCTTGTTAGACTTCACTTCCTCCTGTTCGACTTCACTTCCTCCTGTTCGACTTCACTTCCTCTTGTTAGACTTCACTTCCTCTTGTTAGACTTCACTTCCTCTTGTTAGACTTCACTTCCTCCTGTTCGACTTCACTTCACGTGAGGTTTTTCCTCCCGTGCCACTTCTACCCCAGGAACGGATGTACATTCACGCCGGGGGGATTGTGTATACCTTTTGTTGCATAGTTCATATGCACACAAGGCTCTCAGATGTGGTGTTATGTTTTTGTGATGTGTTATATGAATGTGTTTTGTCTAAGGCACGGATTCACGAGGCGTGATTTTCTCCTCACGGCTCCATGTCAATTGGGCAATAAGTATAAGGGTGAATTTATACGTGAGGAGATGCATAGAAGCGTACACATATACACACTGCAAAATATCTGTGATGGATATGATGGTTGTGATGGTTGTGATGGTTGTGATGGTTGTGATGGTTGTGACGGATGTGATGGATGTGATGGATGTGATGGATGTGATGGATGTGATGGGTGCACCACCCGAATGGTGTCTCTAGAGAAGCGTTTCATAAAAGATCACACTGAGCCAAGGACAGCTACACTGAATTCATGCACTTATGTGAAAAACGCATGTGTGAGTACAAGCCCATCCAATGCAAGGAAAATTAGATATGCTCTTGGAAGAGCACTTCAATTTTTTGAGGCTATAAGAAATACGGTTACTCAAAAAGCATCAAAAGTTAGAGGAGAAAAACGGAAGTTAAAATGAACACAAAAAAAAAAAAAAAAAAAAAAAAAAAAATTAATTATCACAGGTGAAAAAAAGGACAGCATAATATCGTACGATGGCGACGAAAAAAAAAAAAAAAAAAAAAAAAAAAGCGGAACGGAATGCAGATCAACCCGGTAGATGGTCTACATGTTCATTTTGATATACACAAAATAATATTGTAACAAAAAAACGGAAAAGTTTAGAAAAAATAAACTTTGGGGGATAGTAAAAGACATAGAAGGTGATGCAATCTTTATTCAAATAAAAATCAAATATGCAGCGTGACAAGGTGTTCATGAAAAACTGAGAACATGGTGGTGTATGTGAAATGTACTGTGGAGGATGTGTAAAATAAAAACTTGTAATCTATTATGTGCCATAAAAATTTTTGTTTCACTTACAATATTTGTTATAGTGATGGAAAGGGCAAGTAGACCCTTATATGCATGTACATAATGTGTATACATATATTATACGAAAAAATAAATGCGTAAAGTATGGAGCTGCACATTAATTCTGTACACGTAAATGTGGTTCGCAATTGCATCGCCTCTATATATGTGTTTACGGATATAAATTTTGACCCCATCCCTCTTGTCATTCAAAATATGTTACACCCTCTTGCACTTTGTGTTTGATCACACGTGTTCATATACATACGTGTTTATATAAATATATATACATAAATATATATGTTTGTGCATGTGTACCCGTGTGCGCACGCGTATGTGTATACCTTTTTGTATGTAATGACTTTTTCCTGTTGTTTCTACATTTCGCATGAAGGACTATAGTTGCAACTGACCATGGTGCTGGGTCTGGGGTAAAGGCATTGTGTGTAAGTAATAAATCACAGTTTATCGAAAAAGCTAAAAACAAATCAAGAGACCCAAAGTACTTCACATTGGGATCTCCTTAACATAATTTTATAAAGTACATTAAGATGGCAGTATTTTTGCATGATTTAAGTAGATCCTGATGGATGGAAGGGGGGGGTGTAAAAGCACAAGAGGATTAGTTAAGTATTTACAAAAACTTACTCAACAGGGCTAAAGAAAAAAGTGGAAAAATAATTTGACTGAAGAACATGGATATATGTTTTAAAGTGCCCACCGCTGAATCATTCGTTGAGGTGATGTATGGTGGGGTGGGGGGAGGGTATACGTATTATATACGCATATTCGGATATATTGCATATCTCTGACAAGGTTATTTGTTCGGGTGTCATACGCATAGCTCAGATGGAAAGTTCTGTTATGCATAAAACCCACGTGATTATTTTGCTTAGCTTATTATATATGCTTGGCTCACATGGCACGTTCGATGCTGCGTGCGTGCTTAATTCGTACATGTATTTTTGCACGCTCATGTATTAGTATGTTATGTATGTTCTTTTCTTATATATAAAATTATGCATTGATTCTCATATACGTGCTTGCTTATGTGGATATGTGAGTATATATTTATATACCCTTATTTTCGAATTCAAAAAAAAATTCCTCAAAAATGTTTTTATGTATAAGTTTAAACGAGAATCATTTTTTTTTTTTTTTTTTTTTTTTTTTTTTTTTTTTTTTATGCGCCCGTATTTGTGCTTGCCCTATTGCTTTTCATTTGGCCTTTTTTGGTAAAATTTTTCCTTTTTTTTTTTGCCTTCTTTTTGCCTTCTTTTTGCCTTCTTTTTGCCTTCTTTTTGCCTCCTTTTTCTGCCTCTTTTTCCATTTCCTCCCTTTTTGCCCTTTTTTATTATTCCTCTTCCCCCGTATTTCTCCAGCTTTGAAAAAACACACTCCATCAACCTCATGCAACAAAGTTCTCTCCCAGGCGTGAACATGTGCATGCAAATGTGTGTCAGTGTGTACCAATACGCGAAAAAAGTAATTTATATGTAAATCAGTATATATATTTCGTATGCACCTTACCACTCTCGTACGAACAATTTGGTGACAAAACTCATATTCAGTGTCTTTTATAATACTTTCAAAATTTCTTATAAAAATTATTAACTGCATTTTTTCTTCCCCCCACCCCCTACAAAATCGGTATGCATTATACACAAAATTGAAAAGTTTTCAATTTTATGAATCTTTGATACCTGAACGGATTATACATTTACTTGCACAATAAATGTACAACGCATGGTACACATATTGAATATGAGAGAAAATTGCAGTCTCATAAAATGGAACCTTCTAAAAATTTATATTCCCACAAGTGAGGGTTGATTTACTAATATACTATGCGGCAATGGTTCCTTTGATAAGACTTAACAGTTTAAAAAAAAAAAAAAAAAAAAAAAAAAAATTTAAACAAGTCTAACATTGGAAATCCAACATGGGAAGCCTTACAGAGTTAGCTTAATAAGGCTACCAAATTAGCTATGCTAAAAAAAAAAGAAAAAAAGACTATTTTTATATACACATATAAAATCTCAGTAAAAAAAAATATTTAAGAAACAAGAACAACAGTAACGGTAAATAAAGTTTGCATAAACGAATCTTGCAATTTAACCATAAAAAAACTAAAAATTTGCTGAAAAGAGTGGCAATTAGTGTTCACGTGTTTATCTTAAAGTTCACAAATTTAAAGGGATATGAGGTGGTAGGGGAAGAAAAAAAAAAAAAAAAAAAAAAAAAAAAAAACAAATTTCCAATTTTTATAATAAAGCAAAATATACTATTTTTAAATTAGTACATATTGTGTGATGTTGTCAAATACGAGACTACGAGTAAAAAAGTATAGAACGGGATTAAATTAGCATCTGTTCTATTAAATCTTTCAACTCAGTTATTTGTGTCTCTAGAGGGGAACCATCCTTAGTTATTATCGATGTTGCTATGACTGATCTGGAAATTCCACAGGCTCTTCCGAGTGCCATTTTGCTGCGGACGTAGACATATGGTGCATTCTGAACAGAAAAAAGGGGGCAATAAAAGGGGGAAAAAAAAGGGGTGGGGGAAAAGGTTCATCAATTGGGGCACGGTTAATACAACTCCTACTCTTATGGTGGCAGATAAGCCAATCCAAACGAGGTCAAAGTGGTTCGCATGGGTTAGAAATAACCACATACACATGCACATACATATACATGCACATACATACACATGCACATACATACACATGCACATACACACACATGCACATACATACACATGCACATACATACACATGCACATACACACACATGCACATACATACACATGCACATACACACACATGCACATACATACACATGCACATACACACACATGCACATACACACATATACAGTTAGCAGAACGGGGTAGGGATTAAGAAAGAAGATGAAGAACTCACCTTGTCCTCGCAGACAAGCGGAATGTGCGAAATAATTTCCAGTGGCTTTGCATCAGCAGCAAGAACTACCAATTCTGATATTCCCTTGTGGAGACTTTTGACAGCTAAGAAAAAAAAAATAAATAAATAAATAATAAAATGTTAAGCCAGGTGATTTGAACAGATATTTATATACACATATACATGGTGTGTATAACGTCATGCAGTACATAAATATAGAAAACGTATTTATAAATTAATTCTACTTTTAATAAATTAGTGATTTTTTTTTTATTTTATTTTATTTTTTTTTTTTTTTTCACATTCCTTACTTTCGTTCGCACCCCTCTTTAACTGCCTATATACAGTTGCTCTTTGGATGACATCCAGAATTTGATTTGTCAATTCGGGGGAAGCCAAAGGAAAAATCTTTGCATTTACTTCTTCTTCATTTTCTTGAATATCCACCGTATTTAAAACTTCCGTAGACACCAACGCATCAGACATTTTGTTTTGAATATAATATTTGTACTACTTGGAATTTTTACACTAAGTTGGGATTGCACAAAACAGAATACTCTGTATGGTTGGGATAGAAAAAAAAAATATTCACAACTCTGATAAATGTATTATTATAGTGATCTATATCGTTCTCCCTTTTGTTATTATGCGATATATTTTTACTTGTATTGTATGTTACCAATCAATGTGTCTGTGTACTCCTTTTTTTTTTTTTCTTTTTTTTTTTTTTTTGTTCTCCCCTACTCGATAAAGGTGATGTGTTATATATCCTCTCTTCGTCCGGTTCATACAAAAGAGGACATATATATATATATATATATATATATATATATATATATATATATATATATATCTTATAAATGTCACAGGGACATACGATTCATCTGGTAAAGTTCGCTCTTTCTCTTTAATAGAAACTTCTATATCTAGCGTTGTCTCACATACTTTATTTTATGCATTCACGAGTGCATGGTGCGCACATAAATATATATACACAACTCCTTATACGGTTGAGGGAATTTTTTCGTCCACCTTGGGTCGATGATTGGAAAACTTAAAAATGGATTTAAATATTTTCGCCTCAGTGCCTCATACCTGATCCCTATTCGTTCATTCGTCTGGTCATTTGTTTTGGCGTGTTTTATTTTGCCGTATTTTATTCTGCAGTACTTTATTTTGCTTCCTTTTGCGTATTTTATTTTGCAGTATTTTACTTTGCTTTGTTTTATTTTGCAGTATTTTATTTTGCAGTATTTTATTTTGCAGTATTTTATTTTGCCGTATTTTATTTTGCCGTGTTTTATTTTGCTTCGTTTTATTTTTATAGTTTTTAATTTTGTGGAAAAATAGCAAGTCATAGTCTTCAAACGAAATACAAAAGGGAAAAAAAAAAAAAAAAATTAATAATGAAATAATGAAACAATGAAACAAGGAAGCAATGAAACAAGGAAGCAATGAAACAATGAAGCAATGAAACAATGAAGCAATGAAACAACGAAATAGTGGAATATTTTTTTTTTTTGTCACTTTTATATTCACTGCAACAGCGGCGGGGCGAGGATATGGCCAAACTTACGTAGCGGTACAAAATTGATGAACATGCGTTTTCTCGATCCTTGTAATAGTGCCCTCGTGATTCCAAAAAAAATAAAAAGAAAAAACAAACACAAGAAAGCAAACAAACAAGCAAACAAATAAGCAAACAAGGGGAAACCAAGCCTAGTCAAAGTAAAAGCAACACAAAGTAACGCAATGCAAAATAGAACAATATGTAACAATGTATAACAAAATAAAAGAAGAGAAAAGAAGAGAAAAGAAGAGAAAAGAAGTGAAATGAAGTGAAATGAAGTGAAATGAAGAGATACATCAATCCTAGCAATTTTCCGCGCTTGTTTCCTGTTGACACCATTTTATATAACGCAGTTTAGTTTACTTTTTTTTTTTTTTTTTTTTTCACCGTTATTATTTTTCTATGTAATTATGATCAAAATGATTGAAGGAAAGAAAAAGGGAAAAATTCCTTATTGTAATGACATTTTTTATGAATACATGAAAAAAGAAAAAAAAAAAAAAAAAAAAAAGGAACAAACGGAACGGTCCGATTAAGCATATGAGGTAACCCCCCTCCCACCTGTAAAGTCTGTCAAGCGGGGGATGGGGATATATATTATTATGCACTTCCACACATTTCTGTGCACTTTTATATATGTATGTTACTAAATGTGCACACATACGACCTTGCCACCGTAAGCATCATAGTGTTACGTCGCTACAGTAATTAAAACTTGCACAGTTTGAGGAGGCTTCTGTCCCCATGAACCCCGCAAATGTTCGGTGTAAAGCACTCTACCCAAATGGACTTATAAAAAAATGAAAAAAAAAAAAAAAAAAAAACTACCAATTTAATTATGTAGAACAAAAATAAAAGCATCGATACTGGAAGAGTATGAGAGTAGGGCAGCATGGGCAAATGCACTACGCAATGGATGGAATATTATTCCTTCCCGTTCGCCTCTACCCCCTCTCTCCCTTGCTTTTCACCATTCTGTAGAACTAGGAGCATTCGTCAAACATATCAAAATCGTGTCATGTGTTAGACAGTGCTTAGTGTGTCAAACTGGTTGGAAAGCACCCCGAATCCGTTGAACAAGTAATGCACTGTGATGCCCTTAAAAAATATGTCTCTAATTATTTGTGGTGTCAAAATAAAGTACTGCGGTTTTGAATGGTAATCAATTTGAATATACTTGTAATCATAGTGATGCATGAAATGCTGCTTATACATGGAAGGGTTGGAAAGACAGGAAAGGAGTTCAAATATTTTTTTTTCATTGGTGTTGTCAAGTCCCTGATTTAATTCGTCCAACACATAGAATCCATTTTTGGTTAACTTTTGAATTGATAAAATGTATAACATGGTGGTTAACGAACGTTCTCCTCCAGATTGATGTGAAACGGATAGGAGTAAGAAGGGTGCATTTTTTTTAAATTTTACTTTGATAAATAATTGGCATTTTTCAAATAAATCATTTTTTTTTGCAAGTTCGATTTTTGCACTATAATCTGAATTTATAAAGTTCATAAATTTTTCCAAGTTATGATTTAGAAAAATGATACATTCATTAATCTGGTTCACCCAACTTGGTAAAATGAATTGTATTTGTTCATTATTAAACTGCATTAATTTCTTCAAATTGTCCATTTCTTCTTTTTTTTTCTTTACATTTTCATTGTGTCTCTCTATAGATGATGCTAAGATATTATATTTTTCCTCACTTTTATCTAAATTATTATAAATTCTTTGTTGAATGGAGCACTCTTGCAATATGTTATCTATTTGTTCCAGAGATATATTGATATCCTTCAATGATTTTACCTCCTCTTTGGTGAGTTCTGCTTTTTGCACTTTTAAAAGTTCTTCTAATTCGGTTAAATCATGTGTGAGTAGAGAATATTTGGTTTTTTCTATCTCTATTTGATTTTTGAAGAGTTGATGCTTTTTTTCATTTTCTACATTTTCACTTTTGATAAGAGATAGATATCTTTTCCATTGTGAAAGTCTACGCCAAATGGTAAGTGCTTCGATATCATTCATTTTATGTCTTTTTAACAAATCGAAATAATCGTTACAAATTTTTATTTTCTTCTCGTTTAATTGGTTAATGCATTTTGTTATGGCATTTTTCTTTTCATCTATTAGCTGTTCACCCTTCAAATAGAGGTTCAAATGTTCATGTACATTTTTTAACTCTTTTTGAAGGATAATTTTTTTTTTTCTCTTAATATTAATTTCGTTTTTTAATAAAATGATTTTATTATATTCATCATTCTTTCTCTTTTTAAGTAAATCTAATTCCTCCATTCGACTTTTCAATATTTGTAACTCTGATTCGCATTCTTTTTTTCTCTCTTCTAATTTCTGAATGTCTTTTTTTACTTCATGACTAATGTGATATAAAATTTTGCATCTCTTATCAATATAGGAAAAGTTATCCATATACACATTTTGATCATATGTGCTTATTCTATATCGATGAACATTATTTTCACAAAAATACAGTAAACTTCCCACTCTCTCATTTATCTGCTTTGAAATTTCGAGCAACATAAAATTGTTAAATTCGTTTATATCTTTAGTGGTTTTGTTTTTGAATGTTCCTTCGCGAACTATAAAAGAAACATTAATAGGAATGAAATTAATCAATCCATTTTTTATAATTTTTGGACTTTCAAAAAGTTCATATATGAAACATTCAACACCTCTTTCCTTCATTTCATTCGTGACACAACAAAATTTATGATTCTCCTTCGACATGGTAATAACTGATAATTTGTACTGTTTGTATAGCGCCTCAAGTAGTGCTGTATTTTCCTTTTCGATTAATAAAAAACTGTTGAAATATTTTCTGAGGGAAAATTCTAAAACATAATCGAATTGTGGTTTGATACATTTGATGTACCTGCAAAGGGGCCCATAAATAATGTTCCTCTTGGACAATTCATCAATAATTTCTCCATTCATATCATTCTTACTTGTAATTTTTGATTCATCATACTTTTTTTTGATGTTTTCTAATACTGATTCGCTTAAAAGTTCATGTGTTTGCACAATATTTTTTATATTCCTTTTGTAATTCATAATCCGTTCTCGAAGTGCAAATTCGATATTGTTCAAGAACTTTTCCTCTTGTATATTTTCATAATTTTGTCTTTTTCTTAGCTTTTCCACTAGAGATGCATATTCTGTTTGTAGTGCATATTTTCTCATTAAAAATTGTTTATTTTTATTTGTCAAATCATTTAGTTCTGTTTCTATTTTTTTTTCTTCTGCTACTTGTAGACTACTACTGTTTGTGTATTTTTCTATTCCCAGTGGAGGAAGCTTTTCCCTGAAAAATTCCTCTATTTTTTCCATCTCTTCCTGAATGTTTTTTCTCTTCTTATCCAAATTTTTGATATATTCCATATTTTCATACATATGTTGGACAGTGTCTTCCATAATTTTTTCCTCATTGACAATTTCAACTTCTATTTCTTCTAGTTGAACATTCATTTTGACATATCTATTTGTTGCATCTTTGATTTTTTTTTTTTCGCAATAATGTTTCATGGTTAAATTATTTATTACCTTGTGACACTTTTCCAATTCGGACAAGTACTGCTTTAATGTTTCGAAATGTTCATCTTTGTCTTTCATTAAATTGTCAATTTTTTCTTTTACATTTGCTAATTCTTCCTTTTTCATGTTAATTGCAATAATGGATTTTTTCACTCTATAGGTTTTAACTTTTGCTAAAAGCTTTTTTAAATTCTCAAACTTCCCTTTTTTTTCTTCTAAATCTTTTATGAGTTTTTCTTCTTCTTTAATCTGGTGCTCATATAACTGGATCGCGTGTTCTCTCTCTTTTTTTTCTTGTATCAATTTTTTTAAATAATTATATTTGTCTAATAAACTTTTATCAATTGCTAAAAGAGTACATTCAAATAATTCCTCAGGACTTAGCCTAGAAAATTTGCTTACATTTTCTTGTGGCATAAATGTTATTAAATTATCCAAATTTAGATGAAATTCTTTTTGAATAGATTGTATTTCTGTAAAGTTCACTTTTTTATAATTAACGAACCAAAATGTTTCCACCTTATTCTCTATAATATTCATAATTCTTTTAATACATGTATTTGTTCTATCGTCTTTTTTTAATTTAATTTCAATAAAACTTTTTTTTTCTCCTTTTTTTATATAATTAATTAGTTCTTTGTTTCTGGATAATATGCTAGAATTATATCCAAGTCCAAATACAAGTGCACAGACAAGCGATGATTTACCACTTGCATTTGCAGCAGCGATTAGATTTATTCCTTCCTTTGCTTTCAGTGTAACTGGGCCGCTGAATACCATCCAATTAAACACAGTAATTTCAATAACAGCTCCTTTTTTCATGAGTTTCAAATATTCTCCTTCGTTTCTCTCACCATTGTCTATGTCTATCCTTGGAATGTTTCTTCTCTTACTTGTTTCTTTTCTCTCTTTTTCATTCCATTTGCTGTTTTTTCGAAAAGGACAATATTCGTTAGCATTCACTTTAGAATTTTTGACCTCTTGTTCATCATCTAGAACGTCTGGTCGACCCCCTGACCTTTCTTCCGATTTCACATGTGAATATGCTGTACTATCATCCCTTTTGCGTGCTTTTGTCTCTTTCTTACTGAATAAAATTTTGGGTTTGATTAATTTTCTTTTATTAGGAAAATCCATTTGTAGGATCCTTTTTGTCTCTTCTTTTCCATTTTATGAGTGTTTTTCCCCTAACACCCACAGCACGATTAGTTCAATTTGTAATATCTGTGCATACATATATATATATATGTATATATATGTGCTGCCCCTATTTGCTTTTTCTCCCTCTTATCTTATAGTTTTATGGTGTATCATTCTTACAAAAAAAAAAAAAATTAATAAATAATAAAATACACGAATATCACAATCAAGTGTAATAATACATAATCGAACAACTAGCCTTTTTATAAAAGCTATAATTTAATAAACCACTTAATGCACACATGTGGAACAAAACGACAAGAGAAATTCTGTTTTTTTCCCTTTTTTTTTTTTTTTTTTTTTACACCACTCTTGTCACTTTATGTTCTTTTTTTTTTTTTTTTTTTTACACCTCTTTTTTCTTTTTTTTTTTTTTTTTTTTTTTTTTTTTTTTTTTTTTTTTTTTTTTTACACCACTCTTGTCACTTTATGTTCATTTTTTTTTTTTTTTTTTTTAAATGTGAGGTTATTCCCATCTTGTGTTATACACTTAAAAACGATTTTTAAGGAGTGTATATAAAGATCAATTCAATTTGTATTAAGGTGTAAAAAAAAAAAAAAAAAGCTCGGAAATTAGCCGCGCGTGTATGGGTAACGAAGAACTGCTCTTGTCATAAATATTTCATTCGTTCGCTATGAATAAATCATAGGAAATAAATTGAACAACCTTTATGTTTCCTAATACGAAGTTGTTTTATTGTTTTTCTTTGTTTTGCCTTGTTTTGCCTTGTTTTGCCTTTTTTTGCCTTGTTTTGCCTTGTTTTGCCTTTTTTTTTTATTTCAAACCATTTTGCTCATCCCCCCCCCCAAGCCCTTCAGTGTGAGGGTTGAGCTAAGATATAACGTCACAAGAAAACAGTGACCCCCTTAGCATATCACAAAATTTATATCTCACATGCATACACAAGCAAAAATGTGGAAACACATTTTTTGCACTTCTCGGGAAATTAAAACGTGTGGACAGAAAAATTAATTTTCTTTATCTTGCTTTTTTTTTTTTTTTTTTTTTTTTTTTTTCCCCAAGTTCCGATAAGTATTTTTCTTTGAAAAGAATCCACTAGTTTTACATTTTTATGACTTTGCGACTTTGTCACTTTTCCAAGTAGGTAAAAATGCAACAAAACGAATGTAAAAAAAAAAAAAAAAAAGAACGTCAAAATCTATTCGGTGGAGGGAGGAGCAAAAAAAAAAAAAAAAAAAAAAAAAAAAAATATTCACGAGAATTTCATCCCTGCATACATATACCTTTCATATGTCATCTGTTGATTGATACAATTGCAAAATGGCAAAGGATATGGAGAGAGAAAAAGAAGGGGAAAAAAATGTATACATATAATGTGCATAATAAATAAAAGTACTCAAATGGTGATGGAGAAAAATCTCGTGCCACTCTTCTTAACCATATGCTGTATATTCAAAAGAGAGCAATGGAAATGCGTTCAGAAATAAACAGATTCCCCTTCCTGCTCTCCTTGCTTAACCTACCTTTCCATCACACGAATATGTATGTTTATATGTATATATATATATATATATATATGTACAACTAGAATTTGCATAAGAAATGTGCACTAGGAATTCTGTCACCATATAAATCACATTACAGATAATACACATTCCAATTTCACAAAATCGTCCTTCGTTTATACAGTCCTTCAGGTCTATAGGTCCCAAAAAATTGGCTTAACTGTTGATCGCTTAGACTTTTTTAACCTCATGTTGTTCAGTTTGATTATGTTCTTATTGTGCAACCTGCGAAAGCGGTGATAATCCTCTGCCGTGGCACTTTCAACATTCTGAAGAAAAAGAACAAAAAATATACAAATTAAAGCTCGAATTAATGCTCGAATTAATGCTCGAATTAATGCTCGAATTAAAGCTCGAATTAAAGCTCGAATTAAAGCTCGAATTAAAGCTCGAATGAAAACACGAATTAAAATATCTTTAGTAACATAAAGAAACAAAATTAAGAAAATTTAAATGGCTAGGATTTCGTGTATTCGTAAAAATTTAACGTGAAAATGTGCAGTGTGTGTAGACATTCCTCTACTAATCCATTAGTGCAACGTCACTTGGGAGTTTTTTCACATAAAAAGAGCCATCTAGCAAATATGAAGTGTGCTGCATACACCACTCCGCGTCGGCTAAAAGTTGTTACACAACATTACAGTGTATTATATGACACAACATTGCAGTGTATTATATGACACAACATTGCAGTGTATTATATGACACAACATTGCAGTGTATTATATGACACAACATTGCAGTGTATTATATGACACTATATTATACTACATTTTATTTTATTTTTTTTATCATTTCACCTTTCCATATAAAAACATTAGTGCTAACTCCCCATAGCTTTTCATCGGCTTTTCCAACTTCCACAACCACTTGGGATAGGCATCGTCAGGTAAAATATCATGATCTTTGTCAACTGTATTGTATATGTTAAAAATATGAACCTTCTGTTTTTCACTGCTGTCCATGTTTACTCCACTCCCAGCATCTTTTTTATCTTGTCCCTTTTTTCCTGGCTTCACCTTTGGGGCCAATTTTCCTTTGCTGAGGAAAAAGTTTCTCGAATGCATAAGAAACAGGGATCTGTCGGGGGTGCTCCAAATGGCCCTTTTGAAAAAAAATATCATTTGTGATGTTTAGATGTTGGAGTGAAGGCAGAGCACGACAGTTAAGAATATTTGGGGCTCCTCATTTCTACACTTTTTTCCCCTTATGAACAGCTTGGGGGGGGGAAAGAACACTCTATCTATCTGTCAATCTATCTTTATATCTACCAATTTATCTGTCAATCTATCTTTATATCTACCAATTTATCTGTCAATCTATCCTTATATCTACCAATTTATTTAGCTATTTTTTTTTTTTTCTTTTTTTTTTTTTTGTGTGTGTGCGCAAATAGATCATATTCTACCTGACCTGATCAGGCAATTTGGTAATTTTTTATACGCTATAAGAATTTTTTTTCTTTTTTCATAATGGGGCTGTGACATGGTGGAGTATCTCATAAAACTAGGCATAAATCTAATAAGCATTTGCCATAATACGGGTAAAATATTACAATCCAAAAAATTACAACAGACATAAGAAAATCTTTTCTTCGTGATCAAGTCATTTATATGAATTTTTATGGCAATAGAAAACGCACATCTTGCCTTCTAAATAGGAACCCGCATCACAGGAAACAGTTGCACTTTACAAAAAAGGAAAAGAAAAAGAAAAGAACGGGGCTCTCTTCTTTCTTTCCCCCCCTTTTTGCAATGGCACCCTATGTATAAATAAGGTATCTCTCCCATTCAATATTCCTCGCTATTTTTCAGCCTTAACAACTGAAAAAACACCTCATGCGAATATTTAAGACCCACACCATTATTTTTGCATCGTTCTCATGAACAATTTGTAAAACAAATTTGTTCATTAGGCTATACCTTATATACATATAAAACGTTTCAACATTTTTATGGAATATCACCCGAATTTAATGAATTTTTTTTTTTTTTTTTTTTTTTTTTTGGAATGTTTAACGAACTAGCGTTTTGTTTAAATCGTTTGCAAATTAGTATACTTTGGACGAATTTGTTTCTTTTCCCTTCAGCACATTGTTTTCACTTTGTTCCACTTCGATAGGGCCATTTCATCATGGCAGCAAATCTAATGTGAAGAAATGTTTATACTATATGTGTATTTCGTGTTTGCGATTCAAAAATGGTACCAAAAGTTTAAATGGAATCAAATTACGCGAATGGGTAAATCGCATGGGAAGAGGCAACAAGAAGTGGAGGATATGACAAGTACGACATCGGGTGGATATACATGAACTGAAAAAAATACAGATATGAAAAACAAGAAGCACGAATGCCAAAAAGTACACACATACATGCATGCATACATACATACATACATATATATATAGGTCTGACGACTTGGCATGTGTTGCTTATCCTTACAAGAGAGAAAATGAAGAAATACCTTAAGCCTTAGAATAAACAGGAGAATGGACAAACATTACTCTTGGTAAAACATTCGATATATAATCTATTTTTTGTTTATCACTGTGTAAACTGTTCCACAGTTTATGTGAAATGTGAATTACTTTATAACCCATGTGAGACAAAAATTTATGTCTCCATTTTGATAACGCTGTTAAATTTTCCGAGTTTAAATAATACTGGAAATGGGCATTTAATTCAATAATATAATTTGATCGCGGGTCATATATATCCACTATAAATGGGCCACACTTAACCGAATTTAAATGTTCAATTTTTAGCATCCTCAATATGTCACTAATATCTTTATGTAACATACTTGTGTATCCCCCGCATATCTTATCCCCTACTATGACCTTTTGTCTGTCATCAGTATTTTTAGGAATATGGCTAGACTGATTGGTGTCAGATCCACCCATTTGCGAATCATTTGAATGTCGTGCGTGATCCGCTTCACCATCATCCACTTCTCCATCAGCATCCACTTCTCCATCAGCATCCGCTTCTCCATCATCATCTGCTTCGCCATCATCATCTGCTTCGCCACCATCATCTGCTTCGCCATCATCATCTGCTTCGCCATCATCATTTGCTTCACCATCATCATCCGTTTCATCATCATCATCCGTTTCATCATCATCATCCGCTTCACCATCACAGGTGAACCACTCTCGGGGGTGTCTCTTGCGGTTCTCTTTGTTAATTTCCTTCCAATTGGCCCCTCGTGAATATCTCTGCAGAAACGTCCTCTGTTCTTTGGTGAGTCTATCCCATATGGATGGACAGAAGAGCATTATGTACAAATGCAAAACCTGCAAGTGTCGAGTGTAATAATTGAAATATTCTTTATAAAATGTGGCGAGAGAAATAAATTTAAAGATCATTTCTTCAGTAAAAAGTTCTAAAAAAGTGATTGCCTTAATTGCCTTCAAGTTTTTTCCAGTAAAATTTTGTAACCTCTCATTTAGAGTAATTTGTAAAGCTTTGCTGTAAACATTATTTGCTAATCCCAATTTCGAAATGGAATTTGCCGATTTTATTAAAAAATTATTTCTCAGAATGGACCAACATAAAGTCATATTCTTTAACGCATAGATTAATTTAAAATCATTCCATTTTAGTCTCGAACATCCTTGAAAAAGATATACATAATGCTTCGGTTTCATATGATCTTCTCTTTTAAAAATTTCACACATTATATCATTAATCATTCTTTTATTGTTCACCTTAACAGATGCAATAGTTTGTAAATATCGTAGAAGGCTCCTTACATGTACTTTGCTAGACAAATTTATTACTCGGTGCATAAAAGCTAGCCATAATTCAACATCAACATGTTTCCCTTTTCTAACTAATTTTGCTTCATTCATCATTAAAAATCTCAATTCTCTTGCTCTCACAGTGCTCAAGGTAGATATATCTGGAGAGATATATTTTTCGTGGAACCAATATTTTTTTGGATTAATACGAATTTTTTTTTCCTTTTTTTCATCTTGTTCCAATGTTGCCATATTTTTTTCAATTAATCCACTATTAACATTGTACCTTTTTTTGCGTATTTCATTCAGTAATTTTTTCTCATTTTCATTTAATTTTTTCTCATCAACCTTGTCTAGCTGTCTTTCTCTGTCTCGGATAAATGATTTATAAAACGAATTTTCTTTCATCCCATACACTCCTTTCTTTTCAAAAGGATTGGGCATATACCAAAATGTGTTCATTTCATGTTTTTTTTTTTTCTTTTCTTCATCCTCAAAATCTTGTATATCCAAACGTATACCCTTCCCATTGTTACTGTGTAGTAAATTCTTTAAATGTATCTTGTCATCATTTGGGCTGTGTTTTTTATTACTTTCCTTCTCTTTCAGCAACTTTTTATATTCATGGGGTTTTAATTTTTTTTTTTCATTTCTTTTTATCTCTCTTAACATGTTCATGTAATCATCTGTTACTTTCTGTTTTCTTGTTCCATGAAAATCGTCCCTTGTTCCGTCTGCAAATTTAGTGCTCTCTGCTTCTCTTTTCCTTTCGTCAGGTTGTGTATTTTGTGGTAGTGTTTTGTGCGGCACTGCAAAATCCTGCTCCTGTTTTAGATACGATTTTTCAACCTTTGGCAGCATCCATTTTTTATTCCGTTTAATCCAACTCCTCCTCTTAGAAATTTTGCTTTTTGCTAATTTACTTATAAATCGCACATCTGTAAAAAACATAGTATATTTTCTGTGAATGTTGTAGCTATAATATTTGTTGTTTATTTATAAGGGGGAAAATGGGCAACGACATCTAAAGCTCATTTTTGTGGACATGCTTTTTTCTTGTACTTGATTCATATATATAAGTGAAACATGTGTTTTTTTTTTTTTTTTTTCTTTTCTGTTCTGTTCTGTTTTTTTTTTTTTTCCTTATACAAATGAGACTAAGCCGAAAGAAGGAAAATAAAATGAATTGGAAAACGCATGCGTGTTTATATTATCTTTGTGAAATTATTATTATTTTATTATTTTTTTTTTTTTTCTTTTCCCCTTTTTTACATATATGTATAATAACATTGTTAGTTATATGTTTTACTTTCCCTTCATGGGGTTAGAGGTCTCATTGTTTGTCGTATAAATTGTGCTATGCATCTTTCGATACATGTAAAAAATATACACTGCATAGGACCATATATGTACACAGTATCATGGGTAGCATATAATTCTATACATATATATACATCGGCTACTTTTTTTTCAGGGTGTTTATGGGCTCTGCAGTATGTACATTTTCTAGATGTATATATTTTTTGCCTTGTGCGGTTCTGATTCCGCTTCACCATCCTCGTTCATATTTGTAGTTTGTGCTACATTTTCTTCTGTGCATGCTTGTCGGTCTCGGTCTCCTATCTTATGAAATTCGAATACATTAGGGGCAAAAAAAAAAAAAAAAAAAAAAAAAAAAATTTGATTTTTAAGCGCACGGCATCATTTACCCTATAAATGTGTGTTTACATTTTTATTTAAAATTCCCCACATTAAAAAAAAAAAAAAAAAAATTTTTTCTTACATTTTATACCCTAGTTTTACTTGATTATAATGATACATTATTTTTATCTGCATTTATTTTCATAACAAATATGTACACTTGGCCTTTTTTATTTTCGGGAAAATTTCTTTTCTTTTTTTTTTTTTTTTTTTTTTTTTTTGACTACTTTTTAAAAGCATATTTTTAACAATTACTCAACGGACGACAAAAAGAAAAAAAAAATAAAAATAAGTAAATAATACAATATAGGAGAAAAAATCACCTTAAGATTAAGTTACTACAATGTTACTTTTGTTCATACATGAACGAAAAGTGCTATTTTAGCTTTTTCTTATTGGATACATTGTACATTGAAAATGATCAAAATTACCTGAACAAGTCATATTTTTTATTTTATTTTTATTATTATTATTTTTTTTTTTTTTTTACAAGTATTTTTCAAACAAATCTGGATCTCTTTCAACATTTAAATAATTATATGTTCATACGTTTATGCGATTACACGGTTATGCTATTACTCTATTATGCGATTGTACCATCGTGCATTTGCATCTTTACATGATTACTCGTTTTTACGTTCAGTAATTTTACTCTATTCAGTAATGCAAAGATAACAGTTATGCTTCGTATGGTACTACACGGTCCAGCTTAAAGCATATGCCCCTTTGCATTTGTCTGAGTATAGAGAACGAGAGAAAAAGAACTATTGAGTGTGTTTTTTTTTTTTTTTTTTCTTTTTTTTTTTGCTCCTAATGTATTCACCATATATACTTGTGTGTATGTTCAGCCTCACACCAATGAAATCACACAATTGTACCAATTTATGATCTTATTAGAATTATTGTATGAAGGGGGCTGATACGTGAATGTCTTTATGCCGATATATATATATATACAAAGCTACATAAATATATGATATGCGACATGAATGTATTTTAGCCAGAATAAACAGGCAAATTATCGTATAATACTCAATTATTTTCTTTCATTCCGCTTTACCGTCCTTCCACGCACTTTTTATGTTTTTCACCTATTTTGTTCCATTCTGCTTCGTGTTATAATTTTTAATTTCACCTGAACTATTCATACATGAAAAAAAAAAAAAAAAAAAAAAATTTAAATTAAATAAGTTAAAGCATGTAACAGATAACATATTTTGAAATTAACTTTTATATCAAATCGAAGTATATTTTTTATAAGTTGAAAAAAAAAAAAAATGTGTAGATATATATACATATTCATTCTTAGATAAATTCACGTGTTTTACATACATGCATCAGTGTACTCTCATGTATACACAATACGTATTGTTTTATTTTTACACTTATTTTGTCAAAAGGTATATGAATCATAAAGGCTAAAAATAGTTCTATTTTTTTTTTTTTTTTTTTTTTTTTTTTTTTTTTTTTTTTTTTTTTAGTTTATTTTAAATGTTGAAAAGATGAAAAAAAATAATATATCCATCATCCCCCTTTTTTAACTTCATTTGTGTCTTAAAAAAAAAAAAAAAAGAAAGAAAATAATAAATGTGTATAAAAGAAAAAAAGAAATTCCCCTTCCCTTCTTTGCTTAGTACATATTTGATTTCTCACATTTGAGTCTCTCCCAATTTAGTTTTTTTATTTGTTCATTTATTTATTTGTTCATTTATTTATTTGTTTATTTATTTGTTTACTTGTTTATTTGTTTACTTGTTTATTTGTTTATTTATCTATTTGTTTATTTATTTATTTTTATTTTTTTTTTAATTTTCACCGATTTAATATATGTGCCAATAGTGCTAATTTATTTTATTTTTTCATAGAAATGAATATTTTTACCAGATGTATTTTCTTATATTCGTTCATTTTAGTATATGTAGCATGTGCAAATGACAATAACCAATCAAATAATACAGATGAAGGAGGGGGGAAGGATAAACCAGGGAAAAATGGCTTCGATTTTAGTCAATTAGGGAATATTTTGAATTCGCTTAATGGGAAAGGAGGCAAAGGTGGTAACTCAAATGATAATAACGCTAGTTTTGACATTTTAAGTAATCTTCTGAACCCAAAGGGTTCATCAAATGGTGGTCTAGAAAACCTTATGAATCTTTTTAATAATGTTTCAAACAAGGGAACGGCAAATTCAAAGGATGCTAACGGAAATTCAAATTTAAATAATATAGACATGGGGAAAATGATGGACATGCTAAAACAGTTTAGTGGTACATCCAAGGGTGGTGCTCAAGGGAATAGTAATAATACAGGTGGAGATGGGAAGAAAGCAAATTATATGGATTCATTTGGAGATTTGTTAAATATGATGAATGCTAATAGTAATACAAAGGGATCTAATGGTAAGGATGGCGAAAAAGGGTCTAACCCGTTGGAGCACTTAAATAGCTTGTTCGGGAATATTGATGGAAAGGGATCAAAGAACCCGATGGAAAATATAACCAAGTTGTTAGGAAGTTTAGGAGCAAACAAAGGAGGTGCCGATGGTAAGGGAGCAAACCCATTGGAGCATCTAACTAGCATGTTAGGAAGTTTAGGAGCAAACAAAGGAGGTGCAGATGGTAAGGGAGCGAACCCATTGGAACATCTAACTAGCTTATTAGGAAATTTAGGTGCGAACAAAGGAGGTGCCGATGGTAAGGGAGCAAACCCATTGGAACATCTAACTAGCTTATTAGGAAATTTAGGTGCGAACAAAGGAGGTGCCGATGGTAAGGGAGCAAACCCATTGGAACACTTAACTAGCCTTCTTGGAAATATTGGAGGAGCAGAAGGAGGAAATAAAAAACTAATGGAAGGTATCCAATCACTGTTCGGAAATTTTTTAAATGGAGAAAAGAATAAAAATGCACCGTACTCATTGGATAAAAGTGTAATGGATGGTTCTAGAAATAAAGAGTCTATATTGTTAGAATATAGTAAAAATGAAAGGGATATATTGATTGAATTACAAAATTTGATAAATAAGAACAAGGGAAATAATAAAGAGATAAATGAAAAGAATGCAAAATTAAGGACTTTCTTCAGTACACTTAAGGATAAATATAATCCATACTCATATGAAAGAAAAATATTAAATGATATAACGAATGAGGAAGACATTAAGAATAAATACAATATTGATGACAATTTTGAAAATCAAATTTATGTAAATGGAAATAGTGGTAGTGTAGATTATGAAGAAATGAGCGAGGCAGAAAAGGAAAAAAAAACAGGAATGTTTGATGACATAAATGAGTTCGATGATAACGATTCTGTGGAAAGCGGTTCGATTAATAGTCATCTTTTAAGAAAAAATAAATTAGAAAATGAGAAATTATTGAGAGGATTGATTACAGGAGAAAGTGATAATTTGCACGAGTGCAACTGTGCCTCTAGTAAGACAAAAAATTGTATATTCTCCTACATCAATTATAACAACTTGGAATATATGTTGAACAACTTAAACATTGATGTAAAGTCGATGGTGAAGAAGTATTCCATTGATCATGCATTGACGGATAATAGCAATTCTCGCTCGAAAAATGCTGTTGTCCCATTTCAGAAATCGGAATCATTCCTTATCCCATTGCCTCCGTTAGATGCAAAAGCAGATGTGAGAAACACATCGAAATATGTGTTAAGAGTTCCACGTGTGTTATTTTTAGCAACAAAGAAAGCGTTCTCAACATCTATGGACAGATACTTTTTTAATTTATATGACATAATGGAAAGTCAACTAAAATGGAACACGTATATTTGGGGATATGGATTCAAGTACTACCCATTGTTTTTTTCCAAAAATTTACACACACTATTGCATAATTATGATAAACAAATTGGAAGTGAACCATTTGATATAATATTTGTGCATAATAGTTTTGTATCAAATTATTATAATCATTACTTTTTTTTAAAAAGTATGCCAAGAATGACGACCCTGATATTTATGAACGATGGTTGGGACAACAACGTGAAGAATTCTTATTTGAATTTATTTCCCCACATTTTTTTCCAAAATCAAGTGAATATATTTGAATACAGCCCTTTGAATAACATAGATATTGAAGAAGAGAAAAGAAAATTGACGAACAGCTTGTGGAATAAGGTATCCATAAATAACTCAAATGAGGTAATAACGAATAAGCATAAGAAGAAAAAGGGTTCGAAAAAAAGTGCATCTTCTTCGTCTTCTCAAGGAGGAAAAGATGAAAAGAAAAAAAACGAATCCAACAAGAATAAGGAAAAGGACGGAAGCGATTCGAATTCTGGAGAAATCAATGGTGAATACTCTTCTTCCAATTTGGATGAATATGATGAAGATGAAAATGAAAAAACACTGTGGGCCTTTTTACCTCATGGGGTGAACCCATGTTGTTTGGATAAATTCGAAAACTTTTTTGAAATAAAAGAAGATAATCATTCAAATGATGGTTCAAATAAAATGATTGTGAGTCCAACTTTTTATTATGACCAAGCAAGAAAAATGAAAAAAAAGAATACCCCCAAACTTGAACTTAGTTATTCATTACTTGATGTATTTTTATCCTCATGTACATATAAAGACACAGTACCGAATTTTTTAAATAACATACATAGAGATATTGACATTTTATATTTGTACAACACAACCTCTAGTAATTACAATGATTTCTTGATTCAAAAGATTATGGATTATATATATAATAAAAATATGAACAATTTAAAAGATCGAATTCAAAAATATGAATATGATTTATATTATTGGAAAGTATGGGGATTACAAACGACGCACAAGTTAATTAAGAATAAATTGAAAGAATATAGAAATATTTTAAGAAGAAGTAAAATATGTATAATTAGTTCCAAATTTGCTGGTATGTTAAACAAGATGGTTATTGATGCTTTATTTAATGGTTGTGTAGTTATTACTGATAAAAGCCATAACAAAGATATTAATAAATACATAATCACAACCCGTATTCCATATGAATATTATGAAATACCAGATTTAATTTATAACAATGAAAATATGAATTCTTTAGCAAAAGATATGATTGACAAAATTAATGTTACATTGAATGAAGTAAATAAAGGGAAAAGGGATCAAATGAAACTTGAAGCCTTTAAAACTATTATGAATACATACACATACCAAGGTGTCATACTCAATTGGATTATTCCAACCTTGTATTTTCATTACAATAAGGAGAAATATGAACTTGTCAATAATTACTTTGTGCTCCCACAATATTTTGAGAATGTTATCTCCAAGAGCTTAAAATCAACAAGTGCACAAAGAGAGAAAATTATTGCCAATATTGATTTATCCCTTCAGGAAGATTTGATTATGAATAATAATGAAGTGGCCACTTGGTGCATTATATGGATTTTGATTTTTGCCGTTATTGTTTTTTACCTTTTGCGAAATAGCAACCTCCTCAGTTCTCTGTTTAAGCAACGAAAGTTGCATCTTTGACATGAGGGAGCAGGAGAGGAGGAGGGGTCTAATGAACTATTATTCGCAGCATTCGTGAGGAGGAGACATGTGTGATGTTCGTTGGAAAAATTGGTCAAGCCGATGAGCGCGATGGTCGAGCGGACGTGTAGATACTGGCCTGTTTGTGTGTAGTGCACGATTTTGTTGTGATGAGTTTTGGTGCTTTAGAGAAAAGCATGTTTCATGTTCATATTTTTTCTGTGCTTTAATTTTTGTATAGTTTTGACGAAGTTTATATATTTTATGCACACGGAAGATGTAGAAAGGGAGAGACGGTCATTTCGATGTCACGCCCCACCACCGAGCTAAATTTATTACCCATCTCATTCCCTTATATTCCTTTATATTCCTTTATGTGTATGTGTGTGTTGATTATGCGCACATTATTTAGAAAAATTATATTTTAATTTTTTTTTTTTTTTTTTTTTCTTTCATTTAAGCAGATACATAAGTTTTGTTTATATGCATATTTGTCAGATTTCTGTATGTGGCCTTATCATTTTTCGATTCCATATTTTTTTATATCGGGGCGAGAGAACACCGGGGTGTGGTGGTTGTCAATTAGGACAGACACAAAACACTCACGTTTGCTTTTGAAAATTCGCGAAAATGATAAAACATACTCTTAAGGCGTATCATCTGTATTTACTATTTTTGATACCTCTTTATTTTCCATTTCTAAAATTCTCTCTTTCGAGGAAATAAATTTTTTTTTTTTTTTTTTTTTTTTTTACCAATAATATATAACCCCATAGATATTATCCCCCCATCTTCACCTCCCCTTTTTCTTTTTTTTTTTTTTTTCCATTTCCCAGAAAATGCGCATATGCTTCTGCACTTGTGTACATATTGCAAAATATGCTTATATACATGTTTATGAAAATACACTTACATGCTTTGAGTACACAGAAAATACAATGATGCGCATTACATATGTAGAAAATATGTATACATGCAAACCCCCCCTCCCCCGTGCGATGGAGCAGAAGAGAGGGAAAAGGAGGACCTAGTTATCGTCCCAAGTGCAATTTTATTCTCACATATTTAATCATTCATTTTTGTAAACTTCTGTTTCTGCATATTTTTTCAATACGTTTTTTTCCATACATATATTGTTTTACAAAACGAAACCTAAAAATAATTTTTTTTTTTTTTTTTTTTTTTTAAAGAAGCACCCGTATTTAAAACAGACTAACAAATTGGAACGACGTCACAATGGGTTACATGGCTCACGTCAATGCAACCAAGTTTTGTTCTGATATGTTTCATTCTGCTCGGTTCGGTTCTTCTCAGTTCGATTATTCTAGGCTCCGTTGGGTTTATCTTTTTTTGCATTTTTGCACCCCACCCGCAAAATACACAAACACACAATTGCTCCTAAGTGCAACACAAGTGTAAACTGATAATTAAAGAATTCTTATCTCATTTCAACGTGTATAGTGGAGCACCTGTTCAACCTCCTTTTTTTCATATCATATTTATACTGCATCATATTATAGTGCAAAAAGACGTGAATTTTTTTTTTTTTTTTTTTTTTTTTATTCTTTATCGTATTAAGTTTCATTTCTTTGGGGGTTCCTATTCAATACACGAAAAAAAGTCGTGAGAGAGGGTGGAGATATTCGAGATTAAAAAGTATGCACATACACATCTACACACACAACATGAATATGAACTCTTAAAAATTTAGATCTCTTTCCATTGTTCCTTTTGATCCTCTCCTCTTCCCCCCCCCCCTCCCCTGTCTCATACATTTCTATATGATAATGTTCCAAGTGAAAAAAAACTAACACAACTGGTACTCGTATGCAACACGGTAAAAAGTCGGAGTGCCATTTCTTCATGCATTCATGTGGACGAAAGTGTATAAATAAAATGGCTATTCATGATGAGTCATCTATATACATGGTTGGGATAAATATATATATATATAAACATATACACTTGTGCATATATAAACGGGTAAATTAAGAGCCCTAAATGTATACACAGCCACAAGGTGATCTAGCACCATGAATCGTTCAACTATTCCATAGCACAAGGTTGAATGATGCATCAATCCAAATAAAAAACAAACAAACATCCATGCATCCATGCATGCATCGAGATTGACACAGCAGAACATGTACCTGTGTGAAAAAATGTACCCACAACCTGACATTATGCCTTCAACTCAAGTATTTTTCCTATGGCTATGGTCTTCCCTTGGTCCCTCAGAGTGAACCTGCCAAGCTGTGGTAGTTTGTCATAAACCTCTATGCATACCGGGTTGGAGAGTAAAAAGTGAGCTGTCACAATACAATCATTTTTAATAAACTTGGGTTTGATTTTTTTTTTTTTTGATTTTTTATCAATAACTTCTAACATATCAACAAATTGTATTTCCTCACATGTTGTATGTGCATGGAAAATACAGAAATATCCTGCTGTTATAATTGGCTTGTGTTCAAGCAATTCCACAATTGCTACTCTGCCAATAAATTCACTAACTACCGAACATAAGTTAATCGAATCACATAAAACAAAACCTTTACTTATTTGATCCTCTTCTACTCCTAATAATTTGACTCTAACATTTTCTCCTGGTTTTGCATAAGGTACTTCATCTTCCTCTAAATAAACATTCATCACTTTTACTTTCACTTTATTTGGCATTAATATACAACTCATATTATTTCCATACAATGTTCCTGATTCTATTTTTCCAACTGCTATGATTCCGTTATCTTTATATCCTTCTAGAAGTGGAATTCGTAAAGGACCATTTTCATCCCATGGGGGTGGAGGCAAGGTATTCAAAATTTGAAATAAAGTTGGTTTTGATGTGTCATACCAACTTGCTCTTGAGTCATATATTTTCGAATTTTTGTCTGATACATGTTCAGATAAATTCTGACCGGTCAGACCAGAAATGGGAACAAAGTACACATCTTTACTCAAGTTGTATCCACATGATTTTATAAATGGCGTAATCTTTTTCTGAATTTCATCATACCTTCCTTCGCTCCAGTTGCATGTTGGGTCATCCATTTTGTTTATTGCCACGATGAGTTGGTTGATTCCTGAGGATGGGAGGCGTGATGTGAGACAAGAGCAGCGTGTAGACGTGACGTGAGACAAGTACAGCGCGCACACGTGTAAATTTAACTTAGACTCACGTTCTGAGTCACTTTAGTATAATAATTTGTGTCTTTACCTAAAGTTCTAGCAAGCAAGGTATGTTCTCTGGTTTGTCCACCCCTCTCGAAACCCGTTTCAAATTCTCCTTTTCGGGCAGATATGATTAGGACACCAACATCTGCCTGAGCAGCACCACTAATCATATTTGGAATGAAATTTTTGTGGCCAGGTGCATCAAGAATTGTAAATCGTCTATCCTTTGTTTCAAAGTGTGCTCTTCCAACTTCCACTGTTTTTCCTTTTTGTCTCTCCTCTTCATTAATATCCATAATAAATGCTAAAAACCAACTTTCCCTGTTTTTTTCCTTTGCCTCTCTTTCATATTTTTCAATCGTTCTATCATCCACATAACCAAGTATGTAGAGAATATTTCCACATGCAGTTGATTTTCCTGCATCTACATGTCCAATAAAAATAATATTTAAGTGATGCCTTGGATCAACCTGTGTCAAATTATTTTTTTTCTCTAACACCTGCTCTTCTTGCGTCTCTTCATTTTCTTTTGTTTTATTTTCTTCACTTTGGATATCATCTGCATATTCATCAATTCGTTCTTGATCATTTATAACCATTTTACTGATTTGATCTTGTATATCATTAACCGTTGGATTTTCCACATTCTCTGTCCCCATGGATGAAGATACATTTTCCCCATAATTTTCATGTTCATTTTCATGTTCATTTTCATGTTCGTTTTCGTGTTCATTTTCGTGTTCATTGTCATGTTCATTGTCATGTTCATTGTCATGTTCATTTTCGTGTTCATTCCCTTGGTGTGTCATTCCTGGGTAGTATGATGGGGCGTTCACATTGAACTTAAAGGGCTCATTATTCATCTGAAAAAATGTCATACAAGAAGGATGCAAAGGGGAAAGGTGCATAACAATAGTGTATATGTCCGGTGCACAGGAAGTAATCTATGCATTGTGTGTATGTGTGTATGGAACTCCACGATTATGCTTTCGGTCAGATGTTCAAAAAATACGAGCCCCACACATATACGAGTGGCTATTTGTTGAATAGATAGGAACCACGAAAGAATTGTAATGCGGGTAAAAATGGCTCCCACAATTCATGCAAAAAGTGTAAGTTGATATATTTTTTCATGCATTTTTTTTTTCACTACTAATTCGCTACGAATTCGCTACTAATTCACTATTAATTCAATATTAATTCTATATTAATTCGTTTTTCATATATTTTTTTTTTTTTAATTTTACATTTAAAGAAACGGGTGTACAGTGTGTGAAGATGGCAAAGGATTCAAAATGTTTCGGGTTCGTACACAAATGTGCATGGGAAAGAGGGAATAGTGTTGGGGAAGAAATAAAAAAAAAAAAAAAAAAAAAAAGGGAAAAATGGAACAATTAAAACTGTAGAATTGGTAATTGTATACGACCTATAGGGGTGCGAATGGATTTTTCTCGTATCTGCAGTACTGCTTCATTCGTTCCTCTAGTCAATCTCAAGGATGTACCTACGCTGTTGCACCTTCTTTCTTTGTTATTATTTCCCCTTTTTTTCGTTCTTTTTTGTAAGTAGCACAAAAGTAAAATAATATCAGATGTATATGGATATACCTATTTACCCTTCACTTATATTTTTTCGCTTCTTTACATCTTCGTTTTTTCGCTGTTTCGTGCATTTGCACTTTTCACGTTTTTCTCCTTTTTCTTTCTCAGTTCCAATTCACATGATGTTCTAATAGTATGCTTCAAATGAATTAAAATATGGGGTTACTTTAGCAAGTAGGGCGATGGGTGAACGAAACAATAAGTACGCTTTATGTTCCAAGATTGTTCTTTAAATATATATTATGCATATCTATCTATATGTGCCTGCTAAAGATATATATGTTCTATGTTTTCATACAATTTTTTTCTTACTTTTTCATACAAATTTTTTTCTTACGTTTTCATACAAATTTTTTTTTACTTTTTCATATACATTTCTTCTTTGTTTTTCTTTGCATCACTTTGCTGCTTCTCTTTGTTTATCCTTTTTTTTTTTTCTTTTTTATAGAAGTTTTTAATATTAAAAGGGATAGGTGCACTTAATAAAAAAAAAAAAAAAAATCCCCAAAAAAATGAAAGCATAGGGATGTGAAAAAATATAAATATAAAAATATATCCTTTGTAAAGTTGCATAACAAATTAGGAACCGTAAGCAAAATGTAGCAATGATGAACCTTTTGTTGTTTTTTTTTTTTTTTTTTTTTTTTTTTCCTATTGTTTTACCACGTATGATCTGTTAAATGTAAACAAAATGATAAAAAAAAAAAAAAAACGTATTCATATGAAAGCTTAAATTAACGTGTAATTTTTTTTTTTTTTTTTTTTTTTTTTTTTTTTTCGTTTCTCCATTTTTAAAGTCATAATATATGTTGATCTTCAGATTGATTCACTTCTTGATTATGCAAATTAGGGGTGGCAAGAAAAAACACTAGTAAAAATTGTAGGTCACTTGGAAAAAAACATTTCATTTTATATGAACACCACAATTGAATACTTTCTCTGTATTGTTTTTTTAAAATGTTTAAATTGTGAAAATATAAACAACATGCATATGAAGGGGGGGGGGGTGAAATGAAGAGTGAAAACATGGTAATGTAATACTACTTGGAACTGAAGAAACTTTAGCGTTTTTTCCATTTTCTCACGTTTTCATACACTTAAAGTAAACATGTATTTGTTAAGAGAAGTACAGTTTTGCAATACAGATCGTGGCACACCCACATTGGGGGATACATTTCAATCAGTTGGATATATGCACACATGGGTAATGTAATTTCCTAGAACCCAATGACTCAGGTAAAAAAGAAGAGGATGGGGTAATTCCACGTTACATGTCTATATTCCTGTGGCATTTCTTTTATGTACTGTCCATTTGAGCTAAGTGTACACACACATGTATATATGGATATATATATATGTATATACCAACTTAGGGGTGAGAACATGTATATCTAGGTTATATACTTATGCACACACTTGCATGTTACCATTTGGAAGAAAAAAAGTGTGTCATACCCAATCCGGGTCCCTGATCCATCGTGTATAAATAATACGTAAACAATTTGTATGACTATGCGAAATAAAAATCGACCGTTAGCACGAGGTAGGGTGGTATCAAAAACCTAAGGAAAAGGAAAGACATCTATCTTATTTATGGTTATACTTATCCTGTATCTTAATTGAAAGCATTTTTCTTTTTTTTTTTCTTTTAATATGGAATTTAAATTCGAATTTGAATTGGATATGCACCGAGGATGAAAAAATGTTGTGTGTGTTGCTTGAAAGCCCAATCGATATTCTCACATTTGTGCAAATATTATGAACATGTGTCAATTTCTTTGCGGCTCCTGTACTTCACTGAGATGTACTACTTAGATGACCACTTCTTTACGATTGATTTTTATTCTTTTTTTTTCTCTCATTTGTTAAAGCAATTATGGGGAGAAAAGTACCCTGTCTTTTTTTATGTGCTGTATAGTGAGAGACCCGATGTGAATAAAAAATTGTCTATTCTTATCATTTGTACCCCGAATTGGTATATATTCCATTTTGACATAATGCAAAATATGCAGCACTTGTGTGTGTGTGTGTGTGTGTTCTATACGTAATTGAATAAAAACACTATACCCAATTATGCTGGTTTATCGAAAAAAAAAAAAAAAAAAAAAAGGTACGAATATTTTATTCCTTTGGAGGTAAACAAAAAAGAATATGCTACTATCATGTCCTTGGAGGATGGTTTGGATAATTAAAAAAATAAAATAAAGTGAAAGAATTATAATAAAATAGAATAATATACATGGGAGCAAAAACGTGAGACGTTAAAAAAAGGGGGATCAAAAATGGCCATAGAATGGCAGTTAAGAGGGCCGTAAAAATGGGAAAAAAACTTAGTACGAGTAAATTAAACGGAATTATTCCTACAACTCGTCTTAAAAATGAAAAAAAAAAAAAAAAATACGTCGCACAATGGTCCATTACGAAATTATTTCTCCTTTTCAGCCATCTCAGCATGACTTTCCATTTGAAGAACATTAAAAGGACCTCACACCATCATCCCAGTGGAGACGCTCTCCATCGCCATTCAGTGGAAGAAAAGTACTTGACGAATATAATGATCAAAAAGAAGACGAGGAAGAGGAGAGAGGATAAAATGGAATCTAACATAAACAATCTATGAATCAAGGGGGAACGAGAATTGTCAAGGGCTAGGATACTTTTGTTTTTTTTTCTCAAAAAATATTGAGTTATACTTTCTAACCGTTCTGTCGTATTGGTAGTCTTAAACCATCTCCATTTTAAAATAGATCTTGAAATAATTGCACTACTTAGGGAGTAGGAAAATTTTTCTAGTTCTTCATTGGATGGTTCAGAGGAGGTAAGTTTAACGTTTCTAAATTTGCTATTAAACAATCTGATTCCAGCATTGCCAAATCGATTCAGTTGATACCGTATGCACAAGAGACAGATCCTTGAAAATATCACACAGGAGTAATAATTCACAGCATTGTATATATTATAATCAGTAGTATCACATGAATTGTTTATAATGGTTCTATACTGATCGTAATATAACGAAATTGAGTTTATATCATCTTCTAATTCGATTTTGTTTAATAATGCCTTTAATTTTTCCACTTTTTCCTTTCCCAAATTAATTATCGTTTTATTGGTAAGGACCCCTCCTCCTGCTCCTCCCTTATCAGTAACTTTGCAATTGTCTTCATAAATTTTATCAATTTCTTTACATGTTGAATTTCTTCCATTTTCGACAAAAGAAATATTGTTCCTATATTTATCATTCTGAAATGATGAACCTGAACTTTTTCCAACTCCATGGCTAGCCCTCAATAAGGAGTATTCAAATAAATTGAACGGTACCGTTTCGTCAAAAAGTGGAGAATGGCTAGCTATATAATTTTCATACTGAGGAAAATGTATTATATTGTACAAAATCACCCTAAAATTTGCAACACATTTTATACAAAATACTTGATTAATCTTACTTTGCTGTAATATCTTTACATGTATTCCATACATTTTGTCATCCCCATTTTCTCCTTTATCCTTACTGGACGTAATTGCAAATGTACGTTCGGTCGATATGAATTCTATAAGATTGATAAATTTTTCATTATATATATTTAAATCAAATACTTCTCCTGGGAAATATGGGCCAGATGTTAGTGGAACTTTAAACAATGGAATAACTGATGAATTTTTAATGGCATCAAATCTTTCTTTCAAAATTTTTTCCTCTTTATCTCTTTTCATTTTTTCCATTTCTTCTACTCTTTTCGCATATGTCAATGGATATTTCTCTTTTATCAAATCGGCTAATAGAATGTTAATATTTTTTTTATCTCCCATATTTGATCTACATAATGGACATGAATTATTATACTCTTTTGCCTTTTCTAAACAATCTCGACAAAAATTATGACCACATGGAATCGTAACTGGTATTATTAGAAGCTTCATACATATAGCACATTCCACTTCTGATGGAATATCTTCCCATTCTCTATCATTATTATTTCCTTCTTTATTTATTCCACTGTTCATGGTGCATTTATTACTATGGTGCTTCTCTTCATCCTCTCTTCCTTTTTTACATTTACCAAATCTGTTTATTAGCATATTTGAAGATGTATTTATGGGGACAATCTCCTTCCTCATGAGATTTTGTGACATCTCCCTCTCTTGGTTGCATTGATTCATATTATTGTTTTGACTCTCAACATTATCTCCATTTTCTGTTGCATCTTCATAAACGTTTGAGAGTTCACTGGCTACCTCATCGCCCCTATCGACGGGAAAGTTTGTAGCATCATTTACATCTCCATCTGCAGCCTCAAGTGCACTCCTTGCAAATTCCTCAGCTGCTGCACCTCTTTTCTCATTGCTGTCCATCATTTCAACATAATAAGACTCGATAACACACTGTTATAATAATTGGGTCTGAATTTCTCAATTATATTTTCATCTGGACCTACTCATTACTTCTCAGATGTGAGTTGTATACAATGAACTCCCCCTCCCCTTCTTTATATCTTTTTATTTTTTCGTCCTTTTGAAAAAAAAAAAAAAAAAATGTATCCCCCTTTTTTCCTTCTTTTTCTTTTGCACTAGTTCATTTCATTTGCATTATTTTATTTTATCTTTCTGGTTTTTTGTGGTTATTTTGTGGTTATTTTGTGGTTATTTTGTGGTTATTTATGATTATTTATGGTTATTTTATGGTTATTTAATGGTTATTTTTTTTTTAAATAATGTCCGAAAAAGAAAATAAAAAAAGAAACCCTCTGAGGCATTTTCACTCTTTATGGAATCTTTCGAAAAGAGAAAAGTTCATTTAATTACTGGGATGGGTTAAAAATGAATCACATAAAAGGTGATAAAAAAAAAAAAAAAAAAAAAAAAAAACGGACCACAAAAATTTGATTAGAAAAAAAAAAAAAAAATAAATAAACAAAAATAAAAAAGCTAAAAGTGCAATACATAATTTGAAAATTTTTTAAGGCGCACATTTTCATGCGTACGAGTTTTTTTTTTTTTTTTTTTTTCTTTTTTTGTATACATCCATATGCTTACGAACGTAGGGGTAAAAAATCATACATGCCTGGACCAATTTAAAATTGAAATTTAAGTTCATACATATACAAATATATATATATATATAAGTATATCTATTTAGTACTCCTTTATTTAATTCATGTTTGCGTTATGCATTCAAATAAAAATATACAGGTGGACAGAATGGGAACGGAAAAAAATGAAAACAGGAAAAAAGAGTATGGGATGTATTTGAGATGAGGAGGGAGCCAGGTAAAAATATTCATCATTCAATGAAGTTTTAAAATTATATTTTCACAGAACACAGAGTTAGCGGGGTATACTCATTAAATAAAATATTATATAACAGTTATATTACATACATATATATTATATCTAATGTTGTATATATTTATATATATACTAATAATGTGATGTTTTTTTTTTTTTTTTTTTTTTTTTTTTTCTTATCACACATCCTTTTTACCCCTTTATATATATATATATATATATATGTACAATTTTGTATGCATATTTTTGCCCTTGACCCATATTCTTGTTATATCCGCCTCTATTTTATGCATCACTGCAAATATTAAAAAAAATTGAAACTGATGTGAAAAATGTATGAATGGATTTGTTTTTACACACTTGTTAAAAATACAAAAAAAAAAAAAAAAAAAAAAAAAAAAAAAAAAAAAAAAAATTTTAAAAAAAAAAAAAATCATAAAAATTTAAAATAAAACAAAAAATGAAAAAAAAAAAAAAAAAAAAAAAAAAAATATAAAAAAATATTTTTTTTAAAAAAATTTTAAAAAAAAAAAAAAAAAAAAAAAAAAAAAAAAAAAAAAAGTGAAAAGGAACTTTTGGACATAAAAAAATTCCTTCAAATTTTATATTCAGCCATAAATGGAAAAAGACAATGAAGAAAAAAAAAGTCATATTCAAAAACTTGTTAATATAATTCAATTTAAAAAAAAAAAAAAAAAAAATGTAAAATATAAAGAGTCAGTTAAATAATGTTAAAAATAAATGATAAAAGAATAACATCACTATATACAAATTTAGTCTTTTCAAAATGGTGATAAAAAAGCGGAAAAAAAAATATATATATATATATATATATATATATACACATGTTAAAGATTAGGTGTGTGTGGTTTGTATGTTGCGAGGAAGTTGTAACTTTTAAAATCCATACACATATGATGATGTCCCCTTACTCTAGTTTGTCAACATCCGTGTATATGGATGTCTCAAATATTTTCATTTCCTGCGGGTAAATGTTAAAAAAAATAAAACGAAACAGTAAAGCAGCGAAACAGTAAAGCAGCGAAACAGTAAAGCAGCGAAACAGTAAAGCAGCGAAACAGTAAAGCAGCGAAACAATGAAGCAGCAAAACAATGATGCAGCAAAGCAAAGAAGGAGAAGAACAATAAAATAACCAAATAAATGAATGAATTCATATTAGTAGACGGTTTCATATGTAATGTGCAACTTTAACACTACAGTGATATTTTTCCCAATGCACCATTTGGACACATTGTTCTTTTTCCTCCGTACGTTATAAATGTGAACGCGCACAGAAGAACATCCAACTCCTATGAGTGCTTCTTCGCAAATCCGTCGGTCAACTGAACATTGGTAGACTCCCAAGTCCTTCAGTTTGGGTCCTGAAAGGCAAGCATAAAGAAAAAAAAAAAAAAAAAAAAAAAAAAGAAATATTTATATAGATAGGTACATGTGTAGACAGATATGTTACATGGATGCACGGTATGCATCCCATCTTGTAAATATAATATAGATCAAATGTAATAAATAAGTCTGGCACTTTACACTGCTAATAATTCTGATAATGTTCTTTTATAAAAAAGAGTGCTGTATAGTGGTTAACGAAAATTGTGTTTTTTTTTTTTTATTTCCCTGCGTTTGTGTGGGTACGTAATGAGGGAAAATTCCTGTTTATTACCTGATGGTATGTCCAATCCGTTCATGTTACAGAAGGAATTATTGACTTTCCAGCAATTTGAAAAATCAATTGATTCTAGATCCTTACAGTGCTTGAGAAATTCCCTGATGCAGAAATTGTCTACATTTCTATGAAACGGTGAAGGGACGAATTGAGATGTTGAGAAATCGACAAATCACAAAAGAGAAAAATGATTGACTGAATGAATTTCGTGTTGGGGGAGATTTCTCGTTGCAAAAGGGTCGAGGTGCAATGGGGGCAGGTAACGAACAAATCTGCATTTTTTTTTTTTTTGCTATTTCGATCACTTTTCTGCTTCTATTCACATACACACACTCCTCTCAAATAGATATTATCTATCACAAGCAGAAACACATGCATTATTTATATGCACACATCGCTCAATTTATTACTGTAGGGAGGCAATTTTAACCCGTCGCAAGCGGGTCATATTTCTTGCTACGAGCAAAATTGTGCCATTGTCCACATCGAGCGTTTTTGAAATATCAAGAACCCTCATTTGAGGAGAGTAAACACACACAGTTTTTATCACCTCATTTGATATTTTTGTGTCTGCTAAATTTAAGGCAATCATGTTAGTAAGGCATTTGAAGAAATTGGAAGATGTGTCATCAATGTTGCACCCTTTCAAATTCAGTATTTTTAAATTTTTTGAAATAATGTATAGATAAGAAATATCGCTCAACTGTTTCGCATTTGTTATTTCGAAACAAGATAAATGATTCAGAGGAGTGTCCAATTGAACGATTTCTCCAGATTCTTCAGAAGTAGTAACATGAGGATGATGTCCACACCACCCTTCTCCTTTTGTGGGAGTAGCAAAACTAAATAAGACCCTTAGTGTGTCATCAGAATGGTAATTCGATACATTGGCAGATGTTATATTGCCTAGATACAATTTTCGTAAAGTACTTTTAAAACGTAGGGGGTATATCCCATCGTGGCTAATTTTATAACAATTTCGAATATCCACAATTGATAAATATTTAAATCGATGCAAAAGAACCTTTAAGCTGGAATCTGTTATTTTGGTACAATTCCTTAAGCACAAAACTTTTAAGGTTTTATTAAATTTGATATTATTAGAGTTACAAAATAGATTAAAATGATGCGAAGTTAAGTGTGAACATCCTGATAGATCTAAAACTTCAATATTTTCAGAAGCATACATGGTTTTTATAATGCTTTCTGGAGGAATGGAATTTTTTAATGATTCATCATATATTAATTTTAAACGCAGAAATCGTACTATATCTCGAAATCTTTTATTTAGTAAAATCATATTTTTATTTTTCACATTTGATATGATATGTCTAAATATATCATCTCCCAGATGATGAAAAATATCGAATTTACATTTTTTAAAAATATTTTCATGTGCCTTTTTCATTTTCATTGCATTCCTTTTATTATTTTCGTTTACTACATTTACAGGGATGCACACATTTTTCTTTTTTACTATGCATGTATTGTACATGTTTTTCTTCTTATCCTCTTCGCTCATTATTATTTTCTTCATTCCTATAGCACTATCTTTGGTAGGGATGATGGTTGAACCATCTTTTCTGTTTTTCACATTTTTGCTTCCATCCTTCTCCTTGTCCTCCCCCACAGTTGTTTCATTCGATGAGTGCAAACAAGACGTACTTAACTTATTGGATTCTTTCATTCTACTCATAATATTATCGTTTTCTATTTTGTGACTTATTTTATTATTTCCTAAAAATTCCAAGTACGATTTATTATCAAGCTCTGTTCTGCTCTCTTTCCATTTTTCGTTCTTGCCAGGTTTTGCAAAAAATTCCTTATATGCATTATATGACATGGAGGAATTGAACGCAGGGGGGTGGGTGGGAGTGGCACAAGACGCTAACTGCCTCTTTTCACCATTCCTTTTTATTCTTTTTGTCGACAGAAGAATATTGTTTATCATATTGTCTTCTTCTTTTTCGCCCAATAAAATATTATTCTTTCGTTTAAAGCTATTAGCAATATCTTTTATTTCTTTCTTAATGTCATAGTTTTCATGTGCGTTTTTAAACAACCTTGGAATTAGGTTTACATTGGCGTTTGTGTGGGGAATTGTGTTGGGGAATGTATTCGCGATTGTGTTGGGGATCGTGTTGGGAATTGTGTTGGGGATTGTATTGGGGAATGTATTCGCGATTGTGTTGGGGATCGTGTTGGGAATTGTGTTGGGGATTGTATTGGCACTTGCATTGACGCTTGCATTTTTCACCTTCTCTTCCATCTCTTCCTTTTTTTGGGGTACACTTCGCGGGGTGAAGAATATGTCTACGCTTGGATTTCCATCGTCATCCTTTTTCTTTCCACCCCTTTCTTCACCTATTGTCGCATCCACCTCCGTGAATAATGACCAAATGGACTTTTTTTTTTCCTTATCTATGATTATTTTTTCATTATTTCCAAAAGTGCTCCTGCTGTTCTCTTTTCTCCTCTCATCATTTTCCTTTTTCGCTCTGAACAAATTAGCTATATTCAACTGTTTCTTATCGTTCATCCTGTGGATGTGTGTGTTTCTGATTAGGTTTGTGGAATTTATGCCTTGTGTTGCCGTTGTTCTAGTTCACCTATCACACTTATCCCTTTTTTTTTTTTTTTTTTTTTTTTTTGTTTTTAATTTTTCTGCTATTTGTGTCACTCCTTTTTGTCACTTCTTTATGATTCGCTTCCATTTCCCTGTTGACGCGAAAGTGACACAGGAGTGTGATACACAGACTTAACATACGAGATATGCATTTGTGATTGCTGCAAGTTTACCAACACGCAAGTATTTTAATTCCATATGCATTTAAGCTAAGGAATTGTATCTCTCTTCGTTATCCAAATTTTGAAACGCGCAGTAAATATGTTGTGGGGAAAAAAAAAAAAAAAAAAAAAAAAAAAGAAGTATTTGCCAAAAGGGAACTGGAATCTTACACACCTATTACTGCAATGTTCAGAAGGATTTCATTAAACGTGAATATATTCAATTTTATAATGTCTCTAAATGAGGATACTTAAAAAAAAATATCCATACGCACACGATAATCCATGTGCCTTTTCTCAATATCTCCTTCGTGTAATTGAGAAAAAGCTAATTGTGTGTGCTTTCAAAAATTGAAATGCTGAGCTTTTCGTCTTTATTTTTGAAAAAGCAAAAACCCTGCGATTTGGTTGAAAATGCTGATATTTTGCCTAATTTTCCACTTTATTTTTCTTCTCTTTCTTAATATGTGGAGAGGATAGAAGTATCTACCTACTGTTAAAAGAGAGTTCCCCTTTATTCGTGTATCCCACAATCTTGTGTGTATAATACATACATTAATGTACACACAAAAGCACTTGTTTACCACACATATGTTAATATTTTTTTTTTTTTTTTTTTTTTTTTTTTTTTTTACTCCCAATTTTGTACCTGTCTTAAAAAATACTTTTGCGCGAATATGCGCGTATTTCTTTGTCCAGTTTGAAAAAACGGCAGCAATAAAATTCTCTTCATTGGAGCACAACACAGGCATTACATTTATGCTTACGTGTATATATATAACATTGGAAAGTGAGAGGAAAAAAAAAAAAAAAAAAAAATATATATATATATATATATATATATAATAGAACGAAATAAAGTGAAAATATAAAATAATTGTATGCTCGCAACACTTGAATGGTTCCCTCAACTGGGACGTGATAAAATGTTTTCAAAAAGGGATAAAAAAAAAAAAAAAAAAAAAAAAAAGGTAAAATAAAAATTCCAAAAAATGGTATACTAATTGTTTGTGCATATGTGTTGTTGACGGAGGCCAACAAAAGCAGGGGGGAAAAAAAAAATAAACACAAACAAAAACTCAAACAAAAACACAAACTCAAACACAAACTCAAACACAAACAAAAACACAAACAAAAACACAAACAAAAACATAAACTCAAACACAAACAAAAACATAAACTCAAACACAAACATAAACATAAACATAAACACAAGCATAAACACAGGCATACGTACGAAGTGTCACGAAATAAGTCATTTTGTTTACTTCTCTTTTCCCCTTGCACGCTTAGGAAACGTGCACACATCCATAATACACTTTGGAGATGTCAACAATTTTTATCCTCCCCATCGATATGACCATCTGGTATGGACAGCCAATATTTTTTTTAAGCTTTTAAAAATGGAATATAGAGAAAGGTTTGGAAACGTGAATTTATATCTTATTTTTGAGGGGGGGGGGGGATGATGGGTATCTTCAATTAAGTATTGCATCAAAGAATCAAGACCTCCAGCAACATAACTATTCCTACTTCTTTCTTCACATTTAGAGACATTTATAAGCACATGGGTTGAAAGAAAAGGGGTAATCATATTTGTCCCCATTTTTGCCTCCATTTTTACCTCCTTTTTTGCCTCCTTTTTTACCTCCATTTTTGCCTCCATTTTTACCTCCATTTTTGCCTCCATTTTTACCTCCTTTTTTACCTCCTTTTTTGCCTCCATTTTTGCCTCCATTTTTGCCTCCATTTTTGTATCCCTTTTTTTCCTTCACCCCCTCAATAAAGTGCAATTACTTCGAGTTCAAATCAACTTTAACATTTTCATCTTTATCAACCTGAGATGAAGAGACAATCGGGGGATTGTTGTTTCTATCATTATTCTGCATGTTGGTCTTGGGTTCCGAACCTGCTTCTTCTGTAAATTGGGAACACTCCTCCTTTATGTCACTATTTGATATTCCTCCACCTTGACAATTTTTATTTTCGACTTGTTCAGTTCCGTTTTGAGATAACCCATTTTGAGAAGTCCCATTTTGAGAAGTCCCATTTTGAGAAGCCCCATTTTGAGAAGTCCCATTTTGAGAAGTCCCATTTTGAGATGCCCCATTTTGAGATGCCCCATTTTGAGATGCCCCATTTTGAGAAGCCCCATTTTGTGTCGCTCCATTTTCCGCGTGTGCTTCTTCCTTCTCGTCAGAAATGGGGGGATCTTTTTTTGTCTGACAGCTATCGACTTTTTCAATGACATTCTCTTTTAACGGTGCACCGCTGTAGGGAAGTGGTATAACGGGTTCATCATTCGAATCGTTATTTTCACATATAATGTCTTCTTTATGAAAACTGAAAACATTTTTATTTTCAGTTTCCTCATTGTTTTTTTCCTCGTCTAAATGGAAAGGGGGATACTTTGGAATATTAAAGGTGCTAACACTAACATCTTGTAAATTTAGAATATTAATTTCTTCATTTTTATAAATAAAAGAATTTTCATTAATAACAGCAGTTGGGTTTTTTATCCATATATGTTCCAACGCTTCATTGGCTGATATTCTTTTTTCAACATTGAGTTCTAGTAATTTGGAAATCAAATCTTTCGCAGATGACGAAATGCTTTTCCATATATAATCCTTAAAACTGAGAACATAATTTTTCTGTATATTCATTTCAGTATTTTTATTAATTGGGAATGGTAACTTACCGCTTAACAAAAGGTATAATATAATTCCAATAGACCATGCATCTACTTTGTGATTATAGCCTTGCAATGTGATAACCTCTGGTGCAACATAGGCAAGTGTTCCACATGGTTCTTTTAACAATTCGTTAGGAGCACAAAGGGTTGATAATCCGAAATCTGTTAATTTAATTTCAGCATCTCTTGATTTATCTGTTAATAAAATATTTTCTGGTTTTATATCCCTGTGTATGATTCCACATCTGTGTAAATATGCTACTGTTTTAATCAACTGAGTAATAATTTTATTTGCATGTATTTCACTTAGTCTCGTTTCGGTTAACAAAAAATCATATAATTCTCCTCCTTTTACCAATTCCATAGAAATATATAAAGTTTCCTTAGTGTTAATAATTTCTTTTAAATAAATAACATTAGGATGTCTAAGTAGTCTCAAAATAGATATCTCACTTCGTAACAATTCTTTTTCATAAATAGAAACAGACCTTTTATCAATCACTTTAATCGCAAATTCTGAATTGGTCTGTTTATTGATTCCTCGATATACTGTTGAAAATTTTCCTTGTCCTAGTTGTTCATGCAATTCGTACAAGTTGTATAAAGTATTTTGCTTCGTTGTTGAATATAATGCTTGTAGCCATTCTTCTCTCTCTTCATATGTATTGACATATAGATTTCTTTTCTGTGTTTGTTTTGTTCCCTTGTGGCATATGGAAAATCCATACTTATTGATATTGTCATTCTTTGAAATAACTTCTACATAACATCCTTCTAAAAACATAAATCCTCTTGGTTTTAAATTTTTCTGTTTATCATAATAATACAATAAATTATCAAATAAAATATAATATCTTGCCTTAAATTGATGCAAATGTTTTCCTATTTTGTATAATATTCCTTCCTTTAATGAATTCTTCTTTATCATATCTAAACACTTTTGAAAATCAAAATTGCAATAAATACAATTGTAGAAGTAGCAATGTTCACACTCGCAGTATTCACACTCCATGGCAATTTTGTCTTCGTTCACACAAAATCGAGGATACCTTCCATGACAATTGGGGCACATCAGAAATGGTCCTTTGCAATTCGGGCAGGAGTACAGGTTTACGTCCTTCACATGCTTTTTTGTCAGCTCGTGTTTCTTTTTTTTTTTGACTTCGTAAGGTAGAAGTTCGTTCTTTCCTTCGGTTGGCGTTTCTTCCAGTTCCTTTGCCACCTCTTTTTCGGCCTCTCCTTCTGCCTCTCCTTCTGCTTCTCTTTCGGTCTCTCCTTCTGCCCCTCCTTCTGCCTCTCTTTCCGATTGTCCGTTCTGCTGCTCACTTGTGCATGCCTTCGGGTCTATTTTTACGCTTCCACTCTGCCCCTTCTCCATATTTTCTCCATGTCTTAAAAAGCTACACGAGGCCTTTTTGCCGCCTTCGTTGTTACTTCCCATCAGTTGTGATGATGGTAGTTTTATCTCCTGCGTCTCATCGTTCGGTTCATTTGCCTTCGAGGAAAATGTCGATGAGACCTCCCCTGCATGACTCTCAGCTTTCTTGGAACATAACCCTAGTTTCTCAAGCAAATCCAACTTATCCAAATTCTGTAACTTCATGCTTAATAATCCTTTCTTAATTGCTTCGTTAATTGATAATGGATTTTCTTCCCTTTCTAATTCGATTCCACTGGTTTGTTGATGGATTTGATTTCTCTCCATTTGTTCAACCTCTTTGTTGAAGCCTTCTTGGTTTGTCATAACCTCTTTTTCGGCGTGCTGCTTCTCCTTTTGTTCACTCATCTGTTCATCTATTTTTCCTTTCTCATAGCAACATCTACCTCCCATAACAACTGATAATTTTTTCTTCTGCTCTTTAACCATTTCATTTGTGAATCCATTATTTGTTAGATACTTTTTTTTCTTTTTACAATTATGTGAACTATTGGAATAATTTTTTATCTTTTCAATGTTTCTCTTGGCTTTTTTATATTTCTCTTTGCTATGTAAATTTCTCTCTTTGCACACATCATTAATGTTAAAGCTAATTTTGGATGCTTGAATGAATTCCACAATTTCTTTGGAAAATATATCATTCAGTGAATTTGTTAGTAAATTAAAATCACATTCATAACCTCCTTTATTTTTTATATCTTCAAGAGTCATCACCATTCCCCCTCCATTTCTGTCTACACAATCCATTTTTCTGCTATTCATAAATGCTGGAATGTCTTCCTTAATGCCATTCATGCTCAGCGTGTTCTTATTCTTTAGCATGTCATTAAAGCATTCAGCAATTTTTCTCTTTCCTTCTAATATTTTTTTTTTCTCATTTTCTTCTTTATCTTTTCTATCAAGATTGCACTTGTCATTCGTGGTGCCAGCATTCGTGGTGCTAACATTTGTGGTGCTAACATTTGTGGTGCTAACATGCGTACTACCAACATGCGTAATGCCAACGTGCGCGGCGCTTTTTTCCGGTTCACAAAATTTGCTAAAGTTTATATCTTCTTTTTTGATCTCACAAGCAGCTGTATATTCTGGTAAACCTGGAGACTCCGAAATAGCATGCGTTCCGTTTTCTCTTAGTGAGATAAAAACTTCTCTTTTTTGGTTCCCGTCCTTATTAATGTCGCTCTTGATCCTATTCGACAGTCCAATTAGAGGACTCTTTGGAGGCTTATATTCCATATCGTCACACGATTCTTCCCTTTTCGAGTTCGAATTTTTTTCCTGATTTCCTAGTGCCGTATTTTTCTCATTAGCACTTATCTGATTGCCTTCTTCGTTAATCCTCACAGGACTTGCATAGGGTGGGCACTTCTGATTTCCAGAATTTCCGTCTTCCACTTCTGTTACATTCTCTACCTTCCTCTTCTCCATCTCCACCTTCTCCTTTTCACCCGTGGCTTCTGTGCTTAAAGATTCATTCCTCTCCCCGTTCCCTTTGTTTAATACGGAAAAATTGCCCACTTCATTTCCATTTTCCATATTCCCATTTTTCTCACGCATCACTGATTCGTCTTTGTATTTATTAGCATCTGAGTGGGGAACTTGGGGGTTCACATACAGACGATTCTCACCTTTTTCGCGACTCTGTCCCTCTTTCACGCCTTCTCTTTCTTCTCTTTTTTCACGTTGTTCATCATGAAGTTCTTCTTTTCCTGTATCCATTTCTTCTCCCTCTTCTGCTTCGTCTCCTCCATGAAGCTGATTTTCTTCCCCCTCGTTTTTTTCCTCCTTTTCTGCCTTTTTTTCTTTCAAAAAGTTCACACACAAGTTATCATTAACGCAATCATAATCAGGGGCCTGTATGATAAAAAGTTGCCTGATTTTGAAATACAATTCTTCGGTAATAACTTCTTCATTTTCATCAATTTGTTTACTTTTAAAATTTTCTGATTTGATGACAAAGTTACTTATGTAATCCCTTCCATAAAGTACATTCCCTTGTAATCCCCAAATGTCTTCGTGCAAACAGCTAAAAAATATATATAAAAAAAAATCATACTTATAAATAATACTTTTAAATTGTATAGATGTTATTTTATCATTATCAAGAAATTCACATTCTTCTAACATCATGTCTACTATTTCATCAACATCTACATTTTTATCTGAAAGATCATTATTTTCTTCATCATTTAATATATTTCTAGCTGTTTTGGAGGGAAGAAAGTACTCCAGTAAAAATAATTTTTGTTTTTTCTCTTTTTTTTCTTCTTTTTTGTAAATATTCATATCACTTCTATTATTATAAGATATTTTTTTTCTTCCTTTTTTTCTTCCATCTTCCTGTTCTTCATTTTGTGTTCTTTCATGTTCTTCTGATTGAAATTCTTCATGTTCACTTTCCGTACTAACTTCTTCAACGTCTTCTTCTTCATCTTCTTCTTCTTCCTCATCTGATTTGTCCTTTCGTTGAGGTGTATTTTTCTCGCGCGTATTTTCTTTTCCCCTTACTTTAATTCGTTCGATGCTTTTGGATGCACACTTTTTTTCAATAGAACCTTCTTCCCTGTATAGTCCCATCGTTTTTTTTTTCTTCTTCTTCTTCTTCTTCTTCGTTCTCTGTTTATTCTTAATCAGATAACCATATATACTAACAAAAGAATCTGAGGTGCTCCTTGAATAACTTCCTACCCCATTTCGTTGTTCTTTATTTGAACTAAAGCTGTCAATTTCATCACTACTCATAAAAGAATTCGTTTCGTTGCTCGTACAGCTATCACTAGTTGATGACATAAATCTATTATTATTCTCATTTCTATAATTGGTTAAGCATCTCGTACTTTTTTTTTTTGTTCTGTTTTTTAGGTCTTTTTTTTTACGTATATTTAAATAATCTATATGGTCGTTGATAGATGCATTGGAAGTACTACTGGATGACGTATTGAAATTGTCATCACTTTCACTCTTAAATATGGAACATCTTTGTGGTGACTTATTATCCTTTTCTTTTTTCGATATCTTATCACTATTGTTCAACAAGTTATTATCTTCATAACAATCTTTTCTGATATCCTTTATGCATTTTTCTAGTTGATGTTTTTTCTCTTTTCTTATTTTTTTCGCTAATTCCCTCATATTTAGAAGCTTGTTACGATTCTGTAGGCGCCTTTTCTGTTTCAGACATTTGCTGCAATTCGTTGTACCGTTCGCAACATTCACGCTTGTGTTATTTCCATTCATGCTTGTACCATTTCCATTCATGCTTGTGCCATTTCCATTCATGCTTGTGCCATTTCCATTCATGCTTGTGCCATTTCCATTCATGCTTGTGCCATTTCCATTCATGCTTGTGCCATTTCCATTCACGTTTACATGCCCATTGATGCAATGTCCCTCATGATTGTAACTAAAATTGTCTACATTTTCATCATCAGCAGCAGCATCATTGTCGCTATAAACATCATCATTGTAACTGTTGCTGTCATTGTTGACATCATCATCATCATCATCCATATAATTATGTCCATTATTGTATGCATGGATATCTCCATAGTTGTTCCTATAATGGTGTTCTACATTTTTATCATTGTTGTATTCATCATTGTTTATGCTATCATAATAAGAATTCTCCTTATCCTCTGTATCATTAGGATTTTCATTTGAATTGTATTCATTATCATAATAATATTTTTTTCTTCTGTTTTTTTTATTAAAAAAAACATTCTTCAATTTATGAATGTAAGGAATATTTGATAACATTGCAACCATTTCAGATTTCTGTATATATCCATCTGAGTTCAAATCGAAGATATCAAACAGCACACTTATTTTATCACTTTTTGTTCCCCTACAACATATGGCAATGCCAATTATAAATTCCTCAAAATCTATGTAACCTGTATTTTTGAAGTTAAATTTTAAAAATAATCGTTCTCCCCATAATCCTGGTAGAGGGAAAAATTGAAGAAATGTCTCCTTGTCTATTTGGCCAGATGCAGATCTACTTCCTAATTCCTTGAAAATCTGGAAAAAAAAAAGAAAGCAATAATGAAAAAAAATATATAATAAGATCCAAATTAATACAATAATACAAGGGATATATAAAAAAAAAAAAAAAAGAAATAATAATAAAATAATGGTATTCTGTCCATTTTGTAAACATACAGAATATTGCACAAAAATTGCATTATGCACTTGGACTTGGCATAATATTCCATTTCTTACCTTCTTCAAAACCTCTAGTTCATCCGTTTCGAATTTTTTGCTACATATTTTAAAATTTTTCTTTTGATCTTCCTTTTCCTTGTCCTTCTCTGTTTGGATACCCATTTAAAAGCCAGATGAAAACGTAAATCTTAAGTACTTGTTTTGTGTTAAATATTTTGGAAAAAAAAAAAAAAAAAAAAAAAAAAAAGACACATAAATAAGGATTTCGTGTAAATTCTCTACACAGAATTGAACTATGTACAGAATAGAACTATGTACAGAATAGAACTATGTACAGAATAGAACTATGTACAGAATAGAACTGTATATAGAATAGAACTATATACAAAAATGAATTAATAAAATATTTATCGTTAAATACAAAAACAAATAAATTTAACAACAATTGATAACAAATGATTATGTGTTGATTTTCTGTTTAAAAATTAAAATTTAATTATGTATTCAGCGATGAAATACGTTTTTGTGTATGTATTTGTTGGCATGTACCCTATTGTGCATATTCACATCCACGCACAAAAAGTGGTGAAAATTTACACAATCATTAAATTATGCATATACAAGCAATTGTGTGTTTTAGTAAACTAGGTGCGAAGCTACAAAATGGTATATGACAATCTAGCACAGAATTAAAAAACGATGAGTGAAGTGCATCACAATTTGTTGAATTCTAAGAACAAAATTTAATACTCTATTTTAACCATTAATCACTTTTGCAACAATTTAGAAATGCTATACATCGATTCACGCGGGTCGCCTCCTCGCGTTTGATGTCGTTCAAGCGTCCGCGTGTGGAAATGTGCAAATGAGCAAACGTGCAAATGAGCAAACGTGCAAATGAGCAAACGTGCAAATGAGCAAACGTGCAAATGTGCAAATGAGCAAATGTACTTATATTCACGTGTTCATATGTTCATATGTTCAAGTAGATGTAGGGAAATGCAAATGTGAAAGAATTAACAAATTCATATACAAGGGATGTATACAAATGTATATATCCAATTTTCGATATTTAAATGTAACGAAATAAGTCCGAGCAAATGGCGAACAGCCAATAGTCTATGTATTGTTAACTAACAATGCATTACTACAAAGAAAATAAGGGGGGGGGGGTGATTATAGTATTTGTGAATATGTACACATGCATACGTTTAAGTATATGATGAATAACGTGTGTAGTGACATTAATTTTATTTGCATTGAAAGGGAAACACATTACGAATCCGTTTGGTATATGCTTCCACGTGCATCTATGTGTGCGTGTCTATGTATGCATATTTTACATCCATGCACGTGTGCATATCAGTATACGAACATATGCACACACGCATGAATCAAAAGTTCTGTTTTTTCAGTGTCTATTTTCAAAATTGTATTCATATAATTGGGCATTAGTCAGACATAAAAGATGCAATATTACAGTGAATGAAAGAAACGAATCACAATTATACAAGATGATAAATAAAAAAAAAAAAAAAAAATACAGTGGAATGCGATGCATGTTGTGACAAACACAGTTATGGAAAATCCACAACATTGTAAATTGTGTATATGTATAAATTTTTTCTTTTAAAAAACAGCAACTGTAATTGTAACTGTTACTGCAACTGTAACATGTGAATGTATATGCTTTTCTTGCTATTTGTTTTTCTCTTTAACAGTGTATGCCAGGCACAAATACCCTCTTATACATTTTTGTCTTGTATTTCGGGTTAGATGGTTCATTTATTATATTTGGCAATACAATTGCTATGTTCACAATTTATTTTTCTCGTTACAACCATAAGTCACAAAATATTTTTATAAGTAAAAAAAAAAAAAAAAATTCGTATAAATAATGTATTTGCGAATTTTGCTAAAAAAAAAAAAAAAATTTTTTTGAAGTAATTAACGTTAAATAAAAAGAGAAAAGCTATTCTCTTACTTATTTTATTTTGTTTCATTTTATTTTTTGTGAATGGTCTCATTTGTTTTATCATGTCTATCATAAAATGTAATGCTTAGGAATATTTTTCTTTACGTTTCCTCGTGTGTATAAAGTATGTATGTACATGCGTTTCCACACTTGAGTAACGTGAATTTGAGTATTTATGGTGGTATACAAGTTATGACAAATTTATGAATTCGTGCATGCATCCGGACTACCCGAGAAGCGTAAATCTTATGAGAGCGCCTTTGCGTTTGTAAAGGGTGTCTTGCAGAAATACCGTGGCTCCCAATGGTGTAGTAATAGGTAAAAAAAAAAAAAATATAATATAATTGGGGAACAATGTTTTAATGGATAAAAATGACATTACAATATAGCCACGATTATGTATATATGTAAATATATGTATACGGGTAAATATATAACGGTTTGCACAAAACGCCAGTCTGATGTGGGCAGCGAAGCTTATTCATAAAAATGCTGCATTTGTGTGCCTCGTGCGTTAATGGTTTTCTACTTATCTACTTATCTACTTTTTTACTTTTCTTCTTTTCTACTTTTCTGCTTTTCTACTTTTCTACTTCTCTACTTTTCTACGTGAATTTTTTTTTCCGTTCTCCTTCTACGCACTCGCGAACTTGTTCATTTATAGATGGATACGGAAATATATGCATTTATACGTGCGCTTTTCTTTTTTTATTCGTGTGCGCATGCAAAATGTTCACATGCCAATATACAATAAATTTATATAAAAAAAAATATATATGTTCTTTATTTCGCATTAAAACATGATAAAATTGTCCAAATAGCGTGCAACAATTAAGTAATAAACAAGTGGGGAAATGATAGATTAAGGAAGGCAATTATATGTATACGAAATTTTAAAGATGAACATTTTTCCTTTTTCTTGAAAATGTATATATGTCATTAAGAATGTGTATCGTACAAAGAAACTCCTATTATGAAGGAACAAATATATATACCTTATTCGACAATTTGTATATTATTCCATACCTTTTAAGGCAGGTATGAATTGGGGCATACGTAACTATATATATTACGAGATCTGCATGTGTATATATGTGAATGAAAAGAGGTTTTTCCCTATACATATATTTTTACACATGTGCGCTTGTTTATGTATCGCTTGCACTTAATTTATGATTACGTGCTTTGTCAGCAATTTATCTCGTTTTATATTTATTCGTGTTTTCCCCCTTGGTACTTGTTTCTGTTTTTTTTTTTTTTTTTTTTTTTTTTTTTTACAAAAAATCCTTATGTTATATTTATACAGTTAATTGCATGTAAAAAAAAAAAAAAAGTGAGGGGAATAAGTAAAAAGGTTATAAAAATGGGGGAAGGAAAGAAAAAGTAATAAATGTACCTAAAAAATGTACATAAAAAGTGTATATAAAAAATGAACATAAAAAGTGTATATAAAAAATGTACATAAAAAGTGTACACAAAATATATATATAAAAAATGCTACAAGCAAACGTACACAAAGTCATGCAAAGGGCATAAGAAGAAAAAAAAATGGTGCATGAAAAAAAAAAAAAAAAAAAAAAAAAAAAACCTATGAAAAAACACAAGTTCAAAAAAAATGACCTGTAAAAAATAGAGTAATTTCTTTTAATGCTCTTGTATATATTTTAAGAATATTACTTAACACAACATTTTGTGATTATGTGAAATTATAAATAAATTGTACGTGTTGCTATTTATGCTTCACATTTCACCTCATTTTTCCTCCCTTGGAAAGTGAAAAGGGTATACAACGGTATTAGTTATATATATAAAAAGCCTAAACCCGCAGGTAATACCCACTTCCCGTGCTAATATTGTAGCATAATATATATTATATCCATTTATATATATATCATGTTCATAGATTTTTTGTGCACAATATCCCCAAATCGTGGCAACTAAAATCGTACGTTTTTATTTTTGCGCATGATTAATTAAACATATATATATATATATATATATATATATATGTATATTTTTGCTTTCACGTGGAACCAACAAGCAACAGATTGCGCTTGAACATGTATTAAAGTGGGAATGCACAGATAAAGAAATGACAAAAAAAAAAAAAAAAAAAAAAAAAAAAAAAAAAAAAAAAAAAAAACATCGTAAAACGTTATACCTGTCATGTGCATATTTGCGTTTAAATTACAATACCGAGAAAGGAACAAAAAACGGAAAGTAGGATAATTATGCAATTATAATTCATCAAAAACTTGATGATCTTGTGCTGGATTTTTTTTTTTTTTTTTTTAAAGTGGCAAAAACTATAGATATCGTAAAAGGGATACACAAAGGTGGTAAGGGTTATAGATTATTTCGTTTGAACGTTTGCTAAATTAATTCACATGAAAAATAGTCCACATGTGCTTACATAACATCTAGTATGTGTGAATTAATTCGAGTACATACACACATGGGTATGTATATATATATATATATATATATATATATATATATATATATATGTACATATACATATATATGTGCACCAGATTCTACGCGTAAAAAAACACATGGTATATGGAAGTCAAATTGCAAAGGTGAAAAAAATGTAAAATGAAACACAACCGCAAAATGGAGAACTCTGCCCTGTGTCAAAACAAGGGAGTGCATGAACCCCTTCCTCACCATATACGCTCTGATAGAATGGTAGATAATATACGCACTTTCTAATTTTACAAAAAAGCAATGTCAGCATATAAAGAGCACTCTGAATGTTCCACTTTTTCTCTTTCCCATGGATCTGAAGAGTTTTATCTCCCATCAATTTGTTAAGAAATTTTTGTGGCAATGTTAAATTACTGTTTCCAAATTGGGTGTTTCTATGCGTTGTGTGTGCTACGTGTATAGGGGGTATATAGGTGCCTACACACATAAGTGAAGTCTGAATTGTACAACTGATCAGTTATTAACGTATAGAGCTCGTATGTACATATATGTATTCATATACGTAGGAATATATGAAGCATTTGCACCATTTGACATAGCACGTATACGTGGAAATCGAACACTATATATATATATATATATACTGGTACAGTTCTCGTCAGCTCTTTTTTTTTTTTTTTTTTTTTTCCACCTCAACAAAATATCGAATAAGGATATGACGATTTTAAAATATTTTCAAACAAAATAGAAAAAAAAAAGTGTGATTAGTTTGGAGGGTGTATATATATTGCCGCACAAAACACGCATCATACTCCATATATGTATGAACAACATATAATTTAGATATATATTATTTTTTTGGTTAAAATGGGCAAAATAATATGATTCCTATATTCTATGTATGTGATTTTTTGTTTCGAAGAATGTTTAATTTTATTTTCATTGCCTTGTTGTCCTTCATATATGCAATTCATAGTTAGTGTACATTTATTCATAAACAAGTCAAATAAATTTTTTTTTTTTTTTTTTTTTTTTTTACATTCTGCAGATAATTAATGACATTTGTACGTATTTATATTTTGTTGCACCAAATCTTATCATCACATCAATTTGGACTTTTCACAGAGCAAAATTGTTGAGAAAAATCACCATGCTGTGTTAAACAAGTGCCATCATTTGTCCCTAACGGCTGCCAATTTTGCAAGACAAGGATTGTCAATAAATATGCGAAATGGGTGTATCACGGGATGTAGAACCATATAAAAAAACGCAGGACAAGAAAACGCACCATTCATTTCAAAGTATGTATATATATACATACATGTACACATACATGTATAAATACGTTTATTGTAAATACCCATAAATGATGTCGTATCTTGCTTTTGCCTTATTTCCGCATTCACGGATATACCTCGTAAATGATAAGAGATGCGATCAGAAAATTTCATGAAAGAACGAATGAATGATAAGTTGATCAATGTGGTGAGGGCATTTCCTTATTTATTCAATCTTCAGAGAGGTAAAAACAAAAGGGAACTAAAAATTTTGGCTTAAAATTTGGATGAAAAATTGAATAGGTTGATGAACCGAACGGTAACAACTTGAAACAGGAATTAAGCAAAAGTAGAATGAAAAAGTCAAAACATTATGTTAAAAGAATGTCCTGGAAAAAGTAAGCTTAAAATCAAATAAATGTCATTTTTCTTCATAAAACAACTCTGTGATTTTACATATCCTTATATGTATTAACAAACTTGGATTAAAGCTTTTGAATTTTTTAAAATGAAAGCAAAGGAAAAAAAAAAAAAAAAAAAAAAAAAAAAATTCTCGTCATAATTATCCCAAAGGTTGTGTCACTTGCTACATAATATTATTTTTATTTTGTAGCATTTGAAGAAACAGGAAAATGGATAAAATTATTACTTACTTTTTTGATGATGGTAAAAGAAGAAATTTATTTTTACTTTTTTTTTTTTTTTCCACTCAATTAAGGAAATGCTACATATATGTTACATATGACATACATGGTGATGACACTACTGCAATGAAGTTTTTTGAGGGAAATTTGAAAAATTTTTAGGACGTCCCTCAAGCCCTTAATAATTAAATTTTACCAAAAGGAAGTAATTATCACCGTTTGATTTGGGTGCTTGGCTTGGCTGCATGGCCTATTTTTTTTTTTTTTTTTTTTTTTTTTTTTTTTTTTTTTTTAAGATTTTTTTTTTTTTTTTTTTTTTTTTTTTTTTTTTTTTTTTTTTTTTTTTTTTTTTTTTTTTTTTTCTAAAGCAGTATCATATTCTGAATTTTTTTTTTTCATACCTTTTTATGCATTTTGTTTTTTTTATAGATCACTTTATCCCCTTCGTTTTATTCATCCGTTTTATTCATCCGTTTTATTCATCCGTTTTATTCATCCGTTTTATTCATCCGTTTTATTTATCCGTTTTATTCATCCGTTTTATTCATCCGTTTTATTCATCCGTTTTATTCATCCGTTTTATTTATCCGTTTTATTCATCCGTTTTATTCATGCGTTTTAATTATCCGTTTTATTCACCCATTCCGTTCCTTCATTTCCACTTCATTTACTTATTTATTCCTTTTCATTTCGTCGTTTCACTTTTTTCCATTCCACTTCACCCGTCGCAATTCCTCCGTTCCATTTCATCCGCTCTTTTTTTTTTTTTTTTTTTTTTTCCCTCCATTCTTACCATGATTATAGGTTTCATTGGAATACACCCCCAAGCCTATTAATTTTGTAATAATAACATTTATTTTGTAGGCACATGTTTAGTTTTGTATAAACAGTTGACAAACTTATATGAATACGTTCTCTACCTGTTCGTAGTGCACATGAGAACCTCATATATTTGCATTACATCAATGAGATTGCAGCGTCCTTACAAGAATATATCCTGTGATCAAGTGAATGAATAGGAAAAATAAAAAATTTGTTTTCTGGACTATAAATTTTCTCGCTCTTCATGCGTATTCCCCATTTCGTCAATTCTTGTTTGAAAATCTTTCCAAAGATTAAGAATTGCAGTAACAAAACAAAAGACGTAGAATTGAACGATGCATACATTTTAGTTTTATGATAAAAAATATGTACATAATAACAAAGAAGGAAGGATTTTTTTATCAAGCTCAAAAAAAAAAAAAAAGGACATACAAAATTATACGGTTTGCATAAGTGTATAAGAAGTTTGAAAGTATCCAATCCTATTCATACACATAATGTGAAAAATAAAATGAAAGGAAACAAAAAAAGTAAGAAAGAGAAAGGTGGAGAATACCTGCATTTCTCGAAAAAAAAGAAGCTAAAACAAAAGGATATAAAAAGTGTTATTTTAAAAAAACTGAAAAGAAGAATGAAACAAGGATTAAGAAAACTAGATGAGCAGTATGATTACTTAGGGAAACTTCTTTCCAATTTAAATAATTTAAAAATTGAAGAGAATAATGTAGAGACATTACAAAAAATAACAAAAGAGCTATCCAAAGAAATAAATTTTGTTAATGAAGAAAATAATGATGATATAGCAATATTAAAAATGGAGAAAGATTTGATAAAAGCTGATTTTACAAAAAATAAAAATAGCTTAAAAATTTACAATAAAGATGAACAAGAAGAGGAAGAACAACAACTGCATCAGCAACACGATGAAGAAGAAGGTGTTGTAGAACATGAAGAAGTAGGAAAAAGTATAAAACATGAAAAAAGAAAAAAAAAAAAAAAAAAAAACACCAATACAAATTCATCACATCAATTTTCCAATTCAGTTACACCTTTACAAATTTTTAGTAATAACTTTTTATGCATGAAGAGTAAATGCCATCATAACAATTTCACAAGTGATAATCTACAAATTAAAAATTCCGTTGTTCTCGGTTTATATCAAGCCTTGTCGAAAAATAAATATTACAAGGACACGAATTTGTGTGGTCATATTTTTGGTGAACAAGACAATAACCAAATTTATAACCAAGAAATGAAAAAAATGCGTAAGAGGAAATTGCTTGTGAATTTTCTCAGCCGCAGGAGGAAATGTCGAAAGAAGGATGAACGGGTATCATATGAGGAGTATTCACAAAATATGCATGAGAAAGATTATCATATTACACAACCAAGTGAAAATATCCATAGCATTCACCCCTATGCATGGAATAAACATGACTATGAAAAAGCAGTAAGCAGAAGCACCCCCACAAGTTATGACTATCCGAGCAAAACATTTACAGAAAATAGTTATTTTTACAATTCTTCCAATCCTATAAATGATTATAAAAATAAAAAGGTTTATTGGATTTATATGAAAAAAGAAATAAATAAAAATATATCAAAAAATAATACGAAAATTATAACGTCTAATATATTAAAATTTTTAACAAGTATAAGTAAAGTTTTCTATTGTGAAGTAATTGATAAAAAAAGAGATAAATTAGTAACAAATTATTTTTCAAGAAATAAAAAAAGGAACAAATTTTATGATTATGTTCTGGCACAGGAATGTGATATCACGGGTTTAAACCAGACATTAATTGCCGATAGGCATATACCAATTAATAACAACCATAAACTTGGAAATTTGTGTTATAACAACGAGATAAAAAATAATTGTATTTACCTGTACATTAAGAGAAATTTTATTCCAAAACATTTGTTAAATTTAAAAAAAAAAATTAAATTAATTTTAAATTTTCCATCCACGGATGTGATGAACAATTTGTGTTCCAATTGTTTGGAACTTCGAGTGAATGAAAATATCGATGGATTGAAAACTCCCTCGAATTCTTTGAATTGTCATATGTGTGCATCATCTTCTCATGAGGGGAGATGTAATGGGGTTGTAAAGAGTTCCACTTTTGATGAATATTCCATAAAGGAAGAAGAAGAATTACTTGAGGAAAAGCCGATGAGAAAGAGTTGCCATAAAAAATTCCTAGACCTAATATTAGACTCAGACGTGCATTATGAACGATATGTAGGATCTCTGTACAAATATAAAAACTTATTCAACAAGAAGAAAAAACAGAAAACGAAAAAAAATGGAAAGAAGAAAAATGCAGAAAATAACATCAGCATGACAGTGATAAGGGCACTGGATGATAATATTCGATTTAACAATATTTTTTTAAATGCTTTATGCAGATTAAATATTAACGAGAAGAAAAAATATCACTATTTTTATGTCAATAATGTTGAATATGATTATATGAGTTATGACATAGAAGACATAATGATTCATTTAGAAAAAATAATAAGTAAAAAAAAAAAAATAAATGGCGATTCGGGATCTGCTTTTTCGCCATCGACATTGTTGAGCTATATGAACAAAAAGTATGCCCTGTATTCTACCAAAGGGAAGAAGAAAAAAAAAAAAAAAAAAAAAAAAAAAAAAAGTTATAATAATTTGGAGGATGAAGAAAAACGTAGCGAAGAGGGAACATATGGATTAAACATGATTGAAGAAGAACACACCAAAGGGTATAGAGGAGGAGCAGGAGGACGAAGAAAAATATGGCCTCCAAATGGAAAAGGCAAATCAATCAGAAAAAAAAGTTACGATGGAGAAAAGGAACACATTACATGTTACCATGGTAATAAGAAGAAACATATTCCAAAGCGAAAAAACAGATTAAATAAAGGAAAAAGTGAAAAGAAAAATCAGTATGATCATTATTATTATCCTGTTATGAATGAAGAATTTGTGCCTAATGGATTACAACATGTAAAGAGAAACAATGAAATCGAGACATATTATTTGACAGTTCACAGCTCTATGCTAAGCTATAGCGATAATAATGATGAAATAATAGTGAAATATTACTTGGATAATATTCCTAATAAAGAATTTAATATAGAAGTTCGAAATAAACACATGCCTATGGAAGTGAGTTATTTTTACGATTTTTATTTAAGGAGAAAAAATGAGCTAGAAAAAACAATAAAAGATCATAGTGTTATTTATAAACAGATTTATAAATTATGGAAAGAAGATATAGAAATTTATGAAAAGGATAAAGAAAAAAAAAATATTTTCGCATGGGGTATTTTACCCGTTCGAGCATATGACCACCCAAATATATTTGTTCCACTACCGTGTGGTTTTAAACATAATAATAAAAATTTAGCGTACAATGCAGTTAATGAACAAAATGTGTGTGGTGATGACGATGACGATAATCAGCTGGAGAAAAAGGAGAAGAAAAAAGAATATATGAATATTAAATATGCCAATTTAACAGGTCCTTGTGTCACGTGGCGTAAAAATTGTATATTTTCCAATGATTTTAGAAAAAAAAAATATGCACACTTGATTGAAAAGTATCCCTACTTATACTGCATGCAACACGTGAAGTTACCTCTATTTGCATTGGAAAGAAATGTTCTCTATAGGAACTCAAACAACATGTTATTAAAGTGTAGCGATTCTTCTAGCATTCATCATAGAGACCATTCGTCCAAGCAATTCAATGTCTTCAAAAAAGACGTATCAACGGGGAAGAGAAAGATGGGCATATTGTTTCATAGCTCGGGTGATCATCCAATAAAGGTAGACTCGGAAAAAGATGAAGAAGAAGAAAAAGAAGCGAAAGGGAAGGAAGTGAAAGAAAAAGAGCTGAACAAATTTTTCAGCAATGAAGACCTGCTGAACGAAAAAAATTACATTTGGAACAAACAGGAAATAAAAATATACTTAGAAAAATATTTTTTGTATCCAAAACATTTTGAAAAAATAAGTCAATACCTAGAATTTAAAAACACAAAACAATGCGTCGATTTTTATTATTTAACAAAAAATTTTTTTAATTTTAAAAAATTTTTATTGAGAATATCAGAAAGTAAAGTTAAGAGAAGTAAGAAGTATGCATCATCAAATAATGACATAACAAAGAAGCATTCCAAGGAAGAAATAGTAAACAAGTTAATGAAAAAATTGGAAAATAATTATTTCAAAAGCGAGTTTGAACGATCGAATTATTTTAACTATAATTATATAAATATTCGTCAGTTCTTCCAGAATTATTTTGTAAAAACATATAAGAACATGTATCCCACAGGAGCAGCAGCAGCAGTAGCAGTAGCAGGATCAACTGTTGCACCAGGGGATGTAGTCCAGAACCCTCCTTATCATAGCACAAGTTCAACGGTCTCAATAAATAGGAATGACATGCATGGAAGTAGTAGTAGAAGTAGTATCGGTGGTGATGGAGGAGGAGGCGTTCAAAGAAACAAAAGCATTGTGCTTGAGAACATGTCTGATGGGTATGTTATTCCCAAAAATTACAACTTCATACTTAGTTCGAATAGGAAATTATGCTTCTTAATAAAGAACGATGAAAATTATATTTACAATGGAATAAATTCAGATATAATCGAAATTAAATATAGTGAAAATTTAGAATCAGATAAAAAAAAAAATGAAAAAAACCAGAAAAAGAAAAAAGGGATTAAAGAGTTACCACATGTGCAGAACTTAGTTGAGTTAACTCCTCATCATATGTCCATGATAAACAATCATCAACCAAGTAATGCAACATTTAGTAGTTTAATCATAACTCCATCTTCTAGTAACAATAATGCAGAAAGTGCACTAGTGCTTGATAGTGATCCCATTGTACTCCATGGTGGTGAGACGGATGATAGAGGCGATGCTTATAATATCGAACCTATGCTATGGAAAAATTATCAGCAGAACGAGGAAACGGAACTATATAAAGACAAATTAACTATAAATGCAGTTAAAAAATTAAAAAAAACAAAAAGAGAGAATCATGAACCTTACTCTGGGCAGCCTTCCTATTTGACACATAACAAAAAAAATTATCAATCAAATGGAAGCAATGAGAAGGATGTAATAAATTCTACAATAGAACCTCCAAAAAATAAAACAAATTGGATATCGATAAATGAAAAAAATGAAAAAAATGAAAAAAATGAAAAAAATGAAAAAAATGAAAAAAATGAAAAAAATGAAAAAATGCGTAATATTTATAATTACAAATGGAACATTAACAATGATAATAACGTGTTCATACAAAATGTAGAAAAAGAAGAAAATTGCAATATTGTAAATTTTTCCAAAACCAGTCCACGTAGTAGTACTAGTAGTTGTAAACATAAAAATGAAACATTGAACGACGAATTTCCTTTAAATGAATTTAAACCTTCCACTGTGCATCACACGGACTTTAGTAATAATATAATGAATTATAACCCACCCCAATATTGTAATAACGAAGAAAGAAAAAGGAAAAGCTCAATATCTGATTCAAACGCAGGCATAAATAATGCATTCGAAAAAAACATTGAAATTGAAACATGTGAAGAAAGTTTATATAAATGCTTTGAATTTTTAAAAAATATAAATCATAAAAATGGGGAAGATTCTAGTATCAAGGGCGGTGTGCAGAACCAAGCTAAATTTTCAACACCCCTTACATTTGATTACAAATTGAAAAAAGGCTCCAAAAAAAACAGTCTCCAAAGTAATGAGATTTTTCCTATACAGAAAGATAAAAACATGAAAAGAAAATCGTCGACGACTGTAGTAAAGGTTAAGGGAAATGGGAGGGATATTCTTCCTAAGAAGATCAGCAAGTCCGAGCAAACGGGACAAATGGAGCAGTCGGGAGAAGTGGGATTACTGACCCATGAGGATAAATTCTACATATCGAGACATGTAATCCAAACGGATTGTAAGAACGAGAAAAACCAAGGCAGCAAGAAGGGTAGTAAGACATGGACACACCACACCGGAGTGAACGGTGCAACGAAAAGAAAAATCATGTCTGTTGTGAATGCTACTGTTAAAGGAAGAGAAATGGACGGAGAAGAAGTAAGGGGAATGGATTATAAGAAAGATATAACAAACAAGCAAGAAAATGAAAAAACTTATAAAAGGAAAAAAATGTTTGAAAATCAGAAGAATGAAGAACAAATGATCCAGCCAAATGAACATGAAGAGATGGCATATGGAATTATTAATCAAATGGATGAGGAACCACAGACGGAGACAATTGGAGACGTAGAATTATCTACTCAAAGTGATCGAAATGTGGATGTAGAATTAATGAGGAAGATATTTCAAGATCAACGAGGACAGATGAGCAGTGCAGTTCAATTGGAACAAGTGTCCCAAATGCAACCAGTTGAAACACATTCAAATTATGACACAGAGATTAAGAATGAAATTTTGGAACCTGAAAATGTATGGACATATGATAATAACGAACTAAAAAGTTCCTCTTATGAGTGTGGGGAAAAGAACGACATGATAAATAATAACATGTCAGATGAGATAAATACAAAACCTATTGATTTTTCTCCAAAGGAAGAAATTTTTATTAATTTGGATTTTAATGAGAAGAACAATGCTCACCATACTCCATCAGAGGATTACTGGAATAACACGAAAAAATATAGTGTAAGTAGTTCGACTGCTAGTAATAAAAAAGATGTTTATTTAGATAACAAAGGCTCATGGTGTGAAGTTGAGAATGCAGATTCAGAGCAAGTTGGGCATGATGGACAGATGGAAAAATATGAATTTATGCAACTTCCCACGAAAGAAGATCTAACGGATAGCATATATTTGCATAATAAGAGGAATTCCTTTCAAAGTAGCAAATCTTCAAATAATGGTTCTTTAGATTTTGTACAGCAAATAGAAAATTATGAAGGAGAGAACTCTGATCCTTCCAAACATCTGTTTAGAAAGAGTGCTACCAAATGGACAGAGAAAGAAAAGGAAATTTATTTTGAAGTTTTTGCAAAAGAAGGAAAAAATTGGGATACCTTATTTTTAGCCTTACATCCATATGGAAAAACGAAAGATCAAATTAAAAATTTTTATCAAAATGTCATTGCAAAGAAGAGAAAAAATGAATAATATCCTATAAAATATGGCGACAATTTATATCAACATTACAAATGTCTTCAAATGCAGCAAAAATTTTCGTGTAATTAAATGTCTGAGTCTGCATTTAAACCTGTGTTTTAATAAGAACAGAAGGGGTGCAAACAAATGTTTCTACTATATAATTGCACATAACTCTTCGCGTTAATATGACAGAAAAAGAAATGAAGCAGTTCGATCTCCCTGTGGATAGCATGTTTTAGAACCACACAAGGGGTGATTTTTTTGTGATAAAAAAAAAAAAAAAAAAAAAAAAAAAAAAAACGTGCATGTGGATGTGCATGTATACACATATATAGCATCAAGTGAGGAGACAGCTTTAACAACGCTGTTAATCCACAGCCTATTACTTTGTCATCCTGATGGACTGTTATCGCTACTGTTATCTGAAACGTTTTTTCATCCTTATAATTTTTATCTTATTACATTATATTTATTATATTTTCTTTTCTTTTTTTTTTTTTACCACTCCGTATATGCTACAAATATATCTGTCCCGCCCCATAGTTTACACATACGCTTGTGTAAGCTGATACGTTTTATGTACCCCTGCAAGTGATGCTTACTAAGCACACATATGCAGGATATCAACACGAATTAATCAAAAATATTAAATGTTAATGTTCGTTATGTTTGTTATGTTAGTCATGCTCGTCATGCTCGTCATGTTAGTCATGCTCGTCATGTTAGTCATGTTCGTCATTGAAACTGTTTGTTCATAAACAAACCGAGTTATTTTTTAATTGGTCAGAGAAAGTTGTTCATCAAATGGAGGAATACGCAAAATAAATGCAGCATGCAAAAAAGAAAAAAAAAAAAAAAACCTTGTCAAATCATTTGAAGTCGTTTTTACAAAACTCGTTTTTTTTAACTTCATATAGCATAAAAATGCAGATGTTTCAATGGGAGAATCACAGTGAAAAAGTATGTACATATTGAGATGAGGTTTACAACGTTTAGGCCCTGTGACGAAACAGGAAAAGAACAGAAAGCGTTTTAATCTAATCGTCCGATAGTAACAGTGCCACTCCTGCCAAAATCCATTTGTCTTCGACATCGTCAATTTCTAGGCTGCAGTGGGAGGAAGCAAATGGGGGAGGGGATATATGTTCCAGCAATGGTTCGTATGAATGTTCCAGCAATGGTTCGTATGAATGTTCCAGCAATGGTTCGTATGAATGTGCCTATAATTGTTCGTATGAATGTGCCTATAATTGTTCGTATGAATGTGCCTATATATGATACCATAGGTGCAGCTCATCCGCCCCTATAGGGGAGCTAGAAATTGTGCCAAAGCGTGGCACACACGCTAGTCGAGCATCCCTAGGAGACTTACTTCAAATCGATCGAACAGACAAAAGTATTTCCACGGTCTGAAGTAATGTAGAGAGGGGTGTCCAAATAGTGGGAGTCCAAGGTGCGATTGAGGAGTTCATCTTGCTCATTGGTGATACAGTAAACGTACAGAAGTGGCATGGGGAAGTAAATATTTTTTGGGATGGATTCGACTATGTTTCCATAAGAGACGTTATCATTTAAATTATCTTTATCAAATGTGAATGTGTCATTTTTTGAATTTATTACCCAAGAAGCACCTTGCAGAAATAGACCATGAATATATAAAGCGTTGTTTTTATTGTTTAAATCTTCTACCTTAGTTATATTTGTTACGTGCCATTTGAGCCTTAACTTATCAATAGGAACTTTATTTTCATGAGAAAATTTTTGCTTAATTGCAGTGAGAAAAGAAATTGGATTGAATAGAGCAGACAGCCAAACAGAATTTGGTAAAAATATATTATTTCGTATTTTTGAAATCCATTCTTTTATAAAAATAATTCTCAACTTAAAATTTTCAAACCATGGCATTAATTTTTTCTTGGAAGGATAAGAAAAATTTTTCCATATATCAGGAATATTATGTAATAGTAAAGATTTAATAGTATTCTGTATTTTATTATTCATATTTAAAATACCATCTAAGACTAACTTTATCTCAATTAATGTATCATTGATGCATTCAATCAGTATGTTAAATTTTTCTGCTTCTTTCAATGCTATAATCATAAATGTATTCGTTTCAGAGTCTTCAATTTTCAGATCCTGTATGTCGATCTTTTCAGGGAGTTCGTTTAGAAGACGGTTGATAATGTCGTATATAATTTTGCTTCCTTTGTTTTCCCCTTCCTCTGTTTCATTTCCACCCCCATTGTTGGTGCTTCTGCTGTTGTCCTTCCTCTTTTGCCCCATTTCGTCTGACAACTTTGAGCACTTTGAAGGATCTGTATTATGGTCAGTATTACTACCCTTACTGTTATCATTTTTTTCACCCTTTTGATAAGTACCAGTGGAGGAAATTTCTCTATTGCTAATCTCTTGTAAATTCTGCAGAATTCTAGAACACTCATTTTTCATATACTCAATTTCTGCATTCACATGTAACCCTAGTAGGTACGTCTGTTCTTTGTTCAACTTTTCATCAATATATTTTTTTAGCTGACCAATGTTGTATTTGGTGCAATCTGGGAATTTAAAAATCTCGAACAATATGTTATTTCGTGTGCTCTTCAGGATGGCTCGTTCGTCCATTTCGTCCACTTCGTCTATTTCGCCTATTTTGTTGTTCCTCTTGTGGAATTTATGGTTTCCCATGGAAGATTCACTCTCGTTTGAGTCTATATCGTTCTTTCCCTCGATTTCATCGCACACATCATCCTTATTATGAACATCATTGTGAACATCATTATCAGCATCATTATGAACATCATTGTGAACATCATTATCATAACCATTATCGACATCATTATCAACGTCATTATCGACACCATTGCGTACATTTGGATAACTCACTTGGGCGCTTACTCCCTTCAGGTGAGAGTCGCTACCCTGAGGATCCATCTTTTGTTGAAACTGGCAAGCACGTTCATTAATCGAAACAACATTTTTGTATATCTCCTTGAGTATATTTTTAATATACGTTTTATTTATTCTCCTATCCCATATGTCTGTTATATGACCACCATAAATTATTTCCCCTATCAAGAATAACACATCTCTTAAGGGAAAAGCATTGTAGCTGTTTAAATATCTCTTGATAATATTAAAAGAGATTTCCAAATCATTATCATTAAAAGAGTAAGTTTGACTGAACCCAATTTTTCCATATAGAAACCTTCCCAATAATAAACTATGATAATAAGATAGACCAAAAATGACATTTCTCAGTTTATCGTCATAGTCTTTGTTTTCAAATTTTTCTAAACAAGATTTAATATTATCCTTTAAACTAAAAGATTTTTCATTATTTATTCGAAAACACTTTTTCAACAATTTTTCAGGTAATAATTTTGTGTCTTTTTCCAAAGGAATTGCTGATGATAGGAATAGTCGGAAGTTTGGATGAGCATCCGCAAGTATTTTATCTAAATTTTCTTCAAATTCTTTTAACCATTTAGTCATCAGATGAATATTTTGTAAAAATATTAATCCTCCAGTTTTGGATATTTCTTTAAGGTACTTTAGAGCAATATCTTCCTGGCCTTGTCCCATAGATATGTTTACATATGAAATTTCATTTTCATTTTCACCCTCAAGTTCATTTTCATTTTCACCTTCAAGTTCATTTTCATTTTCACTTTTACCTCCAATGTTCTTTCCATTTTTGCCTTCATTTTCTTCATTATGTTCACTTTTTTTTTCTTTTTTTTTTTCCTTTTTTAACTTTTCAACGTATTCTTCTATATCTTTGGATGGGTCATTGCCAGGGGTTAAGAGAAACAAAACAGGTGTCTTATTGTCGATGTATTCTTCTAGTATTTTTCCAAGTGAACATGTATTTTTCTCATCATTCGTCATTTTAATATTGGCTTTAATGTAGTTTTTTAAAGCTATCGGAAATCTATCTTTACGCAATACTCTTATTAATAGCAGTTTAGAAAAGTCCTTTAAGTTGTTGTATTTTCGAGGAAGTTCTTCATTTTCTACCTTGTCGCTCAGAAACCATTGCTTCCATGACATACTTTCACTTTCTAAACTTTCTGTTAAATTTTCAAAGTCTTTCAAATTTTCTAAATTTTTACAATCCTGATATAAATCTTCACTAATAAATGATTTGTTCATTAATCTATTTTCTACATGTTGTTCATTTTCCTTTTTATTCATTTTTAACTTATATTTAGGGTTTATAAACACTTCTTCTTCTTCTTGGTTAATCTTACCGTTCAGCTTCTCCAAGTTTAGCATAATTAGGCACTTCACGATTAACTTGTCTCTCTCCAATAACCCCTTGTCGATGTACATCCACATCTTCTCAATTAGAAGACTTATCAGCACGTTCACCCTCTTCTCCACCTCGTTCTTATCTATCTTCGTTCCTTCATTTTTCGCATCCTCATTATCCAAGTCATCTTCACCCAGGTCTTCTTCATCCAGGTCGTCTTCACCCAGGTCGTCTTCACCCAGGTCTTCTTCACCCAGGTCGTCTTCATCCAAATTTTGTTCCTCTAATATTTTGCACCTTTCTAGACCTTCCATTTCGGGATCCTCATTTTTTTTCTGTGAACTATACCCGTTTTTCTGCTTTTCCTCTTCCACCAGAACTTTTATTTTTTCTTCTTCCACTTCTGAAGGGTCAGGCTCTGGATCGAATGACTCAACCGATAATCGCGCTCCATTTTTGGCTCCATTTGTGGCTCTATTTGTGGATCCATTTTTGGCTCCATTTGTGGCTCCATTTTTGGCTCCATTTTTGGCTCCATTTGTGGCTCCATTTGTGGCTCCATTTACGGCTGCATTCGTTGGAGACTCCAGTTCGAATTTATATGTTTCCAAGTTTTCTTCTCTCGCTTTCTCCTGTTGCATATCACTGCTTTTATGCGACCCTGGCCCCTTTAGAACCTTTTTGTTTTTTTTTTTTTCCTTAACGTTTGGACCACTGTTTGGAGGCCTGAATTGAGAACAATCATTGAGGCACTTAATGAATATTTTTAAAAATATTTCCAAGGAATAAAAATAAAATGAGTGTATATTTTTGAGTTTCTGTAGAACGAAGAAATACATAACTGCTCTTTTTGACAAAGGTCTATATAAATTAATAATGGTATTAATATGTACTTCAGTATTTTTAACAATTTCTGTCTTCTTTGCAATGTTTTCACTAAGTAATTTTGTTTTTTCTAAATTTTCTATTAATGATACATCTTCTAAAATATCTCCTTTGGCATTGGTTAATTTTTGCAATATAGAGGATTGGAGAAAAGACAGCTGACACATGTAATCATATTTTAATAAAGACAATTTTTTTTTTTTTTTGGATAAATGATTAAACTCATTTTGTAAAGTTATAGATAATAAATGTTCCTCTAAATCATCAGGAGTTACTGTGAAATTAATAAGAGAACAAGCTGATTGAATTTCTGGTTGATAATGTGGGTTAGATAATTGAGTGTGTAGAATAATATAAAAAGATGGATGAAATACAAATTCTTTATCATTTATATTAATATAGTAATTATTTTTTCTTTTAATAATATTTTTAGAAATAATATTATACAAGGTATTATCAATATATTCATCTGCATTTTCTATAATTATTGAATATCCAAATGATATACATTCCTGTATTTTTTTCAGCAGCATATTATCATTAATATCTGTTATAATTAACTTTTCACTTTTTTCCTTTTGATTATTTATTAACCATTTCAAGCTTTCCATTTGTGGGTCTATAATGATAGGGAATTTTTCACTGTTCTCTAGTATTAAGTTATTTTCTATGCACACTGAATTTAAAGTTAATCCTTGTTTGCTCAGTTTTGATAAAATTTCTTCATTTATAAGTAGATCTAAATTGAAGTTAGTTACAGAAAAAATATCATATATTATATCTTCTTTCGCTCCATCTGCACATTGTGCACTTTCTTCTCTCGTTTTAGACAAATTGTGTAAATCTGCGTTATGGCAAATTCCAACATTTCCATTAGCACCGTTATCCACAACAGTGGCGTTGTTCCCACAGTCTCTTCCAATCTTAACTGCAGATGGAATTTCCATTGATCTTTTCTCAGAATTTCCCTTGTTGATACTTTCCTTTTCATGACCATTATGTAACTTCTTGAACATTTCGTTAAAAATGTTATTTTGAATTTGGTTTTTCCTATTTAACGTTTCAACACACTTGGTCATTATTTTGTTTCTATACTTTTTTGTAAATCCTCCACAGAATGTCACAAATGTGGAAGACAACAATATATCTGTTAAGATAGTTTTTTTTTTTTTTTTCAAAGTTTCATATTGATTAGACCATGATATTTGTTCACTACTTAAAGCGTCAATCAATCTGATAGATAATTCTAATTTGGTTTTTAATTTTTTTTCTTCTAGAATTACAAGATCTCTTTCGTAAAGTGCATGATCATATTGACTTATGAGAGTGCTTAACTGAGATTTGAGGGATTGTACCTTTTCACGTACTATTTGTAATTTTTCATTTGCTTCTTCTAGACTTTTTTTGGTATTATCTAGTAGTATTCTCTTTGGCAAAATGTTTTGTATAATTTTATAAAAAGATGTAATATTTAGAACCCATTCAGCTAAACCTGCAGCAGCTTTGGATTTTTTCTGAATCGCATTTTTATTAAAATGTGGCAAATTAATTAAATTTTCTACATATTTGAAATTACAATCTGGGACTAAGTTTTCATCTATTTTATTTTTATAATCTTTAAGTAAAGAAATAAATTTTTCTGGATTTATCATCATTTTTTGAGCAGATTTCCAGCTGGCATCTTTAATTTTTCCAAACTTGTCCACACTTATAGTTGTGTCAATTGTTGCTAATAATTGCATAACAGCAGCAGTAATATCTTCTACTCCTGGTGGGGGTTTATTTAATGTTTTTAATTCTTGTATGTTCTTTTTATTTAATGTATTCAAAGCTTCTTCTGCCTGTTCTATTAGTGGAATACCTAGAGTTATGTCATTTTCACATTCTTCTTGTTGCTTCAATACTGTTTTTTGAATCTCCAAACACTTCTGTTCTTCTATATCTGCCAAATCACTTTCTTTTTTAACAATCATTTTCTCGTTCCCAATATCTATAGCATACTTTTCGGCCGCTTCTTTTTTCTCCTCAGATATTTTTTTTTTTTCTTTCAGGCAATTTTTTATATTTTCTACGTTAGAACTTGTTTCATTCATTTTCGTAATTCCATTTTTTAGCATGTCCATTTTGTTACTTATGCTTGTTATATTTTTCTCCAGCATCATGTGGTACGTCTTGATGCTCTCCAGGTATAGTTTCGGGGTTATATAAATGTGCGACCTCTCATGTAAGTAGTAGTTGGATGATATGCCCAAAAGATCTTCGTAGCACTCTTTCAGATATTCTGTTATAATTCCTTTCAGATTGACATATTCAGCTTCGTTTGTAGGGGGTTTGGCATGAGCTACGGGCAATGTGCATGCACTTTCACCCACTTGAGTAGCAGGTGTGGTGATAGTTTCTCCCATTTGCCCTGCCTTAGTTGAACAATCCTTACTGATATTTTCTGTACGATTCAACAACTTTAAATAATCGTCGTTTAAGACAATATCCCCTGTGGTGATGTTCATGTAAATGTTTTTAACATAGTTCTGGGCAACGCACATAAGGGAATCAGATTCCCAATTTTCGTAAATATCAATCATGGTTTTGTTAAGTATGCACTGGAAGTTGTTAGATTTATCCCTAAAATTATTGCTTGTAGGAGAGAAGCAAAGAATAAAATGTAAATTTTCATTTACCTTTTTGATGTAAAAATCAAATATATCATTGTCATTTTCTTGGATTCCCTCTGATTTTGCTATGTTCCTCATATTTTGTATGATGTAATCTTTTTCTTCTTTCGTATATAAATCGATAATATTATTTGAACACATATATTCATTTACGTAGATAAAAAAACTATCGTGTATTTTACTTTCTTTTATAAATAAAATAATGTCTTCATTTTTCATTGCACACTTGTGGAAAATATTTTGTAAATATTTCTTTATATCATTATCAGTACAATGTGCTGAAAAATCCATTTCCAAAAATGTTTTGGATGATATATAGGAAGAAAATTTTGATATTGTTGTTTTTCCACAACCACCAATTCCTAGTAATAAAGCATGAGCTTTTAAATTGTCTATTATTCTGATTAATTTGCATATATGTTTTATAGCATCATTAAAGAGTACAATGTTTAAATTGTAGAAATTGTTATATTCGTTTAGTTCTTCTGTTAAATATTCATTCAATTCTTCCATATTTTTGCACAAGTCGTAAGCTTTAGTGTGATAAGTACTACTAGCACTATTTCCTTTGTGGAAATTGGAAAAGAGCAAATCATTGTAATTCTTCATAACAAATTTATTAATTTCGTACTTGTTATACATCTTTTTGATTATATCTACAATAATACTTTTAAACTTTTTTTTGTCTACTTTGTTTAGTTTATCTGAATAAGCCCGTTCACATTCATGGAGCCAAAGAAAGAGAAGTTTATCACAATCTTGAAAAACACTAGGTTGAGCAGTGAGTAATCCCTTAACCACACTGTGAATATCTCTCAAATTAAACTCATAATAAAAATATGTAGCTGTTCTTTTGAATGTCTTTTCTATATTGTAATATAAAGAAATGGTGGATTTAAGTATGGACGGAACTAAATCTGATACATCCTGCTTAAAATTACTAAAATACCCTTTCAAAAGTACACTAAATATATTATTTACAGTGTTATTTTCTGGAAAATTCATATTTAAAATAAAAAAATGACGAAGTAATCTTGGATTTACTGTAAAACTTCCTCTATTATAATTCATACAAGATACAAGTTTGGTGTTTAATATTTTTATCAAATTTAGTTTTTCTAAATCAAACCATGAATTTGTATCTATATATTGACACAATAATTCAATAGCACTTTGTGTATTATAATCATCACATTTGGGCATATTAATATCATCTATAAAGTAAATTAATTTCTGTTGATATGGAGGACTAAATTGTTTGCCAGATTTTTTTTCTAAACAACTTTGCATTAAGCATTGTACATTTTTAGAATTTGTATAATAATTAAAAATCATGTAGAAACTTTTATATTGTTCTTTTTCTTCATTTAATATTTTTTTACATAAAAGTGTTTTTCCCACACCTGTCTTTCCTATAAAAAGGATAGGCATGTTGGATTTTAAAAATAATTTGCTTATATATTTATATGAGTAGCTTTCCACTGTTTCGATGAATATATCATCTTTTAGCAAATGATTTGGATTTACTTCATTCGTTATTTCACTTTCTTCCCATTCTTTAAATTTATTATTTTCTATGTAAAAGTCGAATACGCTAATTTTTCTGTTCACTTTTATACTTTTAAATGTATTTTTCCAATATTTATCAAAACATTTCTTGTAATTTACATTTTCTTTTTCACCAAGAAAGCTACCAAAACACCAAATGACTGAGTAAACAAAATAGTGTTCAATACTTTCGTAATTATTATCCTTTAATAGTATATCTAATAGAGATGTCAAAGATTGGATATGTGATATGGCAGATACCTTAATAGATGCTTGTACTGTATTTAGATAAGCAAAAGTGGGCTCTACATATTTATACATTAATTTTTCAAATGATTTCTTAACAGTGGAATTAAAATTATCATGCTTATCAATCCATGATAGAAAATAATTCTTCCATATATCATTCGTATCCACAGAAAAATAAACTAACCCAGCTCTAGATATAGTAGCAGGGGTAGCAAACATTAAATCACTAAATTCAAATACTAAGTTCATATGATTTTTTAATAATATCCTCTCATTGGATGATAAGGTTAACACTTTATTATCATCCATAACTGAATTCATATTTTCAATCCAATGAGAATCTAAATTTCCATCAAAAATTATGTAAGCTTTATCACAATCATCTCTCTTGGAATAATTTCTCATATATTTCGAAAAAACTCCATCTTTCCATTCTCTTGTTTTGATATGTACATTACCGTATAAATCATCAATGCTGATAGATTTAGGGTTTATTCTAATACTCACTGTTTTTAAATTCTGTTGCTTTTGATATTCCATTAGCATATTAAACAATGTTGTTTTTCCACATCCCGCTTCTCCCATGATGAATACACAATGTCTTATATTAATAATATCGTTTAATTGTATAATTTTATTAACAAAATAATTCAGCCCAAATAGGTGATTCTTCTTGCATATTTCCATCAACTCTTCTTCCATCTTATTCTGATGGAATCCATCTTTATGTTTATCCCTTAAGTTTGTCTCTGTGTTTTTTGTGTCTTCTTCTGATCCTTGCGATTTGCACTTCTTCTCATTTGGGTTATCCTCTGAAGGAATCGATTTTGATGAGTCTACTATTTCCAAAGAAGCAGATGATTTCCCTTCCCCTTTATTGGAAAGAAATATATCATTGAGGAGCCCTGAAAACACTGGACAATTGGAAGCGGATATTTTTGCAATGTTAATGTCGTGTATAGCTGAATAGAGTAATTTATTTTCATCCATGTTTTGATAAGCTCGTTTAAGGAACCCTGCTTTGGTAAGAACGCTCTTAATGCTTCTCAACCCCCAATCGCAATGTTTCTCCTTGAGTAAACTTTGTGCTAATTCGAAAAAAGTAGTAAACTTGATAGACAGATATTTTGCATTTACATACCCTTCAGCCATGAGCATATTTTCACATATTTTGTTAAAATCTGGAATAATTACAGTGATAGGTCTGAATAATATTTTAAGACTTTCTGGCAATTTTGATCTTCCTAAATAATCAGGATTCATAGTAATAAAAACAGCGCAATTTTTTTTAACAATGATTTCATCTGATCCAATTATACACACATTATTGTTATTGCGTTTACAATCTAGAATGGATTTAAATTGAATAGAGCAAACAGATAAAACTTCTGGGATTAATCTGTTAAATTCATCAAAGCAGCACCAACATCCTGTGCTACCAATTCCTTTGAATATATTACCCATGCTTTTATAGTCTAACTGATCTGAACAATTAAAGACGTAACAGTTTTTTCCAAAAAAGCTGGATAAATCTTTTGTCGTTTCTGTTTTACCAGTTCCTGCAGGACCAGCAGGAGCACATCCCATATATAAGCTCAGGGCCTGAGTAGCAGTTATATATATACGACTCGTCAAAGGGGTTATAACTAACCTTTGATAATTTCCTATATAATCATAAGAATAGTTAAAAGAGCAATCCATTATTCTTATTTTTATACACAATTGTTTAAAATTTCGAGAATCTTTTTTATAAACTTCATCATCGCTCTTGTGCACAACGGAATGTTGTAGTTGTTCCTGTTCTTCTGCATCTTCTCCATTTTCTGCATCTTTTGCATCTTCTGTATCTTCTGCAATAATTTGGGAATTTCCCTCGTCCTTGTGTTTTGTAGATCCGATTATCTGTTCATTTTCCTGTACAAAGTCAGTATTATCCGATATCCTACCTGTTCTCATTGAGAGGAGATGATTATCACTGCTTTTATCTTTAAAGTATGGATACATCCTAATTTGAGATTGCCAATCAAACATATCTACAGATATTGAATTTTTATTTTTCAAAATGACTTCTAATACATCTCTGTAGAAAGTATCTAAAGTGATTATGCACATAATTTTTATTCTATTTTTTACGGTCAATTTTTTCTGAACCTTTTTAATTACATTTTCTAGTTGAATAATATGGTTCTTGTAATACATCTTCAACTCTTCATGAACATTTGAATCCTTCTTTCTTAGAATATTTTCAACATCTTGTATAAAAAAGATAGTGTTACAAAGGATAAAAACTTGAGACAAGTAATTTTCATCAATCCATTTTTCTTTTTCCTTGTTATATACATGTTTTAACTTAAACAGGTTTGCAATGTAATATTTTAAAGTGTGTTTAATATGTCTTATTATATCATTCAGGTAGCATTCAACTTTTCCTTTCAGAGCTAGCTGATCATGAAAGTTGCATATTTCTTCTCCGTACGATGAAATAAGTTTTGTAATAATCTCGTTCTGTTCTTCCCCTTTGATTGTGGTATCATCCTTTTCTACTAACGAGTTCATTTCTTGTGCTGTGTCTTTCGGTTTGTCTTCCTTATCAAGGTTTTGTTTTTCTCCATTTTGTGTATCCCCATTTCCACTGCTTCCTCCAGCAGGAAAAAGGCTAACCTCATTTTGCTTCTCATACTCAGTGAGAGACTCATTTCTAGTAACGAACCTTCTGATAGAAAGGAAAATTTTCTGCACATGGGTATTAACGAGTTTGAAACTATTTCCATTGGATAAAATATCGATCAAATCAGTGGATGATATAAAAAAAAATCTGGGAAATGATTTCCTTTTTGAATCCAGATATTCGTTTAGCGGTTTTTCACTTTTACATAACTTAACTTTTAGTTCTTCTAATTTTTCTATAATTCCTTCTTCATTTGAAAATTCGATAACTTTGCTATTATTAGTGTTAATGTGTTTTAACATTTCTAAATATTCATCATTTATGGTTAGAAAGAACTTAGAATAGAGTGGCAACTCTTTTTTTACTTCTTCTGAGTAAATGTACATATTTTGTAGATAGGTCCACAACTTTTCTATATCTTTGAGTAATTGTATAACTTCATATGTATTAGAGATTTTTTTTTGCCAGATGTTTAAATCTGTTGAGAAGAATAGAAAATATTTTGATGAAAAGCAATTTTGTAAAGTCACTTGATGTTCTTCTATAGTTTCTATGCACATATCATCAATGTATGTTAGTACTATATTATTTTTATAATTTTTATTTTTAAAGTATATTTTATCCCAATATTTTTCAAATTTTTGAATAGTTTCTTCAATAGTTTTTTCGTTGTAAGCTTTTATCGTTACTTCTTCGATTGTATCCTGGTATTTCATTACATTCATTTTGTAAAAATACACTGTTAATGTATTTTCATCAATTAAAATAGTGATTGGGTCTTGATTTTCCTTTTCTCTTTCTTCATTTATGTTATCTTCTATCTCTTTTATATGTCTATGTTTGATGAAGGGCTTTTTCAATTCACTTATGACAGAAATGAACTTTGTGTTATCTTTTAATTTTGTCATTTCTTCCTTACATATATTATGTTTTCTATCTACTTTAATTTTTTTAAATTCGTTTTGTAATTTCTTCATTTCGATATCAAAATCTTCGACGTCTAAATCTTTAAAAGTGGAAAAAAGAAATCCATTTAAAACTTCTTCTTTCTTTTTAATAAAAAGCCATAGCTTCTCAATTTCGCTTATTTCGTTATTCAAAACTTCTATGTCTTTATTTAATTCTTCTACATTGTCTATTTTTATTATATTTTCTGAAATCTGCTTTATCTTTGTAGTTTCTTCTTGAATTTCAGCTAAATATTTTTTCATATTCTCCAACTCTTTTAGTGAATTCTCACACCCATTGCTATGCTTATAGACACTTGAAATTTCTAAATTTTTTTTTATATTTACAAATTTGTTAAAATTTAATTTTAATTTTTTAATGCTTTCTTTCTCTTCCTTCAAAAATTCATCCTTCAATTCCTTTTCTTTCTTGCAAATACAAACAGACCTTAGTTTGTAGTAAAATGTTAGCAAGCTTTTTATTACTTCAATTTGGTTTTCTTCACACTGGAGTAGATATTCTTCGTAAGAATTTTCCTCCATTTCCTCCTTCATTCGCACATTATTATTATTCGTCACTGTAGAGGCTGCTGAAGTCTTTGTATCAGCGTTGTTGCTTCTTTTATCATCCTTCCTCTTTCTCAAATTGGATTCCTCATTATTCAATTGTGTAATATAATTTTTCATTTTTTTCAGCAATTTAGTGTCAATATAGTCTATAGTTTTTACTTTGTTTGATTCGATATAACCTGCAATTTTCTCATTGTCCTTAACCTTTAAAGTGCTCTTTCCGATGTTCTTCCAAGTGTGCTCATTTTGGTTACCGTCTTCTTTCGATCCTTTCGCTTCGTTTGCTTCTCTCGCTTCGTTTGTTCCTCTCGCTTCGTGTGCTTCTCTCGCTTCTTTCTCTTCATCCAATTCATGTTCAGTATTTTTTTCAGTTTGTTCATTTTCTCCATTTGTGCTACCCCACGAACACGACTTCTTGTTTTTTTCTCCATTTATCAAATCATTAATCTGTCTATCAATGGAAGACTCATCTTCCAGAAAGGAATCGACCACATTTCCATCCAGATGCATCTGTTCTATTATTTGTTCTATTTTACTTGCATCAATTGTTCCATAGCGTATGTACTGCTCGATTACATTTATGTCGTATATGGATTTCGAGAAATTGTGCAGGAAGTCTTCAATATTTTTATTTAACGCAATCAAGTTAGCAATATTCATATCTTTGTTTTTAATTAAGTCAAACACTCTTTCCCCTTTTCTTACTAAGTCTTCTAATCTATCATTAACGAATTTTTTGACGAACGTTGTTTTTTCTTGTACCAGGTTGTATGCTTTTAAGGCAAATGGGCTGTTTCGAATATGTTCTTCTTTCAACTTCACTGAGATGTGGACAGTTCCTGTGTTCATTAAAGGAACTTCATTAAACCCTTTACCATTGCTGTGGTTTTCATTGTTGTGGTTTTCATTGCTGTGGTTTTCATTGCCACGGTTGTCATTGCTACGGCTGTCATTGCTACGGCTGTCATTGCTACGGCTGTCATGGATTCTATCCTTTTCCAGATCCTCTTTGCTGATCCCTACATGTGAACCTCCGCCTTCCATAATCAGAGTTGAACCCTCCTCCACGGGTACGCTTACACTTGGTTCTTCTCCAGTTTTCCCATCGGTACTTCCGACACCCTGTGTTAAGTTGGAATTCCCTGCAGTATTTCCAGTTTCTTCACCATGAATAGAAGGAACTGTAGCAGCATTTTCTTCTGTGTGCTTTTCATAAGGAAAATACTTAACAATATAAAAACCATTGCTAAGGTCGTATATGGTGTATTTCAAATTGTGATGATGGTTGTTCTGTTCATATGAGATACATATTTCGAATTTGTCCCCTCCAATTTTTTTATTTTCATTTAATGAATTTCTAGCTATTAAAAAAAATATATTTGATTCTTTTAAACATATGGGTTCTAACAAACCAGTTCCAAAAATAAGAGTATTCTTTAGATCTATGTTGTAATAGTACTCCAGGACACAACTATTGGTTGTGTAACATTTATCATTGATAGATAATTGTACATCACAAATATTATTTTTAATTTTATTTTTTGCACTAGGTACAATTGTATAAATATTATTTTCATTAATGTAAACCCCCTCACTGAATAGATTTACATCTTCTGACTTATATTTTATAGTTATTTTCCCTTCATTTGTGAACCCTTTTCCTTTCAATAATATTTTTTTATTGCCATCCATATTGCAATATCTTGGCAATAAATTAAAAATGGCATATTTAGGTCCTATAATTTTACTTATATTCATTACATAAATCTTTTTTTTTGAATCCGTAATAATTAGATTCGATTCAACAAAATCGTAAGTAATAGAACAGAATGTAATATTACTTGGTGCAGCATCTTCTACTTGTGTTTCTCTTTTTTCTGTTATTTTTTTCTTGTCTATTTGGTTCATACTATTGGTATTTTTATTCATCAATGATCCATTTTGTGCATAGCTAGCCACTGATGTGGTGGTATTTCCAACTCCAGTAAATGTAGAATCTATCATGCTTTCTCTAAGCCTAACAACGTTGTATTTCAAATCTTCCAACTTAAACGTATCATACAATTTGAGCATATTCAACTCAATGTTATTATATTCTATTTTTCTGTTCCCCTTATCATCACTAACAATATTGTGTCCTCCAAAAATGAAAATTATATTTTTATCTATCGATTCGACGAGTATAGTTCTACAGAATACTTTTGAGGAGTTAAAGGAATAAGAAAAATCAATTTCAGACCATTCATTGGTTTTTAAATTACAGGTATACATATCACTAAAACTTACTTCTGCATTTGTTCCACCTAAAATGAACAAATTATTTCCATTTATAAAAGAAATGTGACCATATCTATGTGAAGGGATGCTACCTTTGCAAGATCTTAAAATCCATTCGTTTTTTAAAATGTCATATTCGTATAAATCATTAAAACTGCTTCTGTCATAACCACCATATCCACCAAATAAAATAAGACTAAAATATTCATAAATATTTTCATTATTTAGAACAATTCTGTTATTTTTTATATTTATTTGGTCCCCTTCCTTTTTTTTTTCCGCCTCTTCTTCTTCTTCTTCCTCCTCCTCCTCTTCCACCTTCCCTTGTTTTTGATCTATTTTTTCCTTTTTTTTTTTTTTACATATGTATACATCTAAACTAGAAAAATACCTAGGGGCAGGAACGACACAATTACTCTGATTCAAATGTTCATTTTTGTCATGCCTTAAATATTTTTTTAGATTTTTTAAATGTGTACTGTTTAATATGGAATCATTATTATCCTCATCATCTTCCTCATCCTCTTCCTCTTCCTCTTCTACTTTTTTGTGATCGTCTTCTTCATTTAATTTCACATTGTCATATACTTCTGAATCTTTGTTGATATTGTTTTCTAAAGATTCTACTGCTCCACTGTTATGTTTTATTTCTTCAAAGGTTTTGTTTATGCTATTAAAAATCCATAAATCATTTAACGCAACAAATGGGACTTCATTATTTAGTCCACCAAATATGACGACATACTTTTCTAGCAAAGTACAAGAGTTATGGTAGCACCTAAATGTTGGTTTAACTTTGCTTGTTAGGTTTTCATACTCAGCTTTTTCCTTTTTTATATGAATTAAATATGCATCATTACATATACTACCTTCACCATCACCCTTTTCCACATCTATTTTGAATCCTCCAAAAAATAGTACACCACCAATAGTGAAGTTTACACTATAACCTATTATATTCTTATCCTGAATGTTACTTTTAATCTCTGTCAAATTTAAGGGTTCATACTGATTTTCGAGATCTTTTGTCATAGTTTTTTACTCATGCGGGAATATGCATATGTGTAGATGTTAGCGAAGAGGTATACGCTTGCATGTAATATATACATATATACATATATATATATATATATACGTCGTTATGCATGTGTGTAGATGTGTATATTCTTATTTATGAAGAAGTTGCATATATTTTTTGCAACAAACTGTGATGGTTTATTAATATATCCTTCGAAATAATATAGAAATGAAAAATCTGTTAGACTCACATCGGCATTCTTGTTTTTTTATTTATTTATTTATTTATTTTTTTTTTTAACGTAAAAATATGGGTTTATTGCATTTGTTAGAAAATGCTCGCAAATGATCCCCTTCCCGCATTATTCAAAAGACCAGTTTTTGATATTTTTGATATATTTTCTAAAATTTTTGTGAACCTATCCTGGACCTTTTCTGATCCCCTTGCGCACTTTTTGTTTTTCCCGTTTACTTAAACAATTGCGAGGTTATGTACAAAAAAAAAAAAAAAAAAAAAAAAAAAAAAAATACATGTGGCCTTTCCGCCTTCTATACAAATATGATTAGTTTAAATGAGCATCTAACACAATAGAGCCAATGTCTAACATGTCTATTTTTAATGCAGTATCTCCTATTCTCCACATTTACTAGTATTTCCACACATTTTCGTGGATACACATTTACGTTAATCCTAGAAAGATGTTATAAAATATAGCACCACAAGAAATTTCCAAATTTTTTAACATATATATATAAATATACATATATATATATATTTTTTTTTCTTTTGTACAAAATTAGAAAGTTAATATATAATTTTCGTCATTTATTTCATTACTCTTTTAGTTATTTAAATTTTTTTTTTTTTTTCTCTTTTTCATATGGTGTGTGCAAAATTGTTTACTAAAAAAAAAAAAAAGGTAGATGTAAAAAAATAAAAAGGCATATTAAGTAACATATAATTTACTAGCTTTTTCTGCATATCTCACATTTTATCAAAAGCCATAATCAAATTTGATAAAAAATTAGAATCTGAAGATCCGTTTTTTAAAACTTTCATGTAATAGACATTGTTCTTATTTAAACAATAAAAAAGGGGGATATTTTAGGGTGCGACTTTTAAATAATATTTTGAAAATGAAACAAAAAAAAAAAAAGGGTAAAAAGGAAATATATAGGGAGGAGAAAAAAAAAATAACATGGTGTGATTAGTTAAGATGTTATGAGCTAAGGTGTGCTAAAGTAAGATGCTGTATGATAAGATGTGGTATGATAAGATGTGGTACGATAAGATACGGTGCTGCACAAAGACAAACTACAATAATACACATTAAGTAGCACATGCTTGTAAACTCCTTTTAAATCATATTTTAAACTATAAAGAGTGGATGCTTTTGGAAATAAAATAAACATCGAGGTGTGTAAAAATGAGAATTCGGCGGAATGAAGAAAAAAAAAAAAAAAAAAAAAAAAAAGTAGTACACATGCTAATCTGTCTGGGTGTGTTTGTGCATGTGCCTATATACATGTACCTTTTTTACACGTATGCATATGGTACACTTCCAAATAAACACTCACACACACGTAAAATAGACTATAAGGTGATGCATTAAAAAAATGAAAAAGTTTCCTTTTACTTTTAAGTTTAAATGTTCTCTATATTTTATCTTTGTTGTCCTTCACTTGTGGAAAGGGTTTTTTTCTCCTTTTCTGCATGGACTTAAAATGTGCTTAATAGATACGCCTTAAAATCTTCGAAGTTTATCTGTGTATGAGAAAAATAAGTTTATTGTGGGGATTAAAACAATAATTATTATTTTTTTTTTTTTTTTTGCAATTTGTTTTTGCAATTTTTTCCATTTTTTGTCATTTTTTTTCCAATTTTTTCCCAATTTTTTTCCATTTTTTTGTCATTTTTTTTCCAATTTTTTTCCAATTTTTTTCCAATTTTTTGTCATTTTTTTTCCAATTTTTTTCATTTAAGCTCTCCAGATTACCCGATTGGCTCTCCTCTCACAGGATAAGCCCTTTTTAACACGAAACACAGACATGAAAAAATTATCCACGTCATGACTTTCTATGACTTTATCATTCATCAATGTGACAATGTCACTTTTGCTGATGTACCCATCTTCATCCTAAAAAGTTAAGTTTTGTTTCGTTCTAAGGAATTTTTTTGTTGTTGTACAGTAAGTATGCAAAGAGGTGAAACAGAGAAAACGGGAAAATGACGACATTGCAATGGGACAAAGTGGCAAAATGGTGACGTAGCTCTGGTGATGTGGTTTGGGTGACGTAGCTCGGGTGACGTAACTCGGGTGATGTAGCTTGGGTGATGTAGCTTGGGTGATGTAGCTTGGGTGATGTTTTAAAATGTCACCCATCGCACATGTATTAACAACCTTATCGATCTTGTTGAAAGCTGCCTTTAAAAAGGTGGATTCTATGTTCTTCCATTGGTAGCACCCTGCAATGAATTCTGGATAGACGAAGGGGTAATTTTGGAACATAAATATGTAAGTCAAAAGGAAGATGGACAAGAGGAGGTAAAATGTAAGCGCATGTGTTTATAATGGTATGAGCGTATATATACAATATATGGAAAAGGATGTGTTTATATGAATATGTACGTATGCACTTTCCTCTCGAATGAATTTCAGCGAAGGAAAGTTAATGTACCTACCTGTGTAATTTATGCTTCCTCTATCATTGATGTCCAACGCTTGGACAATTCGATTGATGTCCCATTTTTTAATACCCGTATTTGACAAAACAGAATAAATTTCTCCATGGCTGAGTGAACCATTATGATTAGTATCTATTTTACAAAAGAGGTTATTGATGTACTTCAAATGACTGTCAATCACACTCAACTCATGTGCCATTATGTTTACTATAATGTTCCTTATATTCGACTGTTTCATGTACGATTTTATGTTATTCAGGGTGCTTTGGTTTATTACAATTGGATCGAGGAAACCCTGGAACCATGGGTGATGCAAGAGCTGGGGTGTGTGTGCATGGGGAGGAGAAGATGAATGTGATGTACTGGCATGTGGGTATATAAAAATGCACGTACGTCTCAAGTTCGTACTCAAATTTAAGAAGTTCATATGAATATGTGCCCACTAGTTCAAGAGCAAGTTCAAGTTCAAGCGAAAACTACAGACATATGTGTGCAGAAATGTGTTTTACCACGGCAGCCATTGGCCTCTTGGTATGGTCCTTTTGTAGCATGAGTTTCAACATGTGCAAAGCAGGCTGAGATAACTTCCCCTTTAAACTTTTGTAATCTGGTTCATCTTTAAATATACTAAGCTTAATTTCCTCATAGGTATTCCCCCAAAAGGGCAAATTTTTGGAGAATAAAAAAAACATAATTACTCCTGCTGACCATATGTCACACTTTATTGTAAAATTTTTTTTAAAAACTTCTGGTGCCATATAGAGAATAGTTCCTGCAGCTGTTTTGCTTACCCCCTCTGTTTGATTAATTAATTCTGCTAATCCAAAATCTATAATTTTTAAAGTATCATCACCTTTAGCTTTAAATAAAATGTTTTCTGGTTTTAAATCCTTATGAGCTATATTATTACTATGCATATAAGCTATTGCACATAAAATTTGAAACATAATATTTTTTATGTATTCTTCATTAAAAATTGCTGAATTCATTACTTTATCCATTAGTTCCCCTCCTTCGCAAAGTTCCATAACTATATAGGTACAGTCAACATTTTCATAGACATCAAATATTTTTATTATATTTGGATGATCTAAATAGATTAATACATTAATTTCTTCATTTATTTTAATATTTTTCAATTTTTTTTTTTTTAATATTTTTACAACCTTATAAATCTTGCAAATGTTATCTTCAACTAAGTGTACTTCGCCAAATGCACCACACCCAAGAATTTTCTTGAAACTTAGGTAGTTGTAAATTGATGAGTAACCATATCCTCCTAATTTCTTTCTGCTTATAATACAGTTTCTTTTTATTTTTAAATTCTTCGTTGGATAATATTTTTTCTTTATCTGTTTTAGCAAATCCCAGTACATTTGCCGGAAGTCTGTGTAGTTCATGCTATTATTTTTGCTGCTGTCGTAGTCCTTGTAAACAATTGAAAGGATGTTTTCTGAGAAGTGGGGTGATAAGACGGTAGAATGATGTCAAGAAGAAGTAAAAAAAAAAAAAAAATACATCTATATGTATATGTATACGTATATGTATATGTATACGTATATGTACATGTATATGTATATGTATATATATATATATATATATATATATATATATATATATATATATATATATATATATAAGTAAAAAAAAAAAAAAGTTGGCGAATCACAGCACGTGCATAATGCACCTCTATGAAATGCACTTTTTTCTCTGGTCAAGGTTACGTATATACAAATCAGCATGAATATGAATCAATATGGCATACATATAAACGTGCAAAAACAGTTTATTTTATTTATTATTATATTATATTATTTTATTTTATTTTTACTGTCTACGGGAGGTAATTCGAGGTTAAAACAAAGCTTCTGTATGAGCGACTCGATCTCACTGAAGTGGAGAAAATTTTTATTTTTCACATCAAACTGCTGAAAGGTTGCTCTAGCAGACCTCTCGAAAATTTCACTATTTTTTAAAACCTTGTCTATTTTACTTTTTATATAAAATGGGGTCGTTAGAACATCATCATTATTTTCATTTCGTTTCTTTAATTCATTATTTTCAATCATCTTTCTACTTAGCGTTTGGTCCATTTTAACATCTAATTCTTCGTCTCTGCTGTCTAATTCTTCGTCTCTTCTATCTAATTCTTGTGTCATGATATCCTTTTCCTTTTGGTTATTTTCCGATCCTATGATTGCTTTTTCCCTCCCAAGTGTACTTTTGTAACACAACTGTAGATGTTGAGGAGGAATGTTTTCTTTTACAATCATCTGTCTACTGCTAGTAACTGCATCTAAATCATACTTAGTAGAGTGAAAACTCTTGTTATATATGCCATTTATTATACTATTTGAGTTTATTGTATTATCGTCAATTTTTGTGTGGTCTCCAAAGGTGTGCTTTGAAGTGGATATTGTTAAGTTCTCTAGATGAGATTTTCTTCTGTTACCAGAGGATTTGTTATATTCATTTATTTTATTATCTAATGCAGAATTAGGCACTCCTACATGATTGTAAAATTTGCACGAATCAAACCTTTTGGAAGAAAAAACTTGCTTGTTCATCACGTTTGGCATTTTGTGAAATATGCCTTTATCATATGTTTTTCCATCACTGTCTAAAATGTCCACTTTTTCATTTCCCAGTGAATTCATGTAATAATCAGCATTGTCAATACGGATTTTCTCTTCATTCGAAATATTATCTAACCTTTTTTCTGAATTCCCTGTCTTATAATATTTTAATTCCTCCTTTATTGCGTACATGTGCAGAAGAGTTCTATTTTTGCCATGATGACTATTGTGGTCATGGAACTGATCATGTTTCTGGTGCTGCTTACGATAATTATTCGGATCGAACTTTTTTGTATTACTTGATGTAACAGATGAATCAATACTACTATCTCTTTCTCGTTGTGGTGACAAAGATTTTGCAATGTTATTTTTGTTACGACTGAAAAAATTACCTAATGTTCGTGTGTACAGAATATCTGTAAATTTCATTTTAAATTTGTCTTTTTTATCTATTTTTTCTGAATTTTCATATTTACTACATTCCCTTTTTAAAAAATCTTCATTACTTTTTCTGCGCTTTATTTTGTCTAAAAAGTTTTTGATATTTTTTTTTTTTTTTTCTTCGGTATTAATATCCTTCTTTTCAATTTCTTCCCTAAATGGATGATCTTTATATTCTACTTCCCCGAAATTTAAATCTTCTTTTCTTTTTGCTTCTCTTTTTTCTAAAAAATAATTACCCCTACCTTCGTACACATTCTGTCTTAATGAAGTAGGCATATACTCAAATTCGCTTATCCTCTCCTCTTTACCATTCGGTTTATTATCACTACTTCTAATGTTGGCATTGATATTAAACTTAATTAGATTATCTTCTCTATTAAGGGTATTAAAATTATATTTATTAATGCTTAAATTTGGTTTTCCAATGTTCAAAGTGTTTCTTATTGGTGATTTAATTTCCATACCATTCCTTTGAATATTATGTTGTTTGTTACATGGAATATATGTTTTTTTTAAATTAATTTCATTCAAATTTATTTTCACGAAATTTTTATTTTGCATTTGTTCCTTATTCTTTATATTTTCCTCCTCATCGTCTCCGCTTTTTCCACTACCAAATTTGATTTCATAATTGTTTTTATTTCCATACATACCTGCGTAATTATCATATGCTGTGATATTCCATTTATTATCCTCCTCTATAGGATTCATTATTTCTTTTTCAAAATAGTCTTCTTCCTTTTTATCATAAATTCCTCCTTCCGTTGGCATATTTATATTCTTATACGCATTTTTGAGAAAATGTTTACAAATTTGATCTCCGCAATTTTTTTTTTCTGTCAGATTGCCAATGCCGTCATAATAATTGTCATTTGGGTCATAATCATTGTTATCTCCTTCATCATCGGAATAACTACTCTTATCTCCATCATCATTGGAATAACTACTCTTATCTCCATCATCATTGGAATAGCCATTATTATCTCTATCATCATCGGAATAGCTATTATTATCTCTTTCCTGATCTTCTTCTTCTCCCTCTTCCCGTTCTTCTTTTTCGTTGTCTTGATCCACCTGTTCAGCATCGTAATAGTCTGCATTATCCTGTTGATAATGCTTATGGTTATTCTTGTCTTCCTTAACAACATGATAGTTTTTTTGTTTCTCTCGCTTAATATTATACTTGTTATTAGAATCATAAGTGTGTATAACTCCTTTTTTGTAGTGGCCTTCATTTTGCTTATCATATTCTATGCTTTTCTTATTCCTGTTGAGAAATTTAATAATGTCTGAATCGAACTCGTTATGATTTTCTTTAGAAGATTCATTATTATAATAATATTCCTTATAAGACAGTTGCTGTTCTTGTTTACTAATTTTGTTTTTTTTTTGCATATTGTCAGTTTTCTTTTTTTTATCTTGGAATAAATATTTAGATAACAATTTAACCTTTGAGTTCGTGTAAGAATTATATGTTTTGTATTCCATATTTTCATCTTCAACAAAATTCACCTCATGAAAATTTTCGTTTTCAAAAATATCTTCTGCAAACAATTCATTTTCATTGGACCCATAGTGTATATTCTCCTTCGAATTGATGTACAATCCTTTCGGTGATACCTTATTCCTCTCTAGTACATTTTTGTTATTTGATATTTGAAGAGAAGCATCTATTGTTATTACTCTATTCCTGGTATTTGGGAAAACATTTTTGTTGTATTCTTCATATAAGTCGAATGAATTTTCATTATTTACGCTTTCTACATTTCTCCTATCCTTTTCCTTTTCTTCGTGTAATGTAAATTTATTTTTATTTTTTCTTTTCTGTTTGTTGGCACTATTTTTCATTTTGTCAATATAATAATGTTCCCCTTTTTTTTTCAAAATTGTTTTTCAGAACTTCCAATATCATGTTATACAAAATTGGCAAAAATGTAACAAGGTTTGGAGGAAAAAGGTTGTAATGTGTCCACAAGCGGAAAATGCTCTAAAAGGGTATGAATAAGAATGTACGTGCGCATGATTACATATGTATACACGTGCCTATAGACACATACATTCAGAGTTATATTCTTACCACCTTAGGATATTTTTGCGACTTTTAAAAAAAAATAAACGTTTATATTTAAGGCTGGTAACATGGACGAGGTAGGGGAAAAAAAAAAAAAAAAAAAATATAGCAAAAAAAACAAAAAAAAAAAACAAAAAAAAAACGGGGTGCTACAAAAGCCCGTTCAGTTGTTTTCCAGGGAAAATCATCCAAGTTATATTTTTCATAAAACAAAAGTAAGGATTTTCTTTAACTCAAAATATTTCACATTACTAGATGTTACATTTTCAAATAACTCCAAAATGTGCACATTTCCGAAATCCCCAATGTTGTCATTCATTTTGGATACATAGATTTAATATCTTGCTTAAAGCAAAAACCACTATTGTTTTTGTTTTATTATTTTATCCATTTTCACGATTTTGTAAATAAAAGGTGAAAGAAAAAAAAAAAAAATAATAAAAATAATAAAACAATGTGTAGTATATCACTTATCAAGTACGTAATTTTCAATTTTTGTAGATTTTAATTTTTTCTCTTTTTGTTATAAGCGTTTGTTTATTTATTTATTTTTATTTTATTTTTTTTTATGTGTACGTGTGTGTATTCTAAAACTGTAAGAAAAGAAGAAAAAAAATTATATGAAATAGGTTCTGAATGTAACAGTAGCTTTGTTCACTCTTATGTCTGTTAAGTGATAAACGACATATAATTTTTTTTCGCGTGTACTAAATTAGTGACTGGTGGATGGTACGATGTCCATTAGACTTCATACACACACTGCAATGTTTTATTAACTTTTGAATAAATGAATTGTCAAAGTGTTAAAAGGGGATTTGTATTTTGTAGACGAACCTGTAGATCCACACAACAAACGTGTAAAGCAAATGATTTGTTGCTTATTTTCATAAATTTTTTGTGGCACCCACAAACACACCCATGAAATACGTAAAACATAATGTGTATATCAAGGCACAGTAAGAAAGAAAAAAACTTCAAGAAAACAAATGTTATTTTAAAATAATGAATTTTTTTTTTTTTTTTTTTTTTTTTAATCCGTTATGAATGTTGGAGTGGGTTTATAACAAGAAGGTTTGCTATAAGCGAAAAGTGGGCCATGTGAATGGGGATCTTGTAATATATATTTTTGTATATGTATATATTCAGTAGCACATATACAGGTATAGTGTGATCATAAAGTATATGTATCTATAAGTATGGAATACACAAATATATAATGTCTGAGCTTATCATGTATGCACAATAAAAGTTAGCATGCATTTAATTGGAGGAATAAACGGGAAAATGCGTTGAAATGATGTAAAATGGGACGAAATTGGGTAAAATGCGATGAAATGGGATGAAATTGAGTTAAATGCGATGAAATGGGACGAAATTGAGTAAATTGAGGTGAAATAAGACGAAATTAGGTAAAATGCGATGAAATAACATAAAATGTGATTAAATGCTTGCTTGCAAATCATGTATGTAACCACATACGAGAGCACAAAAATGAAAAAAACAAGTAAAATCAGACAAAAAACATGATTTATCCAGTATAAAAATCCTTACTATTTTAAAATGAAAAATGTATAGTCTTATACATTTGTAAAAAATTCCACCTTTTTTCGAAGAGCTGTTATATGTGTACGTCCACACAACCCTTTCCTTTTTTTTTTTTTTTTTTTTTTTTTTTTTTGCTTTTTTCCTTATTCCAACATTTTAAGCAGAAATATTAACCCAACAAAAGTTAGAAATTTCTTATTGATATTGAATAAATGAAATGAAAATTAAGTGAAATTTAGAGTGTAATTCGCCGTTACAAAACTTATTTTTATTTTCACTTGCGTTTGTTTGTTTGTTCGTTTGTCTGCTTGTCCTTTTTTTTTTTTTTTTTTTTTTTTTTTTTTTTCTTATTGCCTTAGAGGCCTGATTTTTTTTTATTTTTTTTATCATCATTTTACTTTACAACTCATGCATTTCCTATATGCATGTGTTTGTAGAATTACTTACTGGTTCACATTATGCTGTATTTGTTAACACTTTTCACACTTTTCTTACTTTTTTATACCTTTTCATAATGTTATTTTTTTTTTTCTCATTTTATCAAACATGTTACACTTAACAATTTTTTAACACTCTTTTTATTTTGTATTGCCATATAAATACTTTTGGAGGTATGCATACAATAATGTACACTTATGCATAACTTATACGTAAGTGAAATATACACATAAGCGTTTTTCTCCCCTCTTTTTTTGCACATCTCCCCTTATGTGCATACTACAGCCACCAGAGTGTGGCACAGTAAACTATATTTTCAAACAACTTAGAAATTATGTTTGTTCAGGCTTTTCTTTTAATGTTTTATGAACCCTTCAGATTATTATTCAATTTCTTATTCAAATGTGTGTGACGCAAAGGCCTTGTTGTTGGTTCATTGAATAACCAAGCTATACAAAAAAGAAAAAAAAAAAAAAAAAAAGTAAAAACACTAAAAGTATGAGCATATATCTTCATGGAAAGGGATAGGAAGAGAGTCTCTATCTGCGTTTTAATCGAACATTCAAAATTAGTTTTCAAGCAAATTTAAAAAGAGCGCATAAAGATGGAAGTGTACACTTCTTTTCGATAGTAAGTCGCACTAATAGGGTGGTAGAATGTGCTAAGAACAAAAAATAAATAAATAAAAAATAAAAATTAAAGCCATTTGACACTATCTTTTTAAAAAAAAAAAAAAAAAAAAAAACTTAACTTTATTTGACTTTATTCGATTTGATTTGGCTTGACTTGAACATTTGGAAAATGAAATACTAAGAGCTAATTTTTCAGCACAATTGTAAATACATCATAATTTCTCTGTTATGCTTAAAAAGTGGAAGAACCTTTCAAAGCTGTCCTGATTTACGCTCTTCAAAAATTGTATAAAAAGCTTTTTTTTTTTTTTTTTTTTTTTGAGAAAAAGCAATATGGGTACACATTTCCCCCATTTATTTTGGAAATAAAAAAGTATGCTTTAGTAAAATATTCCTACAAAAAGACATTCTCGAAAGTAAAATTAGTATTTAAAATGAAAGAATTTAAACTCTTTGCCTTTGTCCCTCTTTTTGTCTTAGCCCTTATAAATATAAAATGTATTATAAATATAACGCAGAAGAGGTACTTACATTTTGGGTATCATCATAACCCTTATCAGAGAAAAAAAAATAAGAGCAAGAAGTATGCCTTTATTGGGTTTGATAAAAAGGAATACCATTTGATAAATTTAAGCAAGAATAAAATAACCCCTAATAATAAATATATTGTAAAAAAGCAGAACAGTGTGCACGTTTTATATTCACAGGGTTTTGAGGATGGAAGAAAAGAATTGAAGAACAATTCTTTGAATAAAAAAGGTAAAAATTTATGGAATAAATTTACGTCTAAATTTTTGATGGGATTTAGCAAAGATGTCTTAATTAAATTCTTTTGCGCTGGTAGCTTCTGTTTAGCATTATATCCAGTATATACCATTTTAATAAATAAAAAAATTGAACTGACTATAGGAAATATTTTTAAAGAAAACTTATTGTGTCTAAATATACCCCTCAAAATCAGACGATGTTTTTTAACTATATCGCTTTCTGAATTCAGATCCTCTCCACTTTTCCTATCAACAATTCTTATTGCATCCTATTCTTTATATATTATTTTAAAGGTTTATATAGAAAAACGCAGGGAAGAAAAGCGGATTAAATCTGCAATCGATGCTTATAATAAAAGTAAAGACGAATACATAAATATGGGTACGGATTCCACAGATGAAAATGACCATGGTGCAGATTATTTTGATGACATACAAGAGGAGAACTATTTCAATAAAGACATTTATTAAATTTTCTGATCATATTTGTAGCATTTCAACAATTTTTTCGTGCGAAAGTTTTTTCTCTTTAATCCCTTTCTCCCATCTTCCCCTTTGAATTCCTCGTCATAATTTTTCTACCCTTTAAATTTTTTAGTCCAACTTTTTTGCAAACAAACTAGTTTCATTTATAAGGTTATTAATAATATCTGAAAACATATGCGAAAAGAAATGGGATAGAATTGCCGGCCTCAAAAATGTGTAATCGTATTTAATTTGAGAATTTAAATCCGTCTTTTTATTCCCTTAAAAGTATATGAAGAAAGAGTGACGATTGTGTGATTAAGTTGAACAGGTTGCTACACGTGGCTATTTACAAATATATATATATATATATATATATATATATATATATACGTGTAATCATTTTTTTCCACATGTTAAACCAACTTGTCACCACATCAATTAAATCTTCGCGCAAAATGTTCTCAATAGTTTGGATCGAACAGGAGTTTATATCGGAAAGGATTGCAATGTGTTTCTTTATATCATTCTTGATTATGCTTTTAAACATTCCCGTAAACATACAGACGTAAATGTCTCCTATATAATTCGGAAAAATTGGAAATAGTGCAGTAGAGAATGTATGCAAACGTTGTCAAGAGGTTGTGAGAATTTATCTGAAAAAGGTCGTAAAGAATGGACCAATATCTCAAAAAATGGGAGAGCGTTTTGAAGGCTTACGTTTATGATATTTAAATTCCTCGTTGAAGCAGATTCGGTTTCCCTTTTCATCTTGAGTCTTGATTTTTTCCATTTTATCAAATTCAAAATAGTGTCTTTTAAAAAATCCTTAAAGTTGTGTGAACGTATACGCAAAAAGGGAATGCGTGAAAATGGCATAATTGTGATACATACATACACATAAGCACATATAAATGCGGGCAGGAATATATTCACGTAATCATATATATACATGTGACGGTGCATTAAAGGATAGACATACTTTTCGATTTGTCCTCCAGAGGAATGGGCAAATTGATGTATTTTTTAAAGTACAACTTTTCAGGGTAAATATTAGTTCTGACTAAATTCTTAAAATTATTTTTTGCTGTTGCTATATCGTCAGAATTGCATGTGAATAACTTGATGTGAATATAAAAATAAAACTTAGGAAATACACTAACTCCTCGTTCAACTGATTCTTTGGGATTTTCTTCTTTAGACGGTTCCTCTAATAATTTGAAGAAAATATTTTTTATATTATTAAGTTTCGTAATAGTAGGTTTTAAAGGGTTTAGCCCTATATTTACACAATACCTTTTCTTGTTACCATTATGAATTCCGTATAATCGTCTCACAGCCTTTTGAAGCATACTGTTATTGATGTTTTCCTGTTGTTCGAGGGGAAAACAGCAGGAATGTATGCTTGTCTTATGTCCATACGTGAACGTACACATTCGCAAGGTTAAGCTAGTACATGCTATCATATATTTATATGTACATATGTAGACATGTACATGTGCATACATGCATATATATTTGTATGCATCATAATTACATATGAATATTTGAACATCTGAATGTTTTCAAATATTTTTTGGGCATATGAAAAAGTTATATCATCGAATTTTTTTTTCTTCTTCATTTTGGATATTTGTAAAACTTTAGCTCCTTCGTTTCCTCTTCGTTCATCCCTAGTGTCTTCGTATACCTCTTCTGTGGTTATTAAATGGGCCAAGGTGAGAATTACGTGAAAAAGACATACACACACACATACACAAGCCTATCTCCATACAAACACAACCACATATGCCATGCTCTTTTTTTTTTTTTTTTTTTTTTTTTAATAAATAAAACGAGTACACGTAATGTAAATATAAACGTACATATGTGACACCTATGTATATATACGCTCACATATTTGCATACCAATTTTCGTTTCCGATGGATCGTCCACAATGCAACTGTTTTCTTGCGGCTCTACTTTCAGAGATACATCATTTTCTACATACTTTAGCTCTATTTGAATGTTTCCTTCGATGTCCAACAATATATCACTTAAAATAAAAGTAAATCTGAGAACAATGTGTTCTTCCTTTTTCACGATTCCTATTTTATGTAAAATAAGTTATTAAAAAAGGAGAAATGAAGAGACTGCAGTTTATTGGTATGTAGAGAACAGTATTTATTTCACTTAACCTTTGTTTGGGGTGATTTTTAAAAGATTTCCTGGAAGTGTGTTTTTACTGGATATTTTAAATTTTAAATTTTTTGATAATGAGTAGTTTTTTATTATAACAACTCTTTCAACTATGGAGCTGCGAGTCGTAAAAAAAAAAAAAAAAAAAAAAAAAAAAATTGGGAAATGTGCATTTGTGTGTATGCAGGTGTGCAAATGGAAATATCACTATTTAATACGCTGTTAAGGGGGTGGAGACTGAGTCGATGTGGGGAGGATATTCATGTGGTAGTTTTTGCTTTAGTTCCTCCTTCTCATCGTTTCACTGATACATATGGGAAAACACTTTTATCTTACTTTGTCGGGGCGTATAGAATGTTTATAGAACTGGGAGTGATGTAAAATAATTTGTTCTTTACATGTATGTAAGAATAAGGAGGGACAAAATTAGAACAGAAGGTCTTGATGCTTTGTCCATGAATATCATTAATGCATTTGTTGTTGAACACATTGATTTTTTTATAGGCATCTTTGTATATATTGTCTGCTGTGGTTTTCAGCTTGAGTTCTATTGGTACTCTGTTTAACTCCTACAAGTGCAGAGGTTTGGGGTATGTCTAGCATATGTATATGTGCTTATAGATGTACACATATTCACCCATGCACAAATGGATATGCATTTATGTAAGTATGTATACATTCATGTAAGTATGTATGCATTCATGTAAGTATGTATACATTCATGTAAGTATGTATGCATTCATGTAAGTATGTATGCATTTGTGTAAGTATGTATGCATTTGTGTAAGTATGTATGCATTTATGTAAGTATGTATGCATTTGTGTAAGTATGTATGCATTCATGCGCATATATCAATGGGTGACGGGGACGTAACGCATGCATCAGGTGTATTACTATATCTTTGTGCAAGTGCTTGAAGTATGGCTTCATTATCAACGTTTCGATAATTATAGATGGCGATAGTCTCGAAATTAGTATAAACAAGGAAATATATTTTCGTCTTTTTATAACTCCCTTGGGATTTAAAACTACCAAATTTTTGTTTTGTTCTATGTCATAATATATATCTAATTCACTATCATTTAGTATGTCTATGTTTATGATGCACTCGTTTTTTAGTCCCAAAACGTGTTCATTTAAATCCTAAGAAAATGGTGAGTGAATAGGTGAAAATTAAAACATGCTGTATATATATCAAGCTAGGCTAACAAGGCAGAAAAACAAATAAGCAAAAAAGCAAATAATTAACCAAAAAACAGACAAGTAACAAGAAGCACGAAAACGTGCACCACATTGAAACCATTGCAATGCTTTTAGAATTCGCTACCTTAATATTCATCAAGTATATGGGAGGTACTTGGGGATGAAAGGTGAGGGAACATAGACTTAACGGAACCACTTTTCCATTTTCAACATCAATTATTAATGGCATATTGTGGAGGCCAATATATTTATGTTTATAATATAGAGTAATGGTTTTTGTGCCCTTTTCTATTATTTCAAAATTTGTGGGTCTAATCTCACAGCAGTCTAAGCATCTCATGAAACTTCGAAATGTGTTGTCTACGTATAAGAGATGGGCCAGCTGTTTGCATTTACAGGACGGGAGAAAAAGGTAGAAAAATATATATATATATATATATATATGCATACATATCATGCAATGTATCACATTTCATCATATCTACTCCCACTATCACTATGGTCAAATATCCACATCGACTTCCGAAAACTATTTGCTTCATCATAAGGGACACTTACAATTTGTTTTTATGCATTAATATTACCTGCTCTTCTTCATTTTTGACGTAAGGTGGTAAAATAGGTAGAATGTATGATTTTATACTATTTATTTGAACCTTTAGAGGCACATTTAGTGGGTTGTATAAAACTAAATTTACTTGTGTTATTTCATTTAGTGTATTATTTCCAATGTTAAATGGTATATAATTAAATTGATTGAATAACTTTTTCATATTCTCCATCCCTTGGCTTTTCTTATATTCCATGTCTATTTCTGATATGTTTTCTTTTAGGTACCTAATAGGAAAAAAAAGAAAACATTTCAAAAAAAAAAAAAAAAAAAAAAAAAAAAAAACGTTACTTAAATTATGTGTTAAAATAAAAGCCTAAACATAACCAAGAGCTAAAATTTCGTAAAAACAGTAACTGGATATAGATAATTTTAATCTATCAATTGTTCAGAAAAAAAAAAAAAAAAAATATACATGTTTATCTTATCTACGGAAGTCATATTCCAGTATATGGACTGGGGGGTTTTAAAATCGTTTATGTCAATAATTTGGAAATATGGCATAACAACATTCAGTATAATGTCAACATAGCTCCTGCAGATGAGGGATTAGTGCATCGCTAAAATTTTTGTTTCACTTGGTGAGTACACGGGAATGAAGTGTGCACATGTGGATGACTTTCCTCGTGTATCGACTCCTTTTCCGTTTTTCTCTTTTTCTCATTTGCCCTTTTTATTTTTGTCTCTTTTGCCGTTTTTCTCTTCTGCCTATGTTGTTACTTATTTCCTGAAAAAAGGATAAGATTTTTCAGAATCGTTTTTATCAATTCGGTGGAAACATTGTTGGTTTCCTTTCTTTCATTTTTTTACCTCCCATGAAAGCACAAAAGCGGTAGACAAAACGCCCCTGTTGATTGGTGTTAAAAGAGACATAGGAATACTTTTCCGAAAATGGATTTATTACATCTTCGCTTTCTTTTGCTATAATATTTTTATCTGCTTCTTTAATTTCTTCTTGAGCTTTGGAAAAAAAAAAAAAAAAAAAAAAAAAAAACGAAATTGGAATTGAAATTGGAAAAAAACATGGGACGTCTGATGGAATATATATCACAGTACAAAAATGTTCCAATTAAAAGGGGGCATGAATATGATAAAGAAATATATGTGTGCAATTTTCATTAAATATTTGTATCGAGAGAGCATACCGAATATGTTCCTGTTGTCTATTTGACTAATTTCAGTCTTTGTCTTAAAATTTACTTTAACGGGGTGTTCGTTGTGTATCCTTATCTGAAATGGTTAAAGCAAAGTTCGTGGAGCATTTAAGGGGGTCTTTAGCCTTCGGCTTCATTCTGGGGAGCAGGAAAGTGTGATTATTTCTGCTCTACCACTTTGCTCTGCTATTTTGCTCTACCCTTTTACTACCTACCTTGGCATTAAACGTAGTGCCGGATATGATCGGCTCACTCTCAATTATTTTTGGGTGCAGAGTGAGGGAGCATTTTACTATGTTAACATGGATAAGGAACCTTCTGCAATTTTTTAGATGATCTTTCATATTATTTTTTAAATATATAAATTTATTTTTCATATCTTCCTGATTTATATACAGCATATGGTCGAAGAGCAAAGGAATTGATTTGCTTAAAGTGGAATCAGAAAAAGCAGAGATGTGCAAATTTCTTTTTTCAAAGGGAAATAAAGAGAAGAAATAAAAGTTGTATTTTTTGTCTTCATTTATAAGTAAGCTTGTTTCTTTATTTTTCTTTTCGCTTCCATTCTGAAATTGATCTACATTTATTTTGTTTATTTCATCCATATTATCGTCAACTTTATCTTCTTTATTTTGCTCTTCAAACATCGATTTATTCCCCTCTATATTAATATCAACAATTTTGCTGACATCTTCCTTAATTAACATGCACAGTGCATTTCTTTCTGTCATATTTTCGATGACTACTTTTTTGGAACTATCTGTGTCGGTGCTTACACATTGTAAATTCTTTCCAGTGAGGAAGAAGTCAAAGTAAAAAAAAAGAGAGAAAAAAGAAAAAAAAGAAAAAAAGAAAACAAATTTGGAAAATACAGGCATCGTTTCTCAAGTAAAGGAGGTATACCATTTGCAGAAGCAGAAAGGGGCATCCCAGAGTAACATTTTGTAAAAAAAGGAATACATAAATATGTATCAACATGTAAGTACATAAATTATGCATAAATCATGCACACATTAGACACACATTTTTGAGGAACTGCCTTACTATATTTGGATCCCCATTGTTTAATAAGACGCTGTTTATCTCACGCGAGACGAAAACGGATATATGCTTTTTTTTAATTCCATTTACTAAATAATATATTTTAATTTCAGACTCATTTAATTCTATTTTTTTGTGGGAATAAAAAATAAGAACATTTAGGAAGCTCCTTTTTGGGACGTAATTTACTAGTGGGTACACTCTGAAAATGAGGGGATGATAAAAAGGAAGGGAAAAAAGAAGAATTAGCATCAATAGCGGTGGTCACCGATTATTCACTTATATACATATGTGTGTGTATATATATATACTTATATGTATACATATATAATGTACATTATTTTGACAATTCCATTGTTTTTTCCCTGTTTTTGGGCCACATATTTTTACCGGATTGCCTCCATGTCACCCTTAAAGGGAGTAAAATCAACCATTTGAGCAACGTCTGAATTGTTTTCAAACTTTGCAACAACATAAGGACTTTCCCGTTCTATCATATTCAAAAAAGAAATATGTTTAGGATAGAAGGATAATCTGTCGGGCACATTTTCTGTTTCACATAAATATTTGATTTTAAATTGAAAAAGCGTAACATATAGAAATATTGGTGGTAATAACGTTTTGCTATTGCATTTTCTGTAATCTTTGTTGTTAGAGGGGAAAATAATGCATTCGTGTGTTTCTTTGATGTATCTTTCCTTCAGTGTCTTTACATTTTTGACTCTTAAGGACAGTTGTAGAACGGAGAATTCATGCATATTTTGGGGGATGAGCATAACACAAGATGTGGTAATGACAGTGAAGATAATGATGACAGTGGCGATGGTGATGACGATGATTTTTTTGTGAATATGCATACCTACGAATACACCATCACCAAGCCGAAAAAGGGAGGGAGAGAAACGAATTCCTCTTAAAAAAACTCACAGAAGAGTATACCTAAATGTTTGACAGCCATAAGGTAAAAGCTGTGCCTCCTCCGGTTTGACCTCAAAATGGGTGAATTGTTTTTTCCGTGGGTCTACAGCATTTGACCATACACATGTGTATTCTATTGGAGTTTTATTTATAATCATGATATCTTTTTCTTCGGATTCCAGGACTTCCAGCTCTCTGGGAACGACAAAGACGTCTCTTAAAAGAAAAAAAAAAAAAAAAAAAAAAAAAAAAAAAAAAAAAAGGGGGGGGAGGGGGGAGAAACTCGATGAGTGCGTACATGAAAGAGCACTTTTACTTTTAGTATTGGTTATAGATCGGTGCATGAGTGAAAACTTTTGTCACTATACGAATAGAAACAGAATAATTCTCCAAGAAAAAATAGGTCTTACCCGTCTTCCACCTCCATTATCTCATTTATCATTTCATATGAACTATCCTCGTATGCATCAAACTCAAGAGGAAAATCCCAGATGTCAATGTAATCCTTCTGGTCATAATAAGAATTGTATAATTTTTGTTTATCACGAATTAAATGCTTATATCTAAATATGTGATGCATTGAAAGTGGACACATTTGATAGCTAATAGAATAATTACAGATAGCGTCTACATAAAAAATTTGCTTATTTAAATGAACTAAGAAATATAATCTCTTATACACATTAATAGGATATATACAATGACATGTCAAATTTACAGAATGATAACTTTTTTTTTTTATAATAAATTTATTATTTTTTATATTAAAAACATTTCCTATGTTTACAATTTCGACATGCACATCTGTATTTTCATCATTTCTTATAGTTATTTTTTCTGTAACATTATCTCCTAATTTGAGGTTTTCAAAAAGGTAAAGTATTTTAGAGAAATGTAATTTTATGCTTTTAATTTCACAAATTAGAAATAACTCAATACAATAATCTTTGCATGCTTTGAATTGAATAATTTCTGTGTATTCATTAACTGGATTCTGTCCGTTAATATGTAAAATTATTTCTTCTTTTGAACACCCATTAATTGTAAACTTTTCTTTCAAAAGTTGGAAAACATTGTTTTTCTTTGTGCTTCTCAACCTTTGATCGCGATGTAGGAGGAGAGGGACATATAAATGGAGTGCAGGAAAAGAATAGGCATACAGTTCAAAAGCATGAATGTTCATTTGCATGCACATAAGAATGCACAAAAGCATACACACATACATAGATGCTGAAATCATGTCTACCTTCACCTTAATGGGAGCATACGTGAGGTTCTGCAAATGTATCGTTTTATTAATCCGTTGGCCTAAGGTAACTGGGCCAAAATTGATTACACTTTTGTTGAAAATTTGTTTGCTTTCTTCGGATAGAATAATAATTTGTGGCAAAACAGAAACCCAGTTTAGCTCAATTTTTTCTTTTATTAAACATATTTGTATATCTTCTTGATTCATCACTTGAATTATGTCATTAACTTCTTTATGATAATTTTCTTCGTATGGGTGCAGGGTTGTATTCATCATAGTAGGAGATTCTTGTGAAAATAATTTTTTCTCTACTGATTTTGGCACTTCAATAATAGAACAAGTTAAAAATTCTCGGAATTTTTGAGGTACATCTGTATATATTATTATCTGAATATGTTGTTTTTGATTAGCTCTTAAAACGAACTGAGATGGTTCTAGTTTAATTTTCCCCTTTTTTTCTTTTGATGCACATTTATGTGACAATTTTATTATTGCATTTAATGAGCCTTGATTTTTTATTATTAATTCTTCTCTACTTTTTTGCTTAATTACCATATCTTTAAAGTTTAATACAGATGGGAAAATTATATCACACTTGAGAGGTGTTGCTGTCAATTTTATTGATATATTTTTGTCCTCCTCTATGTCTTGTATCAATATGTTTAGCGTTTCATTTATTGTTTGAAAATCATTTAAAGAATTCAAAAAAGTAATATAATAACTTTTATTTAAACCAGGACTAATGCTTTCTAACTCTTGTAATGGGTAAGTAAAATAAGGACTACTTTGAAACAGAAATCGAAATCGTATTATATTTTTTGTAATATTTTTTATGTTCAACCTTTTTGTTATTTTCACACCTCTTTCGTAGTTGTCAAACTCGATTAACGGGTTCAGTTCAAGGCCATACATTCTACAATTTTCCATAGTTGCTTTTTCAAAGGAGAACAAAAAAAAAAAAAAAAAAAAAAAAAAAAAAAAATTTCCTTTTTAAGAGTTATTAACTCATATCAATGTTATTGTATTATTTGAAATGAGCCTCATTACAGTGTCATAGTTTTTTTTTTTTTTTTTTTTTTTTTTTTTTTTTTTTTTTTTTTTTTTTTTTTTTTTTTTGTCATGTGTGTGTGTATGTATGTGTATGTTTTTTTTTTTTTTTTCTTCTTTTCTTTTCCTTATTTTCTCATTTATGATAAACACAACGTGAACTAAATATGGTATGTAGAATCATTAAAGAGAAACGTGCAAAAGAAGACTATTCTTAAAGTGGTATTCTATCATTTTTGCACTTCTTTTTTGGCTCATAAAATGGGGAAAATGTTGACTTGTATTTCCAAGTGCTTTCCTATCAATAGATGGCACTTTAAGCAAAGGAATATTATTTTTGTGAATAATTTTTTCCCCTCAATTTGACCCCAATTCATATTTTTTACGGATTCGAAAATGTGCATACCGGGGAGAAATTAAAAGTTTAAGAAAAAAAAAAAAAAAAAAAAAAAAAAAAAAAAAAAAAAAAAAAAAAAAAAAAAAAAAAAAAAAAAAGAACTCAAAAACGTCACTGTAAATTTGTATACAATTTTACATTATTAATTGACATATAAAGGCCAACTAAAATAATGTATAAAAATATGTCGAATGTGTATCTGCACTTTGTTTTTTTTGCTTGCATGTTAGTTTATTATTTTTTTTTTTTTTTTTGGAATAAAAAATTTAACAAGGACAAAGGATGGAAGTTCTTTCATATGGTTAAACGTTTTTTATGTTCCGTTTGCAGAATTTAAGAACGCATAAATGTGTGGATTCAATGAGACAAGGGGTAAAGGGGAAGGTGATGGTGGTGGGGGGGAAAATGTTGCAAAAAGAAATCGTCTAGTTGATATGTGTATATACATATAAGAAATGTATAGATTCGATACACTGGTGGAAAGGTGAGTCATCCTATTGGTGCTTATAAATGAACAATATGGGAAAATTATAATACGGCGTTGGGATAATTCCAAGTGGAGATAATGATGTGGCTCAAAGGAACTTGATTTTCATAATATTATCTAATTGATCATACCTCCCTTCTTCACTCCTCAATTATGACAGGGAATATGGAAAAATAAATTTCTCTCCTAAGAATTTCAGTTTTTCCTGTTACATTGGCTAACTCCTTTTTTAACCTGAGGGTATATTCTGCATTTCCTTTTGTTAATAGACTCAGGCATTGTGAATATGCTTGCAAAGTATTACACCAATTTTGGATAATTATATCGATGGACACTCCAGTCTTTTTTAATAATATTTGCAAATTCAGTAAAACAGCTTTTACATCTTGTTCATCATCTGAAATTATTTCTTTTGAAAATACATCGCTCTGTTTGTCACTTTTCTCGTCAAGTTTCTTCACTTGTGTACTGTTCTGTTCTCCCCTTTCTCCTATTTCTCCCTTTTTTTTCATTTGCCTCGTAATTTTTGTAGTGACTCCATTTAAATCATCAATATTCAAGGTCACTGTGTTTCTATCCTTTAAAATAAAAGTTACTTGGTTATTTTTAATTTCAACCTTGTCAATAAACATGTTATTCTTCAATGTAGCTATAAAGTCAGGTGTGGTTCCATTACTCATTAGATTGTACACACCAAGCCATTTTTTGGTTAGAGACACCTTAGGAGTATGTTTTTTTAACGTTTCGATAACATCATAGGCATATTCATATCTTACCTTGTGTGCTTTTGGTAATTCTTCTTCCAATAAATTGTAAAAATCTAGTATATCATTTATCAAAACATCTTTTATCTTTATATTTATTCCATTTATTTCAATTATAAATAATAATTTTCTTGGTTTGGATATATCTATGTTCATATTGTTTCTTTTCACATTTTTATATTCTTTAATTTCTGATCTCCCTAAAAAGGTAAACAAAATTTCTCCCTCCGATGTGATTTCGAAAATTCCTTGCTTTGTTTTTATTTTCGTTTCTTTTATTTCCAACGTGTTTACTATTTTATGCAATGTATATTTTTTTTTTTTTTTTTCAAATTCTTTAATTCCCTCTCCTTCGCATTCTTCTACACCGATTATGTTATTTCTTATGTTATCGGATGAATTATTCATTTGATCGTAAATGTTATTATTCTTTTGATGTGCATCTTCGTATGTTTTTTGCATACTGATATTTTTTTTTTGTTTGCAAATCAAATTCATATCTAAATGGTTCATATTTTCAGTTACAATTCTATTATCATTTATGCCTTTTCTATCGTAAATACTGTTTTCATCATCTAACGTAGCATTATATATATTCCTTTTTTCTTTTTGCATCCCATTTTTATATTTTACAAAATTGTTTTGGTGCTCATCATGTACCATGTTTGAATTGTACTTACTCTGCATTTTTAAATTCTTCAAATTGTCACTACATGAGCTTGTATCTTCCCTTTTAGGAAAATAACTGGGAGTAAGACATAACGATTTTTCGTCATCTTTTTTATTAATCAAATTGATTCCATAAAATTGCTCTTCCTCTTTATTATAATTCACATGTTCCTTGTGTATTTGGAAGGTGTTTCCTGTGAATCGACCGTTTCCTAAGCTTGCGTTTCCACCTCGCTGCAAGTTCGAACTATTGGGATTGTACATGTCAGTTGTGAAATAATTTCCACTGTTTCCATAATCATCTGCACCATCAGGAGAATGTTGATGAGTTACTGTCATATCACCCATTTGGTTTCTTTCAAAATTAGGTGGTTTACTTATATCATTTAAATTCTTTTTTTGTGGTGAATGCATACTGACATCAGAAAAAATAGAATCCGCTGGCGTGGGCACTGATATGGGGTTGTTGAATTCCTCATTGAAACTATCTAAGGAACATGTAATTATATTGTTGTCTTCTGAATCTTCATTGTAGGAGTTGATAGAATACGAGCAATAATTTTTTTCTGAGTTGTAGGAATTGTGAAATTTATTAACAAAAGATGGGGTTTGATTCTCTTTCCCTTCCATCTGATTATCTGTGTTATATTTAAATCCATTAAAATTTGCGTCAACGCATAAATGACTTTGATTTACTTCATTATCGTACAAATGTTCTATTCTTGTTTTATTATTTTTAATAATTTCTTTAATATCTTTTCCTTGACATATGTCTGTGTTATAAAAGGGAAGATTGCAATTATGTAGATTGTTCATTTCAGTATGGTTTTGAATATGTATTTTGTCATTTTCTCTCAACTGTTTATAATTGTATGAATTTATTTGTAAATTAAAATTTAAATTATCATTACCTCCATCAATAATTTGCTTTTCCTTTTTATTTAAAAATATGAAATCACTATGATCACTACTACATTCTCTCTTTATGTTGTAGGAAATGGAATTTTCTTTCCCATCTGTTTCAATAAGATTTTTTCTATCCTTACTGTGCATGCTTGTAACATTTGTCAACATTTTATCTTTAAAAGAATCGTAATTTTTGCATCTGATATTCATGTTTTCTTCTGTTATCAGATTGCATGTGTATGACTTTTGATTTTCTGGATGCGAATTTTTGGTTTTGCCTTTTGTTACACATAAGTTGTCTATTTTATCTGAGGGGATCTTATCGATTTCTTTTTGGCTATTTTGTGTATATAGGTTCTGATTATGGGTTTTATTTCTCGCTTTGAAATTTTCACGTATATGCATAACATTTTCATAAGTTACCCATTCATTCGTGTTCCTCTGATCTACATTACAAGTCATGTGCATGTTCATACATTTATCCTCCCTTTCTTGTAAAGACTCCTGTAGATATTTCTTTTCTGTATAATCACCATAATTTTCATTCATCATAGGATACCCCTCATTTATAGGAGTACTTCTTTGAGATTCAGATCCACAACCATTTGTTGCGTTCTTCTTTATTGCATCATCCACCGTTGTATCATTACAATTGGTGGTACTTGTAACATTTACTAAGTTTTCTTGTAGATTATTTTGTTTATCATTTAATATTAATTTTTTGCAATTCCATTCGAATAAACTGTTTTGTAAAATAGAAATGGACGAATTATTTAATTCACTGTTACAATTCCTTGAATCTGCATAAAAGGAAAAAAGTGTATTTTTTTGGTTTTTCCCATTACTATGTCTGCTATAAATTTTTATATTTTTCTCTTTCCTTTTTTTTTTTTTTTTTTCTTTTTTTAAAAATTGTGAAGTTTGGTCACTCATTTTGGAAGAGCAGCTATGGATGCTATTGCTTCTATAACTACTACAACTGCTACATGCACAATCTTGATTGCACAGGTTGCTCCTTCTAGCAAGGTACTTTTTTTTGCTTAACGATTGCTCATGTAATTTATTTTTTTTCTTTAAATTTTCATTAACATAATTATTTTGAACACTGTTAAATGTAACGTCGTTCACTCTATTCCTTTCTCCCTTTTCTTTAAGACTGTCTAATTTTTCTAAAGTATAATGATAATTATTTTTTGCACCATTTTCAAATTTACTTTCACTAATCATACATGTTTGTCTTTTGTTCTGTTTCGAACTCATTTGGTATTCATAACTGTTGTTTTTACTGTGTATATATTTTTTATCTCTGTGATTTGCGCTCACATGTTGTTCATTTTTTATTCTTTCTGGGCACGAATTAAATTGTTCTTTCGAAATAGATTTCAGGCGTTTGGTGGGTTTAATTTTTTTTTTTTTTTTTTTTTTATAAACTTTTAAGCTACAACTAGCCACATGCCTACCACTATTGTCACTATGACTATAATTTCCAGTGGCATTGTCACTATCGCAGCTATTGTCGCTGCTGTAATCATTAGCACTACCCGTGGTACTACTTTCCAGACTTACATTAGCTAACTGTTCACAGCTACTATTACCACAGTAGATAGATGAAGCAGACTTGTGGTTTTCACACTCAGAATTGCGCATAGAAGAAAACGTGTCTGAGTTTGTCAGCACCGATTCTTCTATACCTTTGACTGGAATGGACTCTCTAAACGTAGCATTCACATACTGACTAAAGTTATAATCATTTACTTGTTTGATATAATACTTGTAACTCTTTAACCTTTCGTCATTAATGCTTTGTATGCATTTTGCATATTCGTTTAAATTATCTTTTGCTACGCTTATTAACATTTCTTTAAACCTTTCTATGGTGTTAAGATGCGAATTGTGGTGTTGTGAATTACTACGATATGTTTTACTTTCCTGCGTATTTTTTTTTTCATCATATGGTTGTCCATATAGCATATACATATTTCCATATTTCATATGATTGCATGTATGGTTTTCATTTCTACCATTGCATATAACTTCAGATACATTACTGAATTTGTAGTTGGCAGGACAAATGTCACTTGTGTTACTAATTCTATTTGTATAGTATGTGTCTTTTTCGATTTTATAATTTCGTGCATTATTATACATAAAACTGTTGTCTCCTAAATGTATAGTTTTTCTACGATAGCTGCTATTGCATATGGAATTATTTTTTAAAAAATTATATTCAAAGGCGTTTTTACCTATTATTTCATTATTCTGCTGATTAATCATTTTGTGTATATGGCTTTTTCTATGGCTATTATTCTTTTGACAATTTTCGCTATACATAGTGTTACTTACATTATGTATACTAACAGGCCCCTCAACATGATGCATATGACTAATTGGATTGGAGTAATCTATCCGATTGATACTTGTAATCCAGTTATTTATTAGCTTCTCTCTGTTGAAATTTTCTACTTTATTCATTTTTATATAATTCTCAACAACATTGTTTTGCTTTTCCTTCTTTAGCTCGAGTAAGTCAACATTCTTGTTAAAGAAGTTTTTATTACTACACTCGAACATACCTGTTTTGTTTTGCAGTTCATTATCTTTTTCTGTGTTTTGCTCCGCGGACAAATTGAGCTTCCTTCTCGAGTCCCATTTATTGTTCCTGCTGAGATGCATGCCATGAGTAAAGTTCACGACTCCACTAACATCTCTGCAATCACTAATGTTCATACTTCCTCCAACACTGTCGTCCTCTTCGTCTAGATCAAAGGATAAACCATCCAATTTTTCATAAAGAATTTTATTTCTGAACAAATTTTTACTAGTACTATTTTCCTCTCTTGCGTTGCTAAAATCTAAGGTATTGTAAACTCGGCTGCTACTATTTAGAAAGGAGATATCCGGAAGCTTAAGTGGCTTGGTTTTAAATATGGTCTGGTTGCTATCCAAGGTCAGGAAGGTTTTATAATCATCTATTTCATCATCACACTTGAAATTGTCATTAGAATTGTCTTTCTTATCTCCATGTCTTTGGTCATTTCTTTGGCCCACCTCGTCCCCAATTCTTATAGAAATCGAGTTTCCTAATGAGAGATCCTTTATTCTATATGTTAGATTACTCCTATGTAGTAAATTATTTAAGTGATTATTTCTCGACAGACCTATGCTATCATCATTTCCATAACCGAATCGATTAGTGGTTTCTCCTTTCCTATCCTCTATTTGGTTGGTTATGCCTGAATAATTTCCTTCGGACACTTTTTTGCTGTACTTCACGTGATTTTCAAAATCCATTCCACAACCATAATCAGAATTGTATAATGACGTTTTCTTTCGAATATCGAAATTTTCAAAATTGCAATTAGATAAACTTAAATTTAATGAGCTGTTTGCTAATATCATCTCGCTAATTTTTTTCCTTCGATTTACAGCCTCTTCTAAGCTCTTTTTTGTGCTGGCTTCCTCCTCATTGATTAAAATATTTTGGGATGAATTTTTATGTCTTAGACAATCAACCTTATGTGTATAGTATGTATTATTTGTTGTGGGTACTATTTTACATTCTTTTTGTGCAATGTTGTTACCATCCTTCTCAGTGATGTTGTCCCCACTGATATAAGGTACATTTTTCTGCTTATTTGGTATTATTAAATAATTTTTTTCAATTTGTCCCTTCTCTTGATCTTTTCTATTTTTATTACTACTATTTTGTTTGCCTTCATTGAAAATGTGCATACCATTATTACATTTTTGTGAAATTATATTGCCACTTGGTATACTATCAGGGTCAACAGTATTTTGCATCCTTTTACATGTTTTTTTTTTTTTTTTTTTTTGCAAAAAGTTAGAAAATTATTTGCGATAAATGATAACGTACATGTGTTTGGTAGCTTAAAAAATGGATGTTCTGTTTTTATAAACTTTGTTAATTTGTGCTTATTTCATTAATTTTTTTTTATTCTCTATTTTGCTAGTTTGTAATATGTATTTTTTTTCTTTTTTTTTTTTTTTTTTTTTTTTGCATATTTTGCGGAGTAAAAAGGGCAAGAAATTTGTGAAATTCGAGAAATTGCACAAGATTTTGAGAATTTGAAAATTTGAGAAATTTCACAAATTTGTGAAATGTGCGATTTTGAGAATTGCAGAAAAATGAAAAAATTCTCAAATCACAACTCTCATCATTCTCTTTCATGATTTTTATTTTTCTTTTCGATTTTTGTTGCCTCTTTCACTTTTATAATTTTTAAAAAATTAAAAAGAAAAAAAAATTGTTTTTACATTTTCTTATATGCTCTCAGAATGCTTTTTGAATTTTTTTTTTTTTTTTTTTTTTTTTTTTTATTGTGCAAATGTTATTTTGAAAAGATACACTTTTGAATTTTGTGCAATTCATGAATTAAATGTAGTAATAAGAAAGAGGGTTGCTAAAATGGTTGACAAAAAAACAGTTTGTAAAAGAAAATTTAAAAAAAAATGCAGAAAAAACAATAGGTTAAAACAAAACTATAAAAAAACAGGTGGTAATAGAAGAGTTGAAAAATCATGACTAATAAAAAAAAAAGAATAATATTTACTTAAGCCTAGGAAATAAATTGTTAATAACCAATCCTTAAATATGTTTAAAAAAAATAAAATAGGGGTACATAGGATGTAAAAAAAAAAAAAAAAAATTTAAGTGATTAAAGACATTGATGCAGTTTTATGTCAAACAAATATTTAATTATCTTACCACATGGGTTTTGTTCTTATATTTACTAAAATGGCAAAGGGACACATATATATATACACATATACTTACAAATGTATATACATACATGCTACATTTAAATCCTCAACTTATATCCTCATCGAACATAAGAGTCGAATTTTTGCTGAACGATTTGTAATATTTATGAGCTCCCTCCTAAGGAAAAAAAAGTATGAATACGATTAATAGATACAAACGTATGGTGGCGGAGAGAGTTGTCATTGCTGTACATATATATAGATACATATACACAAAAAATAAACGTATAAATGCAGGTATATATATATAAGAATGCGCATATGGAAAAAGCGTACCCTTAATTTTGCTAGTTGTAATGTTAATATAATTTGTCTTTGGGAATCTTCAACTTTTGAGTGTTTATTTACAACCGTCGTGTTCAAATAGTCTTGCAATTTCTGGAGGGAAAAAAAAAAAAAAAAAAAGTAACAGATATATAGCCATGTATGTCAATAGATATACGTAATCAAGAATATACATTGTATGGACATGTTGAGGGATAAATGCTTTGTATTTCCATTAAGTGATTACCTTCAATCGCCTTAAGTATTTTTTTTTGCTTAAAAATACACTGAAATAGGGATCTCTTTAAAGGAAAAACGAAATATATATATAAAAAAAAAAAAGAAAAAAAAAAAAAAAAGGTACATAAATATATGATTGCATAATATATGTAAGAAAATGGGGAAGAAGGGACATAAAATTTTATTCTATTCCATGGAGCAAAAAAGTCACATTTCTTTTCTTCTTTTTAAAAGTATTTTTACTTTCCGTTGAAGGGAACATTGATATATGCTTTGATCATACAGGACTCGTATAACTGAATAAGGCAGCACGCGTAAATGTTATCTTTGCTGCATTCCTAAGAACAAGTGGTAATTTGGAACAAAATGATGCTCTTTCCAAGTAATGCACAAAGTGGTGCTCTTTTAAGAGATACCAAAAATGTATCTGACAATTTTATTAAGTGTACAAAAAAGAAAATTACTTACCTCAGTATTTTCCTTTTCCTCTTTCAAATATGCTTCCTCAGATATAATGTCAAAATATGATATTTGCTGTAATGAAACTGACTGAATTTTTTTTAAGGCCTCAAGATGTTTTTCATGAGAAAAGGGAGGGAAAACATTGGGGTAATGTCTGCAACAAAATGGTTTGATAGAAATGTCTAAATTTGAGTGCTAATATGGTTATCGATATTTTGTCTATATACAAAAAAAAAAAAAAAAAAAAAAAAAAAAAAAAAAAAAATTATTTTAATAGATTAATCAAATAAATATATTTTTACTCGTAGTGTCGAATTTGCCAAATGTCCCATATCCTAAATAAGACTACGAAATGAAAGGAATGGAAATAAAAATATTATATATTGCGAGAATTTTTCATGCAAAAAATAAATTCAACACGTGTGTGTATTTGTGTATGGGTATGCGTATGTATATAGGCAAGCATGTATACACGTTTGTGTGCATTTTTACATGGGAATGAATAAAAAAAAAAAAAAAAAAAAAAAAAAAACACAAATTCATTTATCAATTTCGCCATAATATATTTTTATATATACGTGTCCACATATGCGTACATATTTATTTAATTATTACATGCTCCTCTTCTTTTTACCTCTTGTAAATATTTTGGAGAAAAAAACGGACACATCTAGGGTTCTTCCTAAATGCCATTTGTATATTTCCAATAACTTTTTTTTGTCTAACTTTGCACCTTCGGGGCGCTCTCTGGAAACATTATTTTTGCTGCTATTTTTGCTGTTATTGTTCCTGTTGTTGTTGCTGCTGTTGTTGCCGCTATTATTGCCGCTATTATTGCCACTCATTTTTCCGCTGCTCCCGCTATCCACTTTTTTGCTTGCTTGACTAGATTCCGCCTCGTCGCCTTCCATATTTGCTCTGTATGACTTTTCTGCCATGGCATTGAGCCAAAAAAAGGGAAATCCGTACTTAAAATTGTGAAAAGAGAAGATATCATCAGAAAACAAAACGAAATGATCTTCATTGCTGTATATATCTGAGAGAAACTTATTACCACTATTGAGTCCTATGAATTGGATGGGATTTGCTTTTGCCACTAAACAGTCACCATTACATAAGTATGAAATTTCTATTTGTATTTTCAAATATTTAAGATATGATAAATCGGGTAAAATAGAAATGTCAAAGTTATCATTTGTATACATATTTATGGTCACATATTCCATATGAACATCGTCTTGTGTGGTAGCAGAGAGTCGTTTCGTGTTCTTTCTAATTTGTGTAAGTACATCATATTTCATATATGTAAAAACATGGTTATAACTATTATTATTGCTACTGTTATTGTTGTTACTACTACTATTGTTACTGCTGCTGTTGTTACCATTACTACTTGGTTCTTTAAAATTATACAAAAAATTAAAAGGCTTTTTATTATTTAAAAATGAAATATTGTTTGCGTTCATGTCAATTTGCGCATGAACCATTTTAAAATAAACTGCTGATAAATATTTCATTTGTGGAAAATCCAATGAATTGTACTTATCAATAATGCTTTTAATGCTATTTGAGAATAATGATAATTTGTTAAAGGATGTAACTTTTCTTATATCTTGCTTTTCATATTCATCTGCGCACTCTTTCTTTCTTATCATTAATAATCGTAAGTTTGCTTTAGCATCTGTTCGTTCAGAAATCTCCTCTTCCAAACATTTCAAAGTATAAAAATGAGAAATTTCATCTTTTGAGTAATTCCTATTTTTTTCCTTATTTTTTAAAAATTCATCTATACATAACATTTTTTTTTCTAAAGTATGTTTTTTGATATCTTCATAATTCTTTGCCTGAAAATCTAATAAATTTCCCATTATTCGTTCATAATAATTTTTTTCGATATTTTCTTCATCTACAATTAGGGAAATGAAATTATTATTTTCTTTTAATAAATGAGAAAATTGTCGCATAGTGAACATGTACATTTCTATAATCCTGTAAATCATTTTTATATTCAGAATGTTGTTCAGTATTTGTCTTTTTTTCTCTATTTTTGCAGTTTGGGTGTGCATATCCCCTGTGGGACACTTGAAATTTTCTACGTTCTCCTTTTCGGTTGGTTCATTTCCGTGAATCTCATTTCCACATATTTCTATTTCCTTATCCGTGGTATTGCTGTTCTCACTCATAAGGAGGTTATTTTCCTGGACAATTTCCCTGATTAATTTTTCATTCTCCAAGTAACGTTTCTGTAATTCCTTCAATTGATGTTCACATTCATTCCAGTAAAAATAGAAATTCGTTTTTATTTTTTTCATATAGGAGTCTACATAATTTTTTCCATTACAATGAATGGAATTTTTAAATTCATCATATAAACTTAATTCTAGCGGGTTTGTTGTAGGATCATCAATTCTTTGTTTTTTACAACTCATTCCAACTTCTTCCTTCATTTCTTCATCCAGTGTTCTTTTATTATTTTTTTTTAAGTCATCATTTTGTTCATCTTCACATTTAATTGTTGTTTTCTTTACTGGACTTTTTTCATCAGCGATAACTTCATTGCTATCAACTACTACTGATACGCTAGTTGAGTTGTTTAGTATATTCTTTCCCTTCGCGTTAGTGTTAGCATCTTCATTTGAATCCCCTTTTTTATTTTTTTCATTTCTCCCATTGTTCGAGTTATGAAAATTTCCTTTTTTTTGTTGTTCTTCATGTGATCTGTTGTCACTAGTTATATGTGGATTTCCTTCACTTTTTGTATTACGCATGTAGCTGTAATTCCCCTCCCTTGGATTTTCACTTCTTTTTTGTTTTCTATTATTTTCATTTTCTTCTTTCTTTACAGAATTTTTAGTATGCCTATTTTCTGATGGCTTTCTTGGACTCTTGCCGCTAAACATCTTTTAAATAATAAAAATAAAATGAAAAAAAAAAAAAAAAAAAAAAAAAATGGCTACTTGCCATAATATTCAAATTTCATGTTTACAATTTTGTGGACTTTGCACTTGGGTTAGAGATGTAGCAAAGTTGAAAAAAAAAAAAAATGTATTTTTTTTTTTGTTTTTTACCTGCAACTATTAACATCCATATATACATACACAGGTATATATATTTGCATACTCGTTTATAGTCACTCGTATGCGTTTAATTATATTCACCAAAAGCAGGTGCGCATTTCCATTAGTTTTTATAAGTTTAACTTATCATTTCAAGCGTATATAAAAATAAAAGCACCTCTTATTGTATTTTATAACATTTGAAGAAATAAAATGTATTTCTTCCCTTTTGTGAAAACTTACACGTTCGTGTATCGCCGAATATATTGCGTGTATATTTGTATGTATGCAGAAATATGCAAGATTTGGATACTTTTCTTTTTTCCCCATTTGGAAAATTGACAGTACAAAAAAATTGCCACTCGTCAAAGAAGCAAAAATCACGTCCTACAAACACAAGTATTTTTAACGAAAAGGATATGCATATCCTATTAGCACTAAAACAACATAAATGAATGTAATTGATTGTTCTGTTGTGCTGGATTTATTATTGTGTTAAATGTTGTAGAACAGCACGCGAACACAAAGTGTAAATGTGTGCAGCACTATGTGAGATACATTCACAGTTAACAAACATATCCAAGCCTTTTTCCGTTCTCTTTAACCTTATAAATAAAAAAACACTAAAAGAGAGTGAACCTGAGGAGGAATCTTGAACTCTTAATTTTTCCACCTTTATGATTTGCCAAAAAAGTAAAGAGGTAAAAGTTTGTAAATATGTTTCTTGCTTTTTGTCGAATTTTTTTTTTTTTTTCCACGCTTAATGCATTTTTTTTGGAACAGTCGTAAAATAAGTATAAATTTGATTTTAAAAAATGAATTATAAAAGTAAATTTTCGTTTTCTTATCTTGTTAATAAATAACAAATTGCCATAAAATTCTTAATTTCATTCAATATATACATATGTATATATATAAATGCATAGGGTTGTTTTGAAAGTTACTGATAATTTTACAAGGTAATATATGGCTGAAACAAATCCATACATATAAAAAGCATGTACACATACAATCGTGTACGGCATATATACAATTATACACATCATGGAATATGAATGGTTTTGGGAGGGCAGTATACAAGCTTTGTATACTTATTATATTAACATAAAAACATGATAGCATAAAAAAAGCTAAGATTTACAAAAAAATAAAGTAAAATAAATAAATAAAACTCATCTTGTCTAGGCAAAATGAATTTATTTAATACGCATGTGTATAATACAACTGTGTGTATATATATTTATATGTATACACATGTGGACGAGATAAAACAAAAATTCTTGAAGTAATAGTAAAATAAAGCAATGGTTACGGAAAAAAAAAATGATAACTTTATATCTTTACATTCTTTTTTATACAAGTAGTTATACGGATAGGTATCCATGTTATATATAACCCGTCACCACCACCACTCCAAAAAAAAAAAGTACATTTGGTAATGTTTTCCAAATAAATGAACTATAAAGACTACTTTTGTGAGAAATATAAAATTAATCGGTAGTATATATATGAATATATATCATATATATAAAATAATAATATATTGTTTTCTAATTTCATCAAGGTAAATTTTACTATTTTGGAGTAATCACATTTTTCTCCATAAAAGGTATAAAATTTTTTCATATTAATTTTTTTGTTATCCTTTTTTACGGCTTCTGCAATTAAGTCGTGATACATGTCCATTAAGGAGTTATATATCTTAGTGTTGGTAAGATTATCATACATATATCCGTTTAAATACGTTTCCGGAAATGAGTTATTTCCCATAAGTTTATAAAAATAACAAAAATTTTTCATATTTATTTGTATAATGGAATAAAAATCATTTAAATGTTCCTTCTTAATTTTAAAAAAATCAAAAAAGGAAAAAAAATTCGAGATTTCACCATATTCTTCCCCCTGGGTTAATGAGCAATTTTTCTCAACTAATTCTGCATTTTTACAACCCTTCTTCTCTTTTATAATATTGTTCTTATTATTTAAGAATAAATTATTTGTAATAACAAATAGGTCTTTTTTTTTATTACCTATGAATAAATCAAGTTGTTTTTCCACGTTTGTTTCATAATTAACGACGCAGACAATTATAGACACCTTTTCGTTAATAATAATACAAGATGCAAGTAATATTTCCTCGTTATCATCGTTATCATTTTCTACCATATCAAATTCTTTATGAAGAAAATTCAATACGCAGTTATCTTCATTTGCTAGTATTAACTTTCCATTTCTTATATTTAGAAAGTTGAATAGTTGGGCCATAAATCCATTAAATACACATATATCTTCATATTCCATATTATAATTTTTGTATACAGGAATTATACCTATGACATTTTTCTTTTTAATGACTTCTTTAACATAATGCCTCCCAAAATTATTTGTTATGTCACATATTATGTCAACCTTTAAATTTGACTCTGAACTCGTACAATCACCATGATTGCCACCATTTTGTTTTGTTTTTACATCTTTTTCATTTTGTTTTTTGTAAAACAGAGTGTAAATTTTTATCAAAAGCAATGAAATGAGTCCGACTGAAATGCATTCAATAGTACCTGTCATTTTTCCTTCATACAAATATACATATGTACTTTATGCATACGTGTATTGTATGAATATATTTATATATCCCTTCAAATGACGGAAAAAACCATAGTACTAGTCAAAATGATGCACGTAAAAAAAAAAAAAAAGAAAAATGTCCTTTTTGACACTACAATATACTGTGGGATTTATTTCATTACCATTGTTAAAAAAAGAAAAAAAAGAAAAATTTTTTCCTAAATAGGGTAAAAACATAAAAAGTAAATTAAACAATGTGAAGAAGAAGTATTTTTTTTTTCTTTTTTGAGTTTCATTTTATACTACTTAGCAGTCTAGGCTTCATGTGAGAAATTTACTTCAAAATATAAAGAAAAAATGACATAAAAATGGTACAAAAAAATAATGAGGCAAGGATGAAACAAAATTAACTAATAAAAAACTGCAGAATATGGAATAGCCTGTTCTGCTATATATATAATTTATGTGATTTATGACGCATAAGAAACATTGGACTAGTGTTACATAAAATTAAAAATATCGAAAAATAATAATTTTATTAAAAATATTGCATATTATTATAGTCTGCACTTTAAGTTCTATATGTATTATTTTTCTTTTTATAAAATAGGAGGGGAAAATTTTCATACTATATATAATATTACATGAATATGGGCATATGGTATATTGTATTGCTATATAATATATTATTGTATAATAATGCATATATTTTTTTGTTTTTTTTTCTGATGAACACAGTTCAACATTATTATCTTCTTCCCTTTTGTGTATATAAAAAAAAAGGAATATTTACAAAAATTCTTACTTCATACTTTCGTATTTCAAAGGTAAGAAGAGAAAAAACAAAATATTGGGAAAGGAATGAATATATATAATTTTGAGAGCTCAACAAAAAGAGAAGATAAACAGAGAGAGGAGGAATACATCAGAGCACTCATTTTTTTTTATCACATTTTAAACAAATTTCAAGCCAAGAAAAAATGTGTTAACAAAAAAAAATGGAATGAAATAAAAACTTTTGCATGAATATGAGGGAAAAAAAAAAAAAAAAACTTAAAAAAGCGACTTTTGTCCATTATCGAGAAAAAGTCCCTAATTTATTTTAACACTTATATATACATAACGCAAACATATATGTTCATATATACCATGCAGCATTGTACTACTTATGGCTCTCTTATTATAATCGATTGCATCGTACTTTACAAGCTGTTGGAAATTATTTAGCAAATTTTCTTCACCATTTACAGCAAATAATAGGAAAAAATGCATAGTCTTGTAATTAGAATGTATCATCTATTATTATGTTTCAACCTTACAGTTCAACAGAATGAGGCGTAAAATATCTTGAGATATATAGATTTTCTGTCCTTAAAGAAAATTTGCCTTATTTGAAAACATTTGCATAATTTTAAGTTTTACAGAAACATTATATTTCTTGTACCATTTAACCCAGCTTTTAATTGTCAAATTATACATGTGGAGCTTTTCTTCTCTTTTTTTCTCACCTACTTCTTTCAAGTATTTCGCGTAATGTAACGTCATTTTAAACATGATGCATAGGCATTAAAAATTGAGTTCAAGATAAATTAAATGTTTCATGTAAATTTTCAACCTTTATTTCTGTGAGAATTTTTGGGCATGTATATATTAACTTCCATTTATGCACAGTCTCCTATGCGGCACATGAAAACAAAATTAATGACTTATATAAGAGAAAAAACGTAGATAAATTTCCGCGTCAACTTAACAACAATGAATAGATCTTTTTTTTTTTTTTTTTTTTTTTTTAACTTCTACAACAACATAAATCATTATTAAGTTTTTAAAATTTCAAATGTTCCTCCATTCAAATGTGTAAAATGGCTTTAAAAAATGATTATGTGGGGTAAAGATCCTTATAGCATTGTGTTATATTTCCACACACACGCATGAATAATATATATGCATATGTAAGTTTATACATATATATATATATGTGTGTGTACCAATTTGTAGGTTTTGTTTCCATAAAAAAAAAATAAATAAAATTGATAGAATCAATGAAAGCATAAGTCCGGAACAATTTTATATGAATTACATTTTAAAAAGAAAACCATGTCTCTTGAGCAGGTGAGAAAATACTTTTCTGTCATGTGCATATGCATAAACTTTAATCCTCCAAAAGTTAGGATAAATCTGTATAATATGCTAACTCGTTCTTATTCTTATAATGTTCTTTTAATTTATAAACTAATGCCAGGTCTTTATTTTGTTTTACTTTATTTTGTTTTACTTTATTTTGTTTTACTTTATTATGTTTTACTTTATTATGTTTTACTTTATTTATTTTATTTTTTCTTCTTAGTGAATACGTAATTAAAAATGAGTGCAACATAGACATAAAGTATTTGAAGGAAAATGTGGAAAATGTACATGTCGAATTAGAACAAAAGATATCAAACTCATTCGGGATAGGTGAAAAAAAAAAAATGAAATTTCATGACTTCTTGTCATTAATAGAAGCAGGAAATACAGACTACTATTTAAATACGCAATACATAAAAGAAAATGCTTATTACCCATCTGACTTATGTAACCCAGTTACTATGCATATGATAAACTTCCTACCGAAAAAGTTAGATATTATGGGGTAAGTAAATGAAGCCACATTTTTTTTTCTTTGTATCATACTTGTGCTTACGTTATCATATTTTACAATCTGCACTTTAAACATTTTTTTGGCTTCACTGTGCTATTATACACATCATTCAATGCTCAATTTTTAGTAATTTAGAAATTTACCAATATAATGTATGGTTAGGAAACAACACAGATGAAGATTTAAAAACATTTTTGCATCATGACTATCATGACAACATATATGTACTACTAAAAGGTTATATATTCCTCTATAGAACACATTTTCTATTCTTTTTTTTTTTTTTTTTTTTAATCTCATTTAAAGGATTATTAACACTTTTCATGTCTTTTTTTTTTTAGGTAGAAAAGTGTTTAGGATATATAGTCCCAATTTTGCTCATCATTTGAAAACAAATGGTATATGTGCATGTATATACATATGTGTCTACCAACTTATATCAATATCTGCTTATCAATTTAAGGGGTTATCTGTAAGCAATGACAAATCTTTAGTTTTGTTATAATTTTTTTTAATATGTCTTTTAACAAACTATCAATAGGTACTATTTACCGTGTTTATAACAATGGATTAATTACATACTCCCCATTTATTAGAAGTGACGGTAAATGTTAAAGAAAATAAACAGATAGAAATCATAAACCGTGAATGGAAATTCGATGACACACAAATGATATGTATAAGTATGTTTATACCTATACCATACGCATAAATGCATATTATGTATTTATATATACATGCTTATCTGTTATGTTGTGCATACCCTCTTCAGGATCAAACTATTTAGATGTATACAAAAAAAAAATGGATAAAGTGCATCGTCATATTATCACAATGACTAATTACTTAAGCAAAAAAAGTGACGAAAAAGGTGATAAAAAAAAAAAAAAAAAAAAAAAAAAAATGATAAAAGAAGTATATCCAAGTTGTACATATTTTATCCACATGTTAATAACACAGCTTTTTAATTTCCCTTCATTACTTTCCATTTACACCGTTAGGAAAATTATTAGAGGACAAAATAATAGAAAATTCTATAAATAAGGCAGAGCAAAAGTGCGAATAAAATGAATAAATGAAATAAAATAAAGGATATACCTGGAAAATAATTATTTCATAACACCATACTTAAACATAAATATACTTTTTCCCCTTCTGTCCTCTATCTTAGATTAAATAAATTAGAAGATAATATCTTAAATTACAAGATGCTTAAACATAAATTCAGATGTAAACCGAATACAAGAAATGACATTCCAAGTCATTTTTGCCTTCTTAATACAGCTGAAAGAAAATATGGTTAGAATGACTTTTTTTTTTTTTTTTTTTTTTCCATTTATTCTTCCCCAATTTTAACTTAATGAAATAACGATAACATAAAAATATTTTTTTACGTTTTCAGAGGATGACATTTTCAGCGATAACACAGACATAGAAAAAAAGTACATAGACGTACACGTGAATGAGGGAGATACATGTAAAAATTTTAAAAAAAGAAAAGTAGAGATGAGCATATATGCAACACTAATGCGTTATATATGATCATGATAAAAATAAACTAGGAATAGGCCCACACTTATCAAACATATATATATATATATATACCCATATGTGCTTACATAAAAAACCCTCTGTCTTTTTATTATGAACCTTTTAACAGTATACTTGCCATGTGGATGGTTCCATGAAGTTAAATCCTTTTCAAATGAAAATTGTATGGCACTCGTTGACACCAAACAGGAAGAGATCTACATCACCACAATACTGTGTGTTGTCGTGGTATTATGCGGATGCATCATTTTAAATTTTATTTAAAATTTGAACTCCATTTCATCCTTACCATATTCTACATATTATGCCCCGCATTTTTATCAGTTCACCTAGCGTTTAATTATTGGTATTACCCCCCTTATATAAAAATGGTAAATTCCACTGAAATGCAGAGCAGATTTTCTTTTCCTTATATAGACAAACATTTAAATGAAAGGAATAAAAGTTTATACAAAAAGGTATGCATTAAAATTAAAAAAAAAAAAAATTTAAGCTTATCCCCTTGTTCATTTATTTTATTTTTTTTTTCTTTCATCATCATGCAACGTCAATTATTATCAATTTAATTTAAAAAAAAAAAATTATTATCTTTTCAGATTGGGATTATGAACAAAGAAAACGCTTCCGATATAGCAGAAATCGTGTCATACTACAACAATTTGAATATAAAACAAGAAAAAAATGCCAAAAAGGTAAAACGGAAAAGTGCGAGAAGGTTCTTACACACACGAAGATTAAGGATGCATAAATAGTCTTTTTAAATCTTTAAGAAAAATTTTTACGTTTTATTTTATTCTCTTTTCCCACATTACACAACTTAAATAATTAACCCATAGGATAAATAAATACTTAAGCAAAATTATACATATATATATATATATATATATATTCCACCTCACTTTTCTTATCCTTGCATTTGTCCTTATTTTACTTAAATTTTTTTTTTTTCTTTTTGAAATGATAATTTTTGCTTCACCTTGTAAACAAATACATGCATTAACAAAAATAATTTACTAATATAAAAAAGGTTGGTATATATATATTTTTTTTTTTTTTTCCTTTTTTTTTAAACTTTACACAACTATAATTTTGAAGAACACAGGTGGGGAATAAATCCCAACATAACTAAGACCATTCTAGCACTTCTTCCCATTGAAAATGGGAAAAGCATAAAAATCACAAAATAAGAAAAGATAAACCTATTTATCTATTTTACTCTGCTTCATTTTGCTACACTTTTCTACATTTCGCTTGATTGACTTTGTTTTACTTTTTGGAACAATATAATTTCAAATGAAAGGGGTGAAACGAATTTACTTAGCTATCTTAAGTTTTTTTTCCCTAGTAAATTCACACATAGTAGATGAAAGCATTAATATACTTCCCCTAGATAATAATTTATTACATGTGAAACTAAAATTGATTGTTAATGGAAAAAATTATAAGGAAAAATTTCTCCCCATAAACATCCTAAAAATACTGAATTATGTGAAATCACTTAAAATTAATATAAAAAGAGGTGTATACAGAAATTATTACAAGAACAAATATTTGGACAATTATCCTTTTGGCTTTACTCTTACAGTCGAACTAAAAAAAGGACAGAAGGACAACAATCATTCCAGAGAAGAGGAAAATGATGAATTTTCAAAAGATGAAAGATTTCTTTTACGACAATTACTAAACGATATTTGGTCTATTACAGGAATAGCTACAAACCTTTTAAAAATCAAAAATCTCATAAGAATTCATAATGAAATTTTTGCATTTTTACCTGATGAAAGTATATGTATTGAACATTTTTCGCTACTTAAGAAATTATATCCATGTAAAACTTTTGGAGGTTTATTTAATGCATTAAGCCCTAACTATTTAATATCCAAACCTTTGAGCAATATAGGATTTGAGCTAAATGACAGTAATGAAAATTTACTAATACTTTATGTAGATTATATTACTGAACATGATCACAAAAAAGATGTGAATGTCATAGATTTGATAAATAGTAAATATAACCCGAACGAATGTCCTTTAGTTGATAGAACTGCATTACTTGTAAAAAAAAAGGAAGAAAATGTTGTTTCGACAATTTTCGAAAAATATGGTAATATCGACGTAGTATATGATAATATAAATATATACAATATTGTCCAAAATGGGAAACCGAACATTATAGAGGAATACATAAATGTTCATGCTCTTAAAGAAGAAGTTAATAGTATGATAACTGCAGACATAAAAAAGAAACAGAGTTCCTTATTATATGTATTTCAAAATTTTAATAAAAAGAGTAACAGTGATTTCTTATTTGTTGATAAATTGCCATATTTTTTATCACCCTTGTTGCATACTATGATGATTCAAGGAAAGGGTCCTATTGAAAATAATAAAAAGAAAGAAAATTGTAACTTCACCTATTTGGGGTATAATGCAATTAAAAAATTTAATATTAAATTTAGCAATTTTGACATACTTGAAAAAATACCAAAAAATGGAAACTTCTACTACATTAATTTTAAACACATTTTACCGCCACAATGTGAAATAATTATGAGGTAAAACTAATGTTCTTTTTTTATATACATATCTCTATATTGACTCTTTCATTTTTTTTTGTTACGAACTGTATTTTGCATGAACAAAAGTGAACATGTGTAATTTGATGTTGTTAAAAAGGGGTCTCAGCTTTACATGTATTTGTAAAGTGGAATTGTTTGTGGCATGTGACACGGTGAACTGGGGGATGTATACACACTTTCGAATATCTACACAAGTGTTCATTACATATTTAGAGTATATATAAAATAGAATATACCTTTTAAGCTATATTTCACTGCATTTTGTTTTATGTTAATTTGTTTTGTCCAAAGCACAACAGTGTGAATCCCTCCATTTCATTTTCCCATCTTCACCTTTACAAAATACACACTCTTTGACGCAGATTCGAAGTAGTAAAAGTACATGTTAGGTCGTTCGAATTTGATTTTGATATAGATAGAGGAATTTTGTTAGGAAGTGGGATATTTGTGCAAAAAAGAAACCATATATCACAGGAAAGTGACAAGTTTATGTATAAATACACCCCCTCACTCTTGATAGACATAATTTTACCAGATACAAGTGCGCTTAATTAAAGAAAACGAAAAAAGAGAGAAAAATCAATGCTAAAAATTGCCTATAAATACACATATATTTATCTAATTTCAACTCTTCTCAGTTTGTGACCATGTAACATGCACTTTTAATTATTTTTTCAGGTATGCCTTTTAATGTCATAGCTATCTCAACTTGTGTTATCATGCTCTTTTTTGGGTTCATGTTTAAGGCTACGGCGAAGGAAGAAACAAGATATATTTAATTTTTTTCACCCCATACAGCCCTTGTGCGCACACGTATATTTTTAATTGTTAGAAGAAACGTGAAAAAATTAAAAAACACATTACACATATTTCTATTTTGAAGTAGCTGAATTATATATATATATATATATTTTTTTTTTTTTCTTTATTGTTGTAGCCTTGAATTTTTTTACCACGTCATGCATCGTCTTTTATTTTTTTTTTTTTTGCTGAAAAACATCCCTAACTATTTCAATTTTGTTTTCAAAAAGTTTTCATTTTTTCGTGAAGATTAATATTTAAGCAAACTGAATTATTCATGTTTATTTTGCTTTATTTTATTTTACTTTTTTTTTTTTTTTTTTTTTTTTACGTTGTTTCCCTTTTTTTAATTCTTTTTTGTGTTTTCTCCCATGGGTAGAAATAATTTTTACGAAGAAAAAAATTTAAACAACACATTAATGCCTTTCTAGCAAAATGCTTTTTACCCAAAAAAAACATTGGGTGAAAATTGCAATACCAACTCTTAACTAAAAATAGGGCTGTTCTTTGATATGATGAAATCCTTTGCGTAAAGTTATTAAAATGTTAATGTTACCTTTAGTTTAAGGAAATGACATAGTTAAAAGAGAATCAAGACAATGAATTTTTTTTTGACAATAAAACGACATTCTAAAATTCTGAATTGGAAACATGACACTTATTATGCAAGTTTGATGAATAAATATGTATATTTTGATGAATTTATGAGATTTTGTAATGACAACAAAGGTATTATAATAAAAATACAAAAGAGAGGGGGGAAAAAATTGTCTTTGTGTGCATGTTAGCCACAAAAACAAGAAAAATGTGTTAACTTTTTTTATAATACATATACAGTTTCGCATGACACGCTAAATTATGTTAACTTATTTTAATTTCTTTTTGACTATTTAGAACATTTCAGTAAAAGGGATATTATAGCCTCGTTAACATATATTCACCATATGAAAAGAGTTGATTTATTGTCTCCATTTTTTAGCAGTTATAATGATTTTATATGCAGTAATATAAGCATTTTCAGAACAAATATAAGCACACTTGTACATAGGTAGACTTGAAAAACAATATCATTTATCCATAAGGAAAAATTTTGCTCTTATTATGACAATGTTTTTACTTTCTATTGCTAACATGTCTTTTCCTTTTTTTTTTTTTTTTTTTTTTGCCCCTCTTTTTTCTCACATACAGATACGCTATATTGGGGCATACGAAATCTCTTCTATTTATTTACGAAAATGTATTAAAAAACAACATTTTAAACTACGATAACAAGTCTATTAGTTTAATAGCTTGGAGTTATGCAAAAAATAACTTTTATTTGTCAGACCTTTTTATGGAAATAAATAAGATATTACGTTCTTGTGTAAAAACAATGACTCTTCATGAATTATCATTAATAGCATGGGCATACTCTAAGATAAATAGATTACCCCCTTTAGAAATGGTATGCCTAAAAAATAGAGTATATGAAATACTGAATTCATTAGATGAAGAATTAAATGTTATAAAAAATAACACAACTAAAGAGAATCATGTGGTGGATGATAAAATAAATATAAGAGAAAAAGACATTGAATGGGGAAAGAAGGAATATAAAAAAAATGAATCTCAAATGAAAAGTGACCATTTATATTGTGACAATGTAAATGACAATTTTAACGAAAGTAAAGAACTAGAATCGGAAGAACATGGCTTAGAAAATATATGTAAAGACACTGATGAGAATAAAATAGATATATATGGTTGTAAAAAGAACTTAACCCAGGATATCTGCATGATTATGAAATCATATGCTATTATGAATAGAACAGACCCTTTTTTCTTTTTCTTTTTATTCAGTTTTATCATAAAAAATATAAAAAATAACAAAATCATGATAACAGCTCAAGGAATAACCAGTATCTGGATATGCTTAAGAGAATATGATATAAAAAACAAAAACATAATTGAATATGCATTGGAATTATCGAGATTTTTAAGACTTGATCATACCGTAAATAGCTCAATGATGCATGAAATCGTTATTAGTATCCATAAATTAAGAATAAAAGATCGAAGAATTTTATATCATTTGTTTTATCATTTAAAGAGAAAGTGCGTTAATATGCATGTTCAACATTTATATGATATTATAATAATTTTACAAGAAATGAAAATTAATGATGATGATTTATGGAAACAATTTGGGGTAGCCATACAAAAAAAAGCCATTGATTTAGAGTTAACACAAATAAAAAATTTACATAATATTTTTACGACGAATGGAAAAGGAAATAATAGAATTTTGGGGGTCCTTGACACCTTTATTCAAATAAAGGAGGACATTAATGCTTATGGGCCAATTTGACAATAAACAAAATCTAAATGTTCCGTGTTATGAATTGCAATTGTGCGTGTAAAGAGACACACGCATAGACACCTTATTTTGAATTGGTATAGGTTAATTCATGGATAAAGTAATATGGCTTACGTTTATGTATAAACGTACACCTTTTTTTTTTTTTTTTATTATTACTTTAATCTGTTTAATAATCAGACATATGTGTAAAGCTTTTTGAATTTTCCATGAATAAATGCAAATGCACAGGAAACGAATTAAAGCAAAATTATTTTTTACTCTCGTTCTTTTGTTTTTCATATTCTAAGGTTTTCTTTTCTCTTTTTTTCTTAGAGTAAATTATATTTCTTTTATTATACGAACATTTTTTATTTCTATCATGCAAAGATATTTAAATTTTTTTTTTTTTTTTTTTTATTTCTTTTTTTTATGTTTTAAAATTCACACCAATTCACCTTTCAATTTTATAATATATTTTATTGTGAAAGGGTTAAAAAAAAACAAAAAACAAACAACATGCGCGAATAGTTTTATTTTATTTTTTTTAATTTTACAAATTTTAATTATGTTTTATTAAAAATTTTAAATCACTTAGATTGTGTTTTTTAAAAAATTTTTTACATACTTTCACGGCATTTACAAGTGTATGTTAGCACCAACATTAACAGTCAAAGTAGTTATATTGTGTGTTTCATAGTGAAATATTAGGCTATAACATTTTTTCTCTTTTTTTTTCAGTAAGACTTACGCTAAATAGTTTGTTGTTTACTGTTTAGGTTGTTGAGAATATGTGTGAAAATGATCATTTAAAGTACATTCAAATGACAACACATAGGTGAAAAAATGAAAAAAGGATTTTTACTAAATAAAAATATCTACGATATTGAAGAAAATGTAATAAAAGATGAAAAGGATGTTACAAATAGAAAATATCGAAAAGATGATTTTGAAATATACATGCATATAGGAAGTGGTAATTTCAGTGAAGTTTTCATGGTGAAATTGAAGAAAGACCCGTCAATTTTTTATTCTCTTAAAATATTTAAAAAAGAAGAAGTAAATAGAATGAACATAGTCAATTCTGTCTTGGCAGAGAAACATACTATGGAAAAATTAAACGTTCCAGGTCATACAAATGTTATCAAGTTAATTGACACATTTAAAGACGAAGAAAATGTGTACTTATTATATGAATATGCTGATTATGAATTATGGGAATTTTTAAAAATCCGCAGTGTTGGAATAGACGAAACCATAACATTTAATATAATACTTCAAATGGTTCATGCACTAGAATATATACATAACAAAAACGTAATACACAGAGACATAAAATGTGAAAACTTTCTTATAAATAAAGATGGCACAATAAAATTGATTGACTTTGGCACTTCGAAAGATTTAGACAAAATGCCTTTGAAAACCACAAGCCGCGAATCTTCAGAAGAAGATGAAGAATTGCATAATTTTGTATTAAAAAAAGTAAATAGCAATAATATAAAAGAAAGCCTCAAAAATGAACATCCAAGGGGAAATGACAATATTTTAAAAGATACAGAAATGAATGAAAAATTTTCAGGCGATAATGATGAAGACAGCAACAATAGCAATGATGATAATGAACAAACTGATAAAAAATTAAACGACCAAAACCAAAAAAAATGTGTTCTTAAAGAGCTCAAAAGCAGTGAAAAGTATGAATTTAATAATAAAGTAATACAAAAAGAAAATTATGATAATTTAAATGTTCTAAAAAGTAACAAATATCCAATAGACACAAATAGGCGTAACTATAGAATAAAAAAAACATTTGATAACTATGTTGGAACTTCAAATTTTATGCCCCCAGAATCACTAATTAACAAATGTAGTGGTAAGGCTAGGGATTTATGGAGTCTTGGGTGCACCATTTATCAGTTAGTAACAGCTATCGTTCCATTCGATGGTTCTACCGAATGGTTCATCTACAATAAGATAAAAAAAAAAGAAATAAAATACCCACCTTTAATATCATCTGAATTAGTAGATTTAATAGAAAAATTAATGACTGTTATCCCAGAAGAAAGACTGGGATTTAAAAAAGGGTGCAAAGAAATTTTACAGCATCCATATTTTCAAAAATACAGTTATAGCTCATTTAATTTTAAGCTGCCACAAGTATCGCCATCGGAAAAAATTTATACACTTGTAATAAATAAGTATCGTGAATATGTAATTGAAAAAAGGAAAGTAAGACAGAATAATAATAACTCGTGTGAAGAAACTAATAAAAAGATAGAGAAAATGAAAACAGAATTGTTAAATATAATTAAATTCGACACTGAGTTTTACAAAGAAGAAAACGAATCAACAAATGTAAAGAAAAAAATTGCAGAAACTATAAATTTTTTCCTTCAAGAATTCCACAAACAAGAAAAAAGTGAAATAGAAGAAGCAGACAAATGGTTAAAACGTTTTAGTAGTGAATAAAATAGTACCAAAATTTACACTGCTTTTTATCTATTATAATTTTACCCACGTCCAACAGCTCAAGTTTTGTATTTAACGTGTACCTATATTTCGTTGCTTTCTTTTCGAATTAGCTTTAAGAATCAATGGTATAATTTTTAAACATCATTTAACACTTTAAACAAGTATGTAATTTAAAAGAAAATTATTCGCATTAAAAAAGTATAAAAACATACGTTTAAATTTTTTTATTAGTTAAAAAGTTGTATATATATTTCAGCGCATTTTTAGCATGAGCATTTTGTGATTTTTCGTTTTTTTCTTGTAAAAAATGTGCTTTTCCCTACATTAAATTCATATTTTTTATTTTTTTTCTAAAATTAATAATGCTTGTTCTAGATAATGAAAAGCAGAAAAAGCATAATAGCAAACATACATTTTCATAAACTCATTGTCTACGTGGACAATTCAAAATGTTTTTTAAGATCAGGCTATATAAAACTGAAACTCTTATATTTATTCTACGTAGATCAAAAACATTATTATAGGGTAACTCAATAAAATTTAAATATCAAAAAACTTTTTTAATAACGAGATATTCACTTACAGAAATTGTAAACTTTAAAAGTAGACATTGTTATAAGAACTTTTTTTTAGTATACGGAACTGTTCGTTCTCATATACTTTTCTGAATAAAAAATTAATCGATGAAGCACTTTATATTGAATTATAAAAAATTGATACTTTGTATTATAGACATGGTTATTTTGCAAAAGTGGGTGTATTATTATGTAACTCATTTTCATTTGTGTAGTGAATAAAAAAACATTTCCATTAATGTGCAAATAGAGGTGCGTGAAAATTTTTTCAAAAAAAACGATGTTAAAACAAAATTTCCTCTTTAAAAAATTCTGTATTCTTGAATATACAAAAATAATTTATTATGCAATATTCATATATGGATATTCCTTTATAAAAGACTTAATTTGTGAGTTCAAAAAATTACATAATTTTTACATACTACCAAATTCAATTATTACAAACCTTATGGTAGCAAAATTTGGAACATGTATAGTGTGTGTTAAAAGATGGATTAATAAATAAACATTATGAATGCTTACACATTTATATAAGTTTAGATTTTCACATATATTGCACTTATATTGTTTTTATTTCCTTATTTTAATCTTATTAATAGGATTTTCATTAAAACCTAATTTTCAGCATACTAAAGTGTACTCTCGTTTTAATTAAAATGTCCTTTATGTGAATAAAAAAATTTTTATAAACATTTAAACATTCAAAAATTATAGTTCTACAATTTACATTATAGAACTTAATGAAAAATAACATTTCTGAAAATATAAATACTTTATTGAGCTTAATACAAAGCATAATCATTCTGTTTAAGACGACTTAACATTTATTTAAATGTAGACACATTGAATAGGTGATATGTACTGAAATTAAATATCTTATTTGATTTTTGCATTAATGAAAAACATTTAATAGCAAAAAATATGTTAAGGATTATGTGGTCTTACAAAAATAAAAATTATGTATATATCATTACGTTATAGCATATTTTGTACATTTCTTATTCTTAAGCAATGTTTTTTAAAGCTCAAAGAAAAAAAAATTTCAATTTACATTTTACAGTTTGCAAAAAGAAGTTTTATGTTTTTGCTGAACCATTATTATTATTCCTTTACATTCTAACAATAAATGAAAATGATTATTTGTATAACATTGTAAGTATGTTTCTTAAATTAAGTAAACAAAGGAACGTACTCTTGATAATTTTTCAAATTGTTATTAGTGCTTAAATTAGATATGTAAAAAAAACTAATTCTACAGTTATTACGGTTATTAATAGAAAATGTATACTCCAAGAATTTCAAACATAAATTTACATTAAAAAACTGTTTTGTATGTATAATTCTACGAAGGACACATAACACATTGCTATACAATGTGAGACATATTACTTATTGAGAAGACTCAAAAGAAGGCAATAAAATATGCCCCTTCTAATAATAAGAGGTTGTCTCATACTTTTGGCAGTTCCTCTTAATAAAAATTGTCTTCACATTTTAATGTATGCAATCCATAGTAATTCGTTAGCACTAATTCACTAATTAGTAAAAATATATACAAACATATGTTACATATAAATGTGTTTTTGTCGAATTATCTAAGTAGAAGAATACTTTAACATAATTCTAGTAGATTTTTTGAAGCATCGAGTACTAAAATTTTAATTCAGCAATTTAAATCCCTGAACATTTAGAACACACAGATAAGTTCGATGAAATAAGTATTATTTATGTATGTTCATAATTTTGCATTCTGTAATTCTCCAGTGCACTGTTATGCTAAACATTGAATATACCATAACTATTTCTAATTCTAACATGTAGATCTTACAGATATGTTATATATTTGTAGTGTTCACAAAATTATACGGCTCAGCTCCCCTTTACCCATATATATAGTATTTTCTCTTATTTAAATAGTTATTATGTGTGTCAAAATATTTATATATACAAAGGATTCACAACTGAACAATTTTCTTAATTTGATTCGCAAAAAAAAAACATACATAAAACTGTGTTGTCCAAATCAAATTATTAAATAAAAATACACTCAAAATTTTATCATAAAATAATGCTGCTAATTAAACTAAAACAAACTAATAAATTAAAAAAAGAAAAAAAAAAGAAAATCTAAATGATAGGAAATAACTTTTGAGCAAAATTAAAAAATGTTGTATATAATAAAATATAACAAATATGCATTAATACAACGCAAAATTAAATATAATTATATGTGTGTAAATTGATGAAAAGAATAGTTAATAATAAATAGAATTCATAAGGTAAACAATATTTAAATAAGTTCATTAAATAAAGTTAATTTAAGAAATAAAATAATAAATATTAAAAAATTATTATACAAAATAAAATAATTATAACATTTAGATATTTATAAATAATTAAAATTATACTAATATTAAAAAAAAATAAAGAAAATAATTAAAATATTAATTTAAATTAATTATTTAATTTTATATAATATTCATTAAAATTAAATAAGTAATAAATTAAATAAATATAAACTACATTAAAATATTAATATATATTTTTTTATAAATTAATAATAGACAATATATTAAACATTTTATTTTTAATACTTAATAAAATTAATTAATATTTGATAAAAATAAATATTAATATAATAATATTTCTAATTTTAAATTAAATATAAATTTCTTATAACGTTATTATATAAAAAAAAATATAATAATTATATTTTTTTTTTTTTTTTTTAGTAAAAAATGAATTTTAAATAATTATAATATTTTATTTTTATATAACTATTTAATTAAATAAAATTATTAATAATATTTATTAATAAAATAAAAAATAAATTACTATAAAGCATTTAATTTAATTTTATTATTAATAATAATAATAAAATAAAAATATAAATTAAATGAATTAATTAATTATTATAAATGAAGTGTAACATTATTTTCATATAATTTAATTAAATAAATATTAATATAAAAATAAGATTAAATAATTGTTTTTCAAAATAATAAATAAAATATTTATAAATTAAAATAAAATTCGCGTACAATATTATATATAATTAATATTTTAATTAAATATTAAAACATAAATTCATTTAATTATAATTAAAATGTAATAATTTAATTATTATTCAATAATAAATTAATAATATGTACACATTTTTGATGTTATTTAATAAAATTAATTAATATTATATTAATAGTTACAATAAAATAATAAAAAATATATATAACAAATTATATTTTATTTAATTAAATAATCATATTAATAATAAAATTTAATTTATTATTTTATAATTTAATAAAAAAAAAAAAATAATTATGTTAATTCATTATTTTTATTAAAATAAATATTTATATAAATAAATCATTTAAATCATTAATTATATAAATATAATATAAATATGTTTTTAAAATATACTAAATGTGTATAAATTGTATATAAAATAAATTAATTGTTTTTATTTAAAATAAGTATTAAATACTATATATTAAAATTTTATTATTATATAAAAATTATTTAATTTTAAAAGGTATTATTAGTACAATATTAAATTAAAATAATTGTATAAATTTAATATTAATAAATATATGTAACAGTATTTATTTATAATATATTAATAATTATATATAATAAATCATTTAAAATAATTAATATAATTTGTATATATTATTAAAATATAAAAAAATAATTATATATAATTGTATATTAAAATAAACAGTAATGTAATATGATAATAAATTGAACATAATTTAAATTAAATATAATAATTATAAATGTATATTAAATAATAAATTAATATAATTTAAATTAAATATTATAATTATTGTGTTAAGTAAAATTATAAAAATATATATTAAATATTAAAATTATAAGTAATTATTATGTTAAATATATATAACTAGAAATTTAATAAATATTTAATTATTTTTCATTTAATATAAAACAAATATATGAATAATATAATTATATATTTTTTAAAAATAATTATTTTATAACTAATTAATTTAATAAAATATTAATTAATTATTTATTTTATTAATTTAATAATTATGTATTAAATATAACTTTATTTTAACAATTAATTAAATATTTATTTAAATAAAAACATTTAATATATTATTTAAAAAAATAAAAATTATGTATTTGTATAAACATACTAAGCTATATTAAAAATATATATAATAATCAATTTAAATTTATTTGAATAAATTTAATATTCAAGGAAATTACAATAATTATTTTATATTGTCTTAATGAATATTAATTAATTAAAGCAATGCAATACTAATATAAATTTTTAACATAAGTGTATTTTTTATTTTTATGTAGATCTAGTTATATATAATGGGATAATACACGAATTACTTGAGCCATTCTTACATCTAATGTATATATCATCATTATATTATTACACTTTACATT